AAAGAGCATCGACCCAGAAGACCTCGCCAAACAATTCCAACAGCGCGACGACCCCTGGGCCATACAATATCTCGATGACTTCTCGACCATCGAGCCCGTGATTGACCATCACAAGCGCGCCCCAGTTACGAATTACGACCCCAATTCCCGTCTAAAGACCGAAGATGAAATCGTCGACGACCTTGCCGAGTATATAATGAATATGCCGGACGACGCAACAACCGCCGACTGGCTCCGATTCACGGACAACATGCGTCTAACGGTGGGTAAAGCCGAAGCCGAGCTCGACCCCCACAGCTCTCTCGTGCCCGACCTCTTCGAACCCGGCGAGAACCTGGAAAATATCGGCGAACATCAAAGAAAAGACATGAAGAAAGCCGCGGCCGGAGAAGGAGGCGAAATCGCTCCTGCATTGCGGCAACTGATGCAGGTCACCGGCTACTCTCAGCAACAGATCAAGGGGTTGAGGGTCAAAGCCCTGGTGACGCACAGCGTCGTCAACCAAACTCGTTTGGGGAAAATCCGCAAGACCTACGTTCTCTCTGTGGCGGGAAATGGAAAGGGCTTGCTGGGTATCGGAGAAGGAAAATCAGAAGAACCCACCGAAGCGCGTGTCCAATCCCAATACCGTGCAATCCGCAATATGCAGCCTATCCTACGATATGAAGATCGAACCATCTTCGGAGACGTCAAGGGAAAAGTCGGCGCCGTTGAATTGCAACTCATGCATAGACCCCCAGGTAAAGTTTCATCTATCTCCCGGAGCAACTCTTGGAAAGAGAAATACCACTGACACTTTTCCCCGCCAGGCTTCGGTCTCCGTTGCCAACAATACATCTGGGAAATGTGCCGCGCAGCAGGTATTCACGACCTCGCTGCCCGAGTCACCCGCTCCCGGAACCCCATGAACACCGTCAAAGCCGCTTACCAAGCTCTCCTGAGCCAGAAGCACCCAGAGGACATTGCCCGCGCGCGAGGCAAGAAATTAGTCGACGTGAGAAAGGTCTATTACGCCGGAAACGTATAGTTAATTGCACAGATTTCTTCGGGTAAAGTGGCAGGGGGGAAAGTCGTACCATCGTCTAGTGGAGGTATCTCTTACTGAAGAAGGGGATGAAAGGATTTGTTTAACTACTATACACAGTTCTAGCGAGCTACAAGTCCCCAAAAGTGATATCCCGTGAGGTTGTACTTGTACTATACACGGAGGAGGGATTCTTTTCATGTATACATACACATCATTCTGGATAGAATCGTCTTTTTTTACTTTTTTCTATTCGATTTCCGTTGGCAGCAAATGAGAGCAGATAAAATGTATTTTTAGTCTACTTAGGCAAGGACTATTAACTAGATATCTAGGAAATCTCCTTTTGTGCTTTGCTCTTTTATTTCTCTTTCTCTCCCACGAAATCAAGAGGATCTCAAGACCCATTTATCTTTCAGTCCTCATATCTTCATTCCTAGCGGCTCTGTCTGCATCTTAGATCTAAAAAGGGGGTAAAAAAAGGGAAAAAAAAAAAAAAAAAAAAGGGAGAGAGAGAGAACATGCAAGCCATCAAAAATCGTCAAGACAAAACAGACAAAAAGGAGGGGAAAAAAAAAAAGATCCTCCAAGCAAGACACACATCTTAAAATACGGCACACACATAGATAACGCCTCGGCACAAAAGACAAACCGACACGCACATCAGCACAAAGCCCTCCTTGAGTCGACAAAAATAAATACGAAGGGGGGTGTCCGATGAAGAACAAAACGCACATTTCTGCCAAGACTTTGATTGAGGGAGGTTGAATGCAAACCAAGCGGGAATAATAGCTGGTGAACTTTCATAACACAACAAAAAGGACAAAAAGCCACAGTATTGAACAGGGCAAATATGCATGTCAAAGACCTTGATGGGAACAACGGCACGAAAGATAAAAATCCCACCGCTTCCTCCCAAAGAGTAAAGAAAACACCGAATACTGCACTTGTGTAAATGAGAGACAGGAGTAGCAAATCACTTTGAGGGCAGGAAGTGATTGACACGTAGCGAGAGTCCGTTGCGATGTCCAGAAAACGGTGTTGTAAAGAAGGGTAAGGAATTGTAGAAAGAGCTCGACTTCATCTGGAGAAGTGATCCACGAAGCGAAAGGTGAGGAGGAACAGGCGAGATAAAAGAGTCGGCTCTGAAAAGGTGGGCACATTCTGGGGGAAAGGCGGATGGGTAATAATGGGGATTGATTGAAACAGAAACGGAGCCGTGCAGGGGCTGGAAACGGAACAATAACTCAAACCGCACTCCGAAAACGCCCACGAGCATATGTGGCAATGCAAATGAAAAGCAGAAAACAACAAGCAGTGCGTATCTTAGCGAAGAAGACAAGAAGGAAAAAAAAAGGAAAGTCAAAAAGAAAATCATGCTCTATACCCATTAAAGCTATCATCAGCCAGCTGTCCATGATAATCGCCGTCGTGGTGAAGAGTGACGCTATTGAAGTCCTCAAAAGGATCGGGTATCTGTTCTCCTGGCGTTGCAAGCCCCGAGTCCATCGGCACACCTTTCAATTTGCTTGTGCCACCGATATCAACACTGGCGCTCTCCTTCATGTTGCGGAAATTCACGGTATCAATAGCGCGGCCTTGGTGAGGAATCATCGGTGGTTTCATATGTCGAATGAGCGCCCACTGGGTGGTGCGGAAAAAAGGATGTGTCTTGACGTCCGACGCGCCGGCACGGGCACCTAGTCGTTTCGTTTCGTCTTTGATAAGGAGCTTGCGGATGAGGGATTTACAGAGGCTGGAGAGACTATAAGTAAGCCGCTTGCTGAATTGGCTCAAAACTGAAGAGAGAGGGAGAAAGCTACTTACTTCGATATTTGTTGGGCACCCGCATGGTCGGGGAACGGCACGTCATTCCTCAAGATATTTGCGAACGTAGCGTTTCGATTCTTGCCCTTGAACGGCGTAATTCCGTAAAGCATCTCGTATATCAAAATGCCCAAGGTCCACCAATCAACAGCACTTGTGTGTCCATCGCCTTTAATAACCTCAGGCGCAATATATTCCTCTGTTCCGACGAAAGAATTTGTCCGGAAGTTGGCGATACATGACTTAGTGTCGATCGTGGGTAGAGAAGATGACGAAGTCCCGTTGCGACCAACTATCATCGTAGGGGCACCCCCGGGGCCAGATTGCTTGGAGAGGTCGAAGTCTGACAACATGATATGCCCTGATTGATGTAGCAATATATCTACATAGTGTTAGAATGTGCCAAAAGCAACCTCACCAATGACAAGGTATACTCACTTTCCGGTTTGAGATCCCGATATATGAATCCCATCAAATGAAGGTATTCCAAGGCAGCTGTCACCTCTGCAGCATAGAAACGGGCATCATCTTCGGGAATACATTTTCCAGGTCGTGTTTGGAGGGCTAGTACAGTTTAGCAAGGCCATCCGCAACAGTTTGTTCGTAGCACATGGCATACCTCTAAAGAACTCCCCGCCACTGCAATACTCCATGCAAAGATAAAGATGCTCTTCAGACTGGAACGAGTGGTACAGTGTAACTATGAACGGATGATTGCTCGTGGCCAGAATCTCTTGCTCCGCCAAGGCTCTCTTGATTTTATTCCGCTTTATCATCTCCTTCTTGCTCAAAACTAAGAAGTCGAGACGTCAGAAAAGAGAAAACCAAAAAAAAAAAAAAAAAAAAAAAAAAAAAAGGTTTGGGTAGGGGGGTCCTGGGACGTAGGGCGTCATGGGTCAACACCCACCTTTCATGGCATATAGTCTATTCGATTTCTTCTCGCGAACCAGGTAGACTTTGCCGACATCGCCTTTCCCAATCAACTTGATCTTATCAAAGCTTCCGGGGCCCACCTCCACATTGCGCACCTTGATCGAATTCGAGCTATACGTCCGTCGGCAATTGACAAAACTCCGGGGAACCGACAGGGTTGAAGCACGTTCATCGGAGATCGAAGCGGCCTGGGATCCCGGCTGATCGACAAAGCTCAACTTGGGCGAAGCTCCCCCGGAGGCAACCAACGGCTCCTTCCCCAGCTCTGCAGTCTTTGGTCGATCACCTGAGCCATCGCCGCTGAACAATCCCTGGGCATTGGGCGCCGACGCCACTCTTCTCAGCTTCCTAGCCAGCTCTTCTTTGCCGGCCGCGGTGGCCTGGTCTGATGCCGGGACGCCCTCCACCTGCAACTCCGGTGTATCCGGGGGCGAGGAAGGAGCACTGTCATCGTTCCGATGTCGTAAAGCCGGATAACCCTGATGATGGAAATACGGGTTCGCATCGGCGGTCGGAGAGGCAATTTCATCGAGCGGATTACCTTCGCTGGCAACTGTAGTAGACCGATTCCGACCAATCGTAGGGAGGAAGCGAGACTGTCTAAAAGTAGACTTGCTCTCAGGCTTAGTCGAGAGGTGTGCGTGACCGGAGGAGGTATGATGGGCACCACCGCTCCCGCTACCGCCGCCACTGTTGCTGACGGTCGGGGTATTCGATGAGGAGGAGCTGTTTATCCGGAAGAAATTCTTTAGTCTGGTTGGGAAGTGGGATGGATCGCCGGAATGTTTTCTGCTGGGGAGCGAGAGGCCGGGGAATGGACGTTTCTCTGACCCAACACCAGACGAACCGGAGGAGGAGTTGAATAGCTGTGTCATTGCTCTTCACCGGCGTGTCGAGCGTAGTCGAGGTGAAAGGACAACACAGAGACACACGCAGTGCGGAGGATCGTCAAACAAACAACGACGGTGAAACAGGATACGCGGAATCGTAATAACTGGACATGAAACTCAAGACGAAGAAACGATGACGCGATACCACTTTTGGCCGAAATTGAACTTCCGGCTCTAAACGAACGTCCCTTTTTTTTTCCTTTTTCCTTTTAACCCTCTTCACTAGGAAATGTAATTATGTACTCGGCCGACGAGGACGAAGTAAGTGGCGACGACTCTCTCTTTTTTTTTTTTTTAAATTTAATATTTCAGGAGATGTGGGGATGTTAAGAAACTGGGGTTCCTGAGTTGTTGAGACAGGCTAGCGGAGGCGTTGTCCAAGGATCGAAGGGTTGCCGGCCATTGACGCCCAGAGGAGCACGCAAGATGTATGTAGGATGCCGCGGGACAAAGGAAAGAGTTGCAGGCGACCTAGACCGGATGGTAATCGAGTACGCGGTCAGCTAGAGCGTCCAGAGCAGCAGGAGGGCTCGAGGACGGGGATGAGCGAGAGAGAGGAGAGCAGAAGAGTTGTAGCGGATGGTGCAAGTCGGTGGCTTGGTTGACCCCGAGACCGCAGCATCGCCGGCGTGATCCTTTTTCCTCTTTTTTTTTTGGCTCAGAGTTGGTTTTGACTCGCGCTTAGTTGGAGTCTTTGACTCTTTTTTTTGGGGGGGGGGAAAGAAAAAAAAGGATGACATGCAGAGAGACACAAGTCGACAGGCCGCGCTTACAGGCACGATACGCCGGTTACGGCCCCCTACGCCCGCCTGCGTCGTGAAAAATTGAAACGTTACGTTTTCGGATGCTGGGTCTGCGTCTGGAAGTGGAACCTGGGCGGAACCTTCTGCTCCATAAGACTCGTCACCAAGAACACAGTCTCTGGCATGTATAACTGTCGTACCTCACCCAGCGACTTTCAGCAACGCCGAAAACGACACACATTAAAAAAAATATATATATAAATAATAAAAAAAAAAAAGAAAAGAGAAAAAAGAGAACTCTCAAGAAATCCCCTGTGGCCCTATCGGAATGAAAAGATCTACTACTACAGTTGAACGCCTCGCCGTCCCAACGACCCATCCAGAGCGATTGCCACAACTCTTCCTCTTCGCCATCGTGGAAGTGTGAAGCATCCGGGATAGGACCTTCTCACCACGGTTGCTGTCGCTGGCAGACCCATGGAACGTAGCCGAGCCTCCTTGGAGCTTTGGGTTTTCTTGATCAAACAATCGCTACAGTGCGCAGCCCTGATCCCTTCAGGCAAAAAAAACTAGTCAAGGAAAGCAGAACACTCGCTAGCAAGCAGGTCTCTATATTAATTCTTTCAATGCATATGGGAGCTACTCCAATATACCCACATAAACAATAGCAAAGAGCACAATCTATCCTACCGTCATCCTTTTCAGAGGGCAATGGGACAGAACTCCGAGCGAAAAAAAGCAGACCAGATCTCAATCTGATGCCTCCCATGTTTCTTCCCAAACACCCCAGCGAACCGTAACCCCCCGGAGTACTTACGGAGTACGGAGTACAGTGTGCCGAATCTACGGCTCCCAACTATATAACTAGGTACAAAAACACCTAAAATACTCCGTACACGCAGTACCTCAAGAAGAACACCAATAAATTCACCGCCCAAGCTTTACCAGAGACCGAAAAAATTAACATTATTCCCCAGGAAAAGAAAATCAACGGGAAATCTGGTCGGACAACGATGTTTTTCGTCCGCTCCGAGAAAAAAAAGCAGATCCGTTTTTTTTTCAACTTAATGCACAATAACTATCTGCCACAAACCTTCGGAATGCTGACCTCTCTTCTCGCCACCACGATCCCCTTTCGCAGCTTGCGCCTGACAGGCCACCCTTACGAAGATATCCGGAGACAAAAAGAAACACACCGTTTGCAATGATAGTTTCTAGACGAGTATTGCTGACTCACAATCGTGGCCAGTTCTAACCCCAATGGCCATATGTTCTGTACGCGCATTACGGAGTACTATGCATGCATAGCTACAGAGTACATGTTCTCATAGTCGTCACTACAATTTCTTCCACCGGCCACATCGGCCAGATCCAGTCCGTTCAGCAGGCAGAACCCAACAAGCCGAGATCACAATATAGACAGAGGCTGCAGCAAGGCTTACGAAAAAAAAAAAAAAAAAAAAAAAGGGGAAGGTCGAATCCTCTGTATCCAAGATGCGACCACCTAGTGCAAGACCCATGATGTCGCCGGACTTGATTCCATGTACTCCATAGTTATCATGGAAACTATTATATACGAAGCTCGCAAAGTGGTATCATCATTATATAAATCTATACCTAAAAAAAATAATAAAATAAAATAAAATAAAATAAATAATCAAACCATCAGCTTTTTCGAGGGAGGGAAGTAATTAGAAATTCGTCAGATATCATGTGTAGGACCAAACATTCTTTTTTTATCCGTCGTTTCGAAGAATGGGTCTCGTTTAAAAAAAAAAATAAAAATAAAAATAAAAAAATAAAGATAAAAACCCCAGCTTATGAACTTTGCTGCTGCTGCTGCTCCAATTGCCGCAGCTCGTCAACAGTCAACTCGCTCTTCGCCCGCGTAACACGCACCCTGAGCACCATGATCAAAAACGCAACCACAGAGCACCCAACCTGGTACCAAAATGCGACCTGGTAGCTCTTCTTCCGCCCCAGATGCTCCGTCTCCACCTGCGCGATGTCGCCGAATCCAAGGAAGAACGCAATGCTAAGATGCAGCACGGAGTTGATCAGCGCGCCCGCGAGGCCCTGGCGCTCGCTGGGTTGCTTCGTCGTGATGAAGATGTTCGTGATGTTGAAGATAATGTCGATCCCCATGGTCGCGCATATCATCGCCGGAAACACAAAGGCCCAGTATGAAGCGCCCTCCGGCATCAACGCGAACAGGAGGCCGGAACCCATCCATACGAGCGCAGAGATTCCGAGTAAGATATTGCCGGATACTAGGTGAAGGAAGATTCCGATGGCCATGGGGAAGATAAACCCGCCAACGACCATGGGGGTGCACCAGGCAACGACCTGCATGGGGCTTGCTCCCATTATGTGGACCATGCTAGGGACATTTTATCAGCATTTCTCTCATAAATTTTATTCAGCTGCGGGAATAGAGAAGGGTAAACGTACTATAATGTTCCGTACAGCAAGAACACGCCAAACGATCCGTAAAAAAATAGAAGCGCAATGACCAGAGATTTCATGTGCGGCACCGCAAACAGGTCAAACGGCAGCAGAGGATGTTCCGCAACCCAGCCCTCCACGTAAAACGCCGCTCCTAAAAACAGCCATCCGAGAATGAAACAGACGCAGATATACGGCGTTTTCCAGCCATTAGCGGCATGTGCACTGTCGGTGATGGCGAAGACAATCAAGACCAGACCAGGGACGATGAGGGCCGCGCCCCAATAGTCCATCTTGACCCCTTGCTTCCTCCTCTGTTCAGAGTCCGACGGAATAAAGATATACGATGTCGTCGTGGTGATGGCAACGAGAATGGCTCCGATCCAGAAATACCACGACCAATTCAGGTACTGAGCACTGAGCCCCGAGAAAAAGATGCCGGCGAAGAATCCAATAACCGCACATGTCCCGTATATGCTAAACACGAGATTCTTCCGGGGTCCGGGTCGGTAGACATTAGCCAGAAGCATTAGGCTCGTTGGGAGATAGGCGGCCGGCCCCAATCCTTGCAGCGCTCGACAGATGATGAGCATCAATCTGTTTTTCGAAAATCCAGCGATGAGGGACCAGATGCCCAGCCATGCCATTCCCCCAACATAAACGGGGAAGCCGCCGATCATGTCACCGAGCCGGCCAAAGAACAGCAAGACGGAGGCAATCACCAGCGAAAATGCACTGGCGGGCCAAACGGCCATTGCATCAGGGATATTAAACTCCTTCACCAGCGTGGGTATAATCACGTTGAATCCAGATATAAAATATTCCTGCGCACAGCATGAGTTAACCCAAACATAAAGATAAAATAAAATAAAATAAAAAAATACAGGAGGCAAATAACTTACCGACAGAACTTGCGACATGACAATCGAGAAACAGAAGGCAATCTCTGACCACGCATTGTTGAACACGTCGGGGCGGGCTCTTCCCAGCTTCTCGATATCCATCTCGCTGTAGTAAGGATCGGAAGATCCACTCCCGTCCTTTTCACGCTGCTCTTGACCCGAGAGCTGCTCACAGTCTGTCTCGTATTTCTCTTGCTGGACATCTCCACCACCAGCTGCCCCCTGGCTCTGTGCAGATTTTATAGACATCGCGGGCAGTGTCGGTTCGGAAAAGCCCTAGAGTTGATCTTCTCCAAAGGGTATATGCAAAAAGAAAGAGAGATGGTGTATATGTCAGGTAGGTCAGGTATATATGTTATGTATGCAGGGCAGATGATAACTATTAATATATGAGGCGGAGGAACCACCAACCCCCTGCTCGATACAATCACGATCGGTGTTGGAAACGAAGGATTATGTATCTGCTCAAAAGCGCGCGTCCATGCATCTATATATGCCAGAAGGAGTCATCATCTTCTCGCTTTCCCCCCCTCTGTTCGAGAATGATAAGCAATGAAGAAAACAAGAACTAGGGAAGTCGGAAGAAAAGAAAGGAATTAATAAAAAAAAAAAATGAAATGAAATGAACGAATCCCCCAGAGCAATGTGACTCAGTGCATTGCTGATAACCGCTAACTCTCTTAAGCTATTGGGCGGAAGCGAAAAAAATTATTATAAAATATTAAAGCGGATGTGGCTTCTCTTTTTAAACGCGGAGGGAGCGGGAAAGCGGAGACCCACGGAGCGAACTGCTCTTGTTCGAACTTGGGCGGAGAAGTTTGCCAAGGGAAAGGCTACAAATTTAGGAGGTTAAGCATAACTTGATGTGTATTCTGTACGGACTAATTGTGCTCCGGATTAAAAAAAAATGCAGAGTTGTTGGCTCTGGTTTCTTTTTTGTTTCTTTTTTTTTTCCTTTTTTTTTTTTTTTTGCCTTTTTAGAAAATACATAGAGTAGAGATAGACGCGGGACGGGTTCGCCACCCCCCAAGAAACGTGCTTTAGCAGCTTTATGCGCCAGAACATTCCCCGTCTGGAACCGCCCGGTCCGAGGCTTGACAGGCGGAAAAGCGCGCTTGCCTGGCCCGCGTGGCTCTCCGTAACTCCCGCCCACACAAACAAAAGCCACAAACGCGGTCTCGACTTGCCCTCATAAAATTCACTAGCGCGTCGGAAAACGCGGAGTCTCCTTTTTTTTCTTTTTTCTTTTTTGGGGGGTGGGTATACTTTCCCTTTTGGGATATACAGCTGGCCCGGTCCAGTCAAGTCCGGCCAGGCCAGGCCAAAACATGCTGTGGCGGACCTGGACTCTGCAGGCGTGACGTCATGTCCTACTGGCGCCCCCGAGCTTAGTATCACGTGACATTACGGTTTAGATGATACATTTGGAAGGGGGCCGCAGTGAGGTGGATTTATCTTAATCGCGTGTTGTTTTGTCGGTTAACTGTTCAGATGCAAGCATCCAACTCCTCCTCCACCAATCCGTCGTTCGTGGGAGTGCAGCCTAAAATTAACTACTACATGGCACCAACTCGCAAATTCGGCAAATTCGGAGTACATATCACCCCGCACCACGCGAAAGTCAGATGCCACTCTACGGGGGCTGTATAGTCTCATTCCAAATGACCATTTGTCCCAACATCCCGCCCGGCGCCGTACCTGCGGCACAGAGCGTCACACAGCCGAGGCCACGAGGATGTAGTGTAACTGATGGAAATGCAATTATCTTCATGTCTTCCCACCACACCAGGCCGCTACTGGGAAAATGCCGTATATATATATATTGCCAGGGGGCTAGAAAACCACAACCCGCGGTTAATACAGAGTGCATTCTCGGGGAAAAATTGTTACAGCCGTTGTGGTGAGATGTATAATCGGTACTGACAACATGATCCATAACGAAATCACGGAATATTCCTGTATTGCTGTACCGCTATTGATCTAAAAAGACTCTTAATTGCCTCCCTTTTACCTCCAACCTCCCAGCGAATTCGCTGCCGGCCCTCCCCACTTTCTTGAATTCAATTATCGTGACTTTCCATCGTGTTTTCCTCCAATATCAAAGCTAATCGATTCACCATACCCTTCTAGAGAAAAATGCTGGCTGGCTGGCTGGCTCTTAGGCCAATGTATTCCAACAAAGAGTATAAACCACACTTCAATCCATACGAATAGCATAAACCTGTTATAAAGTAGATTCAAACTGGGGACCGTCGCAACATGTGTCTGTCAGAATGGTGGGTGGTCAAGGTCCTGTTTCCTGATTTCTGCTCTGTCTTCCTCTCGTAGCATCTGGAAGAAAGCGCGCACTTCCATGGCATTAGGATCTTTGCGCATCTGCCGCCGAAACCACGACATCTTCCTTCCATTTGCCATATCTATGCGGTCATTGCCCTTAATCAAAGTAGCATCGGGTGTTACATCCGTTGTAGCCGTCGTGGGCTTCGACGTCTGGCCCGCTGAGTCGCCGGCTCCATCGAACGGCGGTAAAATGCCCATTGAGCTAACCTGAAATGAGGCACCTGATCCAACCCGTCGAGCGCCAGAGTTGTGTCCCGGAGCTTTCGAAGACGTTGATAGGTTAGGAGGCGCAAGCGTCACTGATTGAGATTCAGAGTATAATCCAGATCTAGCATTTCTGCTTCTGTTGCCAACCTTATCTCGGTTCTTTACGCAAGTGCATCGTTTTGGCTGTTGGTTCGATAAAGGGCTTAAGGGCTGCCTGTATAGAGTTAGAGTCTATTATGCATTAAAATGACGAAGCTCGATTTCCGGTACTTGCATTTGAGATTGCCCTTTAACGACCGTTTTCTGGGGGCTAGTCTCGTTCGCGGCACCTATATTGTTGCAGCTTGAGCTGTCCTCTATTCCCGGGACTTGACTATTATCGAAGGTCAGCGGAGATCGCCCACCGGATTTAGAAAGTTGAGACATACAGAGCGTTCTCATTTGACAGAGGAACCCCTAGCCTTGCTCCTGTCATCAAAGCAGAACTCTGTGCTCTGTCCTCCCTGGCATTGCTCGAAGAGGGTGCACCGTCTTGTAGCTGCGCCGAGTCTCCAACAGAAGAATCAATCCTCATCGCATTCATTACTGCTGTAAGTCGGGAAAGCTCCCTAAAATAGGGCTCGAGAGGTTCTTTGCGTTTTGCTGCTTCTTCGATTCTGTGATAAAGTAAATCAAGCTCGTACGGAGGAACCGCACTCATTTTATCGGCCTGTCTTCCCTCAAATTTGGCTTTGCCCATATCCGCCCCTATGGTTCGGCAATATGCATTTTGGGCATTCAAATAGTTCTGTATGGCCAGGTCAGGGTTTATGCCCCAGTTCTGAGCGGCAGTAAGTGTCCGATTAAGGTCTGCGGGAAGATGGCAATTCTGAGAGGGGGGATTGAAAGTGTCAAATTGAGCGTACGGTGCTGCAGCCATTGACCGCCCAGGAAGAACAGGACCAAAGGCATCGTCGGAAAAGAAATTTGACGCTGGAGTAAGTCCTGCTGGATTCAATCCCAGCTGCAGATGTGAACCCGCTTGAAAAAAAGTGGAATTATTGTTTGCTGGCTGAAAGGCTCCATATGCGCCTAAAAAAGGAAACTGGGTGGCTTGGCCTGGGTTAATCATGGAGGTATGGTCAGAAACCTGACTGGTCCCTGGAGCCTCGAATTTTGAGGATTGGACAAGGCCTTCTAAGTGCTCCTTGTGTACCCTCGCAGAATCTAATTTCCGGACTAGTTCGACACGCTGCTCTACAAGCAGCTTCTTAGTCGCAGAGTCAATATCCCAGGTGTGCAATGCCATATACCTGTCCAAATTTGAAAGTTGGTTAGCGATGTTATCGTGCTCTTGGACAGCCGACTCTAAAAGGCTTTTCGCTCCTGTATCGTGATCCCCTCCATTTAAAGCAGAACTGGCCCCATGGCCAATATAAGGATTAAAGGCAATGCTACCATTCACGGGGATAAACTGTGGAGATGGGTTGAGGGGAAAAGTGGTACCCAGCTGGTACATTCCAAACGTATTGCCAGCCTGGGGAACATACGGAAGTTGAAGCGGCTGCTGCACATTCTCTGGGAATTCCATAAGCTGTGGGACATATAGTTGCGGGTTCGGTGAAAACATTTCGAATTGGTCGCTTTCACCGACATTCGTTGGTACCGCTTGGGAAATTGAGATTCCGTCAAACGACATTGGGCCTAATTTCACGGACTGCCCGGCACCGATGGCAGTCGGGATATTAGTTTTTTGATTTGAAACTCTCGGTACATTTGTGATTGATGCCTTGTGAAGACCGGTCTGCCCTTCGGTTCCAGTAGTGATCTTCAGATTCGAGACGGCATGTGTTCCTTCGTGGCTGGATGGTGGTGCCTTGATGGGTATTGCTCGGCTATGTGATCCACTCGGTGCCTTCCGTTGCCTCACATTGCCGGCACAGGGTTTGGTTTCAAGGCTCAAACCTTGCCTTTCTGCTTGGACCCCTTTCATTATGGCGTCAGTCTTCGCTTCAACGGCGGTCACGGGCAACTTGAATTCTGGTGCTGGACCTTGCAAGGTCATTGGGACGATCCGTCCACCAGCCGTGACCCTATGATGTTTAGGCGAAGAATGCTCCTTGAGAAATCGTGCGAAACCTGCATGGCTCTGAGCAAGGGTTCCCTGAGGCGCATTGACGGGTTGTCGACGGGGATGCCGTACAGACTCGTGACCATCATCGGTGGTAACAGAAACGGTAGAAGACTGACGCTGGTGGTTCACGGACCTTTCTCTTAGAATACGACTTCCAATGCCATTATTGCGCCTTGATCCCGCAGCATCTATTCAAGGTAAGTTATACGACAGCAACACAAGGACTATACCGGGCAAGTCTATGGATATTAAAATTGCTTCCGTACCATGAAATCCAGCACAGTCTGAACTCGGTCCTTGCATGGACTTTCCAGCTTCTAATTGAAGTCCAATATCAAGTAGAGTTGGGATGTCATATCTCTGGCCTCTTATTGTTTGTCGTCCGACACCCGGTCGACTAACCTTACTTGACTTAGGAGGCTGTGTGGGTGGCCGGGCGGATTTGGGAGTTTGGGGAATCATCTTAGTAGAATCAATGGCCCTAGTCAACGCAGGAACGGCCTCGCTAACTTTGTTTGATGGCGAAGCGCCTATTGTAGGAAGTCAACGTCAGCGCGTAGGAGTTCTGGATACATCCCAGAGCATACCTTGGCTCCTTAGCTTCGAGGCTGCGTAATCCTCTGACAACATGGAGTCTCGCCTTATTCGCAGTCGTTCCGACCTATACTTAGCAACCCAGAGGGATATTCTGGAGGTTTCTAACTAAGGATGATTCAAGAGAGCGGTTATCAAAAGTTTAGGATAGAGAATAATCTGAAGATACGGGAAAGGGTAGAGACAGAGGGAGGTTCTTCCGGCTGCAGATGGCCCAGCTCCTCCGCTGTCACGGAAGGAAATGGCCGCCCGCTTTAGGCTGACCGCTGGACAGTGGAAATAATGCTACTTTGGATGTACGTCTGATAGTTGTGGAAAGGATTTGGGGAGTTAGGACGGGAACAGTTCGCAAGGCGGGAAGCTTCTGACAGCAAGACAGACTCTTCTCGGAGCAGAGATGGAGCAGAGATGGTAAAAAACGGACGAGAGGAAAGGGGGTCGTGGAGGAATGTTTGTCGCAGAGAGTCAACGACAACAACACAAGGCAGGGAAGGTGGGCGAGGCAACGAAAGGGAAGGAATCAAGCAAGGCAAGCCCCCTTGGAAACCGCAAAGGCTGTCGGCCATTTGACTGCCTCCTTCAATGCGTAGCTCATTGCGCTCTGCTCTCCCTTCAGCGCCATTGTCCAGGGCCATTGGACTGGCTGGGTAGACGGCGCATTCACCTGGCAGGTAGCCATTCAATCAGGCGCAGTCTGCTCGTCACAGCAAACCAGCATCGTCAATCCCAGACAAAGGCACGATTCCACGACCGCGGTCAGGGCCTTTCCCACCGAAACAAACACAACAAACTTGCCGCGCACCCAGCAGTTCAGGGGTGTGTTTCTCACAATTATGGAATAGTTACGGAGTCCTGAGTATCTGTTTCCGAATATAGATTGCATGCACTCGATTATTATGCTAGGTACGGAGAACATTGGATGCCGTATTTTTTTGGAGAGGATATGTAAGGACCAATACTATTCATCATTCTATCAACACTTCATCTGATCATATATCAGGGGGGAGCACAGCTTTGAAGAAGGGGGAAAAAAAAAAGGGTTCAAATAAAATAAATACATACAAATGGATGGATGCATCACATCACATCACAACAAGAACATAATAAAATCAAACAGCAATTTATACATGAACGTGTCAAAGTTTCAAAAACATAGAAGAACAGACATCCAACCCGGAACCAACATAACTTTCGTAAACACTTAGTCAACATCCCTCTCCGGATCCTTTCCTGCGTCGACCTTGGGCTTTCGCCACCCGAGGCAGTAAGAGACAAGCGCGATGATGCCTCCAACCACCATCATGAAAACAATGATAGCCCCCACCACCATTAGGGCCTGCAATCGCCGGTGATCCTGTTTGTAGGACTTCTGGTCGACGTTGACGTGGTCATCGTTGTTATCGTTGTCCTTCTGGTCGGTGACTGGTGGGCAGAATTCGGCCTCGCTGCCGCAAAACGAACACCACTGTGTGGTGGACATCGAGATGCTACCCATTTGACTGATAAATTCGTCGTAGGGTATCTCCACTTTCGATGCGAAGAGTGGATATGGAACGTAGCCGGCGTCAGCGTCCGCTGTGCTGGTCCCGTTGCGAAGCAAGAATCTGACTTGCAGGTCGGTGGCCCTTTCCGGGTAATCAGTGGAGTTGTCCGATGGCCGGCTAAAGAGCTCGATGCTCATCGAGGCCCCGTGATTTGGCATCCCTTGAAAGTCTTGCTGGTGGCCGGAGACACCCGCAACCGAAGCGAACGCGATCATAGTGGAGACGTCACCAAACAGAAGCGACATCTTCTTGTTGGTGCCGCGAGATTCAACATTGCTTTCGAGAGCTCTTGTAATAGCAGGTGCCAGAGTTTTACCAGCGACCGCTCGTGTATACTGCCGGTCGGCCATGGTGAAAGGCTGACTGTTCAATGCAGAAGTCATGCGGCTCGCAAGATATCGTGCTCGCAGTAATTCTTCCGCTGAAATAAGATTGCGGGCAGTTTCATTGTTCGCGTATTGGTAGTCAAGATGCTCCCAAATAAGACGCGCGTTGAGAAGATGGAGTTTGTTTGGTTTGATAAGGCCATCGAGGACACGAGCGTACAATACTCTGTAGAAAGCTTCCGCTCCGTCTTGAAGTGCGTCGAGGTCTTCGTTTTGCAGTAATGCAAGCCGTACTCCGTTTAGCACGGGGCAATTCACGTTTCCGGCGAGTTCGATAACCGCAGGATTTGCTGGGGTTAAAGTCTCAAAGTTTGAGAGTGGAAAAGAAGCGTTGTCGCTTCTAGGGAGAGATGTCGGTGGATAGAGACCCTGCATGAATGCTTGGGCCGAAGCAGATGTCAGTTGGTCCGAAGTCACAACGACATCGATCTCTCCGTTGGTAAAGTTGCTTGGCGGGATTCCGTCGATTTGGTGGAACTCAACCGCGCCCTCAGGGAGGGGGGAGATGTAGCGATTTCGAACAGAAGCGCCAGCGTGGATAAGCTGCCTGGTTCCCAAAGGTGTCAACTCAGCATCGCTCAGACCCGGGTTGCCCTGCCCGACCGTGGTAAAGACGACGGTGCCCCAGATTTTTTCTTTGAGTTCGGTCTGAGCGTTGGCAGTGGCCGCAAACAAGGCAATGCCAATAGTGGTGGAGTGGAAGTGCATGTTGACAGGGAAGCAGATGTATTGAGCTTTGAAAATTGTTTTGATGCCAAGAAATAGGGCAGAATTGTTCTTGTTTTTGTTTTTTGCTTTTTTAGCAGTGGTTATGCTTCAATCATAAGTGGAACAGCTCAGGAGCTGGAAGCAGTAGTATGGAGCAGGGCCACAGGGAGGGAAAAGAAAAAAAAAAGGAAGGAAAAAGGGCAAACGAACGCCCTTTTATAGTGAGCCTTTGAGTCATATTTTTTTTGCTATGAGCCATTCTACAGTCATGATACAGTCAGATATGTGCTCTGACGAGGAACAAGAACCGTGGATTGGCAAATATATCATCGAGGATAGTCATAGTCCAGACCCAGCGATGCGGTTGTCCGCACGGAGCGGCACACCGAGTTGCACTCATCTTTGGAAGAGAACCGTTAGAGTCCATCATCTGAGAATGATATTCAGCTGAAGAGGCTATTTTGATATTGGAGTGCATAGAGCTTTAGAGAAATAGAGCTCTCTAGAGTTCGAGACAGTTGGGACTGTCCAATGCATGGTGCCACGGAAGCGAAGGATGTGTGACACATATATATGAGTCCATCTTCTCAACACAAGAAGATGCTGATGTCAATGAAGCCGTAGAACGGGCCAGAGTGCATGACGCTGCGATGTCCAGCGTAGATGACTGGAGATGTTGACTTGGAGAGAGGTTGAGGACCGGGCCTCCTGACTGGCTGGACCGAAGAGTCGCTGACTAACGAAGATGACTAAGACTCCGGCTGACCACGCAACGCAGGTTGGCAGAAGTTCGAAAAAGTGAAAAAACAAATTGTGGGCGAAGAAAATCGGTGGTTGAGATGTGAAATTGCTCTTTTTCCGTCTGACTTGCCCTTCTGTCTCGGAGGTTTCCATCGCGTTGATCTCTTTATCGCATGTTGCACGATTCTCGGCCTGCACTCTTGTCGGCCACTGGGCGGGGGAAACAGATCCCACGTTGAGCCCTATTCCTGCGCCCTATCCCTAAGCCCTCATTTCTTCTCCTGGAAATAGTTACCCCGTTTGTCATCTCGGCGGCCAACCATCATGGCCGTCGCTCAAGCTCCCAGCCCTCCTGTCCAAATAAAGACGGAGGGTCCCTCTTCCCCAGTCGACGATGCGACGTCGATCAACTGTAAGCTCTCGATCTCTCTACCACCGGCACAGGCCTCTCTGCAGTGCTCCCGGCCAGACGTAGCTAGAGCAACTACTGACCTTTCCCGCGTCGTGGTAGCTACTCCCAAGGTGACACATGCCCGCGACGACGATGAGCCCCATGGCCTTTCTCCTGCCACTAAAAAACGGCGAACGGGTTCTGCCGGCGAGACCGCTTCGCCGAGCGCAGAGCAGGCTCCAGGTTTGAGCTCAGAACCGCGCCCAGTCCAGAATGCTCCGGCTCAATCAGCACCGCCATCTCAACTACCGGAGCCGAAGGCCCATTCTGCCGACCAAAATGGCCAATCTTCGGCAACAGATGCTTCCAATAAGAGCTCCTTCAGTGGGGATGTTTCTGCACCTCCTGCGACACAGGCTCCATCCGAGTCTAATGTCCTGGAAACGATATCGTTCATCATGGACCAGCCCGGGAGAATCGAAAACCAATCTTCTTTGAATAAGCGACTACAGGAGGCAAGCAAGTCGGCAAGCATCAATGCGGTTAAATCAAACCCCGATTGGAAGACAGAGAGTCTTCCCATTCTCGATAATTTGGTATGTACTATTGCAAATCCGACCCAGCCGTTTTTTCCTCTCCTGACTTCCTTTAAAGGCAACCCAAATTCTCTCCTTGTTAGCACGGTCGAGTTATAAAGACATCACGTCCATAGTATCTGAGCCGAATTCAGAGAATGGCCATGCCTACTCTAGCATGCGGTCACTTTTCGATCATGCCAAAAAGGTCTACTCAACCAACGGCCCTTTCCTATCAGCAACACAACTAGGTTTCACCGAACCGGGCCAAATTGACATTATTCGAAAGGCGAATATGGCATCTTTCGTTTCGAGTATTTTCGGAACTCAGGGGATTGGGTTTTCTGAACTCCACGATCACTTCCTGGAGATATTCGTTCCTGAAGGAAGTCGACTTCTCAAAGGGCAAGGTGCTCTATTCCTCGAGCTGAAGACACAGGCCTTTATTGCCTCCATGAACAACAGTGAGCAAGGTCGACGCGAGATCCTCCGCAATCTGTTCCCTGACGATCTTGGACTGAAGCTCCTGGCAAGAAGACCGGGAAACAAACAACTTGCGCCGAGCGAAACCGACTTTGTGAAGCGGGCATGGTCACGACGTGACATTCTTCTGGCCGAAATAGATAATCCTGAGTCAGTCAGAACCTTGCCAGAAAGATACCGCTGGGAAGATTTCTTGAGAGATTTGAGTTCTTACGTTAGCAAACATTATGACTCTACAACCACTCAGGTAAGTGACTGCCCTCTCTTCAGTTCCATTCTGTGGGCTAAAATATTCACACTACTAGTGTAAAAAGGCAAGCAAAGGTCCCTCTGTAGAGAGCGGAGATGCTCCCTCACAGGCAGCGAATCCACCCCCCGAATCACGTAATATGCCTCTTGAAACACAATTCTCTATAACCCCTAATCCTCCCGAGGCCCCCATCGATCGTAGTGCTGGGCGAGTCGATCTTGTTGCAAGAGCTGCTCGTGCAGCGCAAATTGCCCTCCAGGGACAAGGGTTCCGACATACGCCTCGGCCAGTGAGCAACCCGAACCCACAGGCGCCACAACAACCACAGCAACCTCAGCAACCGTTCAACCCAACTCCGCCCCATGTGCAGCATCAGCCAGTAACAGCCGCTCAACCGACCTTTCACTACACAACTGCTTCGCCGACACCCCCTCCTCCCCCGCAGCCGACGCAGGTCACCTTCCATCAGAACCAGTTTCATTTCCAACAGTATAATCCTCAGGCCGCATCCGCCTCCTCCAGAGCCAATGCCGCCGCGAATTATGGGTATATGCCTGGAATTCCACATTATTCCCAGTCCCAACCCACCCAGATTCTGTATGAGCGAGCAAGGATGGCGACAACCGCGAAATCATCTCCCACAAGCCGCCGAGCCGGGCTTCCTAGTCAGCGGCGTCCTTGGACCACTGAGGAAGAAAATGCATTGATGGCAGGACTTGATCGGGTGAAAGGCCCTCATTGGAGTCAAATTCTTGCCATGTTTGGGCCAGGGGGCACAATAAATGAAGCATTGAAAGATCGCAACCAGGTCCAGCTCAAGGACAAAGCACGCAATTTGAAATTGTTCTTTTTGAAAAGTGGGATTGAAGTGCCTTATTATCTAAAGTTCGTCACTGGAGAGCTCAAGACCCGTGCGCCAGCACAAGCCGCTAAGCAAGAAGCGAGAGAGCGAGAGCGGAGAAGAGGAGAAGAAGATAAAGCGCATGTGGAAGGACTAGAGGGTATGATGGCCCTTGCAGGGGCCCATCCTCCACATAACCAGGGCGAGGCTGCTGCAACACCTATGAATATAGCTACTCCACCGGCTTATCCTCAGACTCAAGAACAGCAGCAAGCGACACTTGACCAGACCACTGAACAAGCCTTAATTCAGAGACTCACACAGGAAACCAAAGCCGAGAGCTTGCAACCGCCTCCACAGCAAGGTCCAGTCGATCCGTCCCTGCAACATCGGGTTTAAAACAGTTGATTTTCCAGTTTTCTACCTCGCATTAACTCTTGGGAGAACAGATATTTGTATTTCTAGTTATTTATTATCTTCTTTTTCGAAATTTTGGGCAGGCAGGGTTTGTTCTAAATTTTATTTTATGCAACAGGTTGGGATGGTGGCAGCGTGGAGTTCGGGGAAGCTTTTAAGGGCATTGCTTCAAGGCTTGCAGAGTAGTCCGAGATACGTTGCGGTTTTACATACAGTTTGGAAATAGAGGAGGAGGAGAATGAGGAGAAAATACCATTCTACTTGGATATTCTTTCAACAGGATTTGGGTGAGCTTTTAACCTTGGTGGAGCTCTTAACGTTAAGCCTGTCTCGTATATTATCACCCAGAAAGGCCTTTAGAAAATTCATCTCGACCCAAGACTTGGATCCAAGGCAGCGACCACAAGAGGCATAGTTGCTGAGTCGTCGACCGACCTGAGCAATATCCGTTAATCCATTTGATACCTATACACTCCTGGCAGCATTTTTCTGGTGACGATTTCTCTCCGGCACTTTACGCCTGCCCGAAAACCCGCCGTTGATAATCACTGATCTCACTGTGAAATCCATCAAATCTATCCCTAGCAGTGATATTCTGAAGAGGCCGTATTGAGTATTACAGAATCCCGTTTTCGACCCATCCCATCCCATCGCATTTTGCCTCCATTGTTCAGTGACTTGAAACATATAATAGCATGGCCGAATCAAAATCGCCGCCTTCCTCAGGCCAACAAACTGACGTCGCACAACAACCATCACACCCGGAACCACAGACTCAGGCGATACCAGAGTCGTCAGAGGCTCCTTCAGGATCTGCCACCCCAGCAAATAATCAACAGGTCACCGCAGAAGCAGCAGAGACTGCATCGGCACCACCATCGCTGCCGCAACCGTCACAGCCACAGCAGCCGCAGGAGCAGCAAAATCCCGTGCCTCAGGCATCAGAACCCGCGACAACACCAGACACAACCGGGTTGACACGACATGCTTCGGCTGGTGATGATGTTGAGATGAGCACGGATCCTAACGACAGTACACCGCACCAGCACCAGCACCAGCAACAACACCAGCAGCAGCAGCAGGAAGACGTAGTCATGGGCGGAACAGAGACTGCCACCGGCTCTAGTGGCAGCGGTGGAGGGAACAACAATGCAGCGGCAAATGGAGCAACTGCCGGTGCGACTGCAACGTTGGAGGCTAATGGCCTTGGAGGGAATATGCTGAATGGAATAGATTCGATCGCACCGCCGACTAAAAAGCATACTAGCCTACGGGAGTTCCTGGGACAGATGGATGAATACGCTCCTATCGTACGTCTTATTGATACCCTAAGCTTTCTTAAGAGGGTGATGATTTTAATTCTGCGTTCTTCATCTACATGCTAACTTGAGTGCTCTCTCATCCTTTTAGATTCCCGACGCCGTAACAGCTCACTATCTCACTATCGCCGGTCTCCCACCTCCCGGCAACGGGCCCAACCAAACCCCACCCCATCTCGCCCGCCTCCTCGCCCTCGCAACTCAGAAATTCATCGCCGACATTGCTGCAGATGCATACCAATATTCTCGCATCAGAGCATCCAATAGCTCCTCATCAAATAACCCCATGGGCGCAATCAACGTGACTGCAGGCCTCAACGTGGCTGCTGGTCAGGGCGGCAATGTTGCTGGAGGCAGCGGACAAGGCGGATCGGGTGGTGGAGAGCAGCAAGGCAAGGGAAAGAGCGGCGCAGCGGGTTTGCACCTGGGAGTTCAGAGAGCTGGTTTTGGCGGTGGTGGACAGGGAGGCGGACAGGGGAAGACCGTGCTTACGATGGAAGACCTCGGTATGGCGGTCGGAGAGTACGGGGTGAGTGTGAAGAGAGGGGAGTTCTATCGATGAGTCTGGCTGGAGGGGAGAGAGGAGCGTGGATACGTGTTGGTTTTATTCGAGTTCCTTGCTCTTTCGGGGTGGTTTATGGCGTGCGGACGGATCTAGCATGGGCTAATGATTCTCCTTGTCCATTTCTATATTTCGTTCTGGTGGGTCGGGGAGTCTGACATGGAAACGGCGTTATTGCTGGCGTTGAAAAGGAAGTTAAGGCTAGTACTTGGCCACTGGAATATCCACGGTCTCCTTTTTATTTGGCCGATCTACTTTAATTTGCATATTATATGAAGACATGTATTATACACCAGGAAATGCATGCGTTGGAATCTCTCCATTCCACGATAACGTACGCCAGATATCAATACAATTCCACGAACATATTCCGTACAATAAGGGGTCCATTTTCTATAATACATTTAATCCCAGACAAATCTGCCATAAACTCCATGCGATGGCGCAAAGAGCAACCCTAGCGGGTATATCATCAATATATCCATCCAAGGAAAAATTCAGTTCCGCTCTCGCGGTCGCTCTTCCAAAAGAAGGAACCCAACGTCAAGCTTTCTCGTTTGTGATAAGACGCCTGGCAAAACACAACGAACGATCTAACCACCAACCAACAGCTAAAAAAGGGGTGGGGAGGAAAATCAAGAATTTTTCGAAGGTTGATGCAAGAATCTCTTCCTCGTCCTATAGTCGTCCCAGTCTATATCAGCACCAGGTGCAAGCATCAAACGAAAGAGCGTACAGAATGGGATAGGAGGAAAACTCACGGCACAAACTCCCCCAGCTTCCTCCCCACCATCTCTTCCGTTATAAACACATCGACATGGTCCTTGCCATTATGCACCGCGAACCTTAGACCCACGAAATTAGGCAGGATGGTGGCGGACCGCGCATTCGTCTTGATGGCGGGTGTGCCTGGTGGTGGAGGTATAGTGCGCGGGAGAGGAAGACTACGGATATAATGTTTCTCGAGTCAGTATTAAAGCATTGCGGGGGGAACTTTTTTTTCCGTTGTGTATGGCACAGATTAGGAGAAAAGAAATCCGGCCCAGAGGATGGGGATGCGATTGCGAGTGCGAGAAGTTTCGGGGGGAAGAATTGGGTGGAGAGAACGTACGGGACGATATTCGGTCCTGGGTGACATGTTGGCGTTAGCAAAACCACAGTAGAACAAGGAATATAGTAAAGAAATATGCTGTACCTTTCCATACGGACCGTTTGCAAAGAGCGCGTGTGAAGAACATCTTGTACTGTTTCCTGACCGCCGTCGCTGCGTCCGAACGAGCTCGACGTGATAAACTCCGCTGCGGTCAAAATCAATGGGCTCCGAGTGTAGATCACGTGACCTTGAGCTTGGTGGCTCGACTGCCGGCTGGAATTGTTATGGAGTATTCAGAAGGATTATGCACACACATAGGTTAAGTGGTTGAAGAATACTGGTATATTAATAGCTCAACGTCCCTCGTTCACTACATAAATGCTGAATGTAAAATATACTGCTTTTGTTGATTTCTAGAGGGGTTAACCCTCCGCCAGCTCCTCCAGTATCTGAGCTAGGCTACGGAGACCTTGAAGAGCATTCTCATCGGGGCCTTGCCCAGGAGTCCATTGCGCGTGCGCAAAATCTATTAGACGGGCATCGTGTACCTTCTTAGGTTCTTCTTCATCCTCGTCGAGTTCTCCAAAGCTGGCAATATCCTCGGGTCCAATCTCTATGTTGATCGTGCTCTGAGCCGCTAATTTCTGTGCAGCTTGAGGATCTAGATCTGCCATTGAAGCTAAGTCCATGATTCCATCACCTTCCTCTCCAGCTTCAGTGCCGATCTCCGAAGAGCCTTCGGCCTTCTTCTTGTCCTCTTCAACCAGGGCTTGTTCGAGGGATTTGGCGCTTCCCTCGTAGACAAGGAGGACACTAGCAGAGTACATCCGGCTCTCTTCATTTTCAAGCATGGACTGCATGCCTCGGATTTCCAACGCCAATCTTTTAGCAATTATTTTGGAGTAATCTGTGCCTTCGGTTTTGGCACTGCCAAGGAAAGCTTTAATTCCTTGCTTCACGTTCTGTTTGTTGAACGCTCGGCCATAGTACTTGTCGTAGCGTCTATACCCAGCAGACTCGGCGATATTCACTTTTTCTTTAACTTCATCGTCAATACTGGACGGAATATGGTTGTGTACCGGGACGAGCGTGTCTTCTTCTTCACTCGGATAGTCATTTTCTCCCCCAATCCAGACTTTCATCCCAGCAATACGGAATCCCAAGCTTGAACTAGTGGTTTGCTTCGACACCTCGTCTAACTTTGCTCTTTTGCTTGGGGTCGCATCGTCAGCCCACAGCCTGGCACCGAGTTTCACGTCCAGTACACAGGGTCTTTTGAAGCCACTGGCGATGTTTTCTAGTACAATAGAGAGACCAGTGTCCAGCTTGCGGCCACCAGAGGGCACCCACTCCGGTTCCGGCTGTGACGTTGATTTGGTTATGGAAATAGCTTTGGGGTGTTGAGACAATTCGGGAGTCAGAGGAGTGTCAGTGCCAGATGCTTCCGTGGACGTAAGAGCAATGGATGTCTCGCCAATCTGCTGTACAGGCAAATTGAGAGACTCTTGAGGTGCAGCGGTCAGTGTGCCCATGAACGTTGGGATATAGCGGAGAAATTCAAGGTGGCTGGCGCAAGATTCGTAGAATGTAATCTCGTGTTGGGTGCAGGGTTTGGCGATAAGGGAGCCGTCGGCATGGCAAAGAACGCCGTCACTAAACACCATTGAAATTAGCTTGAGATATCCTAAGGTGTTTAGGGGTATCTAGCGGTGGTTCCCGAGGCGTAGACATTCGTGGGAGGTCACTTACTGTCCAGCGGCGGCATGATCAAAAGCAATGAAGCTGTCTTCATGCAGCCTCGCGGCCTTCTGGCCTCTGGGGTTTGACGATTCCGACATTATACGGCGGCTGCTATACAGCGGATACCCGGGAGGATGAGTGGGAGTGTATGCGTGGACTGTTGGGGAGTGCGAGCGTGCAGGGACAGCGAGGCGGCGGGAGGCAGCGAAGGGGGGTTTGTACGTGACATGTTGTCCGTTACAGATAAAGCAGCCGCGGACCCACAACGTTGCGGGTGCTTAAAAGTCTAACAGGCAAGCGAGGCAGTCACGACTCACTTGGGCGAAGCCGGGGAACTGGGAAGGCACACAGGGGTGTTTCTGTGCGAGGCGTGCGTGAGTGGTGGTTGCCGTAATCTGCATGCAGCGAGAAGATCCGGTTCGGGAAGCCGTAGCTTACTTAGCCTTTATTAGTTATGCGTAACTTACGGAGTACAGAAGACAAAAACAGCCCCGAAGCGGCGGTGCAGGAGCTCACTTCAATGAATGAAGCAACATCTCGGCTAGGCTATGCCGGATCGAGTAGGTAGACACCAGCCACACCAGCCAACGTGTCATTATCTTATCAATCTTATCAATATCTTCTGCCGTTGGCTGCCCTGTCGCCGTGTGGAGGAAGAGATCACGGACAAAAAATAAAAGCTCACAGAGAAGCCATCCCACTCTGTAGTTACAAGTTATGGGGCCAAATAGGTCTAATTATTTGGTTTATTTCTTTATCATTTGAGATTCATGCTACAACGTCGCCAATGATGGCTATGCCTGTGGGTAATAGTTTCACGGGGCACTGCAGCTCATTATACCATGCAGCAATCGATCATCCAGACCGGTAAAGTCATAAAAAAAGGGGCTTGCATAGTTAGTTGGTTGGTTGATTGAAGGATCAGCTACAATTCTAACCTACCGTGAAGCATTCTGTCAAGTTTGTCTCCATTCACTTTTGTCCTTTCAACAAGGAGGGAAGATGACTCTTGTAGAGTGAAGCCTTGAACCCAGAATGCTCTGAATCAGTGCATCGACGCCTATTTCCTCTCTCTCTCTCTCTCTCTCTCTGTGTGTGTGTGGGGTGAAGCCTCATGCCTTCACTTCACCCTTCTTATTCTCTCTTTGTTTGACCATCCCGCAACTGCAGCTTACTAAATCTCTTTCTCTTCTCACAACGAGCCATTCTCTCACATTCCAAACTTTGCATCCCAGCACATTTTCTGTAACCAGTCTTCAAGTTTGGTTGGTGTCGTCATTATGGCATCTGAATCTCCTTCTGGCAGCCCATCTATCGCAGAGACACTGTCTACTGCTGCGCCTATTGACTTGCCGTATCGCCCAAAACCGGGAGCCTCATTGGATCAACCTGCAGCTCTGAATGGGCCCAAAAGTGAGCCTGAGAATGATGCAGACGATGAGGAGGACGCCGGTGCGGGAGGTGAAGTCGCAGAGATGAAAAGGAAAAAGAAGAAAAAGAAAAGAAAGCCGGGAAAGTCTAAGGTCGAATATCGGGTTGTTCTATTTGTTGACTACAAAGCCTGACTTTCCGGTATAGAAGAAACCCTCTGGGTATGAAGAATACTATGTCGATACTCCGATGACACCAGCTGAATATGAGGAGGAGAAGAAATTATATGATGAGTGTGTTTTGCTAGGACTCCCTAAAGATGATATTAAATTACTGACAGAGCCATATTCAAGGTCCTTTTCCGCAATTCAGTGAGTCTCCCCTCTCTGCTGTTCACCATAGACATAGGGGTCTAATACCCTGCTAGTCGTCTTGAAACCTGCATCCAGCGCTATGAGACCAAACGTCGAATGAACTCGGAGCGCAGAGATATCTTCTTGAAATATCTGTCATATGGAGGCGTCAATGTCGGTCCAAAAATGTTCGAAGGAAATGATCAAAAAGATCTTCAGCGTCTAGACTCGGAGGATATAGTCACGGCCACAGCCCAGACAAACATTCCTGAGGATCGTGCTCACTGGGATGTCGATTTTGAAGCCGTTGCCAAGGGATTCCTGTATGTTATTCGTTTCTACGTTATCCTGTGTCGCTTCAACTTAGCTTTTGCTAACCGTATCATCAGCTCCTCCGTCATCCCGCGATTCATCGGCCTTGAGACCGAACAACAAGTTGATCTAGTGACGAGCACGATCAAGAACTTTCTCAATTATGTTATATACCATGACGTCTGCCCCGAACATAGAGAAAACATCATGGCTGCACGCACAATCTGCGATAAAGCGAAGGACCAGCTCTGGAAAGCCCAACAGGCGAATACAGTCGCGCCGGGGGACTTCAACATGGCCTGCTCTACCTTGTTCGGTGGTTCATACTTTGGCGCCTACACAGGTGACCATGAATGGAGCAAAGGCCTAGAATCCGCCGGCATGCCTGGAATGACGGCACGAAAAGTTGTCAAGTTTGGCATCGCGGGTGCCGGCACCTACGAACAAGCAGAGCGTTTCCGCGACCTTGTGCACGCCAATAGAATCTCAGCAAAGCTTGTTCATGAAGATGGATTCGAAATATTATCGATTACCCCGGCCAGTCCAGAAATCAAACAGTTTTACCGTGAGTACGCACCGGATCTTAACCCACTTGCAAAAATGCGAGCTCGTGCATGGCGTAATCCGGAGCTACCAGCAGAAGACCTTCCAAAGGGAGAGTCTCCAAAGTATTTGTCTGAAGATGGATCTGGAAATCCGGCTGAGTTTGAGTTTTTCATCGAGGACAACCTTCTCCAGTTTTATTTCGTGGGCATGAAAATTGAGGCGCATGTGCGTGAGCTTAATAGTGGCATTCATTACTTTGACAATGTCTTTGCGATGTACTGTGCGTTTCATACCGTCTTACCAAACGAAGCTATGATGGGGTGGAAAGAACCAAAAGATATCCGGCCTGATCACCTCTGCTGGGAGGCGCCCTGTGATTCTAAGGAAGATAGGGAAGAAACTGCGGTAGCGGAGGATGAAGTGGAATAATGGGGCAACATTATTCCTGTGTCACTCACCTCATGTGGTTTCGATGAATGCTCCGGATATCGAGGAAGAGAGTCACCGGGAAAGAGAACATTCGAATTGCAGATGGCTTAAAACTTGAGTCATTTAGCCTATCGGTACGTCGTACTTAATACATACATCGGTATTATCAATCCTTTATGTATGCACCAGAATCATAAAGTGAATCAGTTTCTATTGAACTTGGTTCCATACGTTATTATCCTTTATCCTTTCTTTTTTTATTTTTTGCTTGCTTGTTAAGCACGCGGCCAAAATAACCATGGATTACGGCCTCAAGAGAAGTTTGCCGGTCGTTTTTCGGCCTTCAAGATCCTATTAATGCCGTTAGTCTTAGTTCATAGATTGCAAAACAAAACCGACTTGCACATACAATATGTGCTTGAGCAGCCTGCTCCAAGGGGTAGATCTTGTGAAGTCTAGTTTTCAACTTTCCGGATTTGACCATGTTGAAAAGCTCATTCGTATAATAGTCGAATTCCTCCTGGGTAGCGATGTAGCCGAATAGAGAGGTGCGGAGAACCTTGATATTCTTTGCAGAGAGGAGCCTGGGAGAAAAAGTCAGCGTGCCTCCAAGAGGATGAACATACAACAAAACGCCTTGGACGTACTGGATATTTAATGGAGGAACAGGGCCACTCGCATTGCCAAAGAACACCATGGTTCCCTTGCGCTTAACGGCTTTGATGCTGTCCTCCCACGTATCCTTGCCCACCGAATCATAAACCGCCGCGACACCCTCACCACCAGTGACCTCCATGACTTTCCCAAGCCAATTAGCTCCCTCGGGAGACTTATAGTCGATCACCACATCCGCACCCAAGCTCTTCACCAGCTCCGCTTTCTCCGGCCCGCCCGCCGTCCCAATGACCTTGGCCCCAATATCCTTCAGCATCTGCGTCATGAGAAATCCCGCACCCCCCGCCGCAGCATGCACCAAGATCCAATCACCCTTCTGCACAGGATACGCCTCCTTCACCAACGAAAGCGTTGTGATCCCGCTCAACAACACAGAGAGCGCCTGCTCATCGGAGATTCCCTCAGGGATCCTCACCACCCTCTTCTCCGCCTGAGCCACGGAGTACTCTGCATAGCCACCTGTGTTCAGCCAGGCAACGCGATCGCCGACCTTGAAGCCCTGCGGGTTGGGTCCGGAACCGAGCGCCACGATGATCCCTGCTCCTTCGCGGCCGAGTATTTCGGGCTTGGGGGACTGGTAGAGCCCCGTGCGGAAGTATGTGTCAATGTAGTTTACGCCGGAGAGATTGTTTTTGATCAGGACTTCGCCTGGGCCAGGGGTGGGGACGGGCAGGGAGGTGTGGTATTCAAGGACTTCAGGCCCGCCCGTGCGGGAGATTTGAATGGCTGCTTGGGTGGTGGGGATGGTGATTCCGGCCATGGTGCGAAGGTATCTAGATGCTTGGAGAAAGGATCCGGTCGTGGAGGGTGTTGGTGTTGCCCTGGGACAGATGCGGGAGAGCAGAGGGTTTTGTAGTCGCAGGATAGGCCCCGCTCGATATGACAAATGGAGAATTGATGTCATGGTTGTCTACTTGCATCGGGATTGTGGAAGCGGGACGCACCGTTCCCAAGTTATAGATTACTGCGGGAGAGGTGGTTTGCATCGTGGAGTTTGGATGGCGGTGTTAGCAACTCGTCCGGGAGGTGTTTTAACAATCACATCCCCGCGGGGGTTTGCGCCCTTTGACTGCAGTCGATTCGAAATCATGGTGATCAAAACAAGTTTGCCAGTGGAGGCCAGGCATAATAGACTTCGTCGTGGCCGGGAAGACGAGGAAAGTTCGGCGGTAGTTTGTTGAACCGGCAGGCTGCATTTGTAAGCGGCGTGCGGGATCCTTGGCGGCCGTCTCTTCTTGGTTAGGCGTACGGGGAGCTTAACCGGGGGCAGCTTCGCCCCTGCAGCACAGGGGTTGCTTAGGCGCCGTCATTAGGGCCCAGGGAACCCTCGTTCGGCTTCAAATCGCCGTTCCCATCACGAAAGATCATGATGAGCAAAAAAAAGAGAGGGGGGGAAGAAAAGAAAAGAAAAAGAAACAAATGTTAAAGTCGAAACTGCTGCATTGCCAGCATCGCTGGGGAATTTCTCATTCTGGTCTCATCTCTCAATTGCTATCTTCGACGTTGCTTGGTATCGGTGCTGGCAGGTATGCACTACCTTGCTGTTAAGAGACTAAAAATAACGTTCCACTGAAAGCATCCACAGCGTGCGGGATTCTCAATGAGGATCAACGTGGAGGTGCCTTTTAAGGCCGTTTAGTTATACCAGTGTCGCTCAACATCTCCGCCCAAATTCCGGATTTCCTCCCGCATGCTCAGGCATGATGCGACCCAACTAGCAAAGCGACTTTGTTCTAGTGGTTGAGAAGAGAGAAATGTGAACTCTGCGTCCATGATCGTTTTGCAGCCTAATTCAACCATCGCGACGGAAAACGCGATCCAGGGAACTAGAGTTTAATTGCCCAATCGGTTGAGAAAGGTCCGCAACACATGCATCAGGACAACACCAGCTTGATCGCGAGAGCTGCTAGTAGAGGGTTGTGAAACCATACCTAGGACTGGAAACCCATATTTCCGCAGCGGTCAAGTTCCACAGGACAACGCAAGGTGGTGTGCGCCAGGACATCTGATGCAGAAAGCAATATTCTCCTGCCGGCCAAAGGTATTGGGATCGGTGCTCGGGTATGGAAGTCCATACATACAACTGAACGTATCTCTCACGGCAACGGCAGCTCACCCAACTTAGGGCAGCCTTTGGCGTCCACCCATAAGTGAAAGACAGGTGTTTCCAGGCCATCGGTCTTGCAAGACGTGCATCAGTGCATCAGCAAGCCATGACTGCCCTTGAGAAGCCAGCATTTTGTGCTTAGTATGCGCACACTCGATACTACCCACTCCTATGGCCGCAAGAACAATCGCAGGCACCCATACAATACATGTGGTCCTGGTGCTCTGTCACTAGCTCTGTGTAGATTTGGCAGACAAGACTCGCTGGCGCAGGCTTGTTTCAGGCGCGGGGTTTGAATTGCGAAAGGGTTTCATCGGCAATATCGAATCCATCCATCCAAGGGTGCCAGGCAGAAAACTCCGAATTGTCTGTCTTCTCCTCCATCTGCCGAGGGTGGCATGCTGACCATGACCATCGAGTTACAAAACCGTTGTAAGGGGGACTCGGGCGAGCAGCAACGTGGAGTGAGGGCCTATCGTAATGCCATTAGGTGGTAAAGAAGGGCAATCCTCGGTAAAAACTCGAGATGAATGACGACTCCACGTCTCGTGGTAGAAGAGACATACGCATTCTTAGGTGACATCACAAGTGGATGCGGCATCCTTTCAAAAGAATGCCTCGATATGATCAGAAGCCTAGTTAGGATTCGATCCCGTCCTCGGTTGTTGAGAGGGCTCTTCCTTGCAACCAGATCATGGGATTGCCAGGAGCCAAGCGGAACTAGTCAGTGTGGGATAGAAAAGGGTTCTCTGTCTGCTATTGTAATGCTCGATCGCATAAGAACTCTTCCCATCGAACGGCCATCTATCGTCCGGATTGGATAGACCATGCAAGCACAGCAGAAAAAGCAGCCATGAGCTGAGTGTTTATGGTCATTGCAGCTCGTGGAGAAGCTTGCTCTCGGGAAATGAATAACTCGCTGGGGAATCTGCAGCCTTACGCCCCGTTGACGTGCCCAAGCGATATTGGGCACGCAAAGCACCAACCAGCTGTCAGGCACCGCCAGTCCAGGGATCATCGCTGGATGCCGACTACCTCGCGCGCTCCTTCAAAGGTGGACTTCTCCAAGAACCACATGCAGGCATGACGTCGTGGTTGCGCCTCTGCTGGGCGATCCACTCCAGCGAAGGAGTTTGAAACAATCACTGGATTGTTTCGTCCCCGTCGAGGTGGGCAAAATGCACGAGCAGTGGGCTTTTGTCGTCATCGGGCAAATTGAAGCGCCAGCAGAGGACGAAAGTGTGTCGCATCTGTGCTGCCACCTTCAGGCCAAATCCATCGTGGTTATCCACATCGCTGCCCACGGCTGGTGAGGCGAGGAAGCATTGAATTTTTTTTCTCCTTACCCACCCTCCAGCCTCCGCAGATTGCTGCAGATGGGTTTCAAATTCACGTTCCACAACGTCCAACCAATTTTGTGACCCATGCCGCATCAAGGAAACGGGCGCTGAAATTGGTTTGGTGCTTTGGCTTCATGATCCCGGCTTCATCCAATGAATAACCACAAGGCAAGCGCCTGCAGCCAATCCAGAGAAACGAAGCCAAAAGATCAAGAGTTTTTTCTGCGTTGCCAAGTCACAATGTCGCCTGCAAGTCGATATTGCGCCTGTATGTGAGTATGTATGTTCTCTGCACCTTGAGTGACGCTTCTCTACATTGGCCGAGGAACGGCACTCTGGCACGCTCAGAAACCCAATGGCTCCAATTGTCATTTACTGCCTGAATATCCGCCTCTGTGGGGATGAGGTTATTCTTCCTTTCCCGCCACAATTCCCTTTTCCTCTGCTTAAATACAAGTGATCGTTCCCGCCGGTCACCTCTTTCTCTTCTCCCTCCCCGAACCTACACAATGCTAAAATAACCAAGAAGATCACCGTTGGAAATTATATGGTTGAAGCCCCGGACTGAACGCCTTTCCCTTGGATCCTGATTTCCGTTCGCCTGCATTGCCCGCGACCACCCTGTGCTGCCGGAGCCGACCCCTAGGATATGTCTGTTTTGAAGAGATTGTTACGGGAAAATCTATCATGGATGCGTTCTAGCAGCTAATATTTCCCGGACGTTGCGCTGAGCATTTTTATTTTCTTTTTTTGCCGGACGGAATTGCCTTTCTTCCTACTGTTTCCATCAAACACCTTGCTGTTCTACGATGCCTTCCACAGTGTCCGTTGCGCGGAGCTGGCCTCCTGCGCCTATTGTTGAAGACGAGGCAGAATCGGTTCTCCATGAGATTTTTGAGGATGGCTCTGCTGTGAACAGAGATGATGTTTCCATAGTATCCCGAGGATCTGTTGATCAGTATCCCATTCTTGTTCCTGTGGAGGTGCAGGAACCCTTCCCGGCGTTGGCCGACTCAAATGGGAATCACACTTGGAATGTCAAAGCAAGTCATACAACGCTGAATGCCGGGTCTGCAGCCCCTCGTTCTGGCTCTCTGAGTCGCGCGTCTTCTATTTCTGGACCACACTCAACCAAGAAGAAGACGAACAAGGTCCGCTTTGCGGAGCCGGTTCATGATTGCCACAAGCCCAAAGTCCAGCCTGGTTGGAACCCATTACCTTTAGAACTCCTCGGATCTATGACTAATGTTCTTGAAGGAGTCGAGTATCTTCCAGTGCCAGCGAGTTATGCCAGAGAATCTTCTGGCGCACAGGATCATGACACCTACCAATGTCGCCCCTCTCGCTCCGAGGTGGATCAACTCACTCGTAACTCTCGACGATACTCGCAACGGCCTGCCGAAAACTATAACAATCTTGACGATGTCCGGCAATCTACCCGACGGTTAAGCTGGAACACATGGGAGGAGGAGGACCAGGATGGTAATGTTTCCTGGATCAAGGAGAGAAAATACGAATGGCACAGTGATGATGAAATCTCCTCTTACCGCGGGACCCATTACAAGCACTGGAGAGAATCTAGCCGGATTGTTACTGAGAGAATATCGACTGAGGTCTCGCCAGTCAGATCATCCTCACAACGATATATTGATGCCCCTGACCGCTCTCGAGACCGGGGTGCGATCAACGGTTCCAACGAGAGTGTTGCCAGTTCTACCGGTCGTCGAACTTCGACAATGAATGGGGCTGCTGCTTCAGCGGCTAAATACAATAACGTTGTATACTCTCAGAGAGGCAGAACAGGAAAAGATTCGTCGCGGAGAGAACATTCTCGGCCTCCAACTTCTCGCGGTGGCTCGGAAGCATCTTCGGCGCGGCGAGGTCACTCAGTTTATCCTCAAGCATCCTCAAACTATGATGATGTCCGTGCGCCACAATCGCACGTATCCTCCCGGTCTCCTGCAGCCATTTCTGGCACAGTTTCTCGGCCTCGAAGCTCAAGCGATGGAATCCGACGCCCAGTAGATAGCCCGAAATTCTCTCTCTCACCTTGCCCAAGGTCGATTCCAATGGCTGGCTACCGCGAGTGGTACACGTTTATTGGCCTGACCCATCTTGATATCTGCCCTTCATGCGCGAGTCAAATTGAAGCAACTCGCTTCCGTGATTTGTTTATTCCCAGTCTTCCAAAGCCCGCCGATGCAAAAATCCGGTGCTCTTTCAGCCAGCCATGGGCTCGACTAGCATTTGTTCAGACAATGAAACTCGGACTCAATCATCTAGAGTTGTTATACCAAATTACTCGACCTCCAATCGGCGGCCAGCCTTGCACCGGCCGAGTACCTTCGCTACAATCTTGGTATCGCGTCTCAGATCTCGAGACGGGACGAACCATCTCAGACTTCAACGCATGCTCAGCCTGTTTCCGTAACCTATCGATCCTCATGCCATCCCTCCGCGATTCATTCCGACCCGGTCCCATCGGACAAGAACGTATCTGCGACCTTCGCACCGACAGCACTCGATTTATCCAGTATCTCGACCTGTTCGACGCCGCTGTGACACGCAGCTTCCATGATCCGCACCGCTACATCGACCTACGCGACTTCATCCGCTACGCCAAGCGCAAGAACAAGATGTACGACTGCCCACGAGACCATATCGTCGTTGGATCCTGGCATTATATCCCCGAACTCCCTGAATTTACCATCTGCGAAGACTGCTATGACGATGTGGTCTGGCCGATTGCCAACGGTCCCATCGCGAACAGGATCACTCGCACCCTGCAACGCCTCCCTGGCGGCGGAAAGCAGGCGAGTTGCTATCTGTATAGCCCACGTATGCGAGCCAAGTTTCGGGAAGCCGTGAAACTAGGCGATTTCGGGTCCCTGAAAGCTGCAGTGCTAAAACGCTATGGTGTGGAGACGAAGTTCCGTGAGAGGAAGAAGCTATTGCTCGAAGACGTTGCGAGGGGCTACGATCGCGACAGAGACTTGAGACTTAATGCTGAGGGTTGGAAGAGGAACGAGTAGATGGGAGAATTTCCAAGTTTACCGCCATTTGTCACGATTATGAATTGCGCGCTCTCTCTGGTCAGATTGTGCTGCGATGTATTTGGAGGGGCTTCACTATAAACATTTTCCAACGGTTGATCTTCAGGTTATTTTCTTTTCTTTTCACTCTCGTTTGGGTTCGGCCTTAATGTTGCCCTTGACAATACTGGTCTGTTTGCTGTCTGCATTTCAGGAGTTACTGCGTTTTATATCTCTGACTGTGTGTGGCTCGCATAGGTGTATTCGTATTCAACTATTTGTTTTGTCTCTTTTTTGGGTTTCATATCTATTCCCTGTCATTTTTATTTGTCTTTTTAAGGTGACATTGCTGTTTGTATTGCTGTCTTCATCTTTAACACCCTGTACTCTGTACACGTCACTCTTTTGATATATTATCACGAAATGGCTGTAATTCAGAGGTTGTGACGATATCTTAGGTAGAATGAGAATGTATAATAGGACTTTTTCCTGTGGGCCTAATAGATTCCTTGGTAGAATTTCATTTATTCGTCTTTCAAATGTTCTATTTATTATTCCTTCGAAATAGATGCATACCTTGTCCTGTTCATATAATCCTTCCCTAAACCTGGGTTTTTGTCCGGTGCCCTATTGTGCATAAGTATCATCTTCCACCCATCCAGATGCCCGCCAAATTCATTCTCTCGAAATGAAGTGAAATCATGGACTCTATCCGATCAATCCTACCACCTCACCAGGCCATTTTCTCCCCCAGATCATCGCCCTATTCGGCACCCTGCCACCGACTGGCGCTAGCAGCCTTAACTTACCACCTTGGCCCTTCTTCTCGTCGACATCTGCAATGTATATGAAACCCATAATACTCGCATCGCGGACCTCGTCCAATGACGCGTTGGGAGCAGCATTGGTGATTGCTAACAACGTATTCGCTAGGGACATTGGTGCTGGGGAAGGAAGATTTGTAAACGGAGTAGTGGAACTTGTAGAAGCGGATGGGAAACCTGTGGTGGCACTTGGGAGTTCGGATCGGAGGCCTGGGAGAAGGCCAGATGGGGGTTGAAGGGAGGTTGTGCCCGTGAGAGAGGTATTATGATCGTTTTCTTCATGTCCGCCGGGCAGGAATGAATCGAATTTTGATGGGTCGTATTCATCTTCTTCGCCTTCTGTGGCGATGGTGATGCTGTATATAGATAAGCTGTTAAAGTCGACCTGCGAGGTGTGTGGAGAAAGCGTCATCGTGGTGCCTGTGGTTGTGGAGGAGAGCGAGAGCGCTGAGGATGCAGTTGATGGTACAGGACTTCCAAAGAAGTACGACCGTATTTGAGATTCGCGAACATATTTCATGAATGTCGCATCACGGTCGACGCAACCGCCCGATTTGGTGAGTTTCACCACTGAGATTCGCTCATCAGAAGCAGCTGCTGTCGCTGACGTGGCGATTGGTTTGTTATCGTAGTTTTTGACCATGGTGCTGTAAAGGCGCTCTGAACCGATGACAAGGATGGTGGATACTAAAAGCGCCCTGTTAGCCGGTACCGTTTCGTGTGAAGCAAAAATAGGGGAGTAGCATTATCTTACTTGAGAATTCGGTCACAATATGATGTATAACGTCTTCAGAAGCACCTTTCCCTTGGCCAATGATGCCGGGCGTGTCAATAATGACACCAGCTTCCCTCGCATCCGAATCCTCTGCCATCCTGCCCGTCACAGCCAGTGCCAACCTGGATACAATCGCCTTATAGTAACTCCCATCCCCATCCAAGCAGGCCGGTAACCCATAAAAATACACCAGCGGCAGCTTCACGGGTATCGGACTAGGGCCAGACATCGGACTACTCCCCCACCCTTCTTCCACATCGATCATAGACCGAAACGCCGTCGCCGTCAACGCCCCAGGAACACTCAGCATGCCCTCCGACGGATCCAAATTCACAACCAAGGGCTGTCTCCCCATCTTCGTCGCATATCCCGTCAATATCTTCGCCAGACTCGTCTTCCCCGCATCTTCCGGTCCGAGGATGAGCACCCGTGGCCCATCTCTCCCGGCGGCTTTGGCATCATGCCTCATCGTCTCCAGCGCGAAGTGCACATTCGCATATTCGGCCATGGGCGTCTCTTCGGCGATGTATTCGACCTGACATCCCCCGTTCCCGGGGCCAGGAGGTACAGGCGCACTTCCCACAGGCCCAATGGGAACGGGGTCACCCGCCCCGACTTCCAGCGTACATCCGTGCCATGTGTATATTGCGGCTTTCGTTCCAGAGAAAGTGTAAGTTTGCGACGTAGCAAGTTCAGTGCCGAATAATTCTGCAGTGCCCGCGAGTAACTACACAGGCACCCCTCCAACAAAAAGGGCATCACTGTTAGCTTCTTTCGTAGCAAACTGAGCGGTTTGTCAGGCGTCGATGGAGCTCTCCCAGTAGGCCCAATTACTTTGAATCACGCCGGAAATCTTGACAGACAAAACGAAGAAAGAAAAGTATGGAAAGAAGGCGTGACGTTACCTTCACCCGGGTTGTATTCCCGAAAGCGACTTCAAATCTCCATTCCGATCCCTTGGGAAGACTGATCTGCGTCGGTTGCGGGGGAGCTCTTCGGGCTTCGATGGGCTGTTGTGAAAGCTCTAACCCGGGGAGAGACATTGCATTGCCCTCCACCACCTAACTGCCAGCGCAAAAGGTGTTTGTATAGGATTTATAATTGGATTTAAGGCAATGAGTCCATAAAGTAAGCTGCTGGCGGTCGTGTGTAAGGTTGATTTGGAACAATTGAGGTTGTCGTGCAGCTATCCGGAACAATGCTTGGGGTTCAGTTGCGGAGCAGCAGTCAGCTTGTGCCACACCTTTGACTACAGAAATATGCGACGAATATCAACCTTACTACACAGCTATGTGCTACAGATACCTATTTTTATTAATAGTTGAAGATACATTCTGGTATTCTGATCAATCATTCACGTTAATAACCTGAGTTTTCAATCTTTGCATTGCCCTCTCTCACACTCCTAACCTTTTTAATCAGATTGCCACACTGTCCCATAACTCAGTCAAACAAAGCTTTGCCAAACACTAGCTGACTTGAAAGTCACAAGCTCAAACAAAAGAGGGGGGGTGGTTCTGAAATTTGCGGCAGACTTCAAAACTCATGCCGTGTAAGCAACACGCGATAACAAAGGCAATTATCTCGGATGAAATCTTTCCCCTTTTGGTCCCAAAAGAAAATCGGAATTCAATTCACATGGAATAGTCCTGGGAAGAAGATAGGACCGAGCAATCAATGCGCAGGTCTAGCGCGTATTTCAGTCAAAATACTGACAGGATCGATTGATGAATGAAATCTCCACCACTCAGTAGATGCCGGGGGAACAAATCGAAGTGAAGCCGACACTCATACCACGCTGGGTTTATTAAGGGGGTTAATAAGATATTAAGGGATTAAGGAATGACGGGAAAATGTGATGGAGATGATGGTGCTTAGATTGAGAAGCAATAGAAGAGTCGACTGGAGAGAACGAGGGATAGCGAACGGGAAGAGTGGCCACATTTGTCGAGCTTCAGGCGAGTAGGGGGTCCTGGGACGAGATAAGCGCGGTCTTGGGGAACGTATTGGCAATAGATTCAGTGTGTACAGCACAGAGGTATGAATTGTTAGGGAGGGTTATGGGGAAAAAAAAAAAATAAAATAAAATGCTAGAGCGCAAAGGGATGAAAAATCAATTGACATGATATACAAGATTCCTAACAAAACACACTGCAGAATAAACCATTTCGAGTAAAGGAATATCACTGGCCTGGACACCTCGTCGAGACGATGGAAAGGCGGGTGATGGGCTAAATTGTAAGATATAAGCTGGAGAGCGGTCTCTGACTGCCTATCCTATCAAATGCTTCGTGTAGTGCGTACTTAGTGAGGCAACCAGCTGTTTCTGTTTAGCAATTTTGCTAAAAGAAATACGGAATTGTAGCGCTGTAGAGCAGTCATTAGCAATGCCTATTCTCAAGGGAAAAGATGGTCACCTACGCAATCGCCAATGTTGCTGTTACTCCGATAAGAGCCCGGTTTCGAACTCGCTCGCGTCTCAATCTCTCCTCGAGTAGTCTCGCCTTCTTAGCTGGTTGCGTCGGAATGTTTTCAGTATCTTCTTCGCCTTCTTCAATAGTTGCTTCCACTTTTCGCTTCCTGGAGGCCTTCGGGGACGGATTGCCAGTCCCTTCCTGCCCTTCCTGTAGTCTAACCGCTTCTTCGACCATTTCCTTCGCCTTTGCGATCATTTCCTCAGTGTCATTCGGCATGGGTAGTTCCGGCAGACCATCTGGCACTTCGACAGTAACATTTGTTCGTGATGTCTCCAAATCTTCCGTTGTATCGACAACTGTTTCCGACTCGACACTTACTTTAACATGGTCGGTGGATTTCTTTACCGGTATCGTCTCTCCTTCAGAATCGCCGACTTCTTGTTCTCCATTTACTTTAACGGGTTCTTCCTGCGCCTCTTCGGCATTCTCGCCGTCGCCTACAGCTTCCGTATGCGCAACAGAGGCAACAGCGTCAAGAGTGCTTTGCAAAGATTCACTAACTGCAGCAGCCGACGGTGTGCCAAGGTCCTTTTGAGCCCGCGTTTGCCTCTTGCGTGGAGTGGCTTTCTTAGCCGCAGATGACTTGGAGGGCGACGCCGATCGAAGCGTCCTGGTCCGAGCGGATGGTGGTGGCGCGAAGCTTGAGCTATCGATCTTCGAAATATCAAACTTGGGGGGTGGGTTGATTATGTGTTCAGGTTTCGAAGGGGATTTAGAAGAGCTCTGGGGCATATCTGCTGGATCCAATAACGCGCGAACCCAATGGCTCATCCTGTATTCTTCCGCGAGTTCCAGTGCTGCACAGATGTCGTTAGCTTCAGCATGGATTGGGGGGGCGAATGCATCGCATGATCATTCATACCGAGTTCGGGGGATATCCAGAGATTTCCAGCGACCTCATCCGGGCTGGTTTCGGGAAGGCCTCTCAGATATTCGCGCTCACTCTTTTCATCGGCTAATTTGGCCCAGGGAAAAGCAATCTTAAACATGCCTGTCGCGCTCACATAACCGTCCTTGCTGCGTCGCTATTATGTCAGACGAAACCAGTTAGTAAAAGCGCAATCATTGAGTGGACGTATAGCCTAAGTGCGCTGTCAAACGAAGACGGAAATGTCTCACCATCAAAAAGTATGTGTCGGGGTGCTGATTTGTTGGAGAAAGCGGGAAAATCTCCGAGCCCTTGAGGTTCTTAGGGAGCGGCGCTCGCAGGTGCGCATACTCGAATATTCCAAGATTCTCAGGCCTGGTGGCATTAGATGTCCCGACATGATCCGCACGAACGGTCAGGTTCGTCGACCCAAGACGACGACGCGCAAGAAGCTCCTCATCTGTAGAAAATCCAAAAAAAAAAAAAAAATGAAAGACGCGTTAGTCAAAAAACTACACTGAGGGCATCAGAAGAAGCGTGACACAATTGCCCCGGTCGCGGTCGAATCGCGGGCTGCAGCAGGAAAAAAGAAAACGAGAGGAGCGAATAAGAGTCGTACTTACACGATGGGGAGACATCTGGTTGAATCATAGGATTATGTTTCGCTGGAAGTGGTCGCATGGCGAAAACGGGTAGATTGTCACTATTCAAAGGCACACGATGACTTGCGCCAAAGGAAAGAGAGAAGAATTCTATCGATTGCGGATTAAGCGTGGGTTGGCAAGGGTGAATTTGTGCTGGGAGGGACGGGTGCCACGTTGCAGGCGCGTTCCTCAAATCGCAGGGAAGACTACAAAGATCCGGGTTTCGCGTGATGGAACACCCGCGCGATAAATAGCACCAAGAGATAAGATATGGTGACGCGATAGAGTTGCTTTGGGGCCAAGGCAGTGTGGGCCAACTGTCAGACGGGAAGGGGAAAGGGAAAAAAAACTTCTGAGGTAAAAGGGGGATGGTTGGGGGGTGAAGGAGAAGAGAGTGACGGTCAGCAAGAATCGTCGAGCCCGCGATGAGATCAACCAAGAGCCAAACAAGGGGGCCCTCAACAAGCCAGCGCCGCCAGCGGATTTGTCACGCTGGCGATTTAGCGGGCACTTATCCAATCAGGTCGGCCGCCGCCCTCGCCTCCTCCCAACAACCTCCCCAGAACTCGTGCTGAGTCATACAATTGGTGCCCCATCCGGCAATCGACGACTTCAACGCCTGGTTCTATGCGCAGGGCCAGTTCAGCCCGACGGCTTCAGACGATCGAGATGGCTACCTGTACTTTAGCTAAGTTCAAGTCCGGCATGTACGGTATCAATACACTGACACCCCACGAGCGCTGAAACTCGAACTGCGCGTTTTATTCTGCAGACACCGTCTCGGCGACCAGAGCTGCATGTCCATCCGCATTCCTCAGTGAGATGTACCATTGACCTAAACCTGCAAAATGCCATGACACCAGCCCATACAATGCTCATATGAATGACACTGTTTGTATATAAATACACGCGCCAGCCATATCTCGAAATCCCCGTCTAAAGTGACATCGACAGAGCCCAATTCGCTACCTTTAGTCAATCGTAACAGACGTGGTTAGAAGAGATACCAGCCAGGAAGACGAAGTGTAGTTTTCGGTTCTGGTGCAGATGGAAATACTTAAATTCAGCCATAGAGACTTATCATCCCCCATCCTGGTAACTCACCAGTCAGTACGGAGTACAAACATCAATGAAAGATATCACTGATAATCATGCTGTAAGGGTCCTCGCGGACATAGATATTTTATGTCCTATTGACCATAGTTATTAACCAGAGGGAAATTCTTAGGTAATCTACCTTTGGGAGTGCCCAGCGGACGCCAAATGGGCTGGCCACTCTTGAGGCCAGAACCCCCACCATAGCTTCGCAGCGCCCGCCAGTCACGACTCACCGGCCAGCGTATCCAGGCAGTTTTTCCCACCCAATTCGACAACGACCCACGACGCTTAGTTACCCCTCGTTTCAGCCAACAAACATTGCGACATCTCCCCAACTTTTCCTTTCATTTCTCCGGGACTTATTTTCATCTGCTCATCTCCTTGCCGCCTGTCATCCGGTCCATACGCTTCAAAAGTCTTATACATATATCCATAGAGCTTAATAAAAAGGCTCGCTTTGATCCTTGGTACGCGTCTCGAGATATTACGTGATCTCTCCCCGCATGTTCACCGACACCTGTACGAGCGTGCAGTCAAGCAAAACATTGAAGTTGGCAGCTGACAACACTCTTTGTTCTTGACAGGCTATTTTACCATGGCTGACCACGAGCATGACGATGACTTGAACCCAACCAAGACCGAGGGCTTTAAAGTTGGCGAGAAGAAGACAGTGGAAGAATATCAGAAGCTTGGTACGTCGGACCAGTACTTCCCCTTGTTTTGGAACGCAATGTCTACATTTTTTGCTGGAGATCAGCAGGGAATTTATATTTCTCCCGTTCGATTTTTTTCTTTCACATCATTGCGGAGTGTCCTTGGCGCAATGGACGGGAATAATATGTGGTTTGGGACCATCACTGTACACTGGCTTCGGCTACGTAGAACCACTCCACCTACCCCAATCAACCACTCATATACACCCTCCCGGCATCTAAGAAAACAATCAAATGCCAAAACCCACCATGCTAACCCACAATTCACTCCATCCAGACGCAAACGATGAATCTCTCAACCGCTGGAAAGCCTCCCTTGGACTTGGCAGCGGCACCGCCATCTCCGACCCCAACGACCCCCGCAAATGCATCATCAAATCTCTCGCTTTGGAGGTCGAAGGCAGACCAGATATCACAGTCGACCTCTCCGCACCTGGGTCAGTGGAGAAGCTAAAGGACAAGCCGTTCACCATCAAGGAAGGCTGCAAATTCCGAATGAAGGCGACGTTCGTTGTTCAGCATGAAGTGCTGAGCGGATTGAAGTATGTCCAGGTGGTTAAGAGAAAGGGCGTGAGAGTGAGCAAGGACCAAGAGATGCTTGTAAGTTTGGGTTTCGTCATCCCTTCGACGAGCGGCCTTTTTTTTTCCCTTTTTTTTGCCGTCGAAAATGCGTCTAGGTTAAAAGTGTATCTGACGATATACCCCAGGGGAGTTACGCTCCAAACACCACAGACAAGCCGGTCTATGAGAAGAAGTGTAAGTCCCTGAAGCAGTGTTCGTTTAAATACTCGGTTTTAACCGATACTCGCAGTCAACGAGGAACAAGCACCGTCGGGCATGCTTGCTCGGGGTCATTATACCGCCCTTTCTAGATTCGTGGATGACGACGACACCACCCATTTGCAGTTCGAATGGTCTTTCGATTTCGCCAAGGATTGGTAATTTTTCGTCGAGTAGCAATTTGGCGTTCATTCAGTTGAAATATCATAGCGAACACGCGTCCTCTTTGTTTCTCCGAACATTGGGATCCTTTGCCATACCCTGATATTCTTTTGTTCTTTCATTTAAATCCAAAGCTCCATCTGCATCGATCCTCATTCTTGAAACCGGTCTTTTACAGACAACTGGTGTATGCTCCCGTCTACCATCAGAAATATCGTGTTTGCTTTTTGTTACCAGAGACGAAGGGATCTATCCGATAACCAAAAGGAAGGAAACGGGAAGAGAATTAAAAAAAAAAAAAAAAAAAAAAAAAAAAAAAAGAGAAAACCTGTTCATGCTCATAGGTATCTTTGCACACATAACAAGAATCAAGGGTATCATAAAAAGTATTCAATTACAGGGCTCTGGCCATTCTTTCCCTGCTGAGCGTGTTGGTCGCCACGATGAATGTCGTTGTTTTCCGGCGCCGCATCGAAGATGTTAAAATAACGCTCGCCCGTGTCGCTGACTTCCAAGACGCTGGCCAAGTTCCCGCACCGGTAACAGTAATTTGGGGCGCTCCAGACGGTGCTCAGCCGGTCATCATAGAGGATCTGGTATCCCTCCTGACATAGCTGATGCGCTCGTAATATGTGGGACATATTATTGATCTCAAGAAATTTCTTCACCACCTGCGCACCGAAGGTGTATCCCGCACCACGCGGGGATAAAGAGAACTCATCGCGTTCCGTATCCGGGTCGGACCAGACGAGATCTGCCATGGGTCCTTCATGAGGGATCTCTCGAAACCGATCGATGATTTTGATCTGATCTATGGAGTGGATGGACGGGGAGAGGCCGCCATGCACGCAGAAGATCTGGTCGTTGATCACTACGCTGAGAGTAAGGAAGTCGAACATGTCGGTGAAGTAGTGCCAGACGTTGGCATTGCCGTACTTGCGGGCACATTCGGTATAGAAGCCATATGATTGGGTGACGCCGCGGGATTCATGGTTGCCGCGGATAAGATGGACGCGCTGGGGATAGCGCAGTTTGAGGCAGACGAGGAGGGAGATTGTTTCGACGCTGAAGAGGCCGCGGTCGACGTAGTCTCCTATAAATGAAGTGAAAGGGTGAACATCAGTTCAAATCCCCAATCTGGAGAGGAAAGGAGGTGTCTTCATACCGAGAAATAGGTAATTGGTATTAGGACAGAAGCCGCCAATCTTGAAAATCTCAATCAGGTCGTAGAACTGACCATGGATGTCACCGACCACGGTGACCGGAGCAGCGATGTGCACCACATTGCTCTCCCGCATTAATAGCTCTTTCGCTTTGGCGCATATTGCCTCGACTACGGAGTCGGCGAGCAATTCCTTTTTATACAGTCTTTCGATGCATTCATCTAAGTCGATGCTCGCTGCAGAAAAGAAACTCGAAATTAGCCTCAACATCCCGGCGCCAGAGACGGGGAGCAACTAACCCGGTAGTCCAGGCATGACTGCAATGCAATGAGAAAATAATTAGGGAGAAAAAAAGATTGATCGTGATCCTCTCAAACAATAAGGATAACCTGCAAAAACCCGAAAAGAATAGTACTCCTAAAGAAAACAGGAGGGGAACCAGTGAGGGAGATCAGTCGCATCGTTGATGTTCATCACGTTGAACGGGGTGGAAAAGAAAAGGAACGGATCTAGAGTGCAAAGAACATGTTCACATCTACTTCAGCAGCTGGGCATGGTACACACATCAACATGAAATATCTGACAAGGCAATGCGGTTCTCAAAAGGTTTGGTTCGCAGCCATCGGCCCGTGTTAGAGGAGCTTTCCACAAAGTCCGTTGCCCGACCTGCTGACTAACAAGGTGCGATGCTTGGCTTGCCAAGGGTTCCAGACTAGGCCTAATTTGGCGGTGGTCCAACAGCCCTTGGAGTTCACAAGGAAACTAATGCTTGCTCCAAGGATGGGATTTGCAAAGTGGATGGCAATATTTTCTTGTTATTTGAGGGTAGCACAAAGATTGCTTGGGATCAAATTTTATAGTATACTCTGTACATTCAATGAGTTTCCAATGCATCCCCAAAGATGCTCACACCAAAAGTTTATCATGCAGCACAGGCGGCTGAGAAACATGCACAAATCTAATGCCTACAGAGAAGGTGTTGAGGTTGCTGTACAGAGTAGCAACCAAAGAAAATGTCGCAACTGTGGCTTTCATGCTTATTCTTAACACAGGAGATGGCTTCATGAGTGCCAGTCTCCTGAGGAGCGCATGATCGCCAATGAATTGCTAAAAGGACATAGTCGATCCACCTCCTCTCATCTTCCAGAGTATCTCTCTAAAGCCGGATCGCGGCGGAGACCCTGTACCAGCTTAATCCCGATCACCCGGAAGGTGGAAGGCTGTTTCCAGTAGATAACCAGCTGCTAGACGAACCCCCTAAGCTCGCGCGTGAGACACCAGTTGCATTCACTTTCTACACCCACGCGAAGTACTATGTTGGCGCCCCCCCCTCCCTTAGATAGGAGTCTTTGAGCTCCGGCATGGATTCTTCTAGACTTTTTTTTCAAAGAATAGTGGAGTGAACAAACATGCGTGTTTTATTTGGCTGATGAGCCTGCTATGTGTGTTTGTAAAGCCGCTGTTTTGGATGTTTGAGTTGGCTAAATGGACGAAGCACATGGGAGCTTTGTGATTCTGGAGTGTTCTGCTCAAACATTGTTTTCTTCGATAGATAAAATGACCTAGCATTGGACGAGTTACCATGATGCAGTTGCTTGGTTTCTAGGTCATCGTTCTGTGTAGGCGGGTGTGGTCGACACGGTGACGTTGAACAAGAACCCTCACCCAGGAAGTGATCCAAGGCGGCGGCCAGAGCTTGTGGCTAACTAGTTACGCAAATCAGGGCAAGGGGCAAGAATAGTTAGTCTGAAATCACTGTGATTGCTGTGTAAACAAGGCATGCTCAACAAACTGTCACAGTAACAGAAATAATCATCATCTCGATGTTTTGAATGCTTCCTGGGCCAATCAGCGCAAGACCATCGCGCCACCTTGTTCTGATCCTTTCCCAATAGCGTTAGACTGAAAGATAGCCACACGTGACAGAAGCTCTTCCAAAGGGGATTTTGCGTCCATGGGAACCATCCACCTTGACAGCATCACCTTCTCTCCTCCTCTTCCTCACCCCAACCTCACCTCCTCAGCTCCATTCCTGCATTTTTGTCGGCCTTTATCTTCAGGAAAGATAAAATAACACAATTTGTTTTTTTCGGCTAATCTCCTGTGTTTTCGGGCTTGATCATTGTTTGTTGTGCAGCATCCAGAACTTGAGGTTCTGCTCCGTATATATAGCAGTTTTGCAACGCACAGGCGGCTTCAGTCCTTTAGACACCTGCCGTAGTTTTGTGCTTGGGTTGCCCTGGCGAGTGCAACAACAACATCATCATCATCTGGATACCATATCTGACCAAATATTTTTTTGGATACTACAGAGTACATACCATCTATTTGCCTTTCCAAATCTGAGGGAAAAAAAAAAAAGGGAAAAAAACAAGAAGAAAAAAAACTGGTTTCCATTTATTTGCATGATTTTGTCCCCGCTATCGGGTTGACTTCTGATGGTTGCGAGATAGTCGCTGCAATTGTTCCTCCCACTTCTGAGAAGCACATGATGCCAGCCTGTTAAGCCATCTCACTCCCCTCCTCATCCCTCTTTCTCTCACTTTCTATCCATCCCGGCCAACAAGTTGGGTTCATCTTCGAAGCCGGAAACGATGCCCAATCTAGCAGTGCCTGACGGAGGCTTGGATCCTCATCCACAGCCAGCTTCGGCCTCCAAGGCACCGCCGCGAGGGCATAAAAATCATGGGAAACGGCAAAGGAAACACCAGCACTCCCATCCGCCGGGCCCTCCCGATGCAACAGGTCAGGGTCCTCCAGCCCATGTATGTTATAACTGTGGGTCTCCCGACCATTTCATCCAGCACTGTCCCGAGAGGCGCCAGGATGGCTATTCGTAAGTCTGAACCATTTTGAGCCATGTGTCCTCGAAAGAAGGCAACTGATTGCGCTACATTTAGCGGTTCTCATCGACATCCACATCCTCCAAAACGACAGAAAACATCAGGATCACTGGAGTCGCATTACCGCGGGAGTTCGTCCTCTCACAAGCAACGCTCTCGTCCTCAACGGGGCTTCACCCATCCGCCTCCTCCCGACTATCACCAGATGCCCAATCAGGGCCTATATGAACCGCCTCCTGGGCCTTATCCTCCCCAACATCATGATCCTTGGCATCCACCCCCTTCTCAGCCTTATGGGTATCCTTATGGACCCCACGAGCCGCCTTATCCTTCAAGCTCCTATGGCCCATCATACCCCAGCCCACGAGGCGCTCACGGGCCTATGCACGGCCAACAAGATTATTTCCCCCCACCGTACGCCCGCCACTCTGGAGAAAGGGATCACCCTCCTTATCAGTCGGAGCGTCGACCGCCCCCGCCCAGGGAATCACGTCGTGGGCATGCTCGGGAATACTGGAGTCGTTACGACAATATTCGCCCAATCGCACCTACCGTCGAGCCCTGGATGGAAGATCTAGATATGGTGGAAATCCCAGAGCCTAGGCAAGATCCGAATCAGATTGGTAAGCTCGACATCATTACTTTCTTCATTCAATGCTCATTGTACGCCCAGTATGGAGGCCTCCCCAACCCGTTGCCCGACCTCTCCCGTCAACGTTAACGGACCGTGATGAGATTACAATGCCCCCGCCACTAGCATCCTTGCCCCGTGGGATGTCTATATCGAAATATATTCTCGACAAGAAAGCCGAGGAGTTTACTTGTAACATCAGGGATACTGAAGATTGGCCTTTTATTATGGATGATCCAATTTTTATGGAAATCCCCGCGGATGGAAAGTTAATTTCGATCAAAGAACTCCTTGCCATTCAAAGCAAGGTCTACGAGACTCACCGGGTCGAACGCCCATCCACACCTGAACCAAAAGAAGATGAGAGCGAAGAGATCAACGAAGAAGACAACGGCCAAGTCGATGAAGAGGAAGCACATGACGATGATTCGTATGCAAGTGGCTCTGACAGACGTTACGATGATGACTCTAGATCGTACGCCTCCTCCGAAGTGCAGGATGAGCCCGCTTCACCCGTTTCTGGCAAAGCTATTGAGCTTAATGTCCATGAGCAGCTGCGAGATGAAGATGACAGCGAACATTCAGAAGAAAAGTAAGTTTGGACCTTTGGTCAATACTCCCCTTCTTCTAGGGATTGTGACCCTGATTTATTTATTTTTTCTAAAGGTTTCATAGTGATACCCGAGAAAAGTCCAATGGCCGACCATGGCCTCGAGGCCGCAATAATCATGACCACGTAAGACATAGCGATCCCGGACGCGATAGTGAATTTTCTAGTAGAAAACAACAGGCGTCCAACCGTCGTGTGAACAACAATAAACCCCAACCATGGTGGCGCCCAAGACCGCAGCATCAACACCAGCTTCCACCGCCACCTCCACCGCCAAAGGACGAGCTACCTCCATCGAAAAAGGTGTCAATGGAGAGTAAAAGCCAAATTCTTAGCGGCCACTCTACTTCCACTGGTCATGACAACGACCAAAACGGCCAGCGGCAAGGCACTAATATCAACAAAATCAAATCGGAGGCACGTCATGAGCACCGAGAGCCTCGAGGCCATGCACAAGCCCATCGTAACAGCCATAAGCGGGTCAAAGCCGAAGATCCTGACAGCGACGGCAACGAGCCTCGTCGCCAAGTTGACGACGTTACGCCGAGAATGAAACGACGCCAGCCCCAGGTGGCTGATGCCTACAGGTAGCTTCCTATTTCCCCGTACTGCCGCTTGCCTCTTACTGATTTAAAGCAGTCGTCGATGGTGAGCCGGCGAGACGTACGTAAAGGACGACAGCCCATTTACTTTTTCTTTCTCCTTTTCCTTCGATAACCCATACCCTTGAATATATTTAATATAAGCTTGTCCTAGTTAGGGCTACGGCTTATTCAACTCTCCTTCGCGAGGTCCTCTGAGGGTTTGTTTGATCGGCAAGAGATCATATATATCCAAAATGTCACTTTTGGATCAATGTCTCTGCTCCAAGTGGCCACGCTATTCGATGCCGTGTGGAGCCAACCGCGCTGTCACAGGTCTCCACAAAGCCAAAGGCGTCTCCGTGCGAGAAACCGGGGCGAGAAGATATTTTTCCTTTCAATTACCATTCGGATGGGTTAAAAAGAAAACATTTCATCTCTATTACAAGAGCATTTTTAATTCGGAGTTCTGTGATTACTCTTGCACTTTACCAAGTGCTGGTCATTTTTCCATATTATGGAGGCATTTCTATATCCATGCTTTCAGTTTCCTTCTGGAGCGTCTATGACTGTATCATCTATGAGAGCCCTTGTCTGTGCACAGAACAGAGTGTACCTTTACGAGGCTCTCCCAAAGTAAAAGGTGATATCTCTCAGGTAAGCGAATCTCATTGTAGATAAGAGAGATATTGGATCCATCAACCTCATTAACCACTCCTGCACAAAACGGCGGGGCCTCAGCTGAGGCAGCCGGTTTGGCCTCTGACCCTATGTGATACAAAGGAAATATGCATCAGGTAAAAAGTCAAGGTGCAGTCAAGAGCTTTCTAGCCCTAGCCGGCTTCGCTTGGATTCTCTGCGCGACGTCCTGGGTTGAGGATTATTCATGGAGAGCCCGCTTTGCCCGTTCTGTGTGGCGCAGGGCGGGTTAACTTGCTGAATGCGAATGCAATGCAGGGAGATAGAGGATGTGTGTGTAAGGCCTTGTTACCCTTCTGCCGTTGGAAGAAATTTTGAGCCTCTCTGCTAGGGGGTTATTGATCCCTGGAACCGGATAAAACCGTAAAGCATGCATTAAGCATACTGGCCCTACAGATGAATAATGTCTCACATGGGGCAAACCCTGTGGTTGCATGATCTGACTGAGGCTAAAAGTTGAAGGACGAGAGATATTTCGCTGCTTATGAATATTTCCTCGTTTTTGAAAGCGTGTGTGAAGCAGTGGTGCGCTCGGGACGTTCTCAGGAGCCTTACCCTTTTTTTTTTTTTTTTTTTTTTTTTGGCTAGATGGGAGAGGATGTTGCAACGCTCCGTGCTGACCTCCTCACTATTTAATACGACGGTCAAAGCTATGCAGCGACTGGATGGTAGGTTGCTAGAGAGATAAAGGCAAAGTTAAAAAGGCTTAGAGGTAGAATCGGATTTTGTTTTCACGAAATTGGATACTTATTCCACTTGCTACGCTCCAGCTCTCAAGCCCATCTGACTCGCATGCAGGGGGTAAGTTCTGCTCTGCCCAAATACACCTCTATTGTCCGTAGTTAGATCTAGATCTCCGATGGAGGTGGCCCGCGTCGATGATCTAAGGTTGACGACACGAACGGGGTTCATGCGTCGCAAACATAAAAGGAGCTGATTGGGTTAAACTCTACGATCAGAAACATTCATGCTCGAGAGCGCTCGCACAGAGTTGAAACGAAAAAATATCTTGATCTCGACCGGGGGTGGGAGAAAATACGGGTGCTGCGGATCAGCAGGTCAGTCAACCATTCGATCAAGGCTGAATAGCTCGACAGCCAGCGCTGCTTTGACGGAAAACCTTCTCCATCTCATAAACAAACTGACTCCATGGGGATTCAAGAAGTTACACAGACCGACATGCTGGAAACATGGGTCTGGTGCGGATAGATGAACCACGAAACGCTGGCTCCCGTTCAATAAATTTTTCTTGGTCAATAACCGTTCTCAACCATCAAAAGAAATACATGATTGACAGGGCCCGAGAGAAATATTCTCGTTTGTCCAGCTGCACAAATGTCGGGCTTATCTTAGCCTCGTGTTCAGCCTATTTTAAGCCTCGTTTCGCGTGCGCGTGCAAATCGGATTCCTTGCTAGTGTCCTTCTCGGCCATGTCTGTCTCCGGCTAGTACAAAAAGTTATCAGGGGAGGAAAGGGGGAGGATGTCCAGCAGAAAATATTAAGCCTCGACGAGGAATGCCGCCGTTTTCGATCTCGTCGTCCGTTCCTATTCATCGATATCGGTCCGGAAACTTCATGGCTGTCAACTCGTCGAGCGTTTATCATCTAAAATTTGAAGCTGCCTGAGTATCGAGATCCTGTCGCGATCCTCTCCCGACAGAGAGGTGAAGTAAGTTCCCTTTTCCCCACCTCTCTGAGTTAAAATAGCATGACAAACGGCGTAATATGGAGACGTGGGATGGTTAATTATGCATAGAGACTTTTTTTTTTTTTTTTTTTTTAAAAAAAAAAAAAAGAAAATTGTAGGACATACCAGTCGAGCACTGCAGAAGAGACTCACTGGACCAGAGACAATGCCACGATTCTTCCCGGCCAGAACCTGCCTTATTCTCCTAGTTCTCTTTGCCCTTGCTCACGGAGGCCCCGTCGGAGCTCCCGCTGGAGGCTCACCTGGAAATGGCCCTCTCGGCTCCTCTCCAGGCGGACCGCAAGGCCCAGTCCCCGTTGGCGCTGGCGGAGATTCCGACGGAGCCAAACCTGCTGCCAACCCCTTTCAGAACCTCTATCGAGGCGTGAATACCACTCTAGCTATCCTCAGTGCTGTGTTGATGACAATGACATACGCTGTGTTGATTGGACCCGGCACGAGGCTGTCAAGCACCAGTAAGATTCCACTGGGCGCCATCAGAACGAATATTGGCAATCTTCTCTCTCGTACCTGGCCTGATATGAGCACGTCTTCGGATACGACCGCCACGGGGAAGTCTGTTAAGTCGACGGACGGGGACTCTATCAGGCTGTTCTACGTCGGCAAGCTAGATAACGACGGCGGTGATGGAAGGACAGCTAGAGGAATAGAAGATTGCGAGGGCCTTCCCAAGACGAGGATCCAGACTCCGCCAATGTGGCTGACTGCCGGCTCGTCGCTAACGAAAAGCATTGTACAAGTAGCCATTTGGGAATGGGTCTGCTTGTGGATGGTCCTGGCCATGATTATCGCAACGCTGATGTATAACGGTTTCCTCACGAAACAGAAAACTCCGGATGCCTATCCCCGACTTGTCGTTGCGATTATCTACTTTACTGCCTTTGGCATTCATGCGTGGTATGTCTGGAAGACGTGCAGAAGCTTTTTCACGCTCCTGGGCGCCGGCGCGACCTGGAGTTTGCTGAATAAGGCTTCTTTTTCTTCGGTTGACCTCGGCCAGCTTAAAGCAGGGATTTCGGGAGGCACACCGCCTGTTTTCAGGAAGATCGGGAAACCTGACACTAGCCCTAACTTTCCTCCATATGAAAACTGTCGTTTGAAGGAGACCAGAGCTTTGAAAAGTGCTGATCCTACCGAGACCTCTGCGACTCCCGCTGAGGAAGACGAGGGCGCTGTGAATACCGTGACACGCTGGCAGAAGCAAGAGATTTCGTCTACCGTGCAAGCAGCTAGCGTCGCTCTAGAGAGAGTGATTACGAACGTCGTGTCAATCGTGGGTATCACCATCACGACTGGATTTGCGACATGGACAACGATTTCCGACGGCGGGGACAGTACCACACAGCTCGGTTCGCTGGCTCTCCTTGCTTCTCTCACAATCGGGTCTGGAGCGATGTTCAGCAGTGCCATCGAACTCAGCGTTATGGAAACATCGTTCCGAAATGTCCTCTTCTACAAGGAGGTCCTGATTAACAGGCAGGCTACAGCACACGTACAGAAACGAGCTAAAAAGAAGGATGTTGTTGGGTTCACGCATAATACGGTGGATATGAAAACAGTCGGAGTCCTAGAACTGGCTCGTTTCACGAAGCTATGGGCTTTGATCATATTTGGTCCTGCATACGCACTATTACCTAGTGAAGAGGACCACTTCAGACAGTCTGTTGGCGCGGATTTCGAAGTTTGCAGCGCCGTGAGGGACAAGCAGGTGTTGCTAACGACAGCAGCTACCACTGAACGCCAGGCACACACTGATGACGGTAATTTCGAGTCAATTAACGTCTGTTTCCTTGCGAACAGGGACTGGAGATCCCCCGGGAGTGCAACTTCATTGGAAACCACGGAACCCCACGTCCTCAGCAAGACGGTATAGGCGTGTCTCGTCCTTGGTTTCCTTCCCAAAAAAAAAAAAGTCCCATGATGCATATTCATACAGTATCCTCCTATAAATCCGTTTTCCGCTCCCCGTCCACGAGTTCCGTCTGTGAGCCGGGTTTCAAGAATAAAACGCTCATGCTAAGTCCATGCTTCGGCCACTCACGACGATACGACTGATATCGAAACGCGCCTTTTGGTTCCATGTCTGTCGAAGGATGGCGATCAACAATCGTTGATCCCCCGCTTTCCGTAATTTTTTGGTGGTTCACCCCATTGCGTTCAAGCTCACACACAGCCAATGTTGACAGCTTGAAAGATGTCCCGGGCGGAACCTCTTTGCCCAAAGCCAAGGCCAGCTCTTGTCGATCACTCTCCGTCATCTCGTGTCTTACAATCGAGTCGTTTAAAAGATCCTCACGCCCCGCCTGAATAAACACATCCCGGATGTGTGGTTCCATTTCGTCATCCCAATGAAACTGGGTGTACCGATCACCTATTCCCGGGCCTATATATGCAGAAATATCATTCCTGTCCGCTCCACATGCGACCATCGCATTGACCGTATTTGAAACCACTCCTCTGACCAGCGGTTTCCAACCAGCATGCGCGAGACCAATCACTCCCGATTCCGGCGCATATAGGAATATCGACGGGCAATCCGCGCCCTGCACTCCAAGCACAAACTGAGGCGACCTGGTAACTACCCCATCATAAGTCACTGCCTTCGGGTCGTTACTACTAGAACTCCTCTCGACGGGCATAATTCCTCCCGTACGCTTGTTGGAAATCCATTCAAAGTCTTCCGCTATTATGGCCTGTCCAGAATGGGGCCAGCCTCCATTCGGCCACGTTAAGCGCCGAGAGTCAAATCCGAGCTGGGTCGCAAGACATTTCAAATTTTGCGCAAAATAATCCGAGTGGTCGCCGCCATCGCCTGTAGTTGGCGGTGGGCGAAAGGAAAAGCTGTGGTTTGCTTCAAGCGATGTTCCCTTACCCGTAAAGGCAGCGCAAATTCGACGGTGAGAGTCAAGCCCGGAGGCGTGGAATATCGGAGAAAGCATGGGTATCGATGTAGCTCTCATTTGGCCTTTCTGGCATGTATAGAGGTGTAAGAAGAAAATAGGGTCAAGTTCGTATAAAACGTTGCGGGGTAAAGTTGCCCTTCTTTTGCTTTGGCATTTGCGTTGGCTAGTTAAATGCGCAGATCAGCGGTTAGGGAGTTTGGTTCGCCATTTCAGTCGCTTTCACACCCCTTAAGGCATCCCTGCAACATCCCCTGTTCCTGAAGCGTGCAGAAGCAGCGTGATGCATCATGGGCGGCAAAAAGTTCAAGGATGCGACCAACACAGACGTTAGAAGTTCTGAGTCAGGCAAGGAGTCATGTGACTGGGACCTGATGCCCATCGAGATGCGCAACAGAAACATTCAAATGCAGCTAGAATCGCTATGCCTCTATACGTAAAAAGCACCCATGCCTCCCCGGAGATGAAGATACACAAGTCTATGTTATTACGAGCCTGGCCTTCTCACTCTGGGGTTCATCATCTTCATCATCCTCTTCCTCCTCGTCAGACTCCTCTTCATCATCCTCATCCGTGCTTTCTTCCTCTTCCTCTTCGTCGGTTTCTTCCTCCGTGCTGCCTTCTTCTTCGTCATCCTCTTCCTCTTCCTCCTCGCTCTCAGCGAGCCAGTCATCCAGCGTCAAGTTTTTACTCCGACCGGCCACTGCGCCGCCATTCAGTTTACTTCCAGAAGCCGCAGCTCCATCATGCTCCTTCAATGCCCGGTCTAATCGCTCGCCAGCCGTGATGTAACCCTTCTCACCAGCCTCACCCCTGACTTCTTCCTCTCTGAGCCTTGGATCCGGTTCCTTGCCAGGTTCTACCCAGTCTGGTAAGGACTCATAACCCTTCAGACCATGGACACCCGCATCAGAACCTATGACAAGCGTGGCCGAGCCGAGAAGGAAGTCTTTTCTCGATTCAGAGGGCGAAGGGGTGTGAGGAACTGGTTTTGGTGCAAGAAGGAGCAAGCTGGCCAGCTCCGTGGATGCAGGATTTTCCAGAAGAGCCTTAAATAGTCGAGCTCGATCTCGAAGATCGTAAGACGTATCGTAGCGAACCAGGAGAAGGATATATCGCCAGAGAGTTGTGATGGTGTCCTCCTGTGGGGCACTCTCTTCGGGGCTGTTGGCGGCTTCCGATTGTTCCTTAGGCTCTTCGCTTGACTGGGCAGGTTCTTGGGACTTTGCCTTATTTAAAAGATGATGGAGGTATACCTTAGCCCCTAGTAGGAGAATTTGTTGCTTCGCCGTTTCAGATTCGTCTGCAAACCCCTTGGCTAGGATCCTCAAAACGTCGGGTGCTATATTATCTTTAGAGTCCATCCCTGCAAATTCTCCGACTAACCATATGATCGTCGCTCGAGCCTCTGGACTCGTCGTCGTATCAAGCCGTTTTGCGAGCACCACAACGGTGCTCTTATGCGAAGCGGGATCCTGTTGAATAAGGTGTCTTATAACTGTCAGGGCTTCCGAGACTAGGTTCTCATCAACACTAGAGAGTTGTCTAAAGAGGATATTGAGGCATTTCCCGGATGTACTGGTGTCATTCTGAGCACATCGGCCAATGGCGCGAACACTTTCTCGGACCAGATCAGCGTCAAACCCATTTGAGAAGTGCTCCAATTCACTGAGAATAAGTCCCTTCATATGCATTCCGCAATGAGGGAATAAGATAGTCAAAAGCTCCAGCTTCAAAATCCATATTTGTTGCGGGTCTGTTGACTGAACCAGGAAATGGCTGATGTATTTCGTGAACGCCTTAGGAATAAGCAGTGCGATGGCGACAATGTTGTATAACGCGATCTGCCGGATATCCTGGGGACTGCGGAGTAAGGCAACCATCGGCCCCACGGCGGATTCCAGCTGTTCGACGGATCCTAAATACCGGAAACACCGCACAACGTCAAGGATAACTGCTGAGTTTCGGCTCTGGAGTAGTGGTTTGCAAGCCTTTAAAAACATATCGAGATCGGGATCCACCACTTCTATTTCTTCTTCCCCTTCCTCGACCTCGCCACTGGCATCATGTTCATCATCATAGAATCCTTTCAGGGTTGACTTCTTGACCTTTTGCGTCCTTCGTGGAAAACACTTCCGTGCGTACACTGTCATGAGCCTTAGGGTTGCAAGCTGACCCCACTCGTCCATATCGACCAACTTCCTCACGATACTGCGGTAGTGCTTGTGAATCAAATCGATCCTCTCCGGGCAAACGTCCATGAACGCAGCCACAGCCGGCCCAACCACAAAATACTGATGGTCGCCTAGTAGTGTTGAAAGATATTCTGTGAGCTGAGGCAACGTACTCGGATCCAAGCGGTAGCATTTTGGAATGGCCAACGCAGCAGCTTTGCGTACATGCGGACTCATGTCACCGCACCCGCGTTTGATCGCCAGGGAGACAATTTGGCTTATCACTGGAACTCTAATTCCCGACATTGTCCGTAGGGCCAACGCACGTACTTGGGGGTTCTGGTCGGTGAGGGATTTCTGGATCGTATTGATTGATAGAAGTGCGAGATCCGGCTCTTCCTCCGCATACTTTAACAGATATATGTAAACAAGCTTCTTGACCTCAACATTCGGGTTTGCCACGTTCTTGACGACGGAGGAGAAGAAAGCTAGGCATGATTCCGACCTGTACATCATCTGAAATGTGGTCAATATCAGCTGTCTGCGTGCTTCAGGTCTGCGGGCGAGTGGCGAGTTGTTACCGAAATGACTTTTCGCAGGCCATCGAGGATCTCTCGATCAACCCTGCTATCCAGAAGCTTCTTAATTTGTGAGGAGGAGGCATTTCGAGGGGAATAGCTTGATCTCTGGGCTCTGACGCTGCTGGCGGAGTGGGCGGCTTCAAGGGTGAGTTCGCGGGCTGTATAACAACATGAGTAAAGGCTGAATTTCCAGTCGGGGTACACCATATATACCTGTTTCCAGCATGGACGAGATCCGCGATACTGTCTCCATCGTGGCTAGCGCTGGGCTTCACGCCCCGGAGTCTTTGGGCAAGAATTCAGGTGGCCGTTTGTAGAGTTAAACTTCGCACGGAGAACGTCTGACCCGCGCCCGTGTAGTCAGCATGACAACATCGGCCTCTTCCCCACAAATGCAACGTCGACTTCCACACTTTTTTCAATCACCAACGGGTACGGAGGCAAATCGGGGCTATAAATCTTCTCGAAATACGCTGCGGATAACATAACAAATAAAATGGTATTAAAAATGCCTCTTGGATAATCTTCGGCTCCGTTGTGTCTCGAAACTCAATGAACTCCCTTCCTACTCCGACAATCAAATCCTTCGACCTGGTAGCAGACTTCTTAGAGCACATTCTACATGGCAGTGCCTCGAGCACCACACTGATCGTTTGCTGGACAAGAGAAAAATTTATACAGAAGCTTATTTCTTCAATTCAGCTTCAATCTAGGCAAACTGAAGGCGAAGAGCACCCTACATCCGAGGAGGCTCCGATACTTTCCTCTACCCTTCTGTCGAACACAATTGACATTCTTGACAAGTCTCGGAGAGTGACTTTATCCTTTTGCCCCAGCCTGGAACATCTTCGCGCCTACCTAGGAACATCGAATAAATGGCCCGGCCCACGATTAAATCCAGAAAATGGCCCCGATACAGAACAACCGCTCCTCGCCATACTCAGCCCTATTGCTCTGCATTTCCACACTTCTCAGTTTTCTGCCCAGGGTATTTCGAGAACCCTCGCTCTCGCTGTAGAAGCTGCCTCGAGGAAGAGCACCCGCTTGGTTTTATGTGAATGTCAGGACTTGAACGCTGGTGAAGAGGAACATGCGTTTTCAAACAATCCATGGGACATGGCTGTTCCTCTATTGAATTCATCAACCACATCAAGGCAACCGGTTGAAATATCAGCTGCACAGACTGTCCAAATCAGGAGGATTGCAAAAAAATGGTTCCATTTTGACCAAACAGAGAGAGAAGCAGCAGGACCTTGAGCATATAACTGCGGACCAAAAAAATTACCAACGCCGCCCACGGCGTTGTGCGTACACACATGCATCCATCCATAGACCCGGACTCCCATAATACCATACAGCAATAGGGTATCTTCAAAAATAAAAAGGTCAACTGAACTCCCAACGTGTACCATCCCAAATCCCATTCTTAAAGACACTTTTCCATCTCTGTAATATAAAGTTTAATGTGTGACTCCATCTTCAGATATTCATCATGCGCCCGATGAATCTCATTCTCAATATTCTCTTTGAGGTCGACCATCTGGATATGAGTTAATAAAATCAGACATTCAAACCTGCGACAAGGTGCTTAGGTAAATACCTTCTTCTCTGTTTGCTCAATCCTGATCCTCCTCCGCTCCATGTCGCGCTGCTTTTCAGCTCGCTCTTCACGAAGCTGCTTCTGTATGTTGTGCAACTCTTCCATTCTCGCTTGGGCTTGTTCAGCCTTTTCTCGGGCGCTTTTCCTGAGAGCTTCTGTCCGTTCATGCCATCGCCCTAGTTGTCTTTGCAGCATCCTTTCAGTCTGAGCCACTTCTCTCACCGTATTTCCTCTCTCAGCCAAGGCATCCTTATTTCGAATTGCCCGAGCATCTTCTTCCTCCTCTTTCTGCAGTTCTGCTGAAATATCCTCCAAAACCTTGATACAGCTCTGTACGTCGTTGCTTATAACGCTAAAAGTGTCCATCGACATTTGCAATGCTCGCATTCGCCTCTCCATATTATCAATCTGGATTTTATCCCTCGTTAGATTTTCTGATAATTCTGTTAGTGCCGCTTGGAGGATCGCAGGGCTCTGTGACACATATGGTCGCAATTTCTCGCTTTCTTGTCGGGTTTTCAGCAGTTTTTCAGTTTTCTCCTCTAGCAAGGTTTGCGTTCGTGTCTTTTCTCCTTTCACCCTCTCGAACGTTTCCGCAACACGCTCTTGATTCCGCCTCAACTCCAACAGTCTCGCCTTCATTTCATCGTTCCTCCTGACTTTCTCCTTAACCACCCCTTCCATTTCCCTCTGCTGTGTATGCATTTCTTCGAGACGCTGCTCCAGCTCCTGGTTTTCCGCGTATAACGACTCAATGCGAGATTTTGTGTTTTCGGATTTGTTAAAGTGCTCATCGATCACGGCCGTCTGCGATTCCCGAAATCGAACGAAATTGATCAGGTACGAGAATATTTTAGCCATTCGGTCATATGTGGGCTTCGTGAGATCTGTAAACGTAAAATCTTGAACTCCGCACTACATTTCAGTGAAAGTGTAAGCTGTGAAGCGGAAAAACTTAAGCCAGTTAATTCGTCGTATCCGCGTACCTGTATCATCAGCTTACGCAGCGAGACGAAAAATCCCATGAGATTGCGCGAATCGGGTGGGATAATTCCAGCATGGTCACCGCAGATATCCTCTGCTGCCGCCAGCATGGCAGGCTCGACCGTTTCCCGGGTTGTGTTCATGAATAGCTCCGCAAACCACTCGAAGATGATCTGAATTTGTTGGGGATTGGGTTTCAGCAGATCCGCTACCGTAAAAGGAATCCCGATGTCATTGATACATCCCGCAATGACTTTGTCTGGCTGGAAGCTATATGTTAGAGTCGCCCAAACTTCAAGCTGGATTGGGAGCTGGGCGAGCTTACAAGGCGAAGGAACGCATCGGTGTCGTCTTCCTTGGGTTTCCGGTTTCGATTATGCTGCTGTTGACCGCCATGATGAAACTGCTGGCTCATTCGAGAGTTGTATGCCATTATCGCGAGGAGTAATGCTGCCTCGAAGCAGGGTGTCACGGATGGCGCTGGTGATGATGCCCCTCTGTTTGGTTTGTTTACATTGAGACCGGATGGAAGATGTGCGACTAGGCCAAATGCACACTAGCTCGTTGGAGGAGACATTTGGGCACCGGACAAACAGTGCAAACATGCAGCTGTGACTCTTCCGTCCAGCATTATTATATTGTCTGCGAGCGAACGGTCGCATCCAGGTCTTCAAGCCCGTATAAACCTGATAACCATTCTCATTTTCTCTCTGGCGGATCTTTCAATTCCAACTTCGGCCCTGGAGCTATATTGACTACACGCTCTCTCCCTCCCAAAGTCGTCCTCTGTTCTAACAAAATTCCAACCCCCGCCAACCTTTTTCTGAGCTTTCGAATCTGCATTATCCTATCGCAAACGAGCATTTTGGCATAATTATACAATACCATGGGGAACGAAACGGAACCCCAAAATGGAGAATCAAAGCCATTCGAGTGCGCCACCCTATAGCCCCAAGCTGTTTCTGTATCTCCTGCTAACCGACTCTTCATTTAGCATCATTTCCACATATAATGAGCTTCTAAGCTCCGATCCCGATCTCACAATGCCAATTGCCGCTATTGAGGCCTTAGTCCTACTACTAACTCACTCTCCTTCATCGACTATTTCCGAAACCCTCGACCTCCTAAAGACACACACGGAGCGCCTGAAGCGTGCAATCCCGAACCCCATCGGCCTTTCCGCCGGCACCGACCTTTTCCAACGATACATAATCAGCACCCTGCAGAGGCCGGGGAAGCTAGGGCCTGCGGGAGACTTCAACGCTATAAGAGCGCATCTGCTATCAAACGGTCGGCTGTTTATCAAACGGGCCAAGGAGAGCAGAGATAAGATCGCGGCTTTTGGCAGTGGATTTGTACGGGATGGGAGTACGGTGTTGACGAACGGTGGCTCTCGCGTGGTAGGCGCTCTGCTGAAAAAGGTTGCTGCGGAGGGTCATGAGTTTAGTTCTTCTCCCGTGCGGTTTCGCGTGATATATGTGCTCCATGATGGGCATGATAACGGCAATTCTCAGACCGATCGAGATACGGAAGGGATGGATATTGTTCTCTCACTTAGATCGAAAGGTGTTCCTGTTGCGACAATTCCAGAGTCCGCGGTCGCTTACTCCATGGGGATGGTGGACATGGTGATTGTGGGTGCTGAAGGGGTCGTCGAGAACGGAGGTATAATATCCCGACTGGGCACGTACCAGATGGGACTGTTGGCCAAATCGGTGGGCAAGCCATTCTACGTCGTCACCGAAAGCCATAAATTCGTCAGGTTATACCCGCTGGGCCAGTACGACTTGCCGATCAGTCAGCACATTATGGATTTCAAGACCAGTGATGATTCGATCAAAAAAGAGGTGCCGAAGGAGGAGACGCCGAAATCTGGCGCCCTGCCCAAGCGCGAGGCGGTGGATTTCACACCACCACATTTAATAACTGCTTTGATAACAGAAGGGGGAGTGCTTACGCCGAGTGCGGTCAGTGAGGAGCTGATCAAAATCTGGTTTTAATGAGATTGAAATGAAAAGAGAAAAAAAAAAAAAATGAATGATGATTCTCTTTAAACAAAATCTGTTATAGAAGCTTCAAAATCTATGGGCTCATGGAGTAAATGCTGTGCCTAATGAATGGGGGAAATTCGCTTTGACCGTGCTTGCTAGTCTCCCCCGCAGTTGCAGAAGCAATGAGAGGATGAAAAAGTTAAGGATGAAGTTAAGAAAACCAGCTGGACTGATGTGGAGAAGTGTTGGCATTCACCCAGTCCTAATGAGCATTGCACGATGCCGGACACTGAGCTATGTGTTCGAAACTGTCGGGGGATTTGAGGTGATGGGCTTTATGTGATAAATCTTATCATACTACATTCATCTCTGCATTTACAAAAGTGGTGGCCAATATGTGTACATATCACCCAAAGAATACCAATCATAGCTTGCACCAATTTCTTCGGTAAAAAATGCCCTTAGCCATACTATGTGTATGTATTTGTATGCACAACTGCAATTTCGCCCCCGCCGAAAAAAAGAGGTTCGCCAATCAATGCTCTTGTCTCTCTCTGCCCCCCTGAATGAGACGACCTCCATACACATCACAAAAGGGATACCAAACGATCTATACATGGGTAGTTTTTAAGAATGTATCAAAGACAGTAGCGAATCATTGGAATTCTCCAAAATCCTCATCGTCATCAAATCCTGAAGGACTGTGTTTCTGCTCGGTGACTTGCGTGGTGGGTTCCAAAGTTGATAGCGGTCTCCTGCGTCGATCCGTCCGGCTGTCTCTCGCTGCAGGGGGTGGAGGAATAAAGAACGAGCTTTGGTCAAGGCCATTACCGGAAGATGCAGCACCAGCAGCAGCAGCAGGAGGAGGAGGCGGGGGGATAGGAAAGGGGGCCTTCTGATCTTCTTGAGTAGGAGTATCTGAAAGTCGGGAGCCAGCAAATGGCCGTTCAGGCCGTTGCCGATCGCCCATGTCGACAGTGATAGTCTGTCCCGGTTTCAAACTGTAATCCTTGGGTTTGGTGTCGACAGGCCTTGGAGACGTTTGAGGCTTTGGCGGCTGCTGCCTTATCCCAGGCGACATACACACCCTACCTCTCGGCGGAGCAACCCCGGGCCTCCTCCCAACCGCAGCATGGGAGAGCATCGGGCCCTTCTGAGACTCGACATTCTTATCCCCATCGACGGGCTTAAAACCCAGAACCTTCCTCGCCTCCTGCAGCGAAACGCCAAAATCAAACGCTTCGCTCCGATCTTGAAACCCAATCCCCAACATCGCCTTCCTGCCTTCTCCAACGACGCGTAAGGCGAAAAATCGCGACGAATCAATGACGTGCTCGACGACGCCGGCGTCGGTGTACGGTGCAGCGGCGAATAGATCCCCGGTGCTCACATCCTCCAGCAATATGTCCGTTTTCACTTTTTCCTGCGGCTCTTCTGCACTGGTGGCCGGTCGTCCGGACCTGACGAGCGGACTGGCGGGGACGGGGATAGCGGTTTCGAGAATGCGCAGACGCGCGGTGAATATCTCCTTTGTTTTGCCGTCGTTGCGGGGGTCGGGAGTGGTCCAGTCGGCGGCAGTGTAGCCCTTCATGGACATTAAAGGCGGAATTGCGTAGACGTGGACCGGATGGCACACGTAGAGGACGCGCTGGATGGCGTCGGCGGGAAGGGGTTGGCCCGTTGCGGGATCGACGATGCCGGACATTTTGGGCGGCAAGGAGGGGGGAAACTTGGAGGATCAAGAGGGGGAGAGTGGTTTGGCGGCGGATTTAGATGGATTTAGGCATCGGGAAGAGGTTGGGAAGTTCCATAGGCAAGAAAGATACAGGAGATTGAAAAGGACATGTTTGCTGCGAGGATATTGCACCACGTCGGAGGGAGGGTTGTTGCGCCTCAAAGAGCTTCCGCGTGTTATTCGTTCGCGATCGGGCGGGATCATTGGGGAGGTGGGGGTTTGATGCCAAGTCCTCCGTTTCAGCCGTCGTGACGAGAGATTGACACGAGTTTTGCAGGGCGACAGACTTGCATGCCAGTTCACATTTTCAAAAAGGAAAATAAAAAGATGGAAGTATATCGATCTTGCCAGCATCGTCACCCTCTCGTTGGAGCATTGCCCGCCCGCAGAGTAGTTGGTCACCACTATTTGACTAAGAGATGAAAGGTAAACACTCTCTACAAGTCAAGGGGACCCGTGGCGCAATGGTAGCGCAGCAGACTCCAGATCTGAAGGTTGTGCGTTCAATTCGCACCGGGTTCATCGCAGACAGTTCCACGGAACATCTTCTTTTTTTTTTTCTTTCGTTTACTTTTTTTAGTTATTATTTCTCCATCTCGCTGAATCGGTCGGTTAAAAAGGCAGCTTTTCCTTTTTTTCTTTTTTTCCTTTTCTTTTCTTTTCTTTTTTTTTTAAAGCGGTGTATGCGAATTACACATTTTGGAAATTGTAACAAAATACTCCCAGTCTCGAGATCAACGAGTTGAGCAGCGGCAGTTATCATCCCATCGCCGCAGGACGGACGGCCTCTTCCAGACTATACTTTGGAAGCAAAAACACTCAGATGGATGAATTGCTGTAACTGCACTTGTTATTATGATGTCCCAGTAGCCAAAGCATGCATTCTCTTTGATCATAAGCACAGAATCAGTGAAAGACCACAGTTCCTTGCACTACGTACCGAAATACTGACCTACGACCAGCAGGAAACTTCAAATAAGATACATGCACATCATACCAAACTGGAAGACGCTGGTCTGGTTGTCCATCCTGATGAACTAATACCACAGCTCAATATATAAGCGATGACTGGAAACTCGGTGTTCTTGCCAGAGAGGAGTGCCCGCGTGCTAAAATGCTCGGGATCGGGCATAAATGAGTCGAAAGAGGATGGGCTTATATTATGTAGACCGGCTAAATTTAGGTCAAATGTTCTCAGACGAGGTAGCTTTTCCAACATTGCTGCTTGCAATGTTGGATAGTTCAAGCCACAGCTCTCCTCATTCACTCTTTGTTCGAGAGAATTAGAATCTTCTTGAATGCATTTGATCATCCCTCCTACACGCCTAACACCTACGAATCATCAAACCGAGCAATTAAGCACTGCGTATCGGGAAATTCATCAGTGCGGAGAACCTCCCTGATTTCACCGTCCCACCTGTCATTATCGGGTGGTAGATGGTCTCGAATTCGCAGAACAAACTGCGCAGCGTTCCATTTCGACCGTTGACCGGAGCCCCTGGTCCACCTCTAGGGAGACTCGGCGCTGGACGCCACAGCGGGCAACACTAGATCGAGAAACGAACCAGCGAAGTCGTAGAGTCTGAGATCGTACGAAGTGCTGGCTTAGTGTTGTGCATACGGTTCCAGAGGTTGCCATGGTTGTGTGGTGTGATCGAAGTCGTTCCTGATGATGAGAGCATGTCCATCCCGTTTACTCTCCCTTTGCGGGGAGGAAGAGGGATCCGGAATGAAATGGTTCTGAATATCCAGCAAACCATTGTCTTTTTACGATCTAACGTGAATACAGAGTAGAGCTGGCAGTAAGCATCGGATACGTGGCTTATAGATTAACATATCACTTCCCACAACCTCTTCGTGGGGTGGACGACTCCTTCACTCTCCCTTGGATAGGATATGACCAAACTTTCACCACTAACACAAACTCGGCGGCTCGAGGCCCGAAGCGCGCCGCGGACTGCTTGGAGTCGAACCCGCAAGTTAGATACTGCACGGGAACCCGGGAAGCGGATTGGCACAGATCGATGGATGTACTCCGTAATCACACATGTATATGGCATTCGGTTCTCTTACTCCGTATTCGTGTCACTTCTCATGACTCAGAAGACGGGGATCGTGTCTCCTCTTTTGCTCTCCTCACCTCCGCCGTGTTATCCAGATCCAACGTCGGCGCGCGCAGCAAAAAGGCATGCGATCCCAATTGCACAAGGCAATTTTCGAAGTGAATAAGGGGATTTCTACTCCGTACACCGCGGTATATATATATATTTATTTCCCAGCAACTCGAGAGCAAGCTTGGTGCTAATTAACGCCCTTCCGGAGAATCATTTCGGAGGAATTTACGGAGCACAGCTAACTAAAATAGTTAGTTACAAAGTTCGCTGGTAGGGCGTGCAGCGGCCCTTCGCATGATCCCTGTCACGGTAGCATCTATACAACCGGCAACTGAGTGCCGACCAAACTACATTTCTAATTCTGAATGACGCTTGATGCTTGCTGCAGTCCATCCTCTGAAGCACCTCAGTCAAATGATGTTAATTTCGTCACCGATAGCGGATGATTCAGGAACCGGACAGATCTAAGCGACAACAAACCTGTGGTTGCAGGAAAGTCAAAAGTCTCAAGCCTCCTTACACGCTTGAATCATGATATTCCTCTGCACACGATCCATGTGGGGGAGTGCAGGCCGGTTTGTTTCGCTGGCGGGCAATCCCACAATGCTTCGTTGTTGTTCTGGAAGTGCTCGTGTTCTCCATCTCGGCCAGCTGTGGGGATTGTCGGGGTTTAAATAACTAGCTCCGTGCGATTCTTTTTTTTTTTTGAGGGCAAAGCTACAGGCATGGTTTTAGTTAAGCTTGCTCAGAACCTTAACCACCAGAGGGGAGGCAAGTAGAAAATCATGGATATGCGAGGGAATTTTCGTACGTCATTCCTTCCTGGGTTCAATATTTCATATGCGAGTCTTTGCTGTGAGTGAGCTACGGGATGACAAGGAGGCTGCCGATCCCATCGGATTCAGTGGCCGTGGATTGTCTCGCTTCGCCACCTTGGAACGATTCCACCTCTTTCGCGCTCCAAAGATACACCAAACGGCGTGGATGGATAGACTTTTCATCCTTTCTGGCGGAAAATTTCTCGCCTTGCTCTGTTGTTGACCCACATCGTGCCACCCTCAGAAACCGGAGAAAAAAATGATCGGCCACACAATACGGAGCCATATTGGAGATTATTCTCCTCATTCTTTCTTCCTCTCCTCCTGCTTCTGGAGGGCATTATTCAGCCTCGGGTCTGCTCGTGTGTTCTCCCCCTCAAGAGCACGCGCCCGTCTGGCTCATATACGTCCGGCTCTCCTATAAAAGCCCGGCCCCGCCCACTTTTGCCCCCCCCCCCCCCCCCCCCCCCCCCGGGTTGAGCATCTTGCTTTTGCTCCCTTGTCTTGCACCGCCAGAATCGGTTGTGCATCTCGCAACAACCGGCCAATAATGGCGAAAGAGGACGGGTTTCCGCCGTCTCCTGAGATCTTCGAGAAGGAAACAAGCGAGCAGTTGACTAAGGCTGGTTCCGACGATGTGGAGCAGCATGGCGGCTCTAAGTTACCTGAGCTCAAGAGAAAGCTCAAAAGCCGACATTTGCAGATGATTGCTATCGGTACGGGCCCTGCTCTAGGTTTCATTTTGTCTACTCTTTCGTGTCTTTCCCGCCCTCAAGGACGCCTCGTGAGGGATAGATAACTTATACTTATTGAACTTTCCTCGATCTCTAGGCGGAACGATCGGGACGGGCTTGTTCATTGGTAGCGGTGGTGCAATCGCCAAATCTGGTCCCGCCGGAGCGTTGATTGCATATGCGTTTGTCGGCTCTATCGTCTTCTCAGTCGTCGTCTCGCTCGGCGAGATGGCAACATACATTCCTATAGCCGGTGCATTCACCTCCTATGCCACTCGATTCGTCGATCCCAGTCTCGGTTTTGCCATGGGGTGGATATACTGGTTTTCATGGGCCATCACCTTCGCACTTGAACTCACAGCAACTGGTCTTATTATCCAGTACTGGAAATCCAGTATCTCGATCGCCATCTTCATCGCCATCTTCTGGGTCGTCATCACTGTTATCAACTTGTTACCCGTCAGCTTCTATGGGGAAATCGAGTTCTGGTTTTCCACCATCAAAGTGCTCACCGTGATTGGTTTCATGATCTTTGGCATCTGCATGAACGCAGGAGTGGGTCAGCAGGGGTATCTAGGATTCACCTACTGGAAGAACCCGGGTGCCTTCGCTCCATATCTCCTTGATGTCATCGGTGAGGACAAAGTAGCCCTCGCGAAGTTCATCGGCTTCTGGGCTGTGCTCATCCAGGCCGGATTCTCTTATCAGGGAACCGAGTTGGTTGGTGTCGCCGTGGGAGAGACTAAGAATCCCCGCAAATCTGTGCCAGCAGCGATCAAGAAGACTTTCTACCGAATCCTATTCCTCTTCGTCCTCACCGTCTTTTTCATCGGCATCCTTATCCCTTACACAAATAAAGATCTCCTATCCGACGCTTCTGATGCTTCCGCTTCGCCATTTGTCATCGCAGTCAAACTTGCCGGCGTCAAGACACTTCCCGGTCTCATCAACGCCGTGCTACTCACCGTCGTCCTCTCAGCGGCCAACTCCAATGTCTACTCTGGCAGTAGAATTGCCGTCGGCCTGGCCCAGGTCGGCTCAGCTCCGCGCTTTCTCGGGAAGACAACGTCCAGAGGTGTTCCGATCTGGAGCGTCCTGTTCACCTCCGCACTGGGGCTCCTAGGGTTCCTCAACCTCTCCAACGACGGCTCCGTCGTCTTCGAATGGTTCATGAACATCAGCAGCATTGCCGGGTTCATCTCCTGGTCGTGCATCAACGGCTGTCACATCCGCTTCATGAGCGTCCTCCGATCCCGAAACATCAGCCGCGACTCCCTCCCTTACAAAGCGCCCTTCCAGCCGTATCTCGCGTGGTACGGCCTCTTCTTTAACGTCCTCATCATCATCACGCAGGGTTTCACAGCTTTCATTCCATGGAACACGACCAACTTTTTCATCGCATATGTCAGCCTAATCCTCTTCGCCGTGCTATTCATCGGCCACAAGGTCATTTTCAGAACCAAGCCTGTCGAGCTGTTCGCAGTCGATATAGATACAGGTCGTTTGGAGCATGAGGTGGACGAATGGGAGAACAAGGCAGCTTTGACTTTCAAGCAGAGGGTTCGCCGGCGGTTAACAAGGATGTTTTGCTAACAGACTGCTCCCCACCCCCGAGCGCGTGTACGTCATTTGTCTTGTTCCAATCTTCGCTGTTATATTATTTCCACAGATACCACATAAACGGGAAAAAAAAACAAAAAAAAGGAAAGAAAAGAAATTTTTTATGATTAGTCTGCTGCAAGAGTGAAGCAGCAGTATTTCCCACCTGCAGGGAACGCCTTCTTGCCTTGGCTGTGATTGAATATCTTACAAGCTCCGTCCTCACTTTTGACCAGGAGGATGATTTTTCGAGACGCAGCGTACGTCCACTTCCTGCTACTCTTTGACGGACAGGCTCGAGCCAGTCCTGCTGGCGGTCTCAGGCTAGACCGTGCCGATGATCCGCAGCCACCCCCCTCATAGATATTTAACTCCATCCAGCTCACAACTAATAATGGATCTTTGATTTTTGAAACCTTGTGCTAGAAAATCAGCACTCGCAATACCTCTCATAGTCTTTTTCTGGAGCCAAAATCTGCCCTGACAACGATCATGACTTTGTGCTCTGATAGCGGTTATGCCAAGATCTATGTGTTGTAGGATCTCCCATGGAATTCGCGGAAATGTAGTGACTTGTTCTGACTGAATTGGAGGGATTAACGGCCAAGCTTATCTTAAATTTTCTCTTCAATTTTATCTATTTGATCAGCACCAATGAGCTCCCATATCTGTTATAACGGCGGTGTCGGAGATGGTGTGGATCAAAGGCTTTCTTTTTATTTTTCGGATCTAAAGAAAGTTGCTAAAGCCGACTTTCAAGACTGTGCCCCGGGGGACCGACCAGTTGGCTAACAAGCCAAGTTGATTTAGCTAGCTACCGAAGTAAATGGCCAGACATACTCTGCAATCCATCTTCAATCCCTCTTTGTAACTAAGGGAGAATAATCAATTACGAAATACTGTACTCCGTACGGAGTACGTGCAAAAATAGAACGGCAGAGCCTCCCTGACTTCTTCTTCAATGACATCCCTGAACCCAGCGGCCCCATTCTCACCTCAAAAACCTCCATAGCCTCCGCCAAACCGCGACGGGGGTTTAGTTACGATAAGCTGGGTATTGGAGTAGGCTTATCCTCCCCCCCTCCCCCGGGGGGTCTCCCTGTTCGACTTGAGACAATTGCCGCGAACCCTTGACTTATCCACCTTTCTCTTTTTTTTTTCTTTTTGGGCTTTCCGGAGGATATTTCCAAAACTCCCCCTTGCTAGTTTTCCAGGCACAGGACAGGGAAAAAGGGGTTGGGGGGGAGGGAAGGGAAGGGCAAAGGGAAGGGCAGAGTAAGGGTTATCCGTAATACTCCGCCCAGCTCACTTTTCTTCCTGCTTCTCTTCGTACCTAACCCCGAGAGATAAAATTTCAGCCTCTTCGTTCACTATTCGTCATTCTGATAGAAGGCGCCCCGTTGCTCGTTTTCTTGGGCCTATGTGTTGCCCGGCGGGTTCGTCTCAACCTCCTAACCAAAAATTTATCTATCATCATGATAATGAACTATGTTAGTATACTAATGTATGTATGGAGTAGTTTATGCAAACTATATCGAGAGCTCTCCGGCCGGGGGGTGAACGGTGACACAAACTCTCTTTACCCTCCCTCCTTCAACCCGGTCCGCAAGATGAGGGAAAGCGAATCTTGGTACGGAAGAGGAGTCGAGACATAAGCCAAAAGAAGCCTTAACTATTCAAACCCCCACCCTCTTTTCAAAAAAAAAGAAAAGAAAAACTCAATTGCCGACTTTTGAGCAATACGGCCGGCCGGCTATATACATATGCACCAGGTACGTATTGCGTTGAGAATAAAAAGGACAAGCTTCTCCAGGTTCCCCAGGTCCTTGGATGGAGGAGATATTTATGCTTGGTCCGTTTTTCTTCTCCTTTCTTACTTTCTATCAATGCTCCATCGTTAGTTGATGGTCCCCAAGGGAGCAAGATAATGCTATCGACTCGGAAAAAGCTCGTCAAGACGGAAAAAAAAGAACAAAACAAAACAAAACCCAAACTCCCAGATAAACATGTTATTGTGGAGTAAATCGCATACAGATCATTGGTAACCGGGACGCCATGGGAGTCTTCCCCCCTCCCCCCCTCCTCCTCCTCTTTTTGAAGTCGTGCTGAGGACTCGTTCCCAGTTCTAGATTAACTATAAGCATGGACTATGAACATATATGTTGCACCCCAGACATAACTTGTGGAATAGGAAAAGGAAACAAAAATCTAATAGCCGCGAAAAGCTAAGCCCCTAAAATATATATATATATATATACTCTGTATATACTCCGTATTTATACTGATATGATAAAGGTACCCAGCACGCAGTAGCTTGCAGTATATACATGCGGAGCGGTGATGGGTTGTTTCAACCGTAGAATTCTCGGGGCCAAACAGGAACAGCCAAGCCCACAGACCCTTGTTTGGCTTCCGCAGTTGGCACCCTGTTGCAGCTGAAGAATAATGTAGTGTCAACACTAAACCTTGGAAGATGGGTCCCTAGGACTTCCCAATGAGGCATCCAAGACATCTCTCGTCGAGACGCGGTAAATCAGGGTCAGAAGCCGTCACCGTCAACAAGGGGAACAGTCTGCAAGTCTCGCCGAATATTCCCCTTTTTTTTTTTTTTTTTTTCCTGGCTCTTCCCGCAATTCCGTTACGATCACACCATAATTTATGCAGTACAACACCCTAGCCTCCGCTGGTCGATAGTTCCAGGAGATCCTTGCTTTTTCGTACCCACCTCAGGCCTGAGGGGAGAGAGAGGAGTATGACAGGGCAGGCATCACAAAGAGAGAGAGAGTTTCTGCTATCCCTAGCTGGTAGACCACGAAGAGAGACAGATAGAACAGATGACAGATGAGATTGCGCGGGCTACGGTGGCTCTGCTGGCTCTGCTGGCCCTGCTGGCCCTGTTCTGGCGGAGTTCTGGCCGGCCGTCAGCCCAGTTGCGCCGCCGCGCCTCCAAGCATCAAGGGCGATCGAGTGCAAGCCATGTTCCGGCCGCGACCGGGCGGGAGCTGCCCGCGGAGGATCATTGTTCCGGAGCTGCGAGACACGGCCAATCGGGGTAGATCGCGCTAAGCCCTACCGGGGCTAGTGAGTACGGCGCACTAGGCCCAGAACGGCATCGCCCCATGTGCAAAACTTCGACCCAAAAAAAGCAAGCGCGCCCACCTTTCCCGACACAGAAAGTTTCCTCCCCCCCCCCCCAAGAGGAAGGAACCAACCGGGCCCCCAGTTGCAAAGTCAAGGAAACTGCCCCAAATTTTTACTTTTGGGTGACAGGAACACAAGACTCAATCTGACATCAACAACTGCAACGGCTCACTCTCTTCCACTCCTCCTCTCCTCTCCTCTCCTTTTCTCTCTTCTCTCTCTTTCTCTCTTCTCTCTCTCTCTTCTATCTTCTCTCTCTCTCTTCTTCCTCACATCCCATCTCCATGTCCGCCTTGCATAAAGCCAGCCTCGCACACCCTCGTCCCACTCCATTTGACTCTCCATCACTCCAATTAAAAAAAATACTTGACCCCACAACCGTCACAACACGTCATTTTTAATTTTTTTTTTTTTTTTTTTTTTTATTTGTTTCGTCCCTCGCTGAGCTGGCGTTGTCAGTCGTCGGCTGTCGGTGCAAGCTGCCGCACCGGCTCACGCAGTCGTGATGGCACTCTGGCCCTTCGGAAAGAGGAAGAATCGTGCTTTCAGACGATCTGATGGAGCATCCAGCCCGTCATCCGCTCAGAGAGCTGCCTCCTTCTCCTGTACCGCCAAATCTGAGTCCTCCATCCCGAACCACAACGCCTCTGCTACACCCGTAAAGACCCACCGAAGAGACTCCAAGCGGCGGAAGAACCGTCGTGACCAAGGTGCAATCGGCGGTGAGGACTCCTGCCTTCCTCCTCGCCAGATCACCACCCCGTCTCCCGTTCCGTCCCCCGACCTCGACACGAGCCCGTCCTTCCACTTCTCTGCCCTGGCCCGCCCCGAACGCGTCGACTCTCCTTCCGTCCGCACCTTCTCTCCCTTCAGGTTCCAGCCCAGCCTCAACATGTCCCAGAACAGCTTGTCCAGAAGCTTCAACGATGTCCCGACCCTGCGAAGTCAGAGGCGCTCCACAGAACCGAGCCTCTTGCGCCGCAAGTCAAGCAAGCGCAAACGTAACGACTACGCCCGAGAACAGGAAATTCGGAACATGGCCCTCGAGAGCAATTGGGACTTACCCCCCGGTCGGGCCCAGACCGACCTGAGAGCTTCGCGCCCCAAGTACGAACGCCTGCGATCCATATCCCCAGATTCCCACGCATACAAGCTCAGTGTCTTCGATGCATTGTCTCCCCGTCCTGTCTTACGCTATGCACGGACTCCTCGATACGTAGATCCTTCGAGGTCCGCGGCTTCTAAGAGCAAGTGCAGGGCTTTGCGACTCGGAGACCTGGATGGAGAACACCGGATAAATGAACTTGCCGATGATATGGACGCGGGGACTCTAAGGGAGCTTATGGAAAGAGATCGTCGTAGGAGGGCGGCGAGACGAACCGCTTGTCCCACGGTCAAGCTCGAAAACCCCCCGAAACCACGTCGACAGCATTCAATGAAGCATAATCAACCTCCTCCTTCAAACAACCGCGAAACAAATATCGACACAGCGATGACTAATCGGAAACATGATCAGATGGAGTTGTCAAAGACGCCGAACCATACTGAGTCTTGGCTCCGGGACCCTTCCAAAGAAAGCTTTACCGCAAATGCAAATGACGAAGTGCACGAGAAGAAGCCAACGGTGGAGGAAACCCAGATCGTTGTCGACGATGAAAAATCCTTTGTCCACGTTTCGGCAATCGACGCCGCCGCCGATATCAAACACGAACTCGCCGGGCAGGAGATGGGCTCCGTCTCGGATATATCACCAACGCAAAAAAGTGAAAAGCGGCTGTCCTCAAATGCTGGCCGCATCGGTCGATCCCTCTCATCATTCTTTCGTCGTGGCTCTCGGTTCAAGAGAGAACCTCAAGGACAACCGAAAGAAGGCCCAAGCTTTTCGGTCCCGTCCCGAGAATCTTTCTCAAGGATCTCCCATACGGAAGTTGCGGGAATGCCGCCGGCGATCCCGAAAAAGAGCAGCCTCCGATTTGACGGACAGTCTATGCAGTCCAGGTTCACCGAGCACTTCGATGAGCCCATGGATAACATGCGTTCCCCGACCGCGATCGATATATACCCCACATCACATCGATTCAGCGTTTGCACTGGTAGGGGAACTGTGGCGACTGCCCCAATCGAAGCCCAGGACACATTCCGCGCATCCGGAGCAAACAGTCCAGATACACGTCCCAACAGCATTTTCCTAGCTCAGTCCCTAGCATCCATAGACTCGGAGGGCAGTTGGCTCTCAGGAAAGCCGTCTCGTCACCTTTCCCAGGCACGGTTAGCCCAATACCGTGGCAGCGCAGAATCCAAGGATGATCCAACCGAATCATCACCAGAGGAACGTCCCGCAAGCGATGAAATTCTCGGACCCCTTTCTATTCCTGTCCCTGAAGAAGAGGAGGAGTTCGAGATCCCTATCAGCGGCAATGCTAAACCCCAAGACAATGACGGGACAACTTGGCATGACAGCGTTGGAAAGCGACCGCGTCTCATTCGTCCTTGTACTCGAGCAAAATCCAAAGAAGGATTGTTTACTGAGTTCCTCGAAAGCGCTTCAGAGGTCGACACACCCTCGGACGACAGTCCGCTCGACATCGAAGCGGAAATGGAAGTCCATCGTGCCACCAGCGTTGACCTGGGAAAAGGTCATACACGTCACATCAGTGCTGGAAGTGCAAAGCTTTTAGACCTGTCTTCTCGCCTATCCGAAGATCGAAGACCAAGTTCAGGGACTTTCAGCAGCGGTGTCCTACCGTCGCCACCACTTAGCCAATAGAACGAGCAAGTTGAATCATAGTACTGGAGACGAATATTGCAACTTACCCTGATCTGACGTCCACTCCTTTCCACCCATTTCCTTTGTCAGTTACGTCGAAATGTCGTTTTCCTAACGCCCTTCTTTCTCTTCTTCATGCCCCGACCGATACGTCGAATACGTGACCCACGCTCCTTTAGCATATCATTTCCTTTGTCATACAAGAGAGGAAAAAACAAAAAGAAATAACATCGAAAGTCAGATGAGTAATGACGACCTGGATATCAAGCCGACCAACGTTAGTGGCCATTGCTGCATCGTCAGATTGGCTTCTTACCCAGGATGTTCAGCTCCAGCAGTTCTGCCAGCTTCGATTCGGGGTCTTTTGATTTTAAATTTGTCCTTTTTGCATTTGTTAATATGGGGTTTGATCGTCTTTTTCTGTTTATTGAACTGCTGTTTCTTCATTTGTCATTTCGGGTTATGATAGGTTAGGCAGAACGGCCCATGGTTTGCATTGGAAGAGCACGGCGTTTTGCGGTGCCTAGAGAGAAAAAAAACGTGAAATACCCCAGCGAGCCCTCTTCCAAATCGATTCTTGTGCGTTCTTCGTGGGCCACGGCGTTCAGTCTTGTCCTCATTTGCTAAGTTTTCTTTCGATATTCAACGAGCCTGGGTCGAGGGATGGCACTCCAGACGGGGGGATGGCCGCGGATGGCCTGGCGGAGGGATGGAGGAAGTCTGAGAGAAAAAGAAAGAGCGCAGAAGCTGAGGCCGAGAAGGAGGGCGCTTTTATATGTGTTCGTCTGCCCAGGCAGCGGTGGCTCGGCGGCGGCAAATATCGAAATTCACCCGCCGCAGTGTGTGACTGACCTGCCTGTTTTGACGAAAACAACCAGCCGCTCTCTTTCTGGTGTCTTCACCTGCCCGCCCCTTGTTTTGCCGCTGTTCTGGCCGTTTTTGCTTGTTTCCCCCGGATACGATACCCACCTGTGCTTCCCACTGGCTGTCTCAGTTGTCACCTGTAATCACGTTTGCTCCTCTTCCTCTACTACATCCCCAGTCCTTCTTCTGAGTGTTTTTTTTTCTTCTGCATCAACAGAGCAGTGGAGTTGCCTGGGCAGTGATATCTTGTGTTTTCTTCTATGTTTTCTTTTATCAGGATCTCTTTTATGAGACTAGCAGGGCACAGAAAGATTATCTTATTTGTTTTGCGACAAATCACATAGCACACATATCTGCAATCAATCTACCTTTGTCCTTAGCTACTGTTTTGTTGCAATCACCAGATCAGAACCAGCTATGACAGCCTGACCTCTTTCTATTACTTTAAGCACATTCCACATCCAGAAAAGCTCCAGTGTCTCTGTCGCGAAGGGCTGGTGATTGACAACATAACCTTCATCATGGGGCGTTGTGATCTCTGCTGTATCTGCAAATTGCCCATTGGCGTCACCCCGTATATCGAGACAGACCAAATTGACTGGGAGAGAGTGGCCTGGTGGAATCACTGCAGATTCAGTATGTTTATGGCTCATAAATTAGATCTCCCCTTTCTCCTTGCCCCTTTCTTTTTTTAAAAGCTTAAACCAAAAGTATTTTCCCGTCCTGACATGAATCTAGTCAATCTACCTGGTTCACCTCCCGACTACGAGGTCTCTGAAGCTTGCTACTCCGAAAATGGATGTGCATACGACAGTTTGAAATACGAGCCGAGCGACCACGAGGTGCCGACGGACAGCTCGCCTAAAACGAATCGTATGGGCCGGTACCTCGTCTGGTGCCAATGCGTCCCAGGCACTCCGTGTCACGCCCCCGAGCCACACTGCTACCAGATGCACACCTTCTGCTGGAGCTTCTTGAATAAAGTATTGGGGTCGCGCGTGGAGAATAATATGGATACCCTGCTCGAGAGCATTGAGGTCGTCTGGGAGCAAGGGACAGCAGCAGCAACGACAACAAGCGACACGCCCTCCGCCGACGACGAGAGCGGTCAACAGCAGCATTGCCTTGAGGTTCCGCATTCGGGGAGTTTCCCGGGGACTCTGTCGATGTTCGGCGTGCCGTCGAGTAATCCTGCGCTTGAGAGGCTGATCGATCATTGTCGAATTGACAGCGACAGTTTGAGCGAGAAAGAGGCGAGCAGCGACGACGAGGTTCCTCTGCGCCAGCGACGTGGTAGCTTCGGTCGTCCTGGCAGGTTGCCCGTAGAGTTACAGCTGACCGTGCTCGATTTTCTTACGGACATCGCGGATATCGGCAATGCGGTGGCTGCGTTTCAATGGAGCGTGTCGGGTTCGTACCTCAGACGCCGGTTTCCTTACAAGGCGATCTACGAGTTGGACGATATCTCGACAGACGAGCTGGACTGGTCGGCGTTTATTATTGGATTTAACGAGCTTCTCATGGATCCGTCGTGGGGTATACGCCATCGGTTGCGCATCTTTAAGATTGTGTGCAGCATTCGCGACAAGTTTCTCGAGCTTGAGCTCGAGAGTGATAAGAGCGAGTGAGCAGGACAGAGTTGAATGTTAGGGGATAAGATGAGACACCATTTGGAAACTCATTTCTGGTTGCAATTTTTTTTTTTGTTCGCAGCTCTTCCTCTGTGGAGAAAAAATGTTGACATGATCTGGTGGGCTCTGGTTGGCAAATGAGCTGCGTATTTGCGATTGCTAGTATCTCTGAAAGATTCTGTGTTTGTGATTGTCTTTTTAATTATTCTCTTGCACACTATTCCTCTCTATGTGTGGGTTAGAAAAGACAACCGATTGACGGAAGAAGTGTTGGCCTCTACACTACATTTGTTTGTAAAGCTGCCTTGGACAAATCCACTATCCTAATGCAATTAGTTGGTCGTCCAGAGTGTTTTGTGCATGCTCGTAAAGTTCGTGGGATCCAAAAAAAAGATATCCCCGAACTGCGTCGTAGATCATGTAATAAGCAGGCAGGGGCATACCTATTGCTATCAAGCGCGAGAATGTTCAGTTTCCAGTAGATCTAGCTTGCAATCTGTTTGACGACTGGCTGCGCACTGAGATAAATAACTTCTTAGCGACAGCCGCTAAATTGGGCTAGAATGAAGGGACCCGGCGCAGTGATGGGTTTAAATAGCCAGTAATTCCCGCCCCCCGAGGCCCGTAAACCATCGCATATAAACTCTGTATGACTCCTCCATGCTTTTCTTAGTAGTGTTTCTTGACATACTTCATACAATATTGAGTCGCTCGATGACAGGCGCAGTCTGGACTCCGAGGAGAATTTTGACTTTGGGGGAGAAAAGCCTGTAGGAGCGCGGACAAGGATGGGAGGGGAGCAAAAATGCCAGAGCAGGTTGCATATGGTATGTAAGGTTAAGATCCGATCCGGGGGGGAGGGTTTGGGATGGTTTTTCTCAACAAGCAAAAAGATCGTTGCCAGCGATCGGCAAGCTGTCATTCTAATTCTAATCTTATTCTCTGTTTCCTGCGATATTCTTTTCGCCGGTTTTGGGCTCTGCAATTTTTATTTTTTTTTTATTTTTATTTTTTAAAAGCACGACGCCGGTAAGCAAGCAGGCAGTTAGCTCGGGATCCGAATTCCCCTCTTTTCGACCCGGGCAAGTTCGCTCGACCTCGTGTCTGAATTGGCTTGGTGCTCAAGGGGCCATCCCTGCAACCAGCAAGCAACGCAAACTGGCAAATGGTGCTGCTGGGGCCGGCGAGTGATGGGATATCCGGAAATGGCTCGACGCGCCCTTCCTCCTCCTCCAGCTCCGACTCCGATTCCGACGGGCTTGGTTCCAAGGAACGCCAACGCCTCCGGACCGGATTGAACCTCTCTCTCTCTCTGTCTCCTCTGAGTCGGATTCTTCCCCCCCGCGACACCGTGAACGGAGCTGCTCGCTTGTTTGCCTGCTGTGCCGCGGCGATCGACAGCTGCGCCATCACGTGGGCGACGAGATCGGCTGCAACAAGCACTCTTGGCGAGCGAGTTGCTGGGAGGCATTTTCCGGGGGGAGAAGAAGAAGAAGACGAGGAGTATGGTACGTCGAGAGTATCCCTGGTGGCTTTATATTTACACTCGGAACGCACGCTCGCGCATGGCCACTCTAGCTGGGCCGGCATCAGGGCCAACTTACTAGGGGAGAGAGGGGGGGTTGAGAAAGGCGTCGCTCGGCCCTCAACGGCCGGCGAACATTTAACAAGGCATCCGATGTCCTTGCAAGGGGAGGAGGAGGAGGAGGAGGAGAGGGGGGACGGCCCAAGGACACGATACCAAATTCCCGCTAATTAGTGATTTTATTCAAACGGACGGGAGAAACTGGGGCGTTTTCTTGCTTCCACCGGTGTTCGATGTAACCATGAACCGCCGCCAAGGTCATCCATGGCACTCTCTCTCTCCTCTCTCTCCATTCTCTTCTCTGTCTGTGTCTCTCTCTCGGCCTCTCTCTCCACGAAAAAGCCACCAGCCTGCTAGTCATGAAGGTTACTACGGTAGTGTTGCTACGGGCGTGTTACTCTGTCGAAGAGGGAAGAAAACAAAAGGCCGACTTCTACCCAATTATTATCACCCAGTGATAATATACTACGACAATTTCCCCTCTGCCCATGTACGCTGCTCCACCGTCTACCCATTTTTCGGGATTGCTCGTCCATTGACGATGATGCTTGAACCGGGTACTCCGTATAGAGGACAGCCCTCAGCGCTATTCGTTGCCTGGTGCCGGATGCCGGCGATGAAGTGCTCAGGCAGCAACAAGGGCGCGAAAAAAAAAAAAAAAAAGAGGGAGAGAAGCGGCTCGCATTCCGCCATGGTTCTAGTGTTTTTTTTTTCGTTTCCTCGTGTTTTTTTTCTTTCTGCTTCCATCCGGTATTCCCTGATCGCCAAGGATGAAGGAGTATACACATTTAATGTGGCCCGCCTTTGACATTACATATACATATATTAAATTGCGGGGGGAGAAATAAGCATTTTTGCTTTTTCCAGAGCTTCCCGGCGCCGATCGCTGGTATAAATCCGGGTAGTAGGCCGGTTTTCTCGGAGAGGCTTGCAGCTTGCTTTGCCGCCTGCTCAGTCATATAATTGCTTCCCTCCCTTCCTCGCCTTCCCTGCCACTGGCTCTCTCTCTCTCTCTCTCTCTTTTTTTTTTTTTTTTTTTTCTCTTTTTTTCTCTCCTTCTCCCTCTGTCGTTTTTCTCTTTCTCCCTTTTGTCCCTCCCAGGTCGACGGGGTTGAGTATCAGGTATCAGAGGTCACCATGTCTCAACGGACAGAGCACAACGGAAGCTGGCTACGGAACGCCGGGTCTCTCCTCTCGGTCCTAGCCTGCGTAGCTGTCCTTGCCAGCCCAGCTTCGGCCACCCCGGCATCAGCAGCAGCTCCCCGGACCGATGACTATCTAAAGCGTGCGGAACGCATTCTCAAATTCACCCCGCTGATCGACGGGCACAACGACCTCCCCAACTTCATCCGGAAGACGACGAAGAACCAGATCTATGATGGGAAGATTCCGTTTGAGGACGAGCTGCCCGGCCACACTGACCTGAAGAGGCTGCGGAAGGGCAGAGTGGGCGGACAGTTTTGGAGTGTTTACACACCCTGTCCTGACCCACCAGTGCCCATTGACGACCCTACAGTGCGTATTATCAGACGGATAATCTCTCTTTTTTTTTTTTTTTTTTTTTTTTTTTTTTAATTTTGCCTGGTGGGAAGATGGAATTGGCTGATCTGGTGTGGTTTGTTTGTGTTTTTTCCTGGTGTAGTGGTCCGTTCGGGATACCTTGGAGCAGATCGATGTGACTAAGCGCCTTATCGAAAAATACTCGCGCGATCTGCAGTTCTGTGGAGACGCAAGGTGTGCTCGGAGGGCGTTCAGGAGAGGAAAGATTGCCAGTTTCCTGGGTATCGAGGTAAATAAAGCTTCCCCCAATTCCTTACAATTCTGCAATTGCAAAAACGGCGAAAAAAAAGGGAACTTATGTCTCATAATATATTCTGCTTGAAACAAAACACAGGGAGGACATCAGATCGGCAACTCTCTCGGTGACCTGCGCCGGGTGTATGAGCTGGGCGTGCGCTACATCACGGTCACTCACAACTGCGACAATGCATTTGCGACCGCGCAGTCGACCGTCGCCGACGGCTTGCCGGACACCGGACTGATGAAGCCGTTCGGCATCGAGTTCGTCAAGGAGATGAACCGCCTTGGCATGCTCGTAGACCTGTCGCACGTGTCCGCAAACACCATGAGAGACACATTGAAAGTCGCGCGGGCACCGGTCATCTTCTCGCACTCGTCCGCATACGCGGTGTCCAACCACCTGCGCAACGTGCCCGACGACGTGCTGAAGGAGGTCGCGAAGAACAACGGCGTGGTCATGGTCACCTTCGTGTCCCGGTTCGTCAACGTCGAGAATCCCGATGCTGCAGACATCAACACCGTGGTTGATCATATCTTCCATATCGCCAAGGTTGCCGGTTGGGACCACGTTGGCATTGGAGGTGACTACGACGGCACCGTTTACCTTCCCAAGGGTCTAGAGGTAAGATAGAAAGTCCCCCCTTTTTTTTTCTTTTTTTATTTTTATTTTTATTTTTATTTTTTTTATTTTTTTTTTTTTATTTATTTATTTATTTTTTTTGCCCCCCTTTCTATTCTCCCTGCCAATTCGATCCAAAAAAGCTAACGACTGCTCGACAAGGATGTGTCCAAGTACCCCCACCTCATCGCCCGAGTCCTCGAACGCGGAGCCACAACCCAGCAGGTCCGCAAGCTCGTAGGCGAGAACATCCTCCGGGTGTGGACTGAGGTGGAGAGAATCGCGAAGCGCCTCCAGAGAACCGAGCTCCCCAACGAAGCGTACTGGGAGGGCCGCAACTGGACCAGACCCGCCAAGCGGGATCTGAACGCTGACTTCGAGGGCAGAAGCGTGCCATTGTTCACTTCTGCGTCGAACGGCGACTTCTGTGATTAGTTGGAGGTGGAACTGAGATCCTTTTTTTAATTTAATTTTATTTTATTTTATTTTTCTTGGTACATGTCAATATATTTTTTTTTTTTTTTTTTTTTGTTGAGGACGGGCCTGCTGCGGCCTGCCTTTTGGATAGTATATAGTATATACAGGGAATACGGAGTGAGTATTCCGTAATATAACTCTTCTTCTTCTTCTTTTTTTTTTACTTTAATGCATATCTGGCCATCTCGGTGCTAAGTCCAGGAATACTGTTAACTCTTTCAGTTATCGGCACCGGCAATTGGATGTGTTGCAGAGTGATGTTCCCTGCTGATACAACCACTAAACCCAGAAGGGCATAGAGGCGGGAAAATCTCTGCTCAAAAAGCAGAAAACGACCAGACAAGACTTTCAAAAGCAAGGCAAAAGCAAAAAAAAGAAAAAGAAAGAAGAAGAAGGAAAACAGAAAAAAAAAAAAAAAAAAACAAGAGAAAAGAGAAAAGAGACAGAGAAGAGAGCCAAGACAGAGCGAGTCTCTTCGTTGTCTACGACTCTGCTGAATTAGTAATTGGATCGCCGTCTAGAATCCCCTCGCGAGCGGCTAAGCATGGCGGCGATAACGTCATCCCGGGCGCCCCTCCTCTCGCTCCTGCGCAGCCGCTGCTCTCCGCGCCCTCCTCAGAGCACTACTAATAGACAGCCCGTCTCGCCCCTCCGGCATCCTGCTCATCCTGCTCATCCTGCTCATCCTGTTGCAACTGCTGCTCTCTTCCGCCCGTCAACCTGCACCGTGGCATCATCGCTGCTTCGAGTCCTGCCATCAGCATCAGCATCACTGTCATCGTCCGCGCGAAGGACATTCAGCACCACCCTCCCACCCCGCTTTCGAGGAACTGCCGCAAACATGGTTGTCACCGCACTTAAGGAGTGAGTCTTGTCCCCTCCCTTCACAGCACAGGAGAAAAGGAACAAAGGACGATTGTTGTTTCATTCATCAAAAGGCCAAATCAATCACATATCCCCATAAAAAGAAAAAGAAAAAAAGAAAAGGAAAGAAAGGAAAGAAAAAAGAAAAAGGAAAGAAAAGAAGAAGAAGAAGAAGAAAAAAATGCCAGCAGCCAAAACCCCATCCCACTTCACTCCCTCACCGCCCTGCCCTGCCCTGCTCTACACCGTTTCTCCCCAAGTTACCCCGCTCCCACTTCCACACATACCCCCCCTTCCAATAACCATCCATTTTCTTCGCTCTCTCTTCCTCTCCTGACCCACTAACCATCCTTCCCAGCAATGCCGCCTTCCAAGCTGCCATAAACCCCGCTGCCGTCGCCAGCGAAGGCAAGAAACTCGTCGTCGTCGACTGCTTCGCGACCTGGTGCGGCCCCTGCCAGGCCATCGCCCCCAAAGTCAACGAGTTCAGCGAGAAATACCCCGACGTCGCCTTCTACAAGATCGATGTCGACGATGCTCCCGACGTCGCGCAGGAGTTGGGCGTGAGGGCCATGCCGACTTTCGTGTTCTTCAAAGATGGACAGAAGGTCGACGAGGTGCTCGGCGCAGTGCCTCCGGCTTTGGAGGCGGCGATCCAGAAGAACCGGGCATAGATTATTTGATTATTTTTCCCTTTTTTTTTTTTTCCGGTTAACAAGGGGAGATGTTGAAGATCGAAATTTGGGATGAATAGATGCTTGGGATACTAGGGAGGGAGGTTTGAAGGGGTAGACGTTTGTTGTTATTGATTCTGCTTGTTTTTAGAGGCCTCTGCGGTGGTGTTTTTTGTAATTTTTGCTTCAGATATCTTGAACAGATCGGATCTGGGCATACCTTAAAAAACCACACCCACGCCCTGTCTACCTACCCACCTACCTACCTACCTACTCTACTCTACTCTACTCTAACCAATGAAGAATCTACGACAAAACTGTTTTGGTTGCTCTTATGCATAGCATCCCATGACCGGAATAGAGATTTATTATATCCCATCCAAATACTTGAAAAGTCCTACCCAAGATTCCTTTCCAAGCAGTTCCGAATCCAGAGGTTTTTTTTAAAAAAAAGGCTGCGTCCTGAGAAGTTTATGCATCACTTTTTTTTCCTTTTGGCCAGCTCACCAACCACATAAGTCATTATCGTCAACCAGCCCAAAAATATGCAGGAACTTACCCCCACTCAGATATAAATAAGACATTACTACTAACTAGCTAGCCACACACACATTACCAGCTAGTGGCTATTTGAAGACTGATCCTATGTATATATATATATATGTACTCCGTATATATATATGTATATTTTCCCAAGGTTAGTAACACACAAAGGCTTACTGACTCTCTGTCCTCAATCCATCTTCGCCTCAAGAAAATTCCCTTCCCCCCACCAGCCAAAACAGGCCCCCCACCTTGGCCGCGGAGAGCCAAACCCTCTAGATCTATCCAAGTAGTGTATGAATAAGGATAGTTTTTCACCCTACCCTTTACCCAGCACGTATATAACCCCATTTGCTCAAGAGAAGAGAAGAAGGCGTTTTCATCCCTTGAGGAGACCTTTTGACTCGGATCCGGGAGGTGATTGAACTCGGAGAATCGGGCGAATTCGATGGAAGGGGGGTGGTTTGGCGGGTTACTGATTCCCATCCACCCTTATCACACGCTCTTTCTGACTTAAAAAAGGGGGGCCATATATCATTTTTAAGTCGTACGTAGCTGAAGGGAGGTTATCTAGTTCATAACTACGCAGTTTGATAATAGCCGTCGCGGGACTCCTTTTTAGCCCCTGAAAACCCGAAGTCAAAATCTGTAGATTATAAGGGAGCTGAATCAATTTTCAGCCCTGTCCCTCCCAATGCTTAAGAAAATCAAACGATTGTTTTTTCATGTTACCTTTTACCGTGTAGGCAGTCCTTGTAATATAACTGGCAAGCAATGCCTAGAACCCAAACACCATAATGCTATGGAATCTATGACCATCATTGGTCTTTATGCTAGCGGAAAACGAAGTGAGAGATAGAAAAGGAGCAGAGGAAGATGCATAGGATATGAGGCATAGACATGAGAGAGATAAGGTCGCCAACGTGGCGCTGTGTACCAAGGCCAACTTAAAGAGCGAACTGAAGATGTCGAAACAGGCTATAATGGCATGCAGTGGACTCCTGACAGCTGAAAAGAGCGAAGGTCTCTTTGTCCTTGTTCTGCAGGAGAGGTTTGTCAATGAGACGCAAATTTCGATAAAACAAAACATTAACACTAAATCTATGCCTCGTTAAAACAGCAAACATGTAGATACGCGAGTATGCATTCGCTTTAGAAGAGTCCATATCCGGGACATCTCTATGCAAGGACCAGCCCAGGAGACTTAAAACCCCAAAAACGCCAAAACACCACGCTATGCCATGACAATCGTTGCGAATAAAGGGAGCCCAACGGTTCATCAACGGGTCGGGTCATAAGATTTCGGCCCAGTTGCTTTTAAAGAAAGGTCATTTATCGGAATCCCCGGAGTCGTCACCTCCCTCACTACCAGTCGCAGAATTGCCGCTGTCGGGACCCCCAGTCAAAGTGCCGTCGGAGCTCTTAGCTCTGCGTTCACCGGTGTTTGGCTCTTTCTCGGGAACTTTGACTTCTGTGTCTTCGTCTGTCTCGACTTCTGTGTCGTCTTCGGGAGTGTCAATTCCCCTTGGCGTTTCAACCACGGCATCTGGATCGACCCTCAATTGGATTGAAATGACGTCATCTCTGTTGTCGCCCCTGACTGAGATACCGACGGTCACGTCCTGCAGGATACGACGCTTGCGCTCTCTCGCAGAGCGACGGACGCCGGATCGAACAGGGTCTTCGTCGTCGTCGTCGTCGTCGTCGCTAGGGTCGGCGGGTCGTTTGCTTCCAGTGCTATGGCGGGAAGAGGACCTTGACGAAGCTCTCAAGCATGCCCGAGTGGCCGGGTTAACACCGCCAGGTGAGGCCATGACAGTACCAGAGGTCTCAGTACCTGGCGTTGGAGCTACGGACGATTGAGAGGACGAGGAGAAATCGTCATCGAGAAGACGGGAGAAGGCGAAGTCGATGTCCCCACGGCACTTTGTCAACACTGCCCTGATTGTATCGTAATCAAGGAAAGGAAGGGCTTCAGCAATCGTGCTGATCTTCCATGGCTCAGCCAGGGTCAGTGGTGTCGGCAAAGTCTGCGTTGCAACAGAATGGCTTCGAGCGTTTGCAGCATTCTTGTTGCCCTCCTTGACGACTTGAGCGTCAGCTCCATTTTTATCGAGTCGTCTGGGGAGGCTTGGTAGCCCTTCACGAGGGGCATCCAGGCGTCTGACTGACGAGTAGTGTTGGTACTCCTATCAAAAAAAAAAAAAAAAAAAAGGGTCATTTAACCATGGCCTGCAGGTAATACTGTTTCAAAAAGAATAGTAAGAGGGCGTACGTGGTATGCGAGATGGACGGTCTCCCTGTCGGGATCCACGTCGTGGAGGTTGCTGGTGAACTCCTGCACCGTGTCGGCCTGGTACACAACGATATCTCGTGCGTAGGCCTGACAGAATGCCTGGAGCTCAAAAGCACCACCCCACTCGTGCGGCTCGCCCATCTTCGAAAGCATCTCCTCGAACTTGGAGTTTATCCTGTCCACGCTTGGGGTGGAGCCAACACTACTGAAAGATCTGTTTGCCTGCCTGGAGGCCTCTCTTGTGGAACGAGGGCGGTCTGGACCGAGATCTACGAAATGTATGAAGGAGTCTCGGTGCTTGCGGATGTGGTCTACCAGTCGCTGGCGGACCTTGTCGTGGTGATCTGGGGTTCCGTAAAGCTGGTCTGAAAGGGAATAGAATAGGCAATTGCCTGGAGAAGGTCCGGTTAGTAGGAAGGGGGGTAAAAAAAAAAAACAAATCACGGCTAAGATCTCAACGAGGGAAACGTGAGAAATATTGTTGCGTACCATCTCCCTGGATATCGGCTGCATAACAATTTAGTCTTTCAAGGCGTTCCTTCAGACGCCGATCGGACTCCTCCACAGTCGAGTTTCTGCGCGAGGAGCGAGCACTCAGGCCAGCGGATCGTGCATTAAGCCTTGAACGGGCCATAATAGGCACAATCCTAGTGGCAGGAGGCAAAGTTGTGTCAGCCATATTTGCGGAAGTGTGACTTGCAGCAGCGGCATTGGAGGAGAATCTGCAACGAGGGAACTAAGGGCTCCCTCAAAACATGCCAGAATAAAAATAAAAATAAAAAAAATTGAGATAAGTATAGTTCTTCCAAAATAAAAAAACAAAAGGAAAAAAAAATATAAAAAAAGAAAAAAAAGGGTAGATATCAATCGACAAAGAAGTTGAGAAAAAAAAGACAAAAAAAAAAAAAAAAAGATGTGGAAGAGAAGCCGATTGAGCCTCCCCGGCAAGAAGTGAGGTTTTTGAGAGGGAGAGGGAAGAGAGAAAGAGGAAAGGGCGAAGGAGGGTGTGGGGGAGGTCAGGAAGGCTTAAAGGGGGAAGGAGAGAAGGGGAAAGAGAGAGGAAAGAGAGGAAAGAGGAGAGGTTGAAGAGGGAAGGAAAAACACGAAAATTGACGTGTTAGCAACAGGCAGGCGCGACTTTTCCCTTTTCCCCCCAACCCAAATTAGTTCAGAAACGGGTAAGGGCTAAAAAAAAAGAAAAAAAAAAGGAAGAAAAGAAAGAAGGAACAAGCAAGTTCTTGGCGTCATCGTCCACTCTTTCCGTGAAACTTCGCTGGAATTGGGAAGGTGCTTACCGGGAGCTCGCGGAGGAAGAAGGTTAATCCAAGCAATGTGGTTGGCGGAAGTGCCGACAGATTGTCGCAGTCGACCAATGGGAGGCGGGAATAAGCGCGGATGGTCGGGGTGTGGGGCCGAGTGGCGGCTATCCTTTCGGTGGTACGGAAAGAAACATATGTGAAGTACAGAGTATGTATGTTGAGTCTAAATGAAAGGGAGAGTGTAAAAGTGAAGGACTTGTCACGGATAAATTGAATCTCAAGAATCTCGCAAAGCAAGGAAACTCGAGAAGGAAGGGAAGAAAGAAAGAAAGAAAGAATGAATGAATGACAATGAAGAAAAAAAAAATGAAGGAAGGAAATTAGAGGAGAGAGCCGAGTTGTGAAGCAAAATTATAAAAACACCATCATTCAATCCTCATTGTGATGCCAACTAGTCATGAATGGGTGCTCACTTATATTGAGCATGCTGCTACAGCAGTGAGCGTACAGCTGCCCGTCATATTGTCATATACCATATAATATTGTGGCCCTATTCGCCCCTATTCAACACAGCACAATACTTACTCCCCATTTGCAAACGCCCATTGACCCTTGACTTATGACAAGCTCCATGAAAACATGTCCACAGTAAAGCCACGCGGCCTGACGTTGCCTGGATGTTTAGAGATGCCATACAACAGCATTGGAATATATCCTCTTGTAGGCCGTGATGCAGCACCCAAATTGAGTATTTCTTTTTCTTTTTCTTTTTTTTTTTCTTTCTCACAGAGCAGAATGGCTAGGCAAATCCCTGCTCTAGCTCTCGAATAGATTTCAATGGATATTCCATCATTTTTGAGCCACGGCAACCCATGCATGCTAACATTAACACCCAAAAATCAACCATGTAACCAGCATTTTTGCATGTTTTGAGAAGCCTTCTCCTTCGGAAGAAATATCCTGATGGCTGGTTGACAAAAGCATAGGATTGTGGTGAACATGGGAGGAGTAAATAAAAAAAAGTGGTTAACATCGCAAAGTAGAGAGGAGCTGTCATATAGCAAGCCTGTGGCATTTGTTTCTATGATGGCTATCCGGCCCCAGGTGTCACAGCTCCTTTGCGGAAGCAGATCGGTCTTGGCTTGCAACTGAGGGACATCTCCACGCACGCGGGTTTGGTTACAGAAGAGTAGACGCAAGTTTCAGCTTTGTGAGAAGATGTAGGACCCTGGGCTGGGATCAGGTGAGACAGGAGAGGAGAGATACTAGAACCGATCAGTTCAAGGTATACTGATAATACAATAATCCAACGCAAAACGAGTCTATAAATGGATAGTCAGGACTGCACTTCGGCGCTAGACTGATCCCGGTCGACTAGAAGAAGCCCTACTGTAGAACGACGCAGATGAAGCGAGTATCATGTGCGGGTATCATTTACACATTATTGGTATCCGCTACTGAATCCATTTTTGGCCCTGACTAGAGCCATCCCGGTATGACAACAGGTTCGTCTTCAGTTCAGACGGAATTCGCGTGCAGCATACCTACCAACAGGTTATCTCGCCGACGACCAGCTGACAATGTTGGTCGTCGCACAACAGGCGATGGGCCGCCAGACCGGAATCGGCCATGGCTGGACATCAGCGAACGACGTCGAAAAGAAAAAAACAAACATCCCCTGAGTAGGCTCACGTCGCCATACCTGCTGACAGTATTCCCGAACGATCAAGGCTTCGTACGAAATGAAAAAGACATTGGGATCCTAGCTCTCTAGATAAGGAGCTTGGTGATCTAGAAGCCTGCTACCTAAAATACTAATAGACATCATAGCTCCCCTCGATACCCCTTGCTTTGTGTCCCCGTGGGCCAAGGTATCACAGCTACCTCAAATATCCTTATCCGTCGAAACCTAGCCATCCCGGAAAACTTGGGAGTCGCTTGGTGGATCGATATTTCGCTTGGAGGGTCGCACCCGAGACATGAATCTTTTTTACCTTTCTTTTTTTTCTTTCTTTTTCTTTTCTTTTTTTCCCCCTTGTTTGGCTGGATAGGAGGTGGCTTTTCGGCCTTTAATTCGCTGATTTCTGCGTGGGAGACGCGATATGCATGCCTTGGAGATTTACGGCTTTTGGGATTTGTTGGCTTATTCCGACAATATTTTTTTTTTAAACCTCTGCTTTAACGAGGGTGGGACGGGGCATGGCTGTTTCTCAGAAGCTTCTCCGCAGTGAACAATGGAAGAACCCACAATAATACGGAGTACATAGCTAGTGCCGGCACTCTGATATAGTTAACGACGAAACCCGGAACACGCCCCTCACGAGTCACGCCCTTCGCCGCTCTTTCACTGTCGAGCTTCTTTCATTTTTTTCATTATTCTTTTACTTTCTCTTCAAGGATTCAGTGCTTGAATTATCTCGACAGAGCTTTATCCCTGCCTGATCCCAGACAATGGCGTCCAACAAGATCGTTATCATAGGGTGAGCTCTCCGCCGTGCTGCACGTTAGCCGGAGCCGAAAACGCATCGCTTACCCGGAGTCTAGGGGAGGCGTGATCGGATTGACTACCGCATACCTACTCTCCAAGGATAAATCCAATGTTATTACAGTTGCTGCAAAGCATATGCCCGGCGATTACGATGTTGAATATTGCTCTCCATGGGCCGGCGCAAACTTTCTGCCGTGAGTTGGCCCGAGAAGCTCTAGTCCCTTCACGACATATACCTTGCTCCGGTCTGATATAATCCGCTCTTGGTTGCAATTTTGCTAATTCGGGGCTTATACATAGTGTAGGAGCTCCGGGTAGCGCTCATGCGAAATGGGAGGCCAATACGTGGCCTGTATTTGAGGACCTGGCGCGGAATAATCCCGAAGCAGGAATTCACTTCCAGGGTGAGACTTTACCACTGCGGCGGTTTAGCAACGACAGAAGCACTGAGCTGCATTTTTTAGATTCTATTATATACAATCGCCTCAAGGACGCCAGCTCTGACACTGCTGTCTGGTTCAAAGAGCTGATCAACCCGAACCCTTGGTACAAAGACATTGTCCCCGACGTATGCAAATATACAAACCGCGCTCCCTCCCCCCCCCGGCTCTCCAGCCAAGCTGACACCCACCATTCTTAGTTCCGCCCCATACCCAAGGAGAAATTACCCCATGGATTTGACAATGGCTCCTGCTTTACCTCTGTTTGCCTCAATGCGCCGGTCTACCTTGCGTGGCTCGTCTCACAGTGTCGTAAGAATGGCGTAGTCTTCAAGCGTGCTGTTTTCACGCATATTGTCGATGCAGCCGGTGCTCACCACTCTGGTCAAAAGGCCGATGTCGTCGTCAACTGCACTGGTCTATCTTCCAAGTATCTGGGCGGTGTTGAGGATCAAAAAATGTATCCAGCCCGTGGACAGGTGATTGTCGTTCGTAACGAAGTTCCAGCGATGTACTCTGTATCGGGAACCGACGACGGTCCTAACGAGGCTGGATATATCATGATGAGGGCAGCCGGTATTTTTTTTTTTTTTTTTTCTTTTTTTTTTTTTCTTTTTTTTAACATCTACCAAGCGAATCTCTGAAATCACCTCGGATTGAAGGATCCCAGCTAACTCTCACAATTTAGGTGGTGGAACAATCCTAGGGGGCTGCTACCAACGGCACAACTATGAAAGCCAACCGGACCCTAATCTCGCCATCCGCATCATGAAAAGATGTGTTGCTCTTTGCCCCGAACTAGTCGGCAAAGACGCCAACGGCAATCAGCGCGGTATAGAAGCCCTTGATATCGTCCGACACGGCGTCGGCCTGCGGCCTCTTAGAGAAGGAGGTCCTCGAGTGGAGCGTGACAACATCGGCGGCGTTTCTGTCATACACAACTACGGCCACGGAGGGTTCGGGTATCAAGCTTCATTCGGTACCTGCGCTGATGCGGTCGCGCTGGTCGAAAAGGCACTGGATGAGAAGAAGCGCAGGGCTAGACTATGATTTAGATGGGGTTGATTGTTTCATATAACTAGTTAGCTTAGACCTGTTTCTTTTATTAACTAATGGCTTTAGGGTTCAATTGTTTTCCAAATCTTTTTGCTAAGCATTGTTCTAAACATTAGTTAGTCCAGCAAAGGTAAACTTTCATTCACCACATGAGTAGAAAACATCTTCGACGAGTTTTTCTTATACAGATGTGAGACCTTCCTGGGATGCCACTCTCTCACTTCGGCATGCCACCCCGCAAAGAAACTTTTTCACGATCGACGGCAACGCGGAACTGTAACCGGCCAGCTTTTGAATACTTTTTCCTTTTTTCCTCCCGACCCTGGCTCGGCTTTGCGGTTCGACAAGGATAAGACGGGCAAGGTGTATTCCGCTGTGCGCTAAAAACGAGAAAATATTTTGAGCTCCGTCTGGTGAGACGGGGCGTGATCGCGAGAAGTTTATTTGTCCTGCGATGTCCGTCCGACAAGGCAGTTTGAGAAGCTCATATTAATTAAATAGCAGCCCTCTGGACCTCTTATCGGGTTTAGAATTCAAATTACTTTCTGCCCTAGTGCTCTGTCCTGGGAGGTTTAGTTATTTGCCAGCTTGAAAGCCGTTGTTTTCGTAGCTGTTAACTGAGCTCCCCATACTGATAACTTTTGAGGAATTTGATCCTTAAACCTTTTTTTTTTTTTTTTTTCCCTTCTCTCTGATTTATTTTGACTCCCGGGGAAGTGGATCCAACACTGTGCAAGAGCTCTACAGAGCCTTTTTTCTTTTGACTCATCGAGTTGAATCGGCTCTCAATCTCCTCCGTGCATTGAGAGTAACATGGCAGCCTCTGTCAAGATGCCAGAAGAGCAATTGAAACCCCCGCTCTCCAAACAATCCACGCAAGAGCATATCCAAGAGTCTCCTGCCAATGGTATGGAGGACTCTGAACCCGGTGACGAGCCCAGTCTGGCCGAAATCAACCGGATATACAGGTATGCCACTTGCACCTGAACAAAACACACAACCCCCGCGCGCCGGGCAAAGTGTGCGTCTTCAGACCTAACCGACCGATCTGATTTCTTCTGCCTACAGAAAACTCGACTGGCGCATAATACCGCCGTTCTGGGTGCTTTACTTCCTATGCGCATCCATCAGATCCACCGTCGGTCTCTCGCAGACCATGAATATTGCAGAGAAGCATGATCTCGGGTCCGTTCTGCAGATGACCCCGCACGAGATTTCTACGAGTCTGGCGCTGTTCTACGTGTGCTACGTCGTCTTCGACCTTCCCTCCAATTTGATCATGACGAGACTCAGCCCGAGAGTCTGGATGAGTCGGATCGTCATTGGCGTGGGGGTCATTGGAAGCTGTATGGCTGCCGCGAAGGCAGCATGGTCGCTGTAGTACGTGTGATCCGTTATATATAATACCGTTCGCACTAACTTGGGTTGATACAAGTCTTCTCCGCCTCCTCCTTGGAGTCGTGATGGCTGGACTATGGCCTGGCATGGCGTACTACCTCACGCTTTTCTACCCGCCATCGCGCACCGGCAAGCGAATTGGCTTCTACTTCACAGCAGCACAGGTCTCAGCGGCCGTGGTCGGCCTGGTATCTGCCGGATTCCAGAAGATGGACGGTGAAAGGGGTATTGTTGGTTTCCGATGGATGTTTCTCATCTACGGGATCTGTGGTACCGCGACGGGAATTTCACTGCTCTGGTGGCTTCCAGAACGACCCTTGCCGCCCGGTGAATCACCCAGTCCCCGGTCAAAAGTGTCCAGGTGGCTGCCACAGACGCCGCCCGCATTGACGGGAAGAGATGCGGAGGTACACTACCGCGACCTAAAACGTATTTATCACCGGACACAGTGGACGCTCTCGGATCTTGGTCGTGTCCTCATGGACTGGCGCATCTGGCCGTTATTGATCATGTACTTCGGCGTCGTCGGCGTAGGAATAGGCGTACAGAGCTACGGGACGGTGATCATTCGTGCCACTAATCCCAAACTCACAGGCGTCGAGCTCAGTCTCCTCTTCGCCCCTATCTGGATCGTACGTACCCTGAAATCTTTCCCATATATATGAACCCCCCCTTTCTCTTCCCCCAATGAAAAAAAGAAACAAGCAACTTACCAACTAACCCAACCCCCCCAAAAAAAAACAAAAACAGACCGACCTCCTCTCCATCCTCCTCATCACCCCTCTCTCCGACCGCTTCCACCACCATCGCGCCCTCTTCTTCTCCCTCCCCGCCACCCTCCAGATCCTCGGCCTCCTCCTGACCACCTACGCCGGCAACCCCAGCACCACCCCCTGGCCGCGCTACGCGGGCCTCCTCATCGTCGGCTTCGGCCTCGGCCCCACCGTCCCCATCACCATGACCTGGACAAACGAGGTCTTCCAGCCCCGCCACGGCGAAGTCGGCGTGGCCGCTGCGTCCGCCGTGGTGTCCGGCCTGGGCAACCTGGGCAGCATTGTGAGCACGTATGCGCTGTACGCGGGTTGGGAGAGTGATCGGCTGGCGAGCGGGGCGAGCCAGTATCGGAAGAGTAACTGGGTTATGATTGGGATGTTGGTGGGGAGTATTTTGGCGGCGGTGGTGATGGAGGTGTTGTTGAGGGTTGTGGATGGGAAGAAGGGAGGTGCTGAGGTTGATGGGGATGGAGCGGCGAGGAGGGAGTCGAGGCAGAGGGGACTGGAGGGAGTGTGGTTTTTGAAGTGGAGGAAGAAGTGAGAAGAAGAAAGAAAGAAAAAAAAAAAAGAGAAAAGAGAAAAAGAAAGGGAGAAAGCTGAGCTGCGGGACTTCGCCGAACTCACCCGCCTTCTGACGATCCCCTGCTGCCCGAATCGATTCATATGGAGTACATTCCTGGGATTTTGCAGGCTGCAGCGTCACGCCTAAGTGTGCTCTACGTCTCCTGTTTGAAAGATGATATTGATTTTCACCGAAAGTGAAATCTTCGTGTTTATATAAGACCCTACGCGTAACCAAAAAAAAAAAAAAAGATATGTTAGAAGTCTCCATTGAAGGGGCATCGCTGATGAGATCGAATCATCCTACTACGAACAAACTTCTCAATCACCATGGCTACCACGGGCAAATTGCAGAAGTGATCCGTCATTATCTGCATGAAGATTGCACATTTTGAAAATTAAACCAGACCGAAGAGCTCTTGTGGCGCAATGGTTGAATTCAGGATATTCTGAGGGAATCACAATTCCATCAAGTTGATTAAGATCCAGCACAAACTCCCAACAACCTAGTGTCCCATGTAGTGATAGAAGTACAAACCGCGCACCAGACATGCACCACCATCCCAATGCATGATATGTATATATATACTCAAAACAGTCATGAAACCTCGAAAAGGATGTCAGATTGATCGAATGGGCGATTCTGCGTTTGGGAGACCCAGTGGCATGCGTACTCGAATAGTACTCCGCGAGTGTTTACTAGATGTTTACCAGCAATACTCGTGTCGATAGAATTCACATTCCCACCGAAAGTGATTGCAATTTGGTATTTCTCCAGTAATTCTCGGTTCCTTTTTTTTCTTTCTTTGCTTGAATCCAGCCACGGTGGGCTTCTTTCAAAAAAAAAGAGAAAAAAATTGAAAAGGAACATGGCTCATCTGGAAACATGCTTGACATGGATCCGTCAGAGCGCAGTTCAAAAAAACGCAAAGCGCGGTCAAATGATCGAATCTGCACATCGGGGAAAAGAATAACAAAGTGGGGACACAGTGATTAGGAGGGGAAGATGGAGTGTATGGGTTAAGAATAAATGTGATCATGGGCGTCAGGGCAAAAACGTGTGGGGTGAGAAATATATATAACAAAAAGCGAACAAGTCTAATTATAAGTGATTGACACTCATGCCTAGTCGCCAGTCTCCAAATCGTGACGCCAGTGGGGTATAAGGGAAAGCAAAGGACAAGATTTAAGAAGCACCGCAGAGCTAAAGAGAGAGAGAGAGAGCCATGTCAGCGTGAGCCTGGGAAAGATGTATCTGATGTAGTCAACTTACAGTTTCGACAATAATGCCGGTGATCTGATAAGGATCGGCATTACTGGCGGGTCTTCTGTCTTCAAAGTATCCCTTGCCGTCCTTGGCGACCTGGCGAGGAATGCGAATGCTGCCACCACGGTCGGCAACACCCCAGCTGAACTTGTCGATGCTGCCGGTTTCATGGCGTCCGGTGAGGCGGTCTTCGTTACCTTCACCGTAGACAGCAATGTGCTCGAAGTGGCGGGTTTCGAGTTTCTTCATAGCAGCCTCGATGACCTTCATACCGCCCTCGTTACGCATAGCCTCGGTGGAAACGTTGGTGTGGAGACCAGCACCGTTCCAATCGCCAGGAATGGGCTTTGGAGCGAATGAAATGATAGCACCGAATTCTTCAGCGACACGGTTGAGGAGGAAACGAGACATCCAGAGCTGGTCACCGACTACACGCAAAAATCCAATTTAGTTGCCAACATATATGAAAAAGGTCTAATGGGAGTGGAAACTCACGGTCGATGCCTTCACAGGGGCCAACCTGGTATTCCCACTGAGCAGGCATGACTTCGGCGTTGATGCCAGAGATGTTGATGCCAGCATAGAGACAGGCCTTGTAGTGGGCCTCTACGATGTCACGGCAGTGGACCTTGCCGGTACCAACGCCGCAGTAGTATGGTCCCTGGGCGCCTGGAAAACCACCCTTGGGCCAGCCATATGGCCAGCCGTCGGGGCCAAGGAGGGTGTACTCCTGCTCCAAACCAAACCAGAAATGTTCATGGGCATTAGCTCGCATTAACCGAGCGGCCTCGTGGCGGTAGTTGTACTTGTTAGGGGAACCATCGCTGTCCCAGGTCTCGCAGAGAACCAAAATGTTCTCTCCTCGTCGGAAGGGGTCTGGGAAGATGGCAACGGGGCGAAGGTAGACATCGGAGTTGTCTCCGGGAGCCTGACCTGTTGATGAACCGTCGAAGTTCCACTCTGGAAGCTCGTCTGCGGATTTTACGACCTTGTTGACGGTCTAAAAAAAAAAAAAAAAAAAAAAAAAAAGATTCGATCAGTCGGAACCACTCCGAAACAGAACATTTGGGTGGCGATGACTCACCTTGGTTTTTGATCGAACACCGCCGCAAGCATCAATCCAGATGTATTCCGCCATGATCTTACCCCGCTGATCGAGTTCCATGTATTTTTTTAACTATATCCAGTGCATGTCAGTGAATTGGTGTAGGGTGAGCGAGTTCAAGCCGAATCGAGGGCAACGTACGTTCTCCGCATTGGAGATATGAGTTTTGGGAGCCTAATTGCAGATAAGAATTGTTAGTCCGGTCTCGCGTCAATTCGTGCAACAGGCACACACATGGGGAGGTAGAGAGAGAGAGAGAGAGTCTGGACGTACCATGGTGACTGATGATATGTAGGTCGAGGCCGTGACTGACTGCACAGTGGGCACTACTGTTCAAGCAAGAGTGGATGGAGGGGCAATCAAGAGCGATGTTCAGAAGCGACTGGTCGAGAGCAATAAGCCTTACTTCGAAAGAAGAAAAGATGGAGAGGAGATTTGAAGCAGATGCAACACAAAGAATCGAGGGATATCACCAAGAAGGGAATAAAAGGGAAAAAGAAAAAAAAAAGGTTGAGGAAATAATGTGGAGAGAAGTCGGAGGAAGAAAAGAAGGGAAGAAGAAGATTTTATGCAAAACCGCGGGACTCGCTGGCTGGGCAAAAAAGATAAAGAGCAGGAAGCTGTGTGGGATCAGGTTTTTTCCCTCGGGACATTACCGTCACCGTAATACCCGCAATGCGTGGCTGTATCACTTGTTCCGCGCTAAAGTTTAAATCCCTCAGCTGGACTTGCGGCGGTGCACTGCCAAATTTAGCAGCAGCCGAGCGATTCTCGGGCAGAACAGGAAGCTAAGTCACGTGTTTGCGGGCACCATCCGTGGCTGGAGAGTCGTTCTTTCGTCATTTTGTGTGTCTCGGGCATTCCGAGATCGCTGAGGCATTAAATCATCAGCGCGGGGACGGCCGACTCCGTGCTTCACTTCGATGGCATCTGACTGCATATTTATTCTTTACGAGATCATGCCTCATTTGCGTTGTCTGCGCTCGAGGTTTGCAACAGGGGAAGCCGGGAGCGTGTGAAAAGAAATTTGAATCACAGGGAAAATCGAGACCTTTTGTGTGAGTGTGAGTGAGAGAGAGTGTGTGTGGCGCGATCACGCCCTGTGGTGGGCATGTGTGGCAGTTGTTTCAGGACACCGCGATACCGTTCTGTTACAGTATTGAAATACCGAGCGACTCGCATGGCCAAACCCTGATAAGGAATCCGCAGGACTGATAGGCTTATCGGGTGCTTATCAGGAACGAGGGAGCCGCGACTTGCTGACTGGCACCAGGAACAGCCTGGCAATCCCGCAGTGCACACGAATCGCCGTGACAGCGACGTTGCTCCAATACCGCAATTGAACTACAGTACAACAGCGTTGTCAGCAAGACCGGGGATGGAGGCCGTGGCTGCAGAGAGCAACTGGAAAGCTCGAGGAAGCTTTCCTCCCCCCCGGTTTCACCAACTTTGAAAAACATCCAATCCCCGCTGCCCAAATTGACCGCTTCGAGAGCTCTGGACCAGTCTCCATCGGGCAGCAATACACTGGACAGCAAAAAAAAAGGAGAGTTGATCTTCCTTTTTTTTTTTTTTTTTTGTTCCCTCCCTTATCGCGACAGGCGGGTCGAGAGGCCCGGAGTTAAAAAATAAATAAATAAAAAAAAAGAGAAGAAGAAAAAGAAAAGTCCAGCTGCACCAACCCTGCCCAAGCTGGCCCCGTTTCGATTGGATGTTATTCGCCGTCTGGATCGCGTTCCTTATGCAAGGGGCCGATCGCTTATCGTCCGCCAACGGACACGCCATGCCGAATCAGGACTGGTCCCGCCAAGCCTGCTGCCGTCATCGGGTGGAGTCGGGGTGTCGCCGCCAAGCTGTTATGTAAGACGGAAGATCTCGATTCTCCGCCGTATACGGAGTAGGGAGATTTTACCCCAAAACAGGTACTTCCGTCCATGCTTACAATGTAGTTTACTGTCTGCTCCATGCTTCTGTAGTTTTAGTTTTATGGTTGAATTCTCCTGTGTATTTCTTTTTTCTCTGCCAAAAAAAAAAAAAGTCAGATCCTCAACCGATATGTGTGCATCGAACAAACAATTCAAAAAAAAAATAAAAATAAAAAGAATGGTCCCTTGCAAAGCAGGCTGGGGACGAAAGGAGAGGCTCGAATTCAATCTCAAGCCGAAAGATAAACCATCCGCCTTTGATTGGCCGGTTCCCTGTTATCGTCAGCCCTGTTTTCGCTCTTCATTATGTATGTACGGAGTACGGAGTATGTAGTACTGTATGCTTCTTCCCCACACACACACACACTCCTGACTGTCACAAAGTTGAGCTCCCCGCGTGAGACGGAAGTTTCTTCCGGAAGATGCTGGTGCGGGAAGGCTCCGGGGCCGCTCATTCCACCCGTTAAGCGGGCTGCCCGCTTCCCGCTTCAAATCTCGCGGGGTAGTCAAATTCGCTCCCGATGGGGGGGAACTTTGGTGATATAGATGGGGAGATATAAGTTCAATTGGAGATGGTGGGATGGGTGAGCTTCGTCGGCTTGGGAGCTTAAAAAAAAAAAAAGAAAAAGGTTTAGACGCTCTGCTCTCCTCGTGGAGCTTCTTCCTCATTGAAGAGGCAAAAGTTACGAGCCGGGCGATCGGGGATGACCAGGAAAAGGGACATTGGCAGGAAGTCCAGGTCATCCAAAAGTGTGTCATCCGAGGTCTTCGAACCTGTTACTAACATAAGTAACTTACATACGTAGAGCTGCTGGCCTTTTTTTTTTTTTTTTTTTCCCAGTATGATGATGGATCACCCAGTGGCCCGCAGGCCATGAAGCTGGATTAGTTATACAGCCTCAGAATCAGGCAGCGAGCCTCGTTCGAATAACCAGGTTTCCTTTACCTGAACCACCGCCGGTGATGTAATTCTCCTCCGTGAAGACTTGGATTTTTTGTCTCTCACTCATCACCTTCTTTTAAACGTATTCCTACCCGGTGAATTACAATGTAGCAAATAACCGTGAATTACACCCAACCCTGGTTTATTCGCTGTAAAGTTAACCTGAAGATGCTAAATGACGTTAGAGATCGAGGGGGATGAAGATATCTCGGGATTGACAAGGAGAGAGGGAAGGCCTAGGTCTAGCGGGGTCCCGTTGTCGTTGACTTTTGCATCTTCTCCAGGATCCAACCCCCGTTTATTTATTTATTTATTTTGGTACCTTTCAGGACATCTAATCTAGCATTAGCAGAGGTCTATCTTGGGGGAAAAAAGCATCCTCTATTTGAAATAGCAACGAGAAGACAACATGCATTTAGTTGGGACGAGCTGACCTTATCCGTCCCATTGCTTGCAGTGGTCAACAGTGCTTCCTGGAACCCCGATTCGCTTAATCTGAAGCTCCTCGAAAACTGGAAGATTGGTTTAAATGGCCAGATGTTCCGTTTTTTATTTTTTTTTGGATCACAGACCATTCTATGAGAGACTAATTCTCGGAACCACTTCCAAGAAAATGTGGGAGTTTGTTTAAATAGGCCATTTCCAGTCCTGGTTTTTGTACGTGCATCCAATGGGAGGAGTCCGGGATATCAGACAACATAAATTGATTATCATAGAGTCGATTCAACAGCTGTCTAGATTTCTCAAGACCATCTCTGAGAGCACGTATCAGATCTCCCCCCGCCGCCATTCCTGAAAAGCATTAGAGCTATAGGGACAGGTCCGGGAGGAACTATAGACCACGGGAAGCTAGCTTCTGAAACTTTACATCCCTGGCAAGATGAGTTTGGGGGTGCATAGGATATATGTACGGCTCAAATTAGTTATGAGCAGCACGAAAGCTATAGAGCAGGGTTAGCAGGCATCCCTGATGCGACTGAAATACCCGCAAAACTGCATTGTGGGTTTCCCTATAGTTTTCCTAACTTTTTCAACACTGACTCCTGTGTCTGAACAAAAGTGATTACGCTCTAAAAGCGCTATTCCAGCATGCAGATGGGCAATGGCAGCCTCGTCTTTTCCATTACCTCCAAATTCTTTAAACCGTACATGATAACTTTCTGGATAGAACCATATGCCCATGCATATTGTTCTGCCAAGAATCCTGCTCCCGTATTGCCAATTGGAGAGCTGATAGGAAACGGGGTTTATTCGCCCGATGAATTGAAGTGGTGTAAGTGGTTTAGGAGGTGGGACAAAATTAGACAGGCAGTACCAATGGATTGATATGGAGATGGCCTTTGCGGGGGTTTAGAACAGAGACAGCATGGAATTGATATCTGAGTAGAGCTTACCAATAATAGTACCGTCCAGTTGCATTCCGCCATCCTTTAGTTATTGTACAAAAGTTCGACCGTGGCTACCGGTCAGGGAAATAATATTATCGGCGGAGGCTTTGTTCTTCAGCCCGCAGCCGCTGGACAAGCTTCTCCCTCAAGAACGGGCTTAATCCGAGTCTACACACCATTAGACATAACACTCTGCTCAAGCGAGAGAGAGGAGAAAACTTACATTCCATTTCTCGTTACAATTCGGTACGTTCCTAAACAGGGTCTGTTAAGATAAAAAAGGTCTTCAAGCAAACACGCGCAATCGGCCAGCCTTGCATGCAGCCATAGAGGTGCAAAAAAACAACATACCACTAGGTTGATAATTCCCATTCCCTTCAATATTTCCATTCCCGTCTACCTCCAAACTTCCGAATATATCTTCCGGCCTAAGGATCCCCGTTAGTCGAAAGATATATATATATATATATATATATATCGAAGTGGGGAAATGTTCTCGATACCAAGCAATTCGTCCGTATTCCGGCGGATTTCTGCTATCCGACACATGAATCCATCCGCCGCGGCCACCGGACCCGACTCCGCCCTGGCCGCTCGCTCCGCCGCTGGAATCGCCTCCCGTCCCACCCCCGCTGCCGTACGCTGGCCTCTTGCGTCGGGGCTGCGGAGAGAAAAACACCCCGCCGGATCCTAAATTTGCGCCCGCCGTAGAGGCCATGACTTGCGCTTGCGATTTGACGTCCGGGTCTTCGTGCGCATGTTCGGAGACGACGGATTGCAGGATGTTAAGAAAACGTGGGTTCTCGACGAATGAACTTGGGGTGGGCGGGAGCTGGGAGGTGGTGCCGATGGCAAGCTCTGGGGTTGGGGGGTTGGCGGGTAGGAGGGAGAGGGTGTGGGTGTTCGGAGAGAGTTGGTTGGCGAATATGTACTTTTTTTTTGTTTTGAGATTGTATCTCTCGATTAGCATTGCTGTGCTGAACGGAGGATTTCGCGAGTGTTTTATTGGAGGTGCGACTTGATGGCGGAGAGCTTACAATGTGAGGATGGCCTTGGAGCGTCGAGGATGGTCTGGTCTGGAGTATCCTTGGGTTCAAGACAGTTCGGCGGAAAGGCCCTAGAATAGAGGAGATGGGTAATTGAGCCATTGTTGGTCGCTGATAAAGGAGTTGGATACTTCAAGTAGAAGAATCGCTGCTGTTGCAAGTAGACAGTTCCCAGCGGAAAAACAAATGTGACGATGACACCGTTAGTTAAACTATGTTGTAACTACTACGCATATCCTTGTGGAGACCGAAAACCACACCGGGCTACCTATAAACTGAGAGGTACTCCATTGACCTTCTCTCACTTTCTACCCATCAAGCAAGCAGCCAAATCCTCCCTCCCTCCCTCCCTCCCTCAGCCTCTCAGGATAGAACCCGTTTTGCCTCGCCGTCTGGGCACCATTCCACTGCCACGTCCCGACGCACCAAAACATGAGTGTCAACAGTCTTTGGTTCAAGTGGAAGAGCTTAAGACTCCCGTGGCGGAGATTTTTCTTGGTCGGTGCGTTTCCCATTGCTCAATCTTTTCTTTTTTAACTAATTTCTCTAACTGCGGCTTCAGGCCAGGATCTGGCCGGCAACACCTTCTGGGAATTCAAGGACGCTGCCAATTCCTCACGGCTCAGGCGCATCGTGAAATACAATCCAAAGACCCATTATGCAGATGTCAAGGTATCACGTAAGTGCCTCATCTCCCTCGAACATACTCGGAGTCGGACCACTGACCAAGCTTGCCCTTAAACAGCGCAATGGCACCAGTGGCTGCGACATGTTCGGCCAGAACCCCCTTCGATAGCAGAACAGCAGCAGGAGCTTGTACGCCAAGAGCAGATCAAGTATCTCGCCAAACTTGCCGATGAACGATGGGCCAGCAAGCCTTCGTATCTCGACAAGCCACAGGAACAGCAGTCGGGACCTGCGATCGAATCGAGAACGCCGGCATACCATACCGGCCCGAAACCAACCGCCGAACAGGCCGGTGTGCGCTCAGCGATCGGTAGCGAAGCCGAACTGCTGCAGCAAGGGACGAAGAAGAAGAAGAGGAAGATAAAGACTAGTCCTTGGGAAGGGGAATCCGGTGCGCCGGGCGAAAAGTGGCAACCGGAGGCGTGGAATCCTTCTGCGGCAAAAAGATAAAAAGAATCTTCTCCCTTGGGGATGTCACAGATTTACCAATTCGACGTATAACCACCAAGTCTACGCGGGGAGCAATCTGCTTCATGTTATGAGTATCAGAAGACGTTCAAAGGCCATTCGAGCCACCATCTTCATTGACCATTTGCCCGTGCTCCACGGGACAAGTGAGACGCATTGACGGCAGTTCGAAAGAAGAAAAACATTGATCAGGCACGGACTTTCTCAGTGCAGCCTTGCAGAATCCCCTCCGCCATCTCTTCCCGATGATCACGTCGGATCATCCGCTTCAAAACTCTCCATTCTTGGTGACAATGATCGCAGACCGGCTACTTCTGCCATGTATGTATGATACTGTACCATAGCGTTTACATACTTCGTGTGTACATTTACTTTGGATAATAAAAGCAGGACTTACTTTACACCTGTTTGCACAGAATCCCGTGAACTTCATGATGCGCCTGGCATATGTATGTATCTGCGCTGCAGGTGCCTTTGGCACTCATCCTGTGATGCGACTTGGTCAACTCCTATTTGATCCACAGACGCTTTTTCTTTTCCCATCGACCACAAATTTGGAAATACATGCAACCCACCGCCAAAGGGAGAATAACCTAAATTCGGAGCTCTTGGGTTACTATGGGTAGTGGCACAACCCCCTCCAGTGGGTAGATCGGTGGCACAAGATCACACCAGGCTATTCAATCTCTCGGTTACCTCGACAGGTTCTCTCTTCCCGTCTGACTCGAATGTGTGTCGCATTTTTCCTACTGCCAGCGAGCCCTAGCACCGATCGAGCGGTGATTCTCTCCCCACCGTTTCATTTAGCCCCCTAGGGTTCTTGTTTTTCCTTTCTAAAGAGTCCTTTTTTGTTTTTTTCTTTTCTTTTTTAGGAGGAATTGCATCTCTATTCTCGAGCTTTGTCCTAGTCTCAAAAGGGCCCAGGCAGGCACCCGTGCATACTTGTACTCCCTTTCTTCCCTGTTTCTTTTCCGCACTTTTCCACACACTATTATTAGAAAATCCAGGGGTGGGGGGAGAGTCCGTCCGTGTGTCTGTTTCCGCTTCATGACTCAGGAGCTCGGCTGCCTTATGGTCAAACAGAGTCAGGCGTACATGCTCTTCATATCAAGCCATGATAAGATACTTTTCCCCTTGCACAAATGCAGGGATTCCGTTCCATGCCCGTGGATTTCTTTTTCTTGACTGTTTGTTTAACTCTTGTCATCCTCCTCGCTTTGTTATCGCGAATATACCATCGGAGAATTAGGCCTCCCTCTCCAATCGAAACAACCTGCATAGCTACGTCAGTGAGACAATCCGAGGCCTCGGGACATAAAGACTCCTTGATCACTAAGCTGTCCACTCTGCACGTATCTAGCCAGGGATTTTTGTGCGCGTATGTGCCGTGAGACCCGCTTTATCTTGTTCAGCTCGTGCAGATGAAATTTATGTATAGGCTGACAGGCATCAGCATGTTTCAAAACCCCTTGCTACAAATGTGTGTACATACATAGTCCTACTTACTTTCATGCAGGGCTAACACGAAAAGAGAACATTCAGCGCTGCTCATATGTATGTACCTATGTGTTGAGGTGATATAAATAGTCCATGCGTACTACATACAATATGTATACGGGAGTGGGAGTGAATCCGTGAGAACAGAACACGATGCACGTTCGGAGTGTTAAACAAAAGGGGGTGGAAGTCAAAGCAGCCTGCATTGGCATCTGCCCAACCCCAATGTCAATGTGCTCCCAAGATTGGAAGACACAGAGGCACATGACAGCACAGTTTCCTCCTCTCTACCTTAAAACACAATACCCTGAATACCCGGGAGGGATAGGCTACTAGGGCTATCATCGATCGGCTACAGAGCATCCCAACGATGTCTTCGGTAATCGTCCCACTATGCATATACTACCCACCGTCCACATCACCATAATTCTACCTACACTTCAAAACTTCTATTTTCAACCCTGGAGAACACTTTTCAGCCATTTCGGAAACTATTAAAAAAATTAAGATAAAGAAAAGGATCTTTCATAAGTCAAATAGTTTGCATACATCCAGGTGGCCTCTTCAAACCCCGCATGTTTGGTCGAACGTCCCGCGTAGTACAAGCACTTCAACTCATTTTTTAGGTAGAAGGGAAGGGGAGGATCGTTCTGAGGCTCGGGGGGGCTTGCCACTGCATGATCCCTTAGTCCAGATTGGGAGTTTGTTCTTTTTCAAAATACGGGGGTTACATATCCCTGTGGCCTCGCGGCGAAATCCCCATGGGGGCGTTGTATTATTGTGGCACAAGGAGGTAAAAGCCGGAGTACTGTGGAAAGGAGCGGAATTCGAGGATATGAGGAAGAATGATTGTATCTGGGTTACATACTCTGTTTGGTCATGTTGAATTTTTAAAAAAAAAAAGGTAGACTGGTAGATAATGTATTCAGTTTTCATAATAGCCATGCGTAGAATTCATTTCCAGAAAAAAGGCTTCAAAAAACGAAGGCCACCCAGTATGTAAACAGTAGACAGTAGAAAAATCATCAAAAGCCTCCAGAGGTAACATGACAAAAGAGGAAAAGAGAAGATGAAGGAAAACAAAGACGATGGGTCCAGCAAGCGAAACGAGACATCCTGTCAGCGCTCATCAGAAAAAGGCCTCTAATATATACATCCACTTTAAGAAGAAGAAACGAAAGCAACCCGTGCTTAACAAAGTACAGCCTCCAACGCCTCGACGTCGCCTCCTGCCTTTCGAACGGCCAGCAATGCCGCTTCTGAGAGCTTCCTTCGCTTCTCCCTTGCTTCTTGCTCGCGTCTGGCTTTGGTCTTCGAGCTGCCGCTCGGTGCAACGCCTGTAAGTAGTTTCTGGCTATCTTCAGGTGTAAAATTAACGAAGGAAACGGTGACGGGGTTTCTATTCCCCATCGTTGAACTGCAGTGGGGAGTTGTGTTGTGGACTGGCATTGTTCTGGTAATTTTTGAGGTCGAGGTACCTGGAAAACTGGATGCTTTGCGCGGGTTCGTACGTCGTTGATGATTTGTGATTTGCTGTCGGGACTTTGGCGAGCGGTGGCTGGCTCCAATCGGAGTGACTCGGGCAGGCGTCATTGGCGGAACTGTTGACCCAGGAGAGACCGAAGACGCGTGGGATGGCGATGCGGAATTATGCGACGATCCAAATGACGGCGGCCGCTGCAGAGATTCGGGGGCGAGTTCGAGTGGATATTGCGGGCCTGCTGGAGGCTCTGGACATGAGAGAGGTGGTACCGTAAGACTTGGTTCCGTAACATGCGGAAGTTCAGTGTGTTGGGTGACGTGGAGGCTCAAATCGGCATCATGCACCGGAACAGCGGTGTGGTCGGTGCGATTATGTTGTGGCCGTTGGGGAGCCGGTGCCATCAACATCGGAGCATAGCCACTGTGGGAATAGGGCTGTAGGCCTCTATTCGGCAGTGACGACGGGCCCCACCAGGTTTGCGCATCTGAAGGTTGATGCTCATGATGAGAGTACTGATATAGAGAAGTATCAAGAAGCTGGGAATTCCAGGGTTGATAAACCGAACCTTCCGATTGAGAGCGTAGGAGATGCATGGGAGCGGTCTGGCTGGATGGTAGAGCTATCGGTGAAGGTGTTGTATGTTCGAGGCACCGCGGGAAAGATGCAGTGCAGGGCGCGGGCATTGTCGAATGCTGCGTCGGAGAAACCATATTCGATCCATACTGTGTTGGTGACGCGCTTTGCTCCGAAGCACGACGTGTGTTAACAGCGGGAGTTATGTAATCGCGTTGAATGGCGGTCTGTGGCATCGGTGAGATTGAAATGCGTTCGCCAGCAGGTTGCCCACAGCTCGGAAAACGGCCGTGCCAGGCCTCTTGATATGCCATTGTGCAGCTAGAACGCGGTGAAATCGTCAATTCAAAAGGAGAGCCCTGTTTTCGAATTGAACCGACATAATCATTCGATTTATGGTTCGAGAGGTCCGTTGCAGACAGGTCTCCGTACTTGTATGTCGGTCGCTGGCGGAGCGTCGAAGCAGACCTCGAATCTGTTTCCTTTCGCCCTCTAAATAGCAACCCCGAATCGAACGTAAATTCATCGACTGTGGAAAGTCTGCTCACGTTGTCAAAGGCCTGCGTTGCCTCAGAGCAGAGCGTTTCCGACGTGTGAAATGGTGAAAGATGAGGGCTCCAATGCTGGGATGAAAGCTCGCCGCCCTTCATTATCGAAGATAGACTCGCATGAAAGGGGTCTTCCAGACCACATGATAACGGGACTTCTTTGTTGCTGGCATGCCTGAAAGTCTGTATCTCATCATGCTGGTCGAACGCACTCTGCAGCGAGCCATCAGCAGATTGAGCAGCAATATGCTGATCTTTATCTTCCGTTTTCGTCGAGTCTTCCACCGAGTTGGAAAGGGGCATCATGACTAGATGCTATAATTGGATAGGACAATATTCCGCATATAGATTCCAAGCTAGCCTGACAGAAAGGCCCGCTCAGTTTACATAAATGGCAAAGTGAGGGGTAGGAGGGAAATGAATATAGGGCGATTCCTTCGGCGTGCAAAAAAGCGCAGAGGAAAAGAAAAAGAAAAAGAAAGAAGGAAAAGAGAAGACTTAAAAATATAACCCAACGGACGAAGATCAACAACCGATGGATGTACACGGAAAAAACCACGTCGAACTAAACTCGAGAAAATGTCGGACACAGAAGGAAACAGCCTCGAAACCAGCAGCGGACTCTTAACAAGCCGCTCACAATGATGTTCGCCGACCACGACAAAAGAATTAAAAAAGGACGCGCTCGGCGATCATGCAGTCGGAATAGCCGGTTAAGTGAGAGCGAAACGGACGAAAGCTCAAGGGACCTATGCAGTGGTGGATGGAGATGGTGAAGAAAGGTGGAGAGCGAGGGCAGACGGGGTTAGGCAGCCGCAGCAGCCCACACCGGCCTTGAAACGGGATATATTTGCAAGAACAGCAGCCGTTGAGGGCATCAGTGCAGACACATGGGAAACAAAGAATGGCCAAAACAAAGTTACCGAATAACAAAGACCTCAGCGAAACCTAAAGATATATAGCAGCACATGACTGTACACTATATATCATATATAAATTCCCAAGGGAAATGACCGGAGAAAAAAAAGGGAAAAGGAAAAGGAAAAGGAAAAGGAAAAATAAAAATAAAAAAATAAAAATAAAAAGTAACGTGAATATGATTGATGAGCCAGAAACCAGACTGGTCTCGTTGCACGAGGCGAGGCCCAAAAATATTAATCAATGGGGTCAAAGGAAACCAGTCGGTTGTCAATGCACTACCGTACACTAAACAAGGCTTGCCGCCAAAAACTTGATCCCGACGGCATGGAATGAACGATGACTTTGCCTGCATAATATAGGTAAGCTAGTCAGATATCCAGGAACTGCTCGCTGAGGTTGTTGTCCAACCACACAGCAAGTGTTCTGCGAATCAGAGCTGAGCAACATGGACAAGGCCAGAAGAAAATGGAACACAGGCCGTTGGTGGGAAAAATGACAAGTCAGCAGGGCAATGGTCCCTCATTCGAGGTCACAACCAATCTCCGGGAACACAGAAGCTCGAGCATAGAGCAACACGGCCCGAAATGTTGACTTCTCTACGTCATGCAGGTTTCCCGGTTGAGGCAAGGAGGCGAAGGCTTAATGGTCACGATATTAAAGATCAGGTTGGTACATGAATATGTAATTTGAGTTGCAGGCCAGCACAGCACACACCAATAGATACACACAAAAAAGAGATAGAAGGGGGAGAGATGGGAGTCGAGCGTTCCGAGGTATAGTTCCTGCAAGGGAGGAGGGACTGTAACATGACACGAGAGAAGGTTGTACACCACGTTGCTGACACCAGCTTTCGAAGGGATGTCAACCGTGGATTTGCCGGGAGATCAAAAAGCTATTTCTGCACGCTGCAATTGCGGCTCGACTTTTAAAGCATTCAAACAAAGAGATCTTAGCTCCGAGGAGCAACTCCTTTGTCTCTGGGAGAGATTTTGGGGAGAATAATACTCGTATTCGACGTCTAGTTAGCCACTTACAAAAAAAGTCAGTCCATACCTGAAATATTCCAGAGTTACCGAGCTGACGGGACCTAAAAACCGAGCCAGACAAGTTAATCCTCTTTATGACAGATTTTGGCCTGAGGACGACGAGCAAACCAGACTACCAGCACCGCAGCCCACTAACCAGCGAGATGGGAGTTTAAGCTCGAGCTACTCCGTAGAGCGAAGAGAGGAGAGATGGGCGTCGTCCCCCACGCCAGGAGCTTTCCATCGACAGACGGATGCACGACGGCTGTTGAGGGCTCTCTCTCCGGCTCGCCTGGACGATCAGCAATGCGGTTGCGAGGCAGACAGAGAGAGAGCGCTGACGGGAAGACGGGATGGTGCAGCTTGCTTTGTGAAGTCTGATTAGAGTTGGGGCCAAAAAACGAAAAAAAGAGGGGCGGGCGACTAGATCACGTGAAATATTACATCATCTGGGGGGAGCGTGTGACTGCTGACTAATAAAGAGTGGCAGTCAACATGATCGGAAAGGTAAATAATCCGATCCCGTGGCTCGGCACCTTCCGCCCCATGACGACAAAGGTCCCATTTTCCTTCCCTTTTTTCTTCCCATTTTCCGCGACTTCCTTCTTCCGTCCCGCCCAAACTTCTCGTCTGGGAAACGACGAATGTGACGTCCTTCTCCCCCCTCATCGATTTCTCCCCAAACAGTGACTTCTCTCTGTGCGCAAACAGCACACCTTTACCAAACGCGCGTTTTGTTTTGCATCCGCCACCAACGTGCCTGCTTTTCAGCCTCCGGCCATCGTACCTGCCCAACCCGCACTCACTCCGCGTCCAACAGTCATCCTTCCTCTTTCCACTTCCACCTCCGCTTCGTCTTCATTTCCCCCCGCCCTCCAAACCTCCTATAAAACTCTCCACCTCCGTAACCGTCGCGCGACTACTCCCTGAGAATCTCCCCCCCCCCCCCTCCCAAAAAGTATCTATTCGGCACCCTTCATCCCACTAAGCCGCGTCGTTAGACCAAATGCTGTTCAAAGTCAAACTCTACCGATTGGATGGAAGGAATACTCTACTATATCCCAGGAACTTCAGACAAAGCATTCATCCCCAAGACAATTCTCCTAGGCTATTTTCATTTCGCTGCGACGAACCCAACCCCGTGTTTAGATCTATAGCGGAGAGTAGGAACCATCTTTAACCGCAGAAGAGATATATCTCTGAAGAACAAAACAATAGCTGCTCCTGTAGCCCTCTAAGAGGCTCTGAAAAACAAAAAAAAAAAAAAAAAAAAGGCCAACACACAAAGACAGGTGAACACAAAAATGGGTTTTATCATGGGCCACTGGACGCAGTGGTGTGCGGTGTCTGCTTGTTGAGTTTGGTGATGCTGCCAGCCATGGTTCCCTCCCTCGCTGTCTGGGGGAATCCCCGCCTGATTCACTCTTCACTGCCCTCGACTCTCTCACACCTTAAAGAATCGCCTTGAGACCCTCGCTCCCTCTCTTCGTCCTACGCATATCCCCAAACCCTCTCCTGCTGCTGCTTCCCCATCCACTCCGGCATCCTATCTTTGCCCTATCCATCCAGCCGAACACGTCCTCGAACTTGCATCCTGCTCAGTGCTTCAGTCTGACACTGATCCCCTTGACACCTTCCCCCCTTTCTTTGTAGGAGTTCCAAAAAAAAAAAAAAAGGGTGTGGACTCCAATCGCTGTTGGAATATTGGTTTGTTTCTCGCCTTTTTAGATATTATTTCTTGGCTGTTTGGCCTCTCTTTGCTCCTTCGGCAGGCTCTTCTCCTTAAGCTTATGCGCTCTTCTGGAGACCACACAACGATGTCGCAAAGCGAGGACGAAAAGCCCTCCTTGGAGGACTCGGGCCCGCTCACCTCTCCCCACTTTAACCTCGCCAGCTCGATCATCGCACACTGCCTTGCCAACAACCCTTTCGAAGCTGCTTTTATAAATCGCGGCCCTGGCATCTTTGCTGCGGCATTTGCCTCCTTTTCTCGCTTACCTGCTGCGTTCGTTGGGAACAAGGCCAATCCAAATGCCCCTTTCCGCACTAATATGGAAGCCGTTGTTGCGGCGAACGATGATGCGCATTCGTGCTCGAGTTTCGCATCCACCGCTATGTCTTCGGATGTTATGTCCCCTTCCGGCATGTCCACGCCATCGACCATGATCGGCGACGCCTCCGTCGATTCCTCGTTTTTCTCTATCCCACCCCGGTGTTCATCTCCTTACACACCCCCATACGACCTTGGGTCGTCTTTTAGAGATCCCGAGCAGGCTATGAGCAACGTGGATGATTCTGACGAGGATCAGTACTCCGATGAGGATTCTGATTGCGAATTTGCCGATGTTGAAAGCGACCATGGATCTGAGGTCGGATCCGCTGGATATGACGAATATAGTGTCGATGAAATGGCATATGAAGGCTCAGAGGATGGTGATTCGTGCATTGGGGGTGACGAAATGGAAAATGACGGTGTGTACCATTGAGTGTATCCTTCTCTCTGTTCAGCACTAACCAGTCTTTTCCAGATGATTCCATCGAGGAGCAGCTGTCTTTTATATCGTTCGAGCGCTCAGTTCACTTCTCCTCCGCTGATGATGAAGTGATCCCCGACGCTGGCTTTGAAGAGCCAGTCCCGGATGCCGTTCCTGAGATGACCTGTCATGAAAGGATGGCTTTAGCGGAGCATCTGAAGACCCGACGAATTGGAAACTGGGAGAATGGAGGAGACTACGATCCCGAGGAGCATTCCCGCGATTCTTTACAGCTGGACAAGGAGCTCCTTTCCGCTTATATTAACGGTTTACGCACCTTGAATAGAAATCGCTGTGAGACAGCTCTCCGATCACGAACGCTGCATGCGAGCCACGAGAGGCTAGGCCAAGTCGATGTGCAGACAGATAAAGATATGAATGAATATTTTGAGCGTATCAACGACCTCCTTCGTGGCATTTTCCCCAACCTATTCACCGAAGACGAGTACCTTCGGATCCTTTCCGAAGCTGAATCGGCCATCTCCATTGATGAATGCGGTCAGCTGACTTATGAATCCCATTCAGTGGCTGTCCAGCACATGATACGGAGCCTGCTGGCTGAACGACTTGGTTATGATGATATGTTCCTCGAAGATGAGATACTGGAGTGGTTCGCCGGCAACCTGATTGCACCGCTGGGTCAACAGGCTCTGGCCCGTCGGCATCAAGAAAACTGAATGGTTTATCTGTCTTATGGATTTATGACGATCTATTATCTTTTCCCGTACGGGTTACCCTTGTGCTTAGCATGTTCCTGCCTGACCTTTGGTTTAATCCGTTTAGAGGGGCCGATTACATAAAATCAAGGAACGAGGAGTTTCATGGAGTTTTTCCTCGGTTTCCTATTATTCCCCCCCCAATTTTTTTTTTTTTTTTTTAAAAAAAAAGAAAAAAGAAAGTAGTGCGATTTACTGATTTCGGGACTTTGCGGGAGCTTTTCTGTTTCTTGAAAATTCTACTGCCCTTTTCTTTAATAATGCTAATTATTTATTTTCTTTTCCCTTTTCATATGTGCTGTACGTTCCTTTTCAAGTGAAAGATAGAGGAAGTTTCTCTCCATCTTTGAACTGCTGGAACAATGCTCCTATGCGTTGCCATCGAAATACTCTGTGTTGTGGCAGAGTATCTATATATATATATCTATATGTAGAGTACAATTCGTCCATCGCACGGAGCAACTGCGATACCACTTCATATAACCAATGGAGTGTAACCTCCAACAATCCAGTACATAAAAAGTTTCTTCCTGACATCCGGTGAATTCGGAGCTTTTTTGTGCCTCCCCTTTTTTTTTTTTTCTTTTTTTTTTTTTTGGTTTTAACTACATAACTGTGTACCTGCTATATCCCACCCCCTTGTACGGGCCTGCAGGCTATAGTGCTACGGCTAGTTAGTTTAGGGCATGTTATATAACTTGCTTATAAAAAAAGGATAAAAGAAGAAGAGAGAGCAAGCAAGGAGAAATAGAATAAGGAAGTGAATTCATCAGGGTGCTTTTGGCTTCTTTCTTTTGCTTTTTCTTTTCTGTTCTCTAAAAAAAAAGGGACGAGGAAAGTTATTAGCAACGCACACCATATACGTACATACGTACCGTGCTCTGGTTGGATTCTGGAGCGTGGATATTACATGCAAAGGCAAGCATCCTCAGACGAAGGGAAGGGGGTGGGGGAGAGGTGTCATTTAATCAGAGATCCCTGTAGGATGTGTAACGGCTAACGCCGGTGGTCCAGCAGAAGGGACGGGCAGATTTTATACTTAAGGACTGTGGGTGAGGTGAATGAATGAATGAGTGAGTGAGTGAGAGAGAATGTGTTTCGTGTCGGCGCTAGCAGTTTAGTTACGTATGGACGGAGTAGCTGAGTACGAAAAATGTGTTCTTATCATTCCTTTTTAGCTTCTAGAAAACGATCTCGAGATTGAGTAGCTAACTAGAGAGGAGAGAGCCTGGGCTCTTCTTTTTTTCTTTTTTATTTTTATTTTTATTTTTATTTTTTTTCGTCAATTTCAGAATTATAACTGCATAACTAAGTAATAAAATGGGCGATATTACTGCCGTGCTTCTGGGGGGATACAAGCCACCCCCAGGGAGAAGGGAAAATCTGGGGGCGGAATAAAATCTCGCGGGTGGTCATTTAAGTTGGTCAACCGACCAGGGGTTGGGCTCCCTTTCTTCCCCAGGGCTCGCTCTCTGCCCGCCAGTGTCCGGGGGGTGCCGCGACAGCCCTATTGGCCGGCAATATCGATCTCTTTTTCTCGTTCTTTCAGTCATCTTTTCGCCTTTGGATCCTTCTCTTGGGGCGGTTGAGATTCTAACTTGTGCTGCCTTGTGCTGCCCTCTCTGTGAAGGATGATTCGGGGAATTCCACCTTTTCCGTCCTGCTGCTACGGGGGGTGACAATTCCCGTTCCAATGTTCTACGAGCCCCATCATCACTCTCTTTGCTTTCGTGTTTCGATTCCTGAGGTACCATGTTCTCCGTAGCTCGGATGCTGATTTGTCAAGCTCCACAAAAAAAAAAAAAAATCATCGATTGCGTGCCCGCGATGGACTGACTCCAATTCATGGCCCGGCGAAGGGCCCCAGACATGGCACTAACCGTTATCCTGGAGGTTCCTGGACACTCGCCGACAGGGGGGCCGATTGGGGGGGCGCGCGGCGACAAGAGCTAGCGGCATGCATGACATGACAGGGATGTGCGAGCCACGCAAACCGCGAACTCGATCAATTTGAAACTTGAAGCTGGAGGAAGGCAAGAGAGAGAACGCCTTAAACTATCGGTTAACTCGATAGTTTGTTAGTTCTGGATCAACACTGCGATCAAGAGAGATACTAGCTCGAAGAGAGGGGGGTGGGCACGGTCGTCGATAGCTTACTCATGACCTCTCTCGCTAGCGAGCGAGTGTCCATCCATCATCAAGGTTGGCACTATTGGAATCTGAGTCTCGCTCGACCCAAGCGGCCAGAGGTACAGGTGGGCCGGTCGTCCCCATCATGCGATCGAATGATTGGGCTGGGATTTCCGGATCAGACAGTCTTCAGGTCTTTCGAAACCTTCAATGCCTGGATGGGTGGGTATGATAGATGGACGGGGCTGCTTGATTCCCAATCTTCTTGATTTTCTTTTTTGGCTTTTTTTGTTTTCCCATGATCTTCCCCAGGGCTCCAGGGTTGCCTGCAGGTTGCATCTGCGGCACGGTGCACTTGCGAACGGTTGTTCGATGATCATTCTATGGAAATTCCACCGGCGAATGTGGCAATGGGTCTTCTTTTGATCTGCAGGCTTTGGAAGAGAAAAAAAAAAAAAAAAAAAGGAAAAAAGAAAAAAGAAGAAGAAGAGATGACTGGTTGAGTCTTGTCAGTTGATAACTACGTTCGGTAAAACAGGACGAGAGAGATAGAGAGAGACATGATAGCTCTGGGCTACTTTCGATCCAGAGAGGACTGATTATGCGAGAAGGGGAAAATTCAGCTCTACGTTAAATTCCGGCCTATCAGACAAGTAAAAAAAGGGGCGCCCCCTTCTCGCAGAAGAGCACTCCGCCCCGTGCTCCTCTGCGCTCTCTCGCTCAGCTCTGTGTAGCACAAGCGACGAGGCTTCCCATGATTGGCATTCGTCTGCTGCTCTGTTGGGGGGTTGCGGCTGGAAGACGAGAGAAGGGCAGAGCCAGCTCGCAACGCCGAATTTCAAGTCGCTTTCTTCAAGTCCGCCTGTGTTCGACAGTCAGACAGAGGAGCAAGCAACCGGCGATCTCGCGACCAAGCGGAACGCATATCTTTAGTAGAAACTCAGTTTTAGGGCCGCCAGCTGACGAGTTAACATCGCTAGCTGGGCTTATCGTAGTTTAACTAACCGCCTAGTTTCAACTGCGCTCCGTGCTCCGAACAGCGTCAGAGAGCAAAGGGAAGAAGAAAAAATAAAAAAAATAAAAAAAATAAATTTACTTAAGACCCTTGCCGGATCTAAAGAAAAAGGGCCCGCATCCCGCAAATCCCCACTTTCTCCTGAACTCCTCTGCTTGTCGGTAGTTTTCTCTTGAAGAATCTTTTTTTTTTTCATTTTCCTCCTCGAGGCTTTTCATTTCCCTTTCATCTCTTTCTCCTGCTCATCTCGACTTCGGTGCTGAGGCGGTGTTGCCACTATCTCTCCTGCTTTGACGCCGTCGTCGCAACCGTCGTCCTGCAGCTGCTGCCGCCCCGTCGTCCAATTGAATTTCCTCGCAAGCCAAGGGCTCCTGAGCAAACTACGACCGTCGAGCGATCATGGGAGTGTCCATGCTGCCGGCGCCCTGAAAATCAAACGACGACTAAAAAGGATAAATATATCAGACAAGGGCTTTCTTTTGCAATTTCGGAGAAAAAAACCCAGTACCCGCACTGCCCGTTGAATAATTTACATGCCGAAGCGGACTTGGCTCTTCCTCCACGGCTTAAAACGAAGTAGTAAAGATATAACTGTTCCTTGTTGCGTTGTCTCGTCCGTTTCCTTTGTGTAAGTCACCGCTACCCGTCCGACCGCCTCCCGTGTGCAAGGGGGAGGGGATTTATTTCCATCCCCAGGGTTAAGAAGGAAAGATTAAGGCCCGGGGGGGGGGAAGAAAAAAAAGAGAAAAACAAATACGGAGTACATCGTGGATGTTTGCAATCCCCCAGTCCTCTGTTGCTGATGCTCCCCAATTGCTTCAGGTACATTGCTCCTTTTTCTCGATTACCGACCTTTTAAACCCCCCTATGTCACGCCCGCAGTGAATCCATCTACCTTTTTGTTTTTGGCGGGAGTTGTACAGGCGGCCCCTGAAACCGGCGAAGCTGTTTCTCGCACGAATGACCTTCCGTGTGGACTTCGAATGAAATTCATTCCCATCCCGCCATGCAGCGCGATCACCCACCTCAGGGATTTGGCACGCGGTCATCCCGGCGAAACCGCAGTTCCAGCTTGTCCACAGACTATAAGAAGATCCCAAAGACGAGCTGCCTACTTTCACCGCCCCTCGTCAACCCGCAACCGCAGTATGTAGTGTCCTCAGCCGTCCGACAGGTGATCACCGCGGATCACAACGCCGCCACAGCGGATAGATTCCACAACGAGCGTATCGATATCACGGATGCGGCGTTGATGCTGCTGAATGGCTTCCTGGACAACCTGCTGTTCAGCATCCTGTTAACCGCCAAATCCACCAAGATCATTGCCATTCGACCGGCGGTGTCCGAGGTGCTGAAGCCCAGATTGGCGAGGGAGGTGGTTTCTGCCGCGGACGATGAGCTGGGTGAATATATCGGAGGAAGCGATGACGAGGATTTCCCAGAGTTCTGCGGTGGCCAGGAACCGTCCGGGCATTTCGAGCTGGAGAGGTCGTGGAAGCTGACTCGCCTGAGATGCATGGTGTACTCGAGGTTGGGCGACATGGAGGAGGAAGATGAGGAAGATCACCTCCGCCGAGAAGGCCTGGACGAGAACGGATCCCGTCCCGGTCGGTTTTCCAATCACATTGGACACATCACACCTGCAGCCGCTATTTTTCTTACGTCCATATTAGAATACATTGGCGAGAACGCTCTCCTTATTGTCGCTGAGAATGCACGTAACAGGTCAAGTTACGGGTCCCCGAAATCCAACGAAGGCCAGTCGGAGGAGGCCCAGATACCCAGGCCTTTAATAATAGACGACGTTGACGTGGAGAAAATAGCTTTGAACCCAACGCTGGGCCGGCTGTGGCGGACTTGGAGGAAGCATTCCAGGCTACCTGGGCTTTCAAGGACCCTCTCGCGGGAATCCCTGTTACGTTCACCACGAAAGACGAGCAGCAGACAGAGCAGCGTTGGCACGCTAGAGACCGTTGACGAACCGCAGCTTCGTCCAATTACCTCCCATCCACCCGTCTCGGAAAACGTCGAGCCAATAGACCCTACCGCCATACCTCTCCCACTATCAGATAACGACGTCGACGAAATTGAGATTCCGGGTTTTACTGCCCAACTTGCTGTAGCGATTCCTGCACGCGCCTTTCGACCACGAAGTCTTTTCATAACGCATAATGATATTAATCCTCGCGCAACCCCAGAGCCGGCCTTGCCCAAATCGGCTTCTGTTCTCGAATACCGCACACATTCGCGATCTCACTCTCTCCCCACCACGCCGCTGAAGGTTAGAGCGACTCCTCCCAAGAAAGCTCCAGACCTGGTTGTCATTCCGGCGAAGAACGAGGAGAAGGAGGAGGAGGAGGTGGTGGAGGATAACGATTCGGAAACAATGGATGAAAATGCAGAGCATGTCAATATAACTCGAACACGAGGATCCAGTACCCTTGATTGCGAGTCGCGTCCTCAGCGACGTGAGTCCGTGACACTTAATTCTTGTCTTAACGCCGACGATGACCTTGGAAGCCCCGTTTCTTCACTGCATTCTGATGCTATTGGAGTGGCGATCGGTCATTCCCAAATATCCGAAGCTCCTTCGCCAGTTTCTCAAAAGGACAGTTGGATATCAAAGGGAAGTTCAGAGTATGAAGACTACGAACAACAGCCACAACAACAGCAGCCAGCGTTCACAATTCCATCGGCCAATCAGCCAGCAGCGCTTCACGGACAGCAATCCGGTAGAGAAAAGGAGACACCGATGACTCTTCGCCCGACACAACAGCTCCCCGTAGATCTTTATTCGACCGCTCCATCTCCTATCCCACAAAAATCTCCTTTACGACGTTATGCACATGAGCATCCCACCCCTCCCGCTGAAGGAGATGACACGATAGTCGAGACTGCGTTCGTTTCGCAGCCTAGCAGTTCCGTCTCTCCGCCCCCGAGACTCACCCCTCTTCGGGAACTAGTTGCAACAGCGACCAGTACTCCAGACGAACACTCGCCCAGCCTGCCTGCAGTTTCTCAATCTGCAGCGTCATCCGAGCCGATGTCTGCGTCGAGCAAAAGCGATAGATCTACAAGCTCTCAAGCTAAGCGCATTAATATTAAAATCCCCGTGACTGGTAACACGGTCCACGCGATGACCAACTCTCCTCGAAGTGTTTCTTCCGCGAGGGAGCGTGCTGGAGTGCAGCGTGTTTCCCCTCCTCCGTCTAAATCGCCTAGTGAGCCGGGAGGGATGAGACCTCGTCGTTCAGAGAGCAATAGTAGTTTTCCCGAACGGAGGCCTATTACGTCCGGCTCCGGCACTTCTCAGGTATCAAGCAAGCTCAAGGGGCTGGTGAGCAGACAGATGACTAGCACATCATTGCGTTCATCTGGGGATGCAAACGGCGACGGAACTTCCGACCTGGACCAGCTTATTGAGAGCGACGAGACTCTTCACTACACGCTGACGCCCAAGACTATGAGGGAAATAGAGGTAAGTTGTCACTAGACGGCTTTACAATTACGTAACCGCGCTAATCCCCGAGCGCAGGATCCTGGTTCTCCCCGGTGGGCATCCGTGCGGACAGGGAGCGTGGATTTGAGAGATTCCGGCAGTGCAAAGGGCTCGCCTACAATTGGTGGCGGCTCAAACGGGCTGCGTATCACCGCGTCTGCACAAAGCCCTCCCAGAGGGCCTGCGCCACAGCCGAGAGACGCTCGTGCAGAGGTGAAATCCGTCCGAGAATTCGCCAACTTTATCAAACACACCGGCCCCGGGCCCAACTCGATGAAGCACACTCCCATCGTCATTCCTAGCTCGATACGGCAAAGCAACATGTCGCACGACTTCACCTCTATGGCCTCACCATCACCCGTATCGTCCCGTGCACAGAGTTCTATGTCGGGATACCTCTCAAGACCCAACCGGCCTCGCCTGGAGGCCCGCCCGGCTGTGGCGCCTAAGGATAACCAGACTTCGGAACTGATCGATTTTATCCGGGAAGGACCTCCACGGGATGGATCGCACCGAATTCCTCGGACTGTCGCACCGTTCCGGACGACGATGGATTCAGATGACTTCCACTCTCTAAGTCCGACACGCCTGGATAGAGACACGTTCACCCATAGCTCCATAGCAAGCACCCAGGATGATTCTGTGGCCGCACGATCTTTCAATTCATCTTTTAATTCGCGTACGGGGCTGCTCGAGGCGGTGAGCCAAGGGAATAATCGGCCGGTTAGACCTCAGGCTCAATTGCACTCTGTACTGGATTCGCCAGTGGATGAAGTTCGGGAACCTGTTCGGTCTCGCCGGCGAGTGAGAGATCCATACGCCATCGACACAGATAGCGAAGACGAGTTCGATGAGCAGCCGCGGAGACCTCAGAAAAAGGAAGAAAGCCTGATGGATTTCCTCCGCAATGTTCCCCCGCCTCCCACCAACGACGAACCTCCTCAGCTCCTATCCGTCAACATGCGCGCTGCAAACGCGATGCAGCCCGTCAAACCTAGGTCCAAAAGCACGGCATCCACGATGAAATCTCGTCTCATGCGGACCACCTCAACAGACAAAGCACCCAAATCTAAACTATCACGATCCTCTTTACGATCCCAGAAGTCCTTCGCGACAAATCCTGTCACAACGACCCCAGCGGATGCGCCCGCCCTCCCCTCACTACACACAACCACGTCATCCGTATCATCCCAGTATTCCTTCCGACAGGAACCGTACGCCCCTAATGTGACGACATACCCTGCACACGTCGATCGCCTTCGAAACGGGTACAACATGGGTCCGCATCCCACCGACGACATGCGAACACCACCACATTATCGCACTGGTAATTCCGGAACCGCGGCGTTGGCGGATTTTCTGAGAAACACGGCTCCTCCGGAGTCTCCGCAGACGTCTCGCCCGCCTACTTCTTCCGCAAAGGAAAGTGGTGGAGGCCTTGGTTCGTTCTCCAGGGTGTTTTCGCGGAAGAAAAAGCAGGCTATTTAATTTTTTTTTTTTTTTTTAATTACTTTTTAAGTTTCCTTTGCTTTTTGGCTATTTTCTCTCTCTCTCTCTCTGTGTGGGCTCTCGGGAGATATGCTATATCGTTGCTTTGGGATAGGGCATCTTTTTTTTTAATGTCTCCTATATTTATTCTATCTCTTTATATTTTCCTTTTTGGAGCGCTGCGGCGTTTTTGCCATATGCATGAATGATTCAGGAATTCTTTCCGTTGGAATATCATAATTTCTTAGAAGAGGACTGTTTTGATTTCGATTTTGGCACTTCCCTACTATCACTACTATTTTCGCACCAAGCTGGGTCAAGTTTTTCCTTTTCCTTTTCTTTTACTTTTTCTTTTTCTTTCCTTTTCCTACTCGATTCCCTTTAATCCCACGTTTGTTCATGTATATATTTTATGTACTGGGAAGAAGGATACCTCTTATGTGACGAACGTCAGCCGCTTATTTGGCGGTTGGTTGGTTTTTTGCTCCAATTGCTTCACTCCTTATCTCTCTTTTCTGCCTTATTCTTTTCCAATGCCGTTTACTCTGGCTCTTTAATATCCATCTCTGATATCCTGCCCTCCAAAGACGGTGACGTACGACCCATTTGAGTTTTGTGCTGTACATATATATCTTGCCGTAGCTGAAGGAGGTGCGTCCCTCTGATTTGCAATTTCCACGTCGCGGTTTTCTCCTCTTTCTGGCACTGCGAAATCTCTGTTTCTATGCCCTTTGAGGTCGGTGTCTTGTCAGCATCATGAGAAGTTATTATCAGCCCTGTCAAGCGCGAGGCGGATGTGCTTTGCTAGGCTTCCCTCCGTCAAGCTCCGAGGGTGAAGTCTCACATTCGATAATGCGATGGCGTACCCCTTCATCGCATTGGCGTGGATTTCGGGCAGACAGCTTTCATGGTTTCAAGACTTCCCAATACCACCTCAGACAAAATATTGCATTGATACATGCGCCGCTTATCGAATATAAAAAAGAAGTTGGTATGCCTGATACATTTACTTCTTTTTATTTTACCCCTTTTTTATTTTACCCTTTTTTTTTTTTTTTTTTTTTTTTAATTTTCCCCTTCATTCTACCCTAGGTTATCACATCAATGCAAGTCATCCACGCCGTTGCCCGCCGGCCGTCCAGCACTTGTCGTGGGCCTGTTCGCTTCCTCACCATGCTGCTGCCTCTTTCTCGGCAGGCGGAAACAATGCTTTTTGACGGTCGAAGGAGCTACCCATTCCGGCCGGGATGCACCGCTCTCTCCAATCGCGGGCAAGCCACGACAGACACCTCTCCTGCCTACAAGACTCTGCTGCTCTCTAACTCCCTCATCCATTGTCAGACCTTCACTACTCCTTTCTTGATATCTACCTGATACAGAGGGAAGAAAGGACTCCCGGCTTTTTATTCACCTTAACCATACGTCTTGAGTTCATCTCAGCCATGTCAAGTATGGAGAAGAAATGCTATGCTGTGGACCCGGACGGAGATGTTGTGCTGCTGGTGCGGCAGCAGGAAACGCCGTTTGCTGCGTGGGAGGGGGGCGCGTCAAATCCGTCTAAGGTAGAGGGGTCCAATTCCCCTTACCCTCCTCTGCAGCGAAAACCTTCAATTTTGAAAGGAGACAAGAAGGGAACGGAGCACAAAAAAGGTAGAAAATCTGCTGATTTCATCAAGGAACCCGTGTCCGCCGAAGGTCCCATGGCTGTCCACGATCCTGAGCCGATTGAACCGAATTCTCATGCTGATCAAAACCAGGCTAGCCAGCCATCTACTCCTGCGAAATCCACGCCATGGAAGTCGGCCAATAACTCTACTGATTCCTCTCAATCAGAAAATCTTGCGACACAAGATGAGTACTCATGGTTTAAAGTCTCTCCGCGCCACCTGATGCTGGCTTCGCCGCACTTCAAGGAAACGTTGACTGAAGGAGGGAGAAAAGCGCACATTCTGGATTCTGATGGATGCATAACCATCCGAGAAGACGGCAGAGACCCAGACGCTATGTTGCTTCTGATGAACGTTATCCACGGACGCACACGCATGGTCCCGCAAGAGATTACCCTTGAGATGCTCGCTAAAGTTGCTGTTCTCGTTGACGTGTATCAATGTTCCGAGGTTGTTGCGGTATTTTCAGACATTTGGATTCAGCGATTAACCGTCCCTTTTCCAAACACCTATTCTAGGGATCTCATTCTATGGATTTGGGTCGCTTGGGTGTTCCGAAAGCCAGAGGAGTTTCAGCTAGCTACACAAATTGCCCTGTGCCAAACTCCAGGACCACTTCCGACCCTTGGGTTGCCAATTCCACAGAAAGTAATTGGTAAGGAGTCTGAGGTTTTACGTATTCTTTGGGTGCTAATCGGCCGTTTAGATACGATCGATGAACAGAGGAAGGATTCCATTGACCAGATAGTGGAACACCTCCATGGACTTCGACAAGATTTCCTTGAGCAACAGGAGTCATGCTCCTTTGAATGTAGTTCGATGTTGTTCGGTGCGCTTACTATAGAGATGCACAGGCGGAATCTTCTTCCACGGACTGCATCGCCTTTTCCCGGTGCTAGTTTCGCGAAGGTTGTCCAGAGTGTTCGCCTGATCCGATCTCCCACGTGGTGCCCTGTTGCCGGATGGGTCTCGTTTAATTCCACTTGCAGAGCGCATGGCTGCATTCTGAGCAAATTTATCGATCCGGTGATTGAAGGCCTGGAACACGATCTGGCGGGATTAGAGTTGAATGATATCGAATGATTGAAATTTCATGCTTACAAGAGTTTATTGCCAAACACTCAGCCCGCAGCGAAAGGGACAAGGATGGGTTATCAGCATTGCAAATGAAGACACTTTTCTGGAGTATGGATCACTTTGAATGTTACTTTCTATCTTATTAGCGAACAAGGCAAAATTCTATGTCTTCTAGTAGTCAGCTATCTGTTCTGAGTTAGTGTAGGAGGGTTGGCTGAGGCCATCCTAGTTCCATCAAGTATACACAATAAGATGGTTTTGTTTGCTTTTGTTGGAATATGTGGCCAGTGGGTCAGATAAGTGATGTCCATCTCTTATATCCAGCTTGTATTCTTTCTTTTGTCTTGTTGTTCATTGGTTAACTTCTATCCAAATCATTGATATCAGCATTGGCTGCTTCATTGGACCAGATGATGAATTTAGTGCCCTGAGTTTTTGGAGATAGCACAGCTGGCACAGCAGATATCATAAGTTAGAGGGATCTGAAATGAGGAGACTTGTGGAAAAGAGAGCCTACAGATTCACAGAATTACTGCTGAGAATGAAAGACGGTATACGCCGTAGAGCAGGTATGTATTTGGGTGCAGAGCGCGGAAAATCTTGCTTCCGGCGACCGAAGCACTCGGCCTCCTGAACCAACCAACAACAGTGTACCGTGGCATCGAGCTGCAACAAGCTATAGACGTTCACGCAATTCCCCCTTCGAGGACGCTATCTTCATCCAAGATGGGTTCTACGGATGTGGGCCTCCGGTGCCTTTTTCGCAGATTACTGCTCCTTTGCATCTTCATCTCCGTTTCTAATGCCTTGAGATTCGACCTTATTGCCAACACACATAGCGGGAAGCACGAGCGATGTGTACGCAACTTCGTCAATCGGGACCAGCTTGTCGTTGTGACGGCCATTGTTAGCGGGCAGAAGGGGGATGGACAGGTTGTGAATATGCATGTATGTTGGGGATTTCCTTGCTTTCTTTCCTTTTCCCCTTTCCCCTGTCTTTGATCTGTTTACCCTGGTGTCCCCGAGTTCTCCGAAAAGGAACTAAGCTAATGCTTTCGCCTATGGATGCGCAGATTAAAGATTCCGTGGGGAATGAGTACGGTCGTCCGAAAGATGTAGTGGGCGAAACTAGACAGGCTTTCACGGCCTCCGCCGACGCCTCTTTCGATGTGTGCTTTTCGAATATCCTCGTTGGCCGATGTGCGTTTCATCCCCTCGTTCCCCTTCTTACATCGATCTTCTCTCCGTTTATTGGATGAATTTTCTAACAATTTTGTCGCGAGTAGCATCCGGAGCTCTTCCCCACCGCAGTGTTGAGCTAGATATCGATATTGGCGCTGATGCCCGGGACTGGGACGCCATCAAGGTCCAAGAGAAGCTGAAACCCGTCGAAGCCGACCTGCGCCGTATCGAAGCCATGGTTGGCGAGGTTGTTACGGAGATGGATTATATGCGTCTGCGGGAGCAGAAGCTGAGAGACACAAATGAGAGTACGAATGAGCGCGTCAAATGGTTCGCGTTTGGAACAATGGGTATGTTGCTGGGGTTGGGCGCTTGGCAGGTCGTCTATTTGAGAGCGTACTTTAGGTGAGTCCCCCTACGTTTCTGCAGTTCTCCATGTTTGTTTCCTGTCTTCAAGGAGGAGGGACAAGGACGGGTTAGCAGCTGGTGATGTGGAGGAGCCATGGGCTGACGCTACTGGCAAAATAGATCGAAGCACCTTATCTGAGTTCGTCGATTTGCTCTTTTGCTTTTGGTGTTTATACCCTTTACCAGCAATGGGAATACATATAAAAGGTTTACACTCTGGCGAGAGGGGGATGGTTTCCTGAACATGTTTCTTTGTCTTTGCGTCTCATGGCTACGGTAACAGGCGATGAAATTCATGGTTGTGCTCCCGTATGTTGGAATACATATTAATATAACGATGATATGCCTTGACATAAACTTCTTTTCTCCCAAATCTGGACGTTTTTGCATGTATTCAGACCCAAGGAAAGATGAGTATCATGTTTGGAACATGGTCCTGTGGGATTAAACTTAGTAAATATACTCCACTATGCTCTCGAGCCATTTAGCCGCCCGGTTGAGGTTTATGCTTCAACTAACTTCTACGTACGAAGTATTTGGTTTAAAGAGCACCTCGTATACGCTGTTATCAAATGGTGTGCCGGCGGAAAAGGCCGAAGTGCTTAGTGCAAACATACCAAACAACGAAAGCGTCCAATGGCGTAACCGGCCTTGATGCGCAGAAAGAGCCGGCAATGAATGCATCTTTGACCTCTCCCTGCTTGGAAAATCAAGAAGTTCAGTGAAAGATAAGCCTGCCAAAATGAATAGCTCTCGAAGTATCTGTCGTTATTTAGGACATTTCACCTCGTCTCGGTTTGGGCGGAGTATCTCCCCTCGACAACCCAGCGGATTCGAGCTGTTCACATTACCACCTCGGTGCTTATCAACGAGCAATGCTTGGTTAAATAACAATGGATCGTCACAGCCAGTCTCCTCCTCGTCATCAGGAGGACAAGGGCGAAGCGGCACACCGAGAAGGCATGAACTGGAGTTGGGTGAGATGGAAGGGATCACATTCAAAGTTGAGCCGTTGAGGAGAACGGGAGAGGACGTGGCAACGATGAGAGCGCGGCTATTATGTTTGTCATCCCACCTGTTGATACTCTTTCCCCGATGTGCGGAGCTGCATCGCTGACTCTCACCGCGGGAATAAAAAACAAAAGATCAATCCCGCAAACGTGGAACTCTTGAATCAGATCTACTCCTATCAACCTTTGCCGCCACAAACCTTTCCACCATGTCCAAGTCCCAATTGGAAGAGTATGATCGCTTCCTCGATGAAAATGACTGGGATATATACTACTGGGCTACGCAAGAACCTCCCGCGCCCGGCACCGAGCCTGAAGCCGATGCAAAGCCAAAGGATGCTGTCACCGACACCTGGAAGAACGGAGCTGCGAAGAGTGGGGAGTGGGCACAGACGGTGGGTGCGTTCAAGCCGGCCTACAGACCGGTGCCGGAGAGGTGGGCGGAAAGTGAAATTCTGAAGTTGCTGAGAGAGCACGTCAAGGATAAGAGTGCGCTGGGGGAGAAGAGCGGTGACAAGGCCACTGGGGGGGGCCTGGGAAGGATGCCCAACATTGAGGTTTTCAACTCGTAGGGCTGGATATGGAGGTTGTCTCAATGTATGTACTATAATTACCCCATTGCATGATCGGTGTCCCAGGCATAAAGTACTCCGTATATAGATTTGAGAAAAATTGTATATTAAAGCTGTACCATGAAGATGCCTCGCGCTTATAATATGTAGGTCATCTGAAAAGAGTGGTGATATATAAGTATATATGGGGACGCGCGATGTACATCCCTGCAGCTTCGACCAGAACAAGTTAACGGGTCGTTCCCTCGAAAGCGGTGACAGAAGGGGCGAGCTCCCCGGGAGCGCAAACTTGGCTCACAGCTGCTCCCACACACGCCGGAACTCCGCCGTCGCGACTGTGCTGGTGCCGCTGGTGCCGCTGGACGTTGCGGTGGTCGAAAAAGCTCCCGCTGCAGGGCGGACGGGGAAGGTCTCGCTTAGTTCCCAACTAGGCCTAGCGCGCACAACGACCCCCCGACCCAGCAAATCAGCGTGCGCTTAGGGCTTCTGTGTGCGTCTTTGCTCCCTCGACAATTTGCGAGCAACCGACAGCGCTTCATAAAATCCAACCCCCATTGCTCGCCCACCCTCGCACTCCCTCCCGCCCACCGTCGAGGTTTCTTTAAGACTCTCTCAGGCTTCGAGCACAGGTCTGCATAGCAATCATGGCTGAGCAGTTGGTTCTCCGTGGTACCCTTGAGGGCCACAACGGCTGGGTTACCGCCCTGGCGACTTCAATGGAGAAGTAAGATGAAAAACGCATCTGTCCTTGCGGATCTGGCGATTGGGATCATGTACACGCAAACGAGAACCAATGGGATGCTGACAGTCTCTCGATTTTAGCCCTAATATGCTCCTCTCCGCCAGTCGCGACAAGACTTTGATCATCTGGAACTTGACCCGTGACGAGACCGCATATGGATACCCAAAGCGAAGCCTCCACGGCCACTCTCACATCGTCTCTGACTGCGTATGTTTCTTTTTGCCTGGAAAATGACTGCTTGCTGCAAACTTCGGCTTGGAAATAATCGTTCGTGCATGGCTAATTGGTTACACGTTGTTCCGTCGCATAGGTCATCTCCTCCGATGGTGCTTATGCTCTCTCCAGCTCCTGGGACAAGACTCTTCGTCTGTGGGAGCTCTCCACCGGCAACACCACCCGCACCTTCGTTGGCCACACCAACGATGTCCTCTCCGTCTCTTTCTCTGCCGACAACCGCCAGATCGTTTCCGGATCTCGTGACCGAACGATCAAGCTCTGGAACACCCTCGGAGACTGCAAGTACACCATTACCGACAAGGGTCACACCGAATGGGTTTCCTGCGTCCGCTTCAGCCCCAACCCTCAGAACCCCGTCATCGTCAGTGCTGGCTGGGATAAGCTCGTGAAGGTACGCTTGATCTTGTGTTCAGATATCGCTTTTGTTCTACGAAAACCCTCCCAAAGGATGTTTTGCAACCTTAAAAGTATTTGCTACTTCAGAGCCCCGTTGGGCCATGAGACAATCATCACCAATTGCCCTGATGGAAATCACGTTAACATTCAATGTGTTCTGCGCGTACATCTTTTCTTTTTATCGGCATTTCTTGCTAATTTGTAACACCAGGTCTGGGAACTCTCCACCTGCCGCATCCAGACCGACCACATCGGTCACACTGGTTACATCAACACCGTCACCATCTCCCCCGACGGCTCCCTCTGCGCCTCCGGCGGCAAGGACGGAATCACCATGCTCTGGGATCTTAACGAATCCAAACACCTCTACTCCCTCCAGGCCGGAGATGAGATCCACGCCCTTGTCTTCTCTCCCAACCGGTACTGGCTCTGCGCTGCTACCTCCAGCTGCATCACTATCTTCGACTTGGAGAAGAAGAGCAAGGTCGATGAGCTTAAGCTCGACTTGGTCGAGGGTGGCAAGAAGAGCGGCGAGCCTGAGCCAATCTCCTTGGCCTGGTCCGCGGATGGCCAGACTCTCTTTGCTGGTTACACTGATAACAAGATTCGCGCTTGGGGTGTGATGTCGCGGGCATAGAAACCGAACTAGGTGTATCCTAGAAAATTGTTAAATCAGTAAACAAGTAATGGGCTGGGATGGACGAGCGATGAGCAATGACTTTTTTCCTCGAAATCACAAAAGAAACCAACGGTTGGAGTTTGGGAACGATAAAAGAATGGAAACTTTTGAAGAGTGAAGATTCCGTTCTTTCGTTGGTCCCCTTTTCCAAATGTCGGATATAAAAGGGCGTCCTGGTCCAACGAGGGTAGGAAGAGTAATTAGCCATGGATACGGGGATTGGTGTGTCTCCCAATTTACTGGCTTCCTTTCTATTTGTCCTCTACTTTTTCCTTGTTGTGCACTTGTTGGTAGATATACGGAGTAAATCCCGTTATGTTCAACTAGGCTCCTTTTTTCCCAAGCTGTCCTTGGTCCAATATCATTTCGTAGACTGCTCCGTGTAGAGTGTGCCGACCCAGTTACCAACCGGAAGGCCTCCCTTATCACAAGATCCCACAGTTGTACCTATAATGTACATACAATACATGTTTTATATTCCCCAAACATATCACAGAAAAAGCATGCCGAACTACCTTATCATCTATGCTGCTCTCACGCCTGCTTTTTTAGCCTTTCCAGCCCTTCATTTGCTCTGCTCACGCCTTCAGGGGATTGGATTTTCTTCGCTATCTCCCGAGCCTCTCCATAATACTTCTTTGCCTCGCTAAAATGGCCCTGCATTTCCGCGATCTCTCCTAGATTGTAGGTCGCAGTCAGACAGCCTTGATCGCATTCTTCAGTACGCACTGGCGGTTGAATCTTGTCCGCCACATCGAGAGCTTTCTTGGCCCATTCCGAGGCCGCGTTGAGCAATTGGTCACGCGATACGGGAGGCATATGGGTCCCCGATGTGGTTTCCGCAGGAGGCGGGGTTGGATTCTGGGCCTGTTCCGCCATCTGGCTTGAGATATTGTTCAGTAAAACGACCTGGGCGCATGTGCTCGGTCGATCCTGCTGGTCTTCTTTGATCAGGGAGAGGGACTGCATGTACAAAGCCGTCGAGAGGTCGCTCCGACCTCTTTCAGCGTAGAAGTCTGCGAGTTCGTTGAATGCAAATGCTACCTCAGTGAGGTTGAGGTAATAGTCGCCGTCTCCTTGGGAAACGGGGAGGTTCATTTCCCGGCGGTGCTGAAGCTCGGCGCGGCTTAGGTCAACGGCCGAGAGGAGTGCCTTTTCGGCTTTGTCTGTCTCTCGCACATAATCACTTGAGTAGAGTTCTGCAATCTTGACCCCGACTCCGGCGGCTCTTTTCATGACGAAACCACGCCGTCGCTCCTCCTCTGCCTCCTTTTCCTGTTCTGCCTTCCGCTCCTCTCCCGTGCCAGTGGGGTCGTCTATCCGGTTTCCATCCCTTGCCCGTTCTCTGTTCCTGATCATCTGCTTTCTCCTCCCGTTCTGCACCCATTCAAGACAGTCCTTCTGCGTCTTCTCTAGTACTTCAATGGCTGGCTTCATCATCCCCGCTTTCTCCAACATATGAGGAATCTGCAACCTAATCCCCAACACTTCCTCCGAAAATGGGTGCATGCCCAGCTGATCCGCAGCAATCAATGCCTGCTTATACCAATGTAGGGCGCGAACGGGATTTAGTTCGAATTCGGTGTAATATATGGCTTTGCGTAAGCTGTCACCCACGGGTTTGGGGAAACGCGAGAATTGAGGCTCCACGCGAGTGATGTGGTCGTATAAGAGGTATATGAGGCCGCTTGTCATGCTAACCGCAAAAAGAAGGGTTGCGGTCATGCCAATGGGGCGTTCGCGCCAGACATGTTTCCTGGCTTCGTTGAAGTTGTCCCGGAAGCGGGAGAAGAGGGTATAAGGTCGAGATTGGGTTGGATGAAGATATCGGGGAGAGAATTGAGGTCGAGACATGGCATTAGGTCGGTAGGACAGGGGGTTCCCTTGCGTTCGGCTGCTGAAGAATCGGGATGGGATGATGGCGGGAGTTGGGCCAGTCGGCGGGGAGGCGCCAATGCGCCGGAGGGTTTGGTTGAGCATTTGTAGACTTCAAATATATTATGACGGCATAGCAGAATTGAGGTTATTAATAAAGTCTAGCAAGCCATAATACTTCAGATAAAGGGGTTGGTTGCACTTGAAAAAGATGGCTGTTCCGTATGGAACTGGGAGTCGGAGAGAGCCTCTGAAACTTTCGACGCTTTGGATCAAGCTCCGATGACGTCTTGGCAGAGGGAAGTTAAACCGGACTTCGGACAAAATGGCATGGATCAGTACGGAGTACAGGGTTACTGACGCACGCGGTTTGTTGTCGGAAATGCTATCACATTTTACTTGAAGCCGTTCGATAAGACTGGTTGTTTATCTACGAGACGGGACATTTTCATATCGCGACGATGTGTGGTCGATATGCGTTGGGCGTTGTATGCAATACCGTTGATTCTACATGGGTCTTCACCGACCTTTTTCGTGAATGAATGATATCTGACTGTATCTAGCGCCTCGCCTTCATTAGACACCAACTGCAACGTCAAGGCCAGCAAGTGGATGAAGTTCCAGATGACGACGACGTGAGAGAAACTTACAACTTCGCCCCTGGGTACTATGGTGCCGTCTACCGCGCTGATACCCCTGACCAGGGGGGATATAATCCTGCTGAGGCATACGACGGAGGACGTCATGCCGCAGAGCATAAGATGCCGGAAGATGAGGGCAAGGCACAGCTGACTAGTGGAGGAATCGAAGACGAACGTGTCAAGTATAAGCTTCAGGGTATGAAATGGGGTCTTGTTCCATTCTGGACGAAACGGTCACCAAATTATGGCTCGTTGATGAAAACTATCAATTGTCGAGACGACTCTCTGGCTGAGAATAAGGGGATGTGGACGTCCATGAAAAAGCGGAAGCGCTGTGTAGTTGTTTGTCAGGGGTTCTATGAATGGCTAAAAAAGGGTAAGGAAAAGATTCCACATTTCATTCGCCGGAAAGATGGCGATCTGATGTGCTTTGCCGGATTATGGGACTGCGTCAAGTATGACGGTATGTATAGCGGCCGCCGGGAGCTTAAGATTTCCTAAAAAAGAATTTTTATTAACACTATATCCAGATTCCGATGAAAAACTGTACACTTTTACAATAATCACGACTTCTTCAAATGCCTACCTGAGCTTTATACATGACCGCATGCCTGTTATCCTGGAACCGGGAAGCCCAGAAATGGCCGCATGGCTTGATCCCCATCGGACCACTTGGACTAAAGAACTGCAGTCCATGCTGAAACCCTACCAAGGGGAGCTGGAAGCATACCCGGTGAACAGAGATGTAGGGAAAGTGGGAAACAACTCTCCCGACTTTATTATCCCGATCAATAGCCAAGAGAACAAGAAGAATATTGCCAACTTCTTCGCGAACACACAAAAGAAGGCAAAGGCTGAGGGACCGTCATCACAGCCCGGCAAGGTAGTGAATGAAATCGAGCAGCTAGAGAAGGATTTAAAATTTAAATCAGACCTCGAACCTGAATCACAGGAAATATCTAAGGACAAGGGACCTATGACCGAATCTGCGGGGACCAAGCGCGGATATCCGGTCGACGAAGCGGCAGACGTTAAGCCAGCCAAAATTCCTAGGACGGGAGGCACCTCCAAGTCGCCAACCAAGCGTGCAGCTTCAATATCACCGGTGAAGGCTACCATTCCAGGAAGGAAGACGCGCAGTGCTACAAGCAACGGTTCAGCCGCTGGCAGCGGCAAAACGGCCGATGCGAAGCGAGCTGCGCGTGGAAGTCAGCGGATCACAAGTTTCTTCAAGAAGTGATTTGCCAATTACGGCGGATAGAAGAGCTAACGCTGCACTACATCCTCGAATCTCCCCGTGTTCCCCCGGGCGTATCCTCCTAACCAGCGCCTCTCTCTCGCCGAAGCATCCGTGCCCATCGAATTGAGTCCTCGGCTGTGCCTGGCGGAATGACGTCAGCCTGACTCAGCCCTTACCTAAGCCCGCTCTCCCGCGATTGCGCTCCGTTCTTCGGCTCAGCTTCACCGCCGCGCCGGCTGCTTCCCCGCATCGCCAACGCCTGCGCAGCGATCACGACGGACGGCGCCCCGGCCAATTGGTGATGTTTGCGCGCTTATGGCCGTTTAGGCTTGAAACTCTCGGTTTTCCGGACTTGCCGGATTTTCATCCCGACTCCGGCTAACTACCCCAGATCGACACGGCAGAACCCTACCTTAATAGCCTTGGACGTAGTTCTCCCGGCGGATATATAACTTGAATGCTTGTCTACCTAATCTGAGCTTCATTTTGGCGTGTCTTATTGCATTGGCTTGCGTGTTTCCTACTGCATTATTATCGGATTGAGACTAGCTACGCTCGAGTCACTGAGCCGGTCGCGCCGGTCGACATCGACCTTCATCCACCCCGTTTTCTCTTCCTCTACTCCCGTTTACAAGCAAACTTCGTTCCTTTTCATCATGTTGTTATCTTTTCTTTTTAACCCGTATGTTCTTGCGGGGATTTTCATCTTTGTGTTTTATATTGTGCCCTATCTACGGCTTTCGTACCTGCGTGATATCCCTTCGCCATTCGCTGCCGGGTTCTCCAACCTCTGGCTTTTATATCAATGTCGAAGGGGAAAGAGATATCAGGCTGTGCATGACGCTCATAAGAAATATGGAAAACTCGTGAGAATTCAGCCAGACCATGTCTCCGTCGCCGACGCCGATGCCATCCAGACCATCTATGGTCATGGAAATGGTTTCCTGAAATCGTAAGTGTAATCGAAACTGTACATAAGCTTTGTTTATTATCGCACCTACTTTCCAATTGAGCGAATCTCTGCTCGTTCCATTTCATCCCATGTGCTAAATTCTGCCTGCGTAGTGAGTACTACGATGCTTTCGTGTCCATCCGTCGCGGGCTCTTTAATACTCGCAGTCGGGCCGAACATACTCGAAAACGGAAGACTGTTTCCCACACCTTCAGTGCCAAATCAGTAGGCCAGTTTGAGCAGTATATCCATGCCAACCTGCAGCTTTTCTTCCAGCAATGGACCAATATTTCTGAGGTGCAGCGAAACCCAAAATCCGGATATGCATCGATTGACGCTCTGAATTGGTTTAATTATCTTGCCTTTGATATCATTGGCGACCTAGCATTCGGTGCCCCATTTGGCATGCTTTCAAAAGGGAGAGACGTGGCGGAGATGAGAAAATCGCCGGATTCCCCGGCTTCGTACGTTCCTGCCATTCAAGTTCTCAACCGGCGCGGAGAGGTTTCAGCAACTTTGGGATGTTTCCCCGCTCTGAAACCGTTTGCGAAGTATCTCCCAGATAAGTTCTTCCGGGATGGGTTGGAAGCAGTGGAGCACCTGGCTGGTATTGCGGTAGCACGTGTGTCCGAACGTCTTCGCCCGGAGGTGATGGCGAAAAATACTCGAGTTGATCTTCTATCTCGCCTGATGGAGGGCCGTGATGAGACTGGTGCAAAACTCGGCCGTGAAGAACTCACTGCCGAAGCATTGACACAACTCATTGCAGGTTCAGATACGACTTCTAACACCTCTTGCGCCATGCTCTATTGGGTCTTGAGAACTCCGGGTGTCATTGAGAAGTTGCAAGAAGCCTTGGACGAGGCAGTTCCGGCCCACGTCAACGTCCCATCGTTCTCTATGGTCAGAGACATTCCTTAGTATGTGGCTATCATATCATCTGTTCATTCTATTAAACCAAACATCTAACCACCGTTGTTAGCTTACAATGGGTTATTTGGGAAACGATGCGCATCCACAGCACTTCGTCTCTCGGTCTTCCTCGCGAAATCCCACCAAATTCGCCGCCGGTCACAATCGAAGGCCATGTTTTCCACCCAGGAACTATCCTCTCAGTTCCCGCTTATACCATCCACCACTCACCAGAGATCTGGGGACCCGATGTGGAAGAATTCGTCCCAACTCGGTGGGATCCCGCTCGACTAACCCCACGACAGAAGGCGGCATTTATTCCCTTCAGCTATGGTCCACGCGCCTGCGTTGGAAGAAACGTTGCGGAGATGGAGCTCCATTGTATTGCAGCAACGGTCTTCAAAAATTTTGAGTTCCGGTTGGAGCAGGATGGTCCCATGGAGACCTCCGAGGGTTTCCTGAGGAAGCCCCTTGGGCTGATGGTCGGCATTAGGAGGCGACAGCCAAACTTGAACTAACAGTCAAGGCTGTAACATCGAATATATGATTATTCTCCATGAGAAAAAAAAAAGCGTCTATATGGGCAGTTCATAACGGTGGGATCGACCAAAAGGAGGCATGCCGGGAGCTATGCCATATTGAAGGATGAATTTCTGTGCTATCGATGGTGGACTTCTGAACTTGTTTCGGGATGGCTATATGGCCAGCACATGTGAATTGTGTACCTAAGGAATAAGTTGGGGGTTGTATTTAGGAAGAGTTTCTCAGGTCTTTTTCGTACGAGCTTTGTCTTCTATCTCAACATCATCACACTTTCTACTGCCGACTTTCAGAGCTTATATTGCAAACTGCAAAGGCAAAAATGAAAAAGCAGAATCAGCCATCAGTGTGCTTCCTTATCCACTTCAGAACCCATTCGACCAACATTCCCAAATCCTCGCAGGTCTCGAGTACTCTCGCAATTTGTGACCGTAGTTTCCTCTTTTCATCTTCGCATTTTTCATTGGATGTGTAATCGGTAGCATTACTAGGCAATATGCCAGAGATGTGTGATATATTAATCTCTCCATTGAGACCGATGTCTGCACCAATCATGACCTGCCGGGAGGCGATTCGCGTCAACAGCGGAGCTGAGTCTGAGCTCCTCATCTGATTATCCTCGTTGATGTTGAAAACAAGCAGTACTGTAGGTGGGAGAGACATTGGTGTTCTAAGCGAGATATCGACGCGGACTTCGTTTGCAGGAGGTGTAGAAATCGCTGTTGGGGGCGGCTTGAAGCCGTTATTTCTTCCGCTTCTCAGCAGCGAATTAAGTCTGCATTCCGTAGGGTTGACATTGCTGATGAAGTATCCATTCGGTCTGGATTCTTGGAAGAGTTGAGGAACTGACTTTTCTCCTGGTGTTCTCTGGGTGTCGCTCCTGGAGGCCGTTTGGGAATCAGAGAAAATTCGTCGTAAAAGACTGGAAATAAATGCATATTGTCGCAGGATCTTTTCATTAATTAGCATGGTTTAATACAGATTTGAAAGCGGGGAACGGCTAGGCTACTCACAGGAAGCACATCGGCTAATTGACGCGGATGCGAAAAGGGTATATCACGAATTGTGCGACCCGGTACCTGTTCAAAAGTATTGAACGTATAAGTATGTCGCTGTTTGACCGGTTTTCCATCCGCGCCGAATGTAGATATCTCTCTTTTTTGCATAACCTGTCTCCCCTCGAATTCAATAAAATTAGAATCACCTTGTGAAGGAACCACAAGGCTGTCGTAGGTAGTAGTCTTGGATTCCTGCATCATATTCGCCCCTATGGCTCGATAAATCTCGACAGCAGCAAATATGGGCATGTCAACTGGCGGCTCAAGCCGTGCGACGAAGCGTATATTGGGCGCCGTTGAGGATAATATGGTCGGTTCGAGAGCCACAGAATCCGGATTGTTGCTCAGAGGAGATACTAGTGTAGGCGGGGGTTCCGTCCAATTAATCATTCTAATCTCAAGTCCGTTGTCGCCGCCATCCTCATTTCTAATCTCTGTAAAGACGTCTGCTGAGACCCATTCTTTCGACACGCGAAGAGACGGGTATCCGGTTTCACATTCGATAGCGGCGCTGTAGAAATTAGCTTTGTCGGGAACCTCTTCGTCATCCTGTGCTGGCAGGTCGGTGTCCATCGCATTACTCGGCGGGACTTGTTTGGCCTCAAACATGCGCCTTTGATCAACCCAATACCTAAGCATCAATCCAACGTGCTTTCCTCCATGCATAGATGGTTTTCCAATCCATCCTTTGCATATATGATCCAAGTGGCTTTGCCGCGTTCCATGTTTCTTCTCTTCGTCCCAAATCCTTCTCAAGCATTCATAGATCCCTTCGACAGCCTCAAAACAATTGATTTCTCTGCTCAACTGGTCCAATCTCGCTAGCCGCCGCAAATTTTCATGGAACTCTGCCATGGACTTCCAATGTCCACCTTCCTGTTCTCCAGGACCCTGCATCAAATTCCTCTTCAACACTTCCGACGCCTCAACTCTCCTTTCCCCTTCCGGCGCGTCAGGAGTCGCATATCTCAAGGTAACATTCTTAACAATCTCCTGACCGGGTTCAAACTCGACTTCCAAATCGAGAGAATTTCCCGCTATGCTGAGATCGTTATCTTGCCACATACACTCCAGGCCTTCCAGTTTACCCAACCTCTCAATGCCCTCGCGACACACGCCTCGACCGGCAACACGCGTCCGAAGTAGCTGCAAAACCTCGTCTATACGTTTCCTTTTCTCGTCCTCGATATCCTTTGGGCCGGTTATACCCAGTGACGGAATCGCCATGGAGTGCAAGTCGCCCTCATTGATGCCTTGGCCACCAAGGGCGTCATTGGCCGCCGGAGACGGCGTAATTCCACCCAGCCCAAGCGCTAAAAGAGCTGATGGAGAGCTGAACACGGCCACATCTTCTATTGCGGCCGACGTGATGGGGAGAGGCGTGGGATACTGGTGTGACGACGTGCTGGGGTAGTTCTGATGCCCCTGGCCTGAAGCGGAGGGCGTCTTCATGGAAGGAGACTTGTGTGATAGAGGGCGGCCCATGGGTACGGCTGACGGGTGAGGAGAAGATGTGAACTGGGTGGGAGTGGCGCCCAGATTGCTCTTTGAAAACGGCGTTGCCATCGTGGGAAAGAGTAAAGGATATAGCCCCGACTTCTTCAAAAAAGTGGATTTACCTCAGATAAAAAGAAGCAGCTACCATAAAATTTCCGGTGATAAAGGTATCCAAGGAAACGCTCTCAGCACATGCAGCTAGGGCGCGAGCTGAGAGCATGGGAGCATGTATTAGTATGTATTTATATCCGTTCAATGCTCAAAGTCAACCGTGCTCTGAGTCCTTCAGAGGCTCATTCCAAGAAATCAATCACAATGCCATTGAATGTATCAGACTCTTGAATTGCACAAATTACACTTTTTGTTTGCAAATCAGGACTATTATTGTAAGTAGTGTTGACTCTTTTGAGGTATGAGCTGATGAAGACTGATGATGTTCATCGGACTGCTTGCCGCTTTTGCAGGGATTTAGTGCCGCTTTTAGTTAACTAGTTAACTAGTTAGTCAGTTAACCAGTTTAGCCAACTCAGCCAGTTAACTAGTTAGCTCCTGGACGCACTTATAATACTCTGGAAAAAAAATATGCTAGACTATCACAACCAACATGAATTCAAAGTTTCATAGATCCTTATTCATATCCAAATTGGTGTATTTACAGGAAGCCAATAGCTCTGTTAGATGTGTTCTTTGGAGCTTGGAAAATAACAATGTTTTCAGTCGAAAAGAGAAGACAAAATATGTGCAGGATCCATCTAGCTGTACAAAACTAACTCGGGTGTCCAGCACACGACCACACACACACAGGAACCATTCTATCTCGCGTAATGTGTATTTTCACAAAATCATTGACTTGCGAGAGATTGAAGATTTAAGTCATTTACTGACCGTTGCCGTTGTAGGTAAGCTTGTTGGTGGTGCCGGCGCCTGGGTTGTTGATGACCTCGAGACCAAGCTCCTTGATACGGTCACAGGCGGCGCTGGCGGTGATGTTCTCAAGGGCGATGAGGTAAGCGCCCATACCGGCAATGTGAGGAGCAGCCATGGAGGTTCCGGACAAGGTCTGGGTGCCACCGCCGGGTGCGAGGGAAAGGATCTCCTCTCCAGGGGCGTAGATGTCAACTGCATTACGGGTTAGAGCTATAAACTAATAAAGGCTTGAACTCTTAGATGCGTACCGACGGCTCCAAAGTTGGAGAATGAGGCCTTCTGGTCGTTGATGTTAGAGGCGGCGACTGTGCAGACGGTTGGCTCGGAGGCCGGAGAGCTGTTCTCGGCATCTTGCTGTAGGCAAATCAGCGCAAATTCCCAAGTAACTAGACTGCATCACTGCGATCTCAGCTCCTTTGATAACTTACGTTGTCGTTTCCGGCGGCGACAGCAACATGGAGACCAGCCTGGACGGCGTTGGCGACAGCCATGTTGGTGGTGTCACTTCTGGCTCCACCCAAGCTCAAGTTGATGACGGCTCTCTCAGCAACATTGTTTTCCATCGCATGGTTGACAGACCAGTCGATACCGGCGATGACTCCACTGTTGGAGCCAGATCCCCGTGCATCGAGCACCTTAACAGCGATGATTCTCACTTTCTTGGCAACACCGTATGTCAGCGAGCCAATGGTACCACCAACGTGGGTACCGTGACCATTGCCATCAGTATCATCATCATCAACATGGTTGGAGCCCCAGACAGCACGGCCCTCGAAGTCAGGGTGCTCAATATCGACACCGGTGTCGATGTCATAGGCCCAAACGCCATCACCAGCAGTATCATCATAGACATAGTCCATGTTTCCAGGCTCCTGGTGGGAGACACGGCCGAGACCCCAGGTTGGTGCGTCTGGCTGTTCGACAAGCTCGGTGAGTCTGACAACGTGGTCATGCTCGATAAATGCGACCTAATGTCGTTTAGTATTAAAGAGTCAAGGTTGCGCTCGGAAAGGTGTAGCATACATCAGGGCTCTGGGAAATATCCTTGATAGTATCCCTATCGAAAACGCCGCTGTAACCCTTCATCCGCATGAAATCATAGGTCTTCTTGATGCCGTGGTTCAACAGCGCCCGTCTTGTCAAGTTGGTGTGGTGCATGTCGGAAACCCAGGCGCGGTGGCTGCCAAAGGCCTCGCCGGAGACGCCGTCCTTCATCACGACAATGTACTGGTTGGGGATGACATCGTCGGGGCGGCTGGGAGAGAGGATTTTTGCAGCATTGGCAGCAGATGCTGCTGCGAGGGAGATGGAAAGAGTCTTGATGAAACCCATGATGAGAGCTGACACGAGATAGACGATTCCAGCAATGTTGGTTGATGCAATGGGTGAAGATGAAAGCAGGGCACTTCGCAGGCTTTTATAAATTCACGATACAGCTTCATCATATCATTGAAGTGAGGGATTCACCGTATCTAGCGCGGTTATTTCTGCAGCATCCACTAGCAAAGTAACCTTGCACTGGGAATAGACACCGTGGGGGGCCGTACTTGGGGAAATCATATTCGGGTATTCATGGACGCAGCATTCCAGCGCCGCAAGCTAACAATAAGCTGTAGGCACTAAGCAGCGATTTCGAAGGGTTCATCATTGACGGTTTGAGTAATAAAAGTCGCCGATGAGGTGAAACCTTGCTCAAGGATCAAACGGATGAGGGCCCAGGTCCCAATGGCTGAACAGAATAATGAGCAAGGGATCCAATTGCATGTTCCAGAGGTGGAGACAGGGGTAGTCGGCCAAGATTAATTCTTCAGATTCCGATGATCTGTGCATGAGAGAGATACAGCCAAATCCGCCATACTCGGCGACAGCACTGAGTTCAGAGACAAAGTTCATCTCCCGCCTCAGTAGATGATAAGGTAACCTTGAATTCAGGATAAGTACTCCGTAAAGATAACAAACAATAAAAGGGCAATCCCACGCTTCCAGAGTAGGAGTCACTACGATAGCACAAGTTAACACCGGAGCTGGTCTTAAAATGCCGAAGACGGGAAAAGTACAAATAAAGAGGGACATAAATCGCCGCCTAGGGGGACTCGGCTTGATCGAAGGGCATGACCGGCAGCTAGAAACCCTTGTCCACCGACTCTGTATCAATTCCTTCGGTAACATGATTGTCGATGCGATCGACAGCCAGAACAAGCGGAGAACATCAGTTTGGCAGCGGGAGCACATGTGCACTCCAGGATAGTGAGAAGACTCCTAAGCCTTCTATGCTTCAAAAGTAGTCGGGCCGCCTCCGAAGTTCCTCAAAATTTGTAAGATCTACTCAGAATTTCCTTGAAAGATCAGTGGGCAGAACAAAGCAAAGGTGTGGGGTAATTTGACAAGGCAAGGGTAGGAAGACGCTCAACGAGTCATGAGACCCTTGGGAGGCATATACACATGTAAGAGGTTCTCGGGAATTAATCTCCCGAATTCCCCGTCTGAAGGGCGGTTATTCCGTACCCCGTAGAGGGGAAAGAAATATGCGCAAGATACGGGCAGTAGCGATGACTAAGGATGCGATCTATGCCTTCAGCCAAGCGACTCAACATCTTGATAGAACCATCGATGGGCTCGAGTCAAAGATGACAGGGTATATAGGACAAAAGCCCATGCGGCTTAGACACTATGCATATGGGGGATCCTTAAGGCCCAGAAATCCAAGCATATTACTCCGCATCCCCTGCTAGAAATGCCATGGAGCGGCAAAACATCAAACATTAGCCCCTAACAGATGAGTGGTATACTTCGATAGACTTAAACGGCGGTCCATCGCGTCATGAAAGGCTGGCTGAATTGTCAGAAACTGCACCGCGTTCCCGACTGCCAGATGCACTCTTCTTCAAGAGCATTGCGAGATGGGAATCTGATGGAACAGCGTGACAAGGGTGGCTAAAACCACGGCGAGTGCATGTAGCTATCTGGAGAGCGGGGATATCGAAGGATGCTCGACGCGCGTGTCAGCCCGACGAAGAGCAAGGATGTGAGTATTAAAACGACCAACGGCAGCGCCGTCTACAACAGGAAACAGGTCGGCGTACGTCAGTGCTCAGAAGGTTGCAGGATAAACAGATAAACAGCCGATGGAGGCCGTGAGAGCGCTGTCTGGAATCCCTGGGTTGTCGAGCGAAGGAAAGGTTCGAGGACGTCTGGAGAACGCAATCGGCGAAGAGGGCCATCCCGTTTGACGCCGATCAACGTCGTGATGGGCAGGTTCGAAAGGGCTGATCGATTGCTGGTCGACGGTCGATGAAACAGCAACAGAAAGGATGTTGGATTAAGCTTCGGACGCTAACGTCTCAATACGCCGAGTTACCCGGCCGGAAGGCCATTCTATTGGCCATGTGTAAATTAGCGCCGGGGTTGCAGCATACCATTGGACAGATTTGTTACCACGTCCCAGTCGTGACAAGCGCCGACGATCACAGCGCCGTGCTTTGCTTGGGGGAAACGCGCCGACGATCCAACTCCACTTCAGTCTCCTCCAGCACAACCAACCTGGGGGATGGCCAGGAACTCCGTGCGCACCGGCATTTCATTCGCAGTCCGTCCTCGACGCCTCATAGAGATCAGGCCCTGTGGTGGGAACACACGTCATGTCCAAGCCCAACACGCGAGTCGCACATCCCACCTGACGGAACCCTATTTCCTAAGCGACGGCGGAGCTATCAACCCCAAGCTAATATGACTATGGGGTACGGAGTAGACAGGTCAAAGCCAACGAAGTTCCACGTGAAAACGAAACGAATCATCTGCAATAGCCGCGTGCATCGATCGAAGCCCAAGATTTTCTAGAAGAAATTACCCCAGGGGCAAGGGCGGGCGGAGCAACGATCGACCCGGTGCACAATGCAACCCATCGAACCATCCTCGTAATCGGCCGACATGGAAGGAACAGAGTGCCTTGCCGGTAATAACTCGCCTTCTGTGTCTCTCATGGCTTTAAGGAGAGGACCTTGGTTGCAAATACGTATTCTCCGTGCTTCCCCAGGCGCTCCAGCTCCTCCGGGATATGCAGCTTCGCTCCTGGGGCTAGGATTGACCGACGGCACATGAAAAAGTTGGGAGCAACCTAATTTTGATATCTTCACTTGAGGGGGGGCTTCTGGAAGGCGCAGAGGACTTACAGATTACCGGTATTGAGAGGTTTGTTCAGAGACCTCCCCATCGATTCATATGTCCGTACCCTCTGCAAAGATGTCGTGCTGCGTTAAATCTGGGTACGTACGGAGAGGTCGCTGCTTCTACCCATTTCTTGGGTCCTTTATCGACATTGATTATTTTCTCGAACCGCGCAAAATACAGATACCGAGTGATACGCCCGTCTCAAGCCTAACTCAATCGTCAGATTTGAACGATTCCGACTTCCCACACACGCACATGTGCCAATCGAGAAAATCAGGTTCAACATCGTATAACGGCATCCACATCTTGTGGCTCGGCATCCCGTGGACATCTTCATTTCAAGTTGGAAACACCGAGCGTCTCTTCCATTGTGCGCAAATGCTATTGGGTCCTCCCTTCTCAAAGGGAAAAACCCTGAGTTTCTTGATGCTCTGTGATTGCTACTCTCGTGCAACAACTCACAGGAGGTTTAATGATCACACCACTTGCCATATATCGGGAAACAATATACCTGCGAGTTGTTTATTGAGCTCCCCCCGTGTTTGAATACCCTTCAAAGACAAGGGTCTTTCCCTGGTTTTCTTCGAATTAATACACCGCAATAGTACATCAAATAACGTCGCTCCATTCGACGACGATTTTGAGATCGTGCCAACCACAGTACACTCAGATTATCCTTTTGCTCGGGTGATGCTATAAAAAACGAGCATGGATGCTCCAGAGGATTAATTTCTTTCGTTAATCGCAGTCTCAAATGCGTATCTGATGTTTTGCATTTAACAAAGTTAGATAGCGACAGAAATCATGTCCGAAGCCCTATTCGAGGTAAGCCTAGTGACATAGGAATTGGATAACATAGACCTAGGAAAATTTCCGTTAATAGATCTACGGGAATGGATCTACCCGATTTCTATATCCCAGATATCCGCATCAGATCTACATCGATGTACGGAGTAGATTCATCCTAGGTTCTACTCCTCCGGGGCTGACTTCACTTATTCTTCACTTTTTATCTTTCATATCCACTGATATTCAAGTTGATGTGAGCAGCAAGAACTTATTTTCAAAGAGCGATTTTTACCTTTTCCTACAATTCTGCTTCACTGAGACTTTCTTAGCTGTTCAGCATCATGAGGCTTTCGTGTCTAGGATTCCCTTCTTGAATATGCTAATGCGAGGACATAATCTCATTGAGTTCCTGAATATCACTGACCACAGCTAAGATCAGGAAAGGAGAAAAGCAAACAGGAGATCGATCCTTCTGTGTTGTTTGGGCTCCTATTTGTGCTCAAATCATAATTCGCACAATCATGGCTCATATGACGGTCATCGTACGCATGCAGCAACGCCATGAAGGCCGGACTTACGTTCGATGCAGGCACATATATAGCCTTGATTTGTCAAAACGGCTCAGGGACTTCTCAGCGTTTTGGGAGTTCGCGAGTTCAGAATAGATCTTGTGACATACGCTACCGTGTATAAAGATTTGGCACAGGGGCCCAGACTTGTGGCGGAAAGGTAATCAGCTAAAATGAACTTGTTGTGAGGTATTCGCCCAGAAAGCATATTTCAAGATGAATCGTTACTGAAATCAAACCCGTTGGATTAGATTTTCTATGGTCCACCGCCCGAAAGCGTCCTAATCTTACCTGTGCAATGAAAGACTGGCTTTAGAGTTTGTTCAATTGATTGCCACATAATGTCGACTTCCGTGTGGCATTGCCTAGCAAGAGGCTATAGTCAAGCACAAAGCAGCAACCAGGAACTGCCCAATAATTAAACTTAGGAATCCCCCGGCCAAAGCAGAATCTGAGTATACGCAAAAAGGTGTACGTTGAAGAATCTAGCTTAAAAGCGGACAACTCGACTTTGGGCGGTGAAACTCTGGGCATATTGAAGCTCTACAACCACTCAGTGATGAAGCAATCCCCTCTATGCTTTTAGTTGGGGCACACCTTGGAGACGCGAAGAGTCACCTGGGCTAGGAAGCATTGCCCTTTGGGAAAAATTTACAGAGTAGCTTTGCTGACGGGGTTCAAGAGGTACCTAAAAAAAGAAACCCGTGGCGCATTAGAGTTTTCCTCCAAATTGCGATTTCATCCCTCTCACCTCGAAAATTTAACTTGCCCATCTACACGCCCCTTGGCGCGAGTCCTTAGAGGATCTCCTTGCTGGGCGGCGGTATCAACCTCCCCTGGAGAACATTACGCTCCCTACCAGGCAAATCCCTCGGAGAAATGGAACGTGATGTCCAGGAATCAGCTAAGACTAGCTAGACATAGCGGCTGCAGCCAGCAGCAGAGGATAAGGATGTTGTCGTTCCTAGGTACGATGAAGTGAGCGTCGGCGTTGACCAGCGACACGCTCCACACACACAAACAAAAAAAAAAAAAAAAAAGGCTACTCGGCAGAAATCTTGTACGTCCTCCTCTATGCACCCTTTTAAAAGGGTAACCCAGCATAGACTTGCGCGGCAATTTGTTGGACTGGAGGACCAGCCTTAGTTCACTTTTCGGTGATTGAACCCAATGTGTTTATGCTCTCTGACGGCTCCTCTCTGCCGGACACCTCCAATTCCCATTTAATCCGATATGGGAGCAGGCGGCGGGAGAATATTGCCAGGATGGTAATCGGAGGTTGTCAATGGCGCAGGGGATGCGCAATAACCTTTTGTGGCGGTTGGACAGTATGTGTGGTCGAGGGCTCGCTGCCTATCCCGAAGGACCTTTAGAAGTTTTTGCTCCCAAATCGCTATGCGGGTGAGATTCAACGTACTGAATAGGATCTTTAAGTGGACAGATCAATGATTCAAGCCTTTATGCAAACCGGGCGCAGCAGCTCAGGATCACAAATGCATAACCTTGTTCCAAGTCACGATATCACGTTGAGCAAAGATACCATCTAGCAACAAGGCACGAGCCTACAGTACTATTCCAAGATGTGTTTCATGACGGAGTAAGGTGGATATGGAGGTAAGTTTGATAAAACCAGATATCATTCAGCTTTGGTCCTGGGATGGTGCTAGAATGGTTTTATAAAAGACTTTTTGGCTTCTGGCCCTCTCCTCGGTTACTTGAGGAAAGCTACCGATGGGGTAAAACTGTCGATGACCATTAGGCCAAAAGAGGCTGTCCTCTAATGGCCCCTGGCTGCTTGAGCTGCTAAGATATGTGAGGCTACCTCCTCCAATGTGACAAAGTTTCACGGAAAAAGCGAGGCTTGATATCCAAAGAACTAAAATTCACCGGGCCTAAGAGATGAACTTGGTAAGACACAAACTCCATACCAGCTAGTGGCCTTGTCAATGATCTTGACATTGCTGTTGTTTCGGTGCAGATGACCGGGTGAAGCAGAGCTTCATCCACAGCAACATTTAGCAAGATATAATCTATCGGAGGTTACCGCACTTATCAGCACTGCTGCCTACAAGTCAACTCAAAGGGCAGGGCTCTAGAACATCCGAACACAAATAGCCTCAGAGTGACAATCACTCCCCTACAACCATGGGTTGGATGCCAAGCATGATGCCTGCGTCTCATCATAGAATCGTCTGAACACACTAACACTCCTCATGATGCAATGATGACAACGGACATCTCTATATACTTATGATGCCATGTTGAACCCAAAAGAACAGGGAAAAGGGGAACCTATACCCATGATTACATATTTAACCCTTTTCCCGTTCCTTTTTTTTTTTTTTTTTTTCCCTCCTTATTTTCACCCCTGAAAACTCCTCTATCCGTACTTCATGTGGACAATATTTTATAATATTAGTCACACAATATCCATATGTTACCGGGAGCTTGACAATCTATCTACATTTTCACCCTCAGATTACAAAGCCATGTTTCTCTTCTGGCCAGAAGCCCTTGAAAAGTTCTTGGACGATCATCACTGCTTCAGACTTGCAACTGCCTTGAATATCTTCAAGACTGTGTGTCACATGCCTATAGCCAAAACGGATGTGCAGGGGGAAAGAGCCGATCGTTACAAGGCCGAGGATAAGGAGGCTTTGGAGACTCTTCATCGTCGAGAGCAACTTCTGGAAAAGAGGATGGCGATTGAAATGAAAACCGAAAAGCATACATCCGCAGAGCTGGAGGAACTGAATATATTGGACAGTGAGCTGAAGGTATTGAAGGCGAAGTACTGGAAACATCAGGATGAAATGTATCAGCTTCAGTATGATACTGTCTTCTATCAACCATACATGTGGAGAATACGGCGGGCGCATCTTATAAGACAATGGAAGGCCAAAAAGGGCAACAAACCGGTTACTATGTGGCCAAAAGACGTTAGAGCGTGCAAGGCCAGAGGGGGATGCTGCGTTCGACAATGCGGATGCTGCTTCCGCCCGCGCTCAAGTCTGATTGGAGCCGAAGATGTATATAGTCACTGCACCAAAGAGTGCAAATGCTGTGTTCACTATTTCAACTTGCCATAAAGGGGGATTAAGGAGAGCACCTGCCCCCCTAATTGAATGCAGTTTCCATCTTCATTCCTTCTATATTCAGCCCTTCATGGCTCGCCGGTTTCCAGTTTCAGCGCTCTTGCCGTAAAGGGAGAAGTGAGAAGGGAAAGAGAGCACTGGAGAGCTCTTTCCTTAAGCTCCCCATTCCCCCAGTATATATTCCCCCTCTTCCCCCCCGTTTCTTCCTCTTCTCTCTTCGTCTCTTCTTCTCTTTTCTCCCCTTGTGGATGCCACAACAACACCAACAACAGCACCAGCACCAGCAACAACAGCAGCAACAACAACAACAACAGGAGAAGGAGGAAAAAAAAAAAAAAAAAAAAAAAAAATTAAATTATATATATATATTTTTTATCATGAGGACCGTCGAGGTCGCCTCGGCGGGTTGGGTGGCGGTGGTGGGGGTGGGGGTTCTTGGGGGGGTGGTGGTCCTCGTGGCGGGGATCAGGTGGCTTGCTGGCCCTATGGTCAGCAGCTGGGCAGCTCGCCGGTAAGTAACCCCTAACCTAGTGAGCCTTGTCATTCAGTATATGCTGACTTGGCTCAAGGTGGCCTGCCCAGCAAGAGGCAATAGAGCTGGTTGCCGTTGAGAGGCCAGCTCGAGCCCAGGCTGGCCAAGAGCCAGCAACACCTGCCCCTGCCGCAGGACAGGGGGGTGAGGTGGTTGGGGGGGTGGTGGCCGCGGCCGGGCGGGACGCCGGGCCTTAGTTTTTATTTTTTATTTCTTACTCCGTATTTCTTATTTGTATTTTTTACTTTTTATATTTTTACCTTTGGGCAGGTGGTGTGTGGCGGCGCGCCAAGCACGCAGTCTGAGGTAAGCCAGCCCCTCCCGTCGATCCGCCTTTGAGATCTATCGATTTGCCCCATCGTTGTCGGCATTCTCCTTCGTCCACATCACGTTCCCGATTGCTCAGATGTTTCTCGGTTTCTGACAAACTCCTCCCATTTTCCTCCCCAGATCTTTTCGCAGGCTTCAGTCGAGTTTCTAACATGGCATCTGTCACTTCACTAGATAAGGATCTCAGATCATTGCGCCTGTCTAGATACACACCCCAGGCTGCCAATGAAATACGCGACTGGATCGAAGAGGTTTTGCAGGAGAGATTGCCTCCGGGCGACTTCCTGGAAGCGCTGAAAGATGGTGTGGCTCTTTGTCGGTATGCGCGAACGCCGCGTCTTATCAGGGACATTCAAGTGCACTAATTGGTAAAAACGCTTCTAGGCTAGTTAACCTTGCCGTCGGTTCTCCGGGAGTTAAATACAAGGTCTCAACGATGCCCTTCGTTCAAATGGAAAATATATCCCACTTCCTCCACGCTTGTCAGATGGCGCCCCTGAGTCTTCAGCCCCACGATGTCTTCCTCACAGTCGATCTCTACGAGTCAAAGGATCCCGCCCAAGTCCTCCAATGCCTCATTGCATTCAGTCGGAGAGCCCATACCATCCAGCCAGCACGGTTTCCACGCGCAATTGGCAAGATCAAGAGTGATTTGGTGAGCCCTCAATTGAGTGGATCTAGTCAGACCGGCTTCAAAGCAACCTCCGCATCTGGTCGAAATCGCGGAACTAGCAACGTCAGCGAGTCTGGTTCAAAACCGTTTAGCCCCATTTCCGGACGGTCAAGCCCGGAAAAGCGACCTCCGGCATCTCCAAGTTCTCCTGGGTCAGCCAAGATAAGCGCCTGGAGCACTAAGACTGAGGAGGCTACGACATTACCAGCATGGAATATCCACCAGTACGGGTATATGGGAGGAGCTAGTCAGGGAAATCTGGGGATATCCTTTGGCGCAAGACGACAGATCACTTCTCAGACTCCGCCTGTCCCAAGCTTAGCCGAGAAGGAGAGACGGAGAAAGGAGGCCGCTGAAGAAGAAAGGCGGAGACGAAAAGCGGAAGAAGCCGAGCGCCAGCGCCAACTCGAACGCGAAGCTGAGGAACAACGTGCTAGGGAGGAAGAAGAAAGGAGATGGGAAGAGGAGACAAGAAAGCTACGGGAAAAGGAGCGGCTTGCTGTCGAAGAGGAAAAGAGACAATGGGAGGCGGAGCAGCGACAATGGGAAGAAGAGGATCGCCGGCGACAGCAGGAAGAAAGGGAGGCTGAAGAAAGACTGGAGAAAGAAAGGCAGCGGAAACGCGGCCTTGCGGATGCTCGGCTGAACGGCCAATTCTTGAGTCAGTATCAGGCGGGTCAACGATCAAACCGTGGTACTTCCCCTGGTGAACCGGCTCCCACGCCAGAGAGTGAACGTATTAAAGCCCTTGAACGGGAACTCGAGCTTGCGAAAGAAAGAGAGAGACAATACGAGAGGGAGCGTCAAGAACTCGCCCGCTCGCGTCAAGTATCGAGCACAAGCAACGCCTCGCAAGATAGTGCGCGCAGCCGTCCACCCCCCAAGCCCGCAAGACCAAGCTACGACCTGACCTCTCAGGAGGAAGAGCGGAAACTCCTCCGGTCCGAATGGCAAGCCAACCAAGATGCTGCATCAACATTTGAACACGCACCACCCGCCTTACCACCGCGCTCTCTTCCCGAGCCGCCCGTATCTCCGCGTCCACTCCCGGACCCGGCTAACTACCCCAAAACTCGCACAGACCGATTCTTAGCGACCAACCCTGCACCACAAGCAACCCAGCCGGCCTCCCACCGACCCCCGGAATTCTCCACCGAAGCTGAAGTCGACGAAGAAAACCGCCGCCGCGTCGCTTCGACTCAAAAGACTCGTGCCGGGGGCTGGGCATCGAAGTCTCTCCTGGAGCGAGAAATGGAGCGTGAACGCGAGCGCCAGCGGGAGTGGGAAGAAAATCAAAAGCATACTAGAGAGGCCGCTAAATCTGGCGTGAATACCGCGGGGACGGGTCCGGGTGAAGGCGGTTGGGATGTTAACCAGTACGGGTACATCGGTGGCGATAACCAGAACAGAGGCTCGACAGGGATCGGATTTGGTGCGAGGAGGCAGATTATTGGCCCGCGCCCGCCCAGATAAGTTATCTGCGCTGTATCTGTCGTGTCGACGTGGTTGTGGGCGGGATGGCTTGAAATTAGGCCTTTTATATGTTTCGACTGATACCATGCATTGTGTTATCCTTCATTTTTTTTTTTTTTCTTTTCAACCTTTTTCTCCAATCCTTTGCACGCCAAGCTCGGCTTGATATATCATTTCTGCTTTTCGTTGCCCTTTGTCTGGCCCTTTAAACAGCCTAATTTTATTGACACGCGGCTGCCTGGAGAACTGTGCGAGCAAACCTGTAAATACATTCCGAAATAGTTCTTTCTGAAGTACATAGAATTGTGTTTAATTATGCTCTCATGTAGATGTATGGGCTTCTATCATTGACCGTGCTATCAAATCGGGTTGTAGCTGGGTATTATAATATCAACGCAGTATGGCGCTACGTTCATAAGGACCGATACTAAATAGACATCATGAGCCGGTTCCACCGGTTTCCGAAAACGAACATCCCTAAAACGGGAATATTGTCTGCCGTATGGAGCTGAGCGCGTATATATGAAGCCTGTTCGGCGAAACCCCCCGCGTGGACGGAAGGTATCCTTTATGGGTAAACCACTGCCCTTTGCCGTTGGACCTCAGATACACACGTCTCCTATATCAATTTGACCAATTCCAAATTCGCGATCCATTTACTAGCGCCATCCCAAATGAGATTTCACTCCACTGGTGGTTCAGGCGGTGCAACCCGCTCAACCAGGCACGTCAATCGCTCTCCACTCTCAATCAACCACGTCCATCCAAACTCCTCCGCCTTCATCTTACTCTGCCCTATCTTCGTATCCTTCAGCGCTTTCTCCGCCCTTGCCTCAATTCCCATCTCAACCGCCTCCTTCAATGACGGCCCGCCCTGTAGCAATCCGCTCGCCGCTAGCAGACGAAGCACGGACTCGAGCAAGATCGACATCCTGGCGTTGTCGATAGTATCGGACGTGCTCGCGGCGTAGGGAAGAAAATCTAACTCCAACTTGTCCTGGGTGAGGTATGGCTCTCGGCAGGTAGGCTTCCTACTTTCGCAGAGGCGCTCGAGGAGCATCTCGCATAGGGTGGTTTGGGCATCGACGGAGAATTGACATAGGACAGAAGGCGAGACGAAGACTTGGAATATGGGCAGGGGCAGGTGGCGGATGAAGTCAACGTAAAGGAGGTATAATCTATCGACACTCATGAAATGATCTGGGATGGAGGCTGAGACGCGGGATATGATAGCCAGAAAGCGCTGGCGAAGAGCGAGTGAGTCCAGGTCGCCGAGCATGGTCAGGTTTTCGGAACAGGCTCTGTTTAATAAATCGTAGTTCTTGTCGACGTCGTCATTACCCGCATGGCGGGCTTTTGTTGTCCTCTGTCTCTTTGGGCGCGTAGGCAACGTCTCCCTGAGTTCGTTGCGGACTGAATCACTCTCGTCGTCGTCGACGTCCCACTCCAGGTAGTCCCCGTAGATCTCCTCATCAATATTCACGTTGACCTCCCGTTTCCTCGGCTTAGCGGTCTCCTCCTTGAGCTCCAGCAACTCTTTATGGAAAACTTCTCGAAACTCATTCGTCGAGCCAGGAGTTCCATCGGCAAAAATAGCTCTCATCATCCTTCTGTCCGGACTCGACACTCCCGACGTCGCTTTGTAATACTGGTAAATCAAACTGCCGCACAGAATCCTCTCGCACTCCGCACGGACAGCTGTTTCCCCCTCAGGATCTCTCTCCAACTCCACGACCAGCCTCATTCTTTCCCTCCAATCCGCCTCGAGGGCCTCACACAGAAACTCCAACAGCAATCTCCACCTCGGCCACCGACTAGGATGCAAAACCGCACAATTGAACGCCCAGCCAACAACATGCCAAAAGTCCTCCGCGCGCGACCACAGAGCGCCGCGATGCGCCAGCTCAAAATTCAACGCCTCCTTCTCCATAGGCTTCTCCGCTCCATCGTCCGCCACGGCCCGCCTTGCTCCGGACCGGGATTTGGTGAAATGTGTAAAAGTAAACGCGGCGTCGAAATTCGCCGCCAGGGGGCCGACCAGCGAATTCGTCAACCGGAGCAGCTGCAGGGCGATGTTCGCGGCCTGCTTGTTATCGGCAGATTTCGCTCGGGTCGTCGTGGACGGGTGCACGACGATTGTCGCGGCGACGGCGAGGAATTCAGGCGGTGGTGAAGGAACTGGCGCGTCGGGCGTTGCGCTGCCCGAGGAGAGGAGGCTCAGGAGGAGGTTAAGACCATGGCAATCTGGAAGAGTTAGATTTGTTTGCTTTTCGTTTTTAGATAATTTTCACAATGTGGAGGATAATTTATGCCCGTGCGGGGCTGTTGGTGAGGGGGAGACGAACATAGTTGTTCCTCGAAGTAAACGCCGCAGTGCTCGCGGAGCTCGAACGAGAGCTGCTTTGTCGGTCGGTATTTGGACCGTGAAGGCCTGGCCTGGGTATCCATGGCTGGATCGAAGATACTCATACCATCCTTGCGATAGTGTAATGGCTGTTAGAGCGAGTTTCCAACCAGCTAACCCAGTAACTGAGCCGTAGTTGGTTGACCAACGCGCCGAGGGGACGCGAGAAGTTAATGAGGCTTCTGGATAGCCAGGACCAGCAGATCGGGAAGAGTCAAAAGAAGGTTAAGTACCGACTAACTAGTTTAGCGTGACGGGGCAAATCCACACAGCGTGAAAGTATTTTAGCTCCTAAAGGTCCCAGAAAATATGGTCGAAGACGATGATATGAAATGGCGATCGAGTACGGATTAGGACTGCATGGACAGCACAAGAAACGGTCATTATGGCTCCCTTTGCTTTCATATGGCGGAATCAGACAGTACGAGAGCAAAGCCAATATCTTCGCTCCATCTGCCATTGAACATGAAGCCAAAGCCATCCCGAAGGTTTAATTTTCGATATTTTTGACCAGAGAGAATGGCTCCTCCTGCAACTGGATTAATCGTTGCTACCGGGCGTCGGTGTCTGTTCAAGCAACTGATTCAGGAGAGACGGCGTTACTCGGTCGCGTCTGGTTAGCAACATACAAGCATCCTTGCCCCTAATAGTATATTCCAGTGACCTCACAGTTTTGCAGGTCCGGGCAGAACAAACTTGTTCTAGACGATGTTTTGAAGACCATATTCTCGGGCTTTAATGAGGATATATAACCCCGGCTTCACGAAAGTCCATATATACATAATTACCCCATAATAGCATTCCAGATCAGCAGATACCTGTATACAGATATCTTCCTGATGACTTCCTGAACTTTGCCAGGCCAAGGATATTCCTAAGCAGTTCAGAAAACAGATTCCCAAAGCTTACTTGGAAGGGATTGCTGAACCACAACAGCCATGATGTTATCCATTTAAGTGATTCAGAGCCAGTTTCCTTTTTCATACCCCTATCTACCTTCATCCAGATATCAAGCCTGACAACATCATGGTTGACTACTGTGGTGTTCACCAGCATGCAAGACCTAGGCAAAACAGACGAAGGCATCTCACTGTTGCCTCATTTCCCATAACATCAAAATGCTGAATAACTACCCCGCCAGGACTCAGTGTGCTGCCCTCGCCGACTGGGAATTTAACAGCCACAACTCAGTTTCCGGCGAAGACCTCAGGGTTGTTACCAAGGACGCCTCCTAGTATGAACAGATACCAGCTCATGTGATTGGCCTCACAGAAAGTGGGCGAGACAACCTGGTATTCCTGCTGGACAGAGAGAGCGGCGTCATTTATTAGCCTGAGTGTCCCGGGGAGATCCGGTACGACTCATCCGCCCTGCGGGAGCAGGTGGTCCGCGATCCGTATGACTACGCGCGGGAGACTGAGGCGGTATGGCGTGCCAGGGGTGCAGTCTGGGAGATCGCGGATGTCTTTGAGATTCTTAAGGGCCAGTTTTGGCGGCTTCACTTTGTGCCCACAAGCGAGCAGTTGGTCACGGATGTCGACACCTTGTACTCTCCAACCAATGATGAAGTGGTATCCATGCTGCAGAACATCTATCACGAGCACGGCTGGGACGACTTACAGAAATATCGCACGCGAGAGTGTCTGGAGGCGGTGAAGAAAGCATTGGAGGAGCACTATCCTTGACGGGATGGACTATCATGGCAACAAGGCTTTGGTTTTGTGGTGTTTTCCCGGAAATTTATCTCATCCTTATTGGGATGGGCGGCTTGCCTTACTGAGGAGTGCACAGACAATTTGTGCGCACAAATGGTTGTAGGCCATGGAGATATGGAAGTGAAACCAATTGAACAGTTACTCGGTTGTCCAAAATATGAAATGTACGTACACGGGTGCATCATGTACTGGTTATCGACCAGTTGTTGGGATTGGATATACATACACATAATATCGCATCTTCCTGGACCAAAAATATAAAAGAAACATTTGGCATTTAAATTTGTATTTATTTAATCAACTAGCTTACTGACTATATGTTATGTTGTGGGTACTGATTTGGCCTACCGATTGTGTTCTCCACAACTTCGACGTTGAGAAAATATATAGCTTCGTTTTTCTCCCACGCGCTGCCAGCCTTGAGGAGTAGGCTGGTTATCCCTCATGTTGGAGGAGCAAGGCGAGTATTTTTACTTGGGTTTGTTCCCGAGAAGGCCATGCAACATCGCGGTGGGTTTGTGTTGGATAGGGATGGAGAGGAAATCCAACTTTCACCCTTGTAGAGTCAGCATCAGGTTTCTAGGCCCCCCCCAGCGGAAGTGGTATCTTTCTCTGGTGTTAACTCGCAAATTAATCCCTGCATTTATCTACTAAATGGTAACTGTTGGTGTGAAGAGCTGAGTTGAGAAGTTTGACATTTCAACTCATCAGCTCCCATCCATAACAACCACCCAATAGAAGCAAACCAAAGCGAACTTAGATTTTCTGCAAGACATCCCGCCGGCACTTCTACGCGTTTCGCGACGGCGTCGCCCATGCATATGGACCCTTGCCACGGACTGATCTAGCCAGCTTGGGGTGATTGCGGCTAGCATGATTTAGCCCGCCGTGCTCACAGGAGGTTAACCCCTGTGGAAGTTCCTAACAGTATGGAGGACTCCGTACGGAGTACTCAGTATCCCCTCTCATGATTGAAAGTGGCAGAATGATTGGGCTGACTACCTGGTGAAAGTTATCCAACCTTATCATTCGGAATACGCAGTCCATTCGTTCTTGACTGAGACACTATAGCGATGCTGACATAGATACGGTGTACACGTATATGTACAAAGAGACAGATACACATACGGAGTACTCCGTACAAAAAGGGGAGGGGGGGAAGAAAAGCATGACTCCTTTCCATGACCTTTTTGAGTCAGCCGCGGCTTTTTGTATCGTGGTGGGAATTTGTCTGCCAGGCCCCCTGAAGCCATGCTTGAGAACCGGAGTGCTCCGTACGCCCCGTACCTATATATAGAGTACTCCATGTATGCTTTTACACCTCGAGGAGAGCCTGGTGAAATGCTAAATTGGCTAGTCAGATTCTTCCGAATGCCCGTCATATATTGGTCTTGGAATCCAACCATCGAGCATCGAGCAGCGTACATTACTGTACATATCTGCTGGCTGGTGGCCTCGGTGTTTTGTAGTAGTACATATGGAGCTGGCAAAGCTTTTAACTAAACAAAGTCGCTTTTTAAGCCCCTGGCTGCCAAGAAGTGCCCGCCAGCCAAACCTTTTAGTTAAACGATGGAAATGCCAAGGCACTAGGCCTATTTTGTTAAAAAGTGCAAAGTAATTCCGTTTTCCGTTCTCCGAAAGTATTGACTGCGAAGGACGTGTCATTCCGGAATAGAAGCCTAGTTTTTTTGAGCTCGCTTTTTTCTATCTCGATAATTCTAAGTAGAAGAAAATTGACATAGAGTGGCATGAGGACTTGGCAGACGTCGATTGCGACAAAAAAAAAAAAAAAAAAAAAAAAAGAACACTTCGCTAAAGCCGACACACAGTTCCAAGTTACAGAGCGGGCGATTTCCCAACGGCATTCTCACGGGAGAGAGTAAAAGGGGATGAAAAAAAAAAAAATTGACAATATGAAATTTGCTGTTTTGCGCTTTACTTAGACTACGAATCCTCGTCCTCCTCAACGAACCAACCAATCCGCATGCGGTGAGACTGGATGAGTGTGTTAGCTCAAATTCCCATTTTGACTCATTGGGATATCCACGATGGTCTTGCCGGGATAGAAACCCCAACAAGAGGGGAAGGGGAGAGGGTTGGGGGTGGGGGTCTCACTATCGGAAGCTTTGGAATAACGACACCAAGGACTGCCAAGAAATTGATAATGAAATATGTCAAGTCGTAATGCGTGTAGTGGGTGCTGAGGAGAAACAGGACTATTGGAACGCTGAGGAGGAACTTTTTGGCTGGGGTGTACTGGTCGCCATTATCGATTTGCTCCCACATATTAAGGTTGTCGTAGGCGCCGGCATTAAACTCAAAGGGTACGCCACGGACCCAGTGGAACATGAGGAAGGAGCCGAACATGTAGGATATGTTGGTGAGGGTCCATGAAGTCTCCTGGGAGACACCGGGTATGATATCGTAGAAGATCTTGAGGGCGATGATGAGGACGAAGTGGATGGTCCAGGCACCTGCAGTAAACACCCGCAAGAGTCAGCCAGATGCATTGCAAACGCGGAGGAGACGCGCCTCAGGGTCACGGCGACAGGATGTTCGGCTTCTTGGAAAAGGAAAAAAAAAAAAGAAGAAGAACCACCCACCCCCTCACTTACCTTTCGCATTTACCCAGTTGGCGTTTAGGTTCGGCAGGGCGGCTTGGTCGCTGGTATGCTCGATGGATTCCTGCGGCTCCTGGTAGATGATGCTGCTGGAGCGTCGTCTGCGGCCTGTCTTGGTTTGAGACATGGCGGCGTCGGGCGAAAGATGGTTTGGCCGATTGAGCTTTCCGGGGTCGAGTTCGGCCGTGAGGGCGGAGGTTCGGGGAACTAGGAGGGACGACAGTTTGGCGGTGTTGGGCGGGTCCCTTTCTTTAAAAAAAAAAAAAAAAAAAAAGATAAAAAGAAAATAGATAGATAAATAAAAAAAGGGGGGGTGGAATGAAAGGGAGAGAGGCAAAGAAAGAGCAGAATCGGGAGTGGAGCGAAGAGGATCGAAAGCAATGAGAAAAGGTCGATGCAGCACTGCTAGCGCTAAAAGGCCCGGGGGGGTTCTGGCTACCGAGGCGAGTTTGAAGACAAAGCTGGCCGGAAATCGGGAGTGGGTTGTGACGGAAGGAAAAAGAGGACGAAGAGGAGGATGGAGATGAAGAAGCGAGCGGAATGCAGGTAGGCAGGAGGCGCTGGGCGCGGAGACGGCGGCCGGGCAGTAGGTAGTATTCACAGGTAGGATTGATTGTATATAGTAGAATGGCTGTTCTGTGTGGCAAGCAATATGTATAGTGGTAGTAAGCACTTTGTAGTTATGTGACAACAACAACAACAAAAAAAGGTACCAATGACTTATCACACCCTCAAAAACAAAAAAACCCCCCTTAAGAGATATGTAAGCAAGCAAAAAATTGAGATTTGAAAAGTGTTTTTTTTGGCGACGAGAAGAGCGGCGAGAGGGAACAGCAAGGGCACTTCCAGGGCGGGTCGACGGAGGCAGACGGGGGGATGGCAGAGGCAGAGGCGGAGGGCAGAGCAGCAGCACGACTGAAGAAGGGCCGGGGATGAAGATGTCCGGGACAGGCAGCGCGATGGCGTTTTTGAAGTTCGAAGCTTCTGCCGTCGTCATCTTGCGGGCACCGGCCACACTAGGCCAGATGGGGGATGGCGTGGCTGACTAACATGTTGGCACGTGCATGCAAATATTCAGAGCAAAAACCAGACGACGAGACAACAGAGACAACAGAAAGACAAGAGAGAAAAGAGAGAGAGAGAGAGAGAGAGAAAACACAGAGCACTCCTGCTGCTGCGAACAGTGTTGGGCTAACTGATTCATCTGTGAACCACCTAACTAGTTACCCCACTACTTGCTGCTGTTGGTGTGTCCGTCTGTCATGCCTGGCCGCGACCAGGGAAATGACAGCGCCGACGACTCGCGGACCGCTGCCGTCCGCCCTCGATCCAAGCAGAAACCTTCCCGGGTAACAAAGCCGCCGCCACCACCGCCGCCATCGTCGTCGTCGCAGCAGTCCGCCAGAGGCCGTCGCCCGCCGAGGAGTCGCAGGGCCGGCCGCCAGGATCCCCTAGATTTCGTCCCGCGCGGCGCCACCTTCACAAATGCGTCGCTCCCCGTCGACGGAGATTCCAGCTCAGATCAGCCCTCAGATGACGGCGGAAGCCAGCACTCCCCTTCAGATGCCGCTGCGCAACCTCTCTCCGACGTGATCATGCAGCCTGCCGTCAATTGGAACAAAGGCGGCGGGGGCGCGATCAGAACAAGCCTCCGTGGGTCTGGAGGCACATCCACTCCCGTCTCTGCGCCTGCGTCCGCCGCGTTCGACGCTGTCAATGACAGATATTGGCGTAGTCGAAGCGCTTCCGCCTCGGAAGACGAGGGCCCCAACAGCTCGAGGCCAAGTGCAAATAAACCAGATAACAATTCTGGTGATGATGGGAGGATATCAAACGAAAGTGCTGGAGGCTTGGTGATGTCTGAGGACTCGGAGCTTGAGAGTGACGCAGAGGCTGATAACTCCATAATGCTCAACCTGAGCACGCCGACTCAAAATGAAAACGTTGTACAAACAAGTGCAATAAATGGAATGGAGACCTTTAATTCCCACGCAAACGGGCCCACTGAGACCCAGACCCAGATGCAAGAGGTCAGAGCAGAGAGTGTTATTGAACAACCACCTGTCTCTCGTGATAATGCAGTCTCTCGCAAGCACAACAGTGCAGAGACAATTGCAGCATTTGAGTCCTTTAGTTCAAAATACCCCTCTCCTCCACACACTCTGGCTGATCTTGCCCGAGAGGACCGAGACATGCAGATAAAGTATATTCATTACAACAAAGAACTTAAAAATGTTGATATGAATCTGCCGATTAGATGTACAGATTGTATGGCGGAAGGCCACCTTTCGGAGATCTGCCCTTATAAAGAAGTGAGAATTCCATTGTTCCCTGCCCCTCTCCTCTTTTTCACTTCCTTTCTTATTTGCTCTCGTTCTTTTTTTTTTTCAAAACTATATTTTTTGCTTCTCTTGCCAAAAAGAAATATGAGCTATCTGAGAAGTTGACTCTGAAAACAGTGTAAACATTGTGGCGCTTGGGGCATACACGAAAGCAGATTTTGTCCCGCTTGGAGGCGGTGCCAGAGGTGTAGAGAGCGGGGCCATGATGAGGTTGACTGCCCTTCTCTGCTCAAGGGATTGGCCTCCGAAGTTCCATGCGATTTCTGCGGCTCTAGCCAACACATCGAGGGTGAATGTGACCTGCTATGGAAGCTACCCAAACGTGACCTAGGTATAAGTCAAATCTTTGTGTCTGTATGCTGCAGTTTCTGCACGAGCAAAGAACACCTTTTGGGCGACTGTCCAATCCGGCCGTTTTCTATGAACTCTTCGTCCTGGACTCTGAGAACCGTTGATCCGGCCTCTATTGCCAATCTTGGCGACACCAAGCTTTCCCTCGACGCACAGAATACCAACAGAGATGAACATCTTACAGGCCTGCGGATTAAAGGACGTGCCAATGAACGTGCGGAATCAGATGAGGAGAATGACGATTTTACCGGGGCTACCCGCTGGAAGCCACTCAACAAACAGCCGCCTCGTACACATATCCGATTCGGTAGTGGAATCGGTCGCGGACGAAATCTAGGCGAAGACCGCCAGGATGGAAACGGAGGTGATAGGTACATACCTCACGATTATGGACGCGAATATCGCGATCGAGAACCCTTCGCTGGCCGTAGCTCTCGGCAACGGTCCTTGTCGCCCGAACCGTACCCTCCACGGCCGCGAGGCGGTGGTTCTGTCAGACCTGCACCACCCAGATCCCCACCTCGTGGACGTGGACGACACCCACTACCACCCCTGCCGCCACCGCCTGCTCGGGGTGGGAGCAAGAACAAAAGGGGTGGCTCTCGTGGTGGGAAAGGCGCCAAAAATTCCGATAATAGGGATGTGTATCGACCAATGCCCAGTGCCGCGAAGCGGGCTTGGGACAAGCATAGGTTTTGAAAATATGCGATTCTAAGTTCTAGTGCACATTGTTTTTGACCAGCCGTGCCGAAACGCTTTCCTTTTTTTGGTCCTTGGGTTCAGCCACGCGGGGAATCGAGGAATAAGTCTAGTTACTATCGTGGCCCGCCGATGGTCTTGCAACAGCATTGCGTTGCTAATGGCTCTATTGATGCCAGAGAACATACCTGCCAGCCGTCCACTTTAGGCTACTGGGCTTATACAGTACATACACGCAGTCAGTGGCCAAGGCGAGAAATGATCCTGTCCTGCTAGGTTCGCATCGTCCAGGAAATCATCATAAGGCCGATCTTAAAGCAGGCTGTCGCTGATTGTAACAAGGTACAGAGCACATACGTCTATTTTGCAAGGGGAAAATAGTTGTCCCCGGGTCACCGAGCCCTCTGATTCATTTTTGTCCAGGAGGAACAAAAAGGGGATAGGAAAAAAAGGAGAAACTGATATGGAACCTCCTAATTGCCCGACTGTCATGGCCTAAATAACTAGTAATTACTGCTTCGCGTAGTTGAGGCCCATGACATCAGGGGCTATGGAGTAGTTTCTAGCAAAAGAATCGGGTATCCGCCATGTTTGCCATGCATAGAGCTGACCATAGAAATAGTCCGCACCAAATTAAGATCTATGTTGGTCAACTCGCATGTCAGGAGTTTTTCCAGTCAGACTCATTAACAACAGATAGAACTAGGCACTACAGCAAGTCTATTAAAGCCATGTTTAGTTCTATGCTCAGTAGCTATTTATTTACATCATTTGTCTCTATGGCAAGTTACGGGTAGTTAACTAGTAGTGCATGAAAGCCAGAGGGGAAAGGGGAACCCGTCACCGCGAGCCTTAAATTACTTAATCTTCCCCGGGAGATACAAACCCATTCTCCAAAATGTCAATCAAATCGTCCAAGCGCTCTATCCACAGATTCGTGTGGTCATGTTCTTTCAGCGCCTGGTTACGGTCGTTAACCAAGAGCACGGTGGCGGCTCCGGCTTTATGGCCGGCTGTCATGTCGTCAAGGCTGTCTCCGACCTAGAGATTCGAATATGTTATTTGCTATATTTCTTCACCTTGAATGGCCAGGGCTTGGGAAATGGGTCCTTTTTTTTTTTTTTTTTTCTTTTTGATTTTTTTATTTTTCCTCCCGTAGGGGAGGAAAGTCGGTTGCAAACTCACCATAATCAAGTCATCTGCTCCATTCTCCAGCCCCCATTCCTTCGCAATGTGCAAGATACCAGCTGGGTCCGGCTTTGGCATCAAATCGGGAGTATCCCGAGTTACTATCGGAGTGAATACATGCGTGGGCAGATGTGTTGTCAGGAGATGCGTTACCGGCGCCCTTCAACAAGCAAATCAGCTGCCAGGAAAACAAGACAATTTACCGGGGCCGGGGGGGGAAGGGAATAAATAAAGAGGAACATAGCATACTCGAAATTTCGCGTACACAGTGCTCGCTTCATGCCTCTTGAGTGGAGGTAGTCCATGAGTTGGGTGAGGCCCGGCTGGGGTTTCTGCTTAACCATCGCAGAGCGCTCGATTGCTTGGACCTTGGCTGCGGCGGCCGTTCGTTCTTCCTGGGTGGGAAGGCCGCGAATGTGGGTTATGATGTCCACGGATTTATCGATGCCTAAGGCGGACCTACGAGATACAAGTACTGGTGTTATCATTGGGCTGGATTATCCTTTTCTGGGCGAGACGGGATAGCTGAGATGGAAGGCAGCACATACCGCATCTCTTGGAACATGTAGTGCTGTGGCAGGCTAGAGTGGGGGGGTTAGCTTGATGTATTTGAATAGGAGATAATGTAGCAATTCAAGTCATGAAACACACTCTTTTCTTCCCTTGAAGCGGAAGAATGGAAGATCATCAGGCCTAATCGTTGCGAAAAATTCACGCTGAAGAGCTGATACACCTGCTTGCTCGCAGCATCCCATGGAGTGGGGGGTATATATATGTTCTCCTCCATGACCATAGAATAAAACAAGGAAAATGGAAGCAAATTCCCTCCTGAAGAGACGTACATGACAAACCATACCCAAGAGGAATGAAATGAAAGAAAAGAATGGAAAAGAACTCACCAGAGTGTCCCATCAACATCAAACACCACGCCCTTCAAATCCGGCGCTGTTCCCCCACTTCCGAGCCGCACCCTCACCTCCGGATTCAACGGCGCGAATCTGCGCATTCTCCCCCGCTGCTGCTGCTGTTCTGACTGCGCGCGTACCTGCGGAGCAGACGACATATCTCTTTTTCTACTGCTGCGGGTTGCTGTTGGTGATGAGACGTAGTGGAGAATGTGGTTAAACGGGTGGGACGAGAATAGTCGGATGGTGTGGTGATGCGCGGATCTATGGAGAGGCGCGAGCATCACTTTCTCTAGAGTATTAGGGAGTCAGGACAAGGGTGGGCGGGACGCGGCGTGTGAGTCTATGGGGGGGTATTTCATGCATGCACAACCGTCGACGTAGTTAAGCTGGCTGGTGCGGTCTCTGCGGCGTGATTTCGGCGGGAGAATCGGCCGCCAAGACTTTGCTGCAATATCAGCTATTTACGCAGTACTGGCCGGCTAGACCGCAGCCACAGATATTAGGATTAGAATTGGAATTGGAATACATTTTTCACATTGATGATCATAGGGGGGTTAATTCATACACCAGAAACACAAAAAAGAGGGAGGGGGGCGTAAAGAGAAAAGCACACGACGCAGAAACGAAGGTGACAAAACCTAGGCCCACATTTATCGCCCGCAGGATTTAACAGTCAAAAGCTTCATCACCGGCGCTGAGCTGCATAGGCAAATTAAATCGAAGAAGAGAAAGCAAAAAAAAGAAGGGAGGCCATTGTCATCAAGTCATCATACCAATCCGCAACGAGGCTTTAAAAAAAAAGGAAAGGAAAAGAAATAGCAACGCGAAGGAAAGCTAGGAAGGGGGAATACAAAATCATAAACACAAGGGGGAGTCAATATTATTTTTGTCTAGGGAAAAAAAAAAAAAAAAAAAAGAGAGGATCCATCAAAAGCGCTCTCCTTTTTCAACCGTCTGCATAATGGATCGTCTTCCTCTTGTCGCAAGTGCCACACAGCAAAAGCGGTGCATGGGAGCACGGAAGAAATCGAAACTGATAGACAAAATGTGTTCACAGGCCTGGAAACGGAAAAGTGGAAAGACAAACAAAGAAAACTGAAAAATAGCAAATTTAATACTCGTCGTCCTCATCATCGATCTGATGCGGACTACCCTGATGCTGTGTGTGTCTCTTCACATTGGAAAAACCACCTTGGCCACTGCTATATTTCCCAGAACTGGGATTTGGTCGAGGACCGGTAGGCCTCCGCTGAGGACCAGTGCGGCCGGGAGATCCCTTAGGTGACCCAATTTTCTACAAGTAAAGTTAGGGTCAGTCCCTGAAAAAGCTAGTAGGTAACGAGTAGAGAGGATTGAAAATCTTCCAAAAAAAGGAAAAAAAAAAAAAAGAACATACCCCATCTGGATTGCTCATATTACTAGTTTCTCGCAGTGCGACTCTCTCCGCATAGCTTGGCTGAACTCCATCTTTAATACTCGCTGGTCGGTGTGGAACTAAGGGGCCCTCGTCTCTGATCTTGGGCGGTCGGGGTGGCCCAGTGTGTCTACTGGTGATGGATGAAGTAGCCGAATATCCTCCGTCGGAAAGTGGTGACCGACGACCCGCGTTAGACTGAGGCTGATGCTGATAGCCAGCTCCTTCGATGCTATGGTTCGACACCCAAGCTTCGGTCGCTGGTGACTCCATATGCGTGTAGTTATGCGCCTGCGTTTCAAGGTGCGTTTGGTACCGTGCGCCAGGACGCGGCTGCGGGTGTTGAAGGTTCAAACTATCCCTGTGAGCGCGATACTTCGGAATCTCTGATACCTGCGACGGGACGAGGGGAGAGGGCGGTCGATTCTCGGATCTGTTCTCACGATCCAAACTGCCGTTTGAGCGGAGTCGATCGTCACCTCGGTGGTCGTAGCAATCGTTCGTAGCATATCCGCTCAGATTCAGATCGGACCCGGAGCGCGACATTTCTGAATACGGACGCTCCTTCCGGCCCAGCTGCATGCTGTTCTTGATGTTCTCGCCCATAGAGGAAGCTGTCGTCTTCGACCAGCGTGATACTCTCGGGAAGAAAGAGGAGCTGCTCGATTTGTGCTTGCGAGATTTGTCCGTGGACATCTTGGGTGTTGTCTCGTTGCTCAAGGCTCCACTGGCAACGGCAACTCGCTCAGGGGTTGTTATCGGAACCGACCCTCCTCGCTTATGGCGGCCGAGAAAATGAGCATCGGCGTTCATCTGAGGGTCAAGAAGCACTTCTTCCTGAGGCGTCAGGGGCTCTTCGTTATCCTCCATCACCGGGCTAATACGGCGTTCGGTCTCATGCTGCAGGGACAAGTGCTTCGCATCGCCGGTGGAACGAGGAGAGTTCGAATACCGCGCGGACTGATTCGAGCCGTTTGCCGGCTGTCCTTGAGACCCGAAACCATCTAAAGAACCACGGGGGTTATCCAGTGAGTTACGAGTTTCCGTCAGCGTATTCCCTCGTAGCTGGTTCTCCTGCGTAGCCCTTAAAGCCTCCACTTCCGCAAGTAGATGAACAAGCATATCCTCTATGTGCGTCAAATCATTGGAACTCTTCAAGCTCAGACCCTTCAGCGCGCGTTTAAACACGTTCTTCCTCTTCGTCGGCGTATCATCATCGTCTTCCGACGTGCGTCTCGGGGCCCGTGAAGCGCTCGCTGGCTGTGGTCGAGGTCCATTGAGCATTTGACGAGTCTGTCCATGATGTTTTTCGGTAGTATCCAGTAATTTCTCGTCCTGCGTCGCAATAAATTTTTTCATATCTTCGAATGAGTTGCGCATTTCTGCCGCGCTGCGTACGAGAGTGACCAATATCTCAGTATCACGAGCATTTCTCTGAGCGTCTCGAACGGTCAACTAGAATAGCGGTTAGTATCAGGATATAAAAAATAAAATATATATAAATAAAAAGAGGGAGAGGCCAAAGCAGAACAAAAAACGATGGTAGACAAACATGATCCATAAGCGCGACAATATCCTTCGACTGAATCATATCAATCCCACGTCCAGTAGCACTATCGTACAGAGGAGACGCAATGCCATGAGAAAACCCACTGAGCTGCCGTCTGTGCGTATATGGATCGTCATCCTCTTCCAACGGGCTACTAAACGGAATATCTTCCAGTGCCGCCAGACCTTTCCCCTTTGGCTCTGGCGTAGCGGAGCTGGCAGATCGGTGATTCGCACCAGAGATATAACCCTCGTCTTTCCCTCCTCCGGGAGAAATCACATCGACACGGTCGTTGTGATAGGCGTTTGATTGGTCATAGTATGGCTGATCGAGAGGAGCGCTCTCTTCGGCGATCACTCCCAATCCCGTAGGTCCAGATCTGTCCATGAGCAAGGGACTTGGTTCGAGAGGGTCATGGTATTGGTTCGGATTAGTCAGTATATCTCCCTGGACGCCTGGGGGACTGGAACCAAAGGGCCAATGTTCACGACTGCCTTGCGGCATGCCGCCGATCGGACCTTGTATGATTGACGGATTCGTATTGATCTCAGATTCCTCTGAGTCCGGAATATGTCCAATTTCGGGGATCGGGCTTCCGGCGCTTGGAAGGCCGGTGGCACCCATATATGGTCTGTCATCTTCGTCCGTGGAGTTTGCGACGCTTTGAGGCGGCGAACTGACTCCCATCCGTTTCTGGAACGATGTCTCAGCGGGTCCGGAGGGAATGTTTAACTGTTGTTTCAGGGGGCTTCCTTTTCTGTTTACGGTGACATCGCGAGTCAACTCTCTCACGGAACCCGAAGAACCCCAGCTGCGGGGACGGCTAGGTGGCTCGAGGACTGGCGAGTGAGTCGACCCCGCATCCACGACAGACGGATCAAGCAGAGACGCCACGGCGGATTCCACACCGATCGGCGTATGGATAAACTCCGCGTTGGCAGCGGCACCTCTTGCAACTTCGTGACCTGGATCAAAGGGATCGTCAAAGTTCTCATCAGTGTACCTAGTCATTCGCTTCGCGTCGACGCTTCCCACTTCGGTTTCCTCTCCTACGCTTCGATGATCGTCATCGTATTCTTCGTGCTGACTCTCCTCCCAGTGCTCATCGCTCCGCGAAAGTCTGGGGGAGTCACCGTATCCAAGCTCTACACCAGATTCATTCTGATGATCGCTCAGGGCTCTTCGTCTCTCGCTGCTATGGTCTGTGTTTCGCGTCGACCTCGCTAGGTCTGTGCTTGGTGCTGAAGAAAGAGAATCAATCGATAGTCGGTGGTCGCCGTGGGCTAAGGGGGCATGTTGAATACCTTCTTGCTCTTCCTCATTCTCCTCTTGCTCCTCCTGGTAACTTGCAACGCTCTGTATCGGGCTAAGCGCACCACGCTGTAAAAATAGGTTGCCGCCCTCCTTGCCGTAGGGATAATCAATGTCGATGCCTGGGATGTCCGGGCTTGGAGAGGCGTCTCGTTCGTGAGCTGGTTCCTGCTCGATCTCGTCGATATTGAGGGGAGGGTTTGACAGATTACTTCGGGGCGATTTAAGGCTGTTTTGCGAAGCTCGTGGAGTAATATCGAGAGGTCTAGTGGTGGGTGAGGTAACTTCTCGGGGTGAACCGCGGACGACCTCTCCGCGGAGAGGGCCGGCGCTGTTATCGGACATCTGTGACTGAATAGACTGTCTGGTGACTTGTGATTCCAATTCGCTCCGCAGGTGAGGCATAGGCGCCACATCGTGCTTCTCAAAGATAAGTTCAGTCTCGTTGATACCTCCACTGCCGCTACGTCGCGAGCCGCGTTCCCGCTTGCTACCAAAGCTCGACGTCGAATCATGGTGCTTCAACGCAGCCGCAGTAAGGGCTGTTCCAACGATCTTTGCCGCTTCGGCGTCGCGAAGACCTTTACTCTTCTTCCGGTAGATTCCTGGCTCTTCTGGGGCGAGGAATTCGGCGAATTTCGAACCCCTCCGTTCTCGTGGCGGTGAATGTTGCTTTTTCCGCCTTCGCTCTCTTCTGCTGCTATATTCGTTTGACGGGCTCTGCGGACTCTGGGGATCTTCATTGCCAACCACCAGCCGTGGCTTACTCACATCGGGAGCGCTGGCATGCTTCGACAAGCGTCTGGTTAATTCGTCTTTCGAGCCAACGCTTCCCGAGGCGCGGGAGGCACTTGTGTCGTGTTCAAATTTCGCACGGTTGGATTGCACCTTCTGATCTTTCTTTAGCTCCTTTAGCTCGGGGAGAATGAGTCGTCGAATCGCGTCTTCCACGGTCTCTAGGAGCTTAGGATTATTGAGAGATGAACGTGAAGTGCCCGATCGGAAAGAACATTGATCACCGCCGGCTTTGCTGTGTGAAAGTGCAGAGTTACTCAGCAGGCTGGACTCTGGACTGATCAGATCTTTCTCTCGATGCTTTCCGGATCGCTTTCTCGGAGACTTTAGATCGGACTCAAATATATCCCGTCCCATATCCCTGCTGCTCTGGGCTCTCTCGTTCGGTCTCTGTTTTGGCCGCGAGACGTGGTCTCTCGGCGCACTGCTCAGTTTCTCCGCGGCCTTTTGCGCGATCCTCTCACGACTCAGGCTGCGGCTCCTTCTACGTGAGGGTGTCTTCAGCAGATTATCGTTTTGCTCAAATTCTTCTTCGTCACTGAAACTATGGCGTCTGCGACGTTGGGTCTCGGAAGCACCACCCATCGTGCTCCCAAACAGGCTCTCGGGGGGCATGGAAGAAATTTCAGACGTAGGTTGTACGTATCGCGAGGAGACACCGCTATTGTGGTCCACAAATTCGATCTCTACGGGCGGTTGGCGCGCAGTCGGGGTCTCATCCGCTCCAGACGTGGCCGAGCTATCGTCAGCGGCTCCCTCTGCCGACTCCTTTGTGCGATTAGGCGTCCCGAGGGAGATGCGCCTGGTGTAGGACGGCTTGCGCCCGGAGGAAGTCTCGGTGATGTGAACGTGGTCGTCTCGATCTTTATTCTTGCGTGACGAGGACGGAGTCACCCTGACACGCACGCTGGGTCGGGAGTTGACGCCGCTGGATCTCTTCCCGCCTTCGAAGTACTCTATCAGAAGGGAGGTGTGAGAGTTGTGTCCAGAGCGCGACACCTTGCTCTCCTCTCGCTCGCGAGGCTGGGACTTGCGGCGAGTGGAAATGGTGATTGGGCTTCCGTCGTCGGGGAGGGAGTAGGATGTTTTGTCAGTGCGGCGGGATATATCAGTGGCGATGTCGGTGCCGGTGCCGGTGCCTGTGCCGCTGCCACCGGTTGTGTCGAGGAAAGTAGAATCTGTGGGTGCTGGGAGAATCGGTTTGCGGGTGTCAACACCCATCTTGATCAAGGACCCTTATCCGGCCAATATCATACTCAAGAAAAAATTGACACAAAAAAAAAAAGTGGACGCAAAGGGAGGATGGAAGGAAGGGAGAGATAGCCAGGCGGAGGGCGGTCTTCGCGAGGTATGTATATGTTATATATGTATATGGATACTTCGTGGAATTGGAAAAGCGAAAGAACTTGCAGGATTCGACTTGTGAAGAGGCTAAGAGTGCTGGCTTGTTGGAGACATCTGGTTCTGTGACACAGCGACTATTACCTGCTGAGAAATGTTCCGGAAACCATGCGATGATGTCGCCTGCGGCTGGGTGTTGTTGTTGTTGTTTGAGAGGCCTTGAGGAACGCAGTCAGCCAACCTTCTATTCACATGAGAGAAAAACCGATTTTTTTTCTATTTCTAAGGTATCTGCTTGAAGCTTGGATTAGGTTGCGAGGGAGAGACAATGCTCACAATCTGGTTTGTTGATGTTGGTCTGTTTGCTTTGTTGTGGTTGTTCCTCGAGGCACAACGAACTAACTAGCGGACGTAACTAGCTAGCTTCACCAGTTGGGAGGTGGTCGGTCGAGATGATATCGCTGGGCAGCCAAGCAGCAGGAGATGGCAGCAGTGCGTAAGCACGATGTGGGAGATGAGTGGCCTTACGAGGGAATTGAAAAAAAAAAAAATCAAAAGGGTAGCATTCAGAGAGGCTCGAGGGCCAGGCCGTGGTTGCAGCGGGCGGCGCTGGTGGTGGTGGTCGGTGGTGGGGACAAGCAGGTGAGGTGATACAGCAAAAGGAAAAAATTCCGATCTGGTGGCTGGAGAAACGACGGGAAGAGGAGGACGAGCAGCGTGAACAGCGAGCGAATTTGGGGTTGAGCGAATACGGGGCGCGCGAGGTGCGTTTGGCCCAGTCAGCTAGCTGGTGTTTTGATGTGTTGTCCAGCTCCTCTGGTCTTTTTTTATTGTTTTTTTGTTTTTTTTTATTTATTTATTTATTTTATTTTTCCCACCTTGTCTCGCCCGGCAGAGGTTGAGGGTGAGAGAAAAGCACCGACCGAGAGAGCAGGGCTGAGATGGGCGCTCACATTGGCGGCCTTGGAGAGCCAATGAGGGGGAGCAGGGCCACTCATAACTCATTCAAGCGATTCACGCTGACCTTGACAGCCTGTCAATGCCGGATGTGCCTAGAGTAAAAAAAAAAAAGAAAATTCTCCAAAACCTACAGAGTACTCCTTACATAGTTCAAATGTCAACAAAAAAAGGTGCAGACAGACTTTTTTGCCCGATTTCTGGAACGTTGCTGGGGACGAGCCACAGCCGCCTGCCGCTCCGCCCACCCGCCAACCAGCAAAATGGCAAACCCAACCAGCCCAGCCAACCCGGGCCAGCGTGTCTCATGTCTCTGTCTCTCTCTCTCTTCCCCCCGCAGCCAAAACTTACTTAACTGGTTAATTGGCTAGCCTTCAGCTCCGTCACTGTTTTGCTCTGTTTACTCTTCAATCCTTCCAAATAACCATGGCTGGTTTGAAAGGGTCAGGGTTTGTTATGGAGGTACCTTTACAGGGTACAGTGCTTCCGAAGAAACTTTGCTGGTTTTACCCAGCTCTCCCAGGATGATTTTCTTCTGGACTTACATCATGTTATAGTTAGCGCAGCTTAATATTCCATTTTATAATTTTGACCTCACCAAACCATTTACAAGGTTCTAAGTCTCAGGCAGTTGATGAAGAGGGGCATCTTTTCAGACCCTCATTTGGGTTCCATGTGTATCTCGACGCAAGTACTCCGTACTCCGTAGAAAAATAACAAATGAGCTCCACAACTTATATAAGATCAAACTGACCATCACAGATCATACGAAATTAACTTTTCCTTTGCCGCAACGAAGGAAACAGCACTGGTCTCAAGGAATGCATCGACAATAAACTCTTTGAATGGAGCTTGAAAAGGGCATTCAGATCAAGGTGGAGGTGCTTGATGGGGGAAGGGCGGGATTTAACCCCTTACTACAATGCAGTTCCAGTCCGTGGAGATATCGAGGCCTACACTGCAGAGAAGTCTCTGGGTTAGAGGTATTAATTCATCGGATACCACAAACAAAGTATCCTGCGGGTATGTTAGCTTCTCATTCTCGAGTAATCTAGGCTTTTTTTTTTTTTTAGCCTCAATATACTCCGTACATTGGTCAAATAATGGTACTTCGTAGACTGTAAGAAGACAGTTTCCCCCAGAGGATGTTAGGTACGCTGCCCAAACTCAGAAGTTGAGATACGGATGCAACCAAAAATTCATAAAGACGGAGATTGCGAATTTCGGGGCTAGATGTCTGGCTGTTGGACCACATATATACTGGAGCTGGTATCTCTGTGTTTTGGATTGGAGGGCAAGAAGACCATTCTAGGCCTGTTTTCTCAGAGGATAAGCTTGGGTCCGGATGCGCAGTCTTCACTACCGCGCGTTCGGGCCCTTCGGAACGGACATACATACATACAGCGTGCATCGTACGTACATATGCTGGTAGCTTACGGATACTTCTCATGCCCTGAGTGTTCCCGTGAAGATCACCAAGCCTTGAAGATGGTTTCTTTTTTCCCCCTTAAAAGACCACTACATATGTAACCAGTGATTATTTTCCATGTATGGATTAAATAAACTGTTTACCCCAGCGTAATGCCCTAGTAACATACATACGTATACACATGTATGCCCCCGCAATCCAGGGCAGGAAACAGCCGGCAAAAACAGGGAAATCCGCGAAATGACGCCGTATGTATGTATTGCCGACCGGCCGAATTCTCCAGCATTGGCCAATCACAGTGTGCCGTCACCATCCAGCCAGCCTTAGCCCATTCCTCTTCGGGAAAGTAGTTGTAATTGCCTGCCGGAGTGTCCGTTACGTGATCGCTGCTTGGCTTAGTTTGGAGAGTTGCTTGGAATGTTCCTCTCACCGCGCCTGTATGTGTGTGTGTGTGTGAGAGCGCTTTTGAGCCCCGGAGCCGGCAGGAGGACGTGCTGTGCTCGAATTGACATCCACTCCATTCCCCCTGAAGAATAACTAGTCAACGGCGTGGTGTGATCCCCTCGAGATTGCCCCGTCCTGATACATTACGGGAACAATAATTTCAGGCCAGCCATGCTCTTGTCACGGTATACCCTTTTCTGGGCGTTGTCCGCCGCGCTGAGCGGGTACGCCAGTGCCGCTGGAGAAGTATTGAGACGGCAGGATTCAGTCGAATGTGAGACCATCCTAGAGCTTCCAATGTTGCTCAAAACGGAATGATGTTGCTAACGATACTACTGCCTCCTTCGACCGACTTTAGTGTCTGCTACGACCGAATTACCATCTACTACGGCCACCGCTGATGCCTCCGTGTCTGCGTTCACTTCAGAGGCAGTAGAGACCTCAACCGCTACGGTACCAGCCCCAACGCAGGACGCTTCTCCTCCAGAGCCCACGGATAGCGACGTGGAGGCATGCCATGCCGACGAAGGCAGCCCAGGCTACCCGTTCTGCGAGCCGCGTGTCGGCCAGGAGCTCTATGTTGACGATGTTCCACATCCAGGTAATGCCAAACAAAGATAATAACTGTGCTTTCTTTGAGCAGTGCTGACTCGATATTGGCGGGGGGAAACCACAGTAACATGGGACGTCGATGCATTCGGAATCAATTCCACCGTCATCATCACCCTCGAATTCGTAAACGTCTCGGAAAGCGAGAGCAAACTGGCCTACACCTCCGAGCCCAGACCCAACAAGATCGGCTTCGTAGATATCAAGATGGACAAGTCCTGGCTCCGAGACAAGCCACGCAACAACCTGACCCTGCACCTTATCAACTTCGTCGCGAACAACGAAGAGCACCGCAACGTGAAGATCGGTCCCACATTCTCCCTGACCAAGAAGCCGGTCCAGCACTACCCGCCGCCTCCGCCGTCCAAGCCCAATAAGCTGGGCCTGATGGTCGGCCTGCCCGTCGCCCTGGTTGTCGTCTTCTTCATCGCCTGCGGCCTGTGCATCGGTATGCGCAAACACCGTCGTATCGGGCTGGGTAGCATCATGGGCCGTCGGAGCAAGGGCTACGGAGGAGCGAAGTCGAGAATAGAGAGACTAGGAGGACGCGGTAGACGTCGAGATCGATCCGTCCGGCTCGACGACCTGGAAGATGTGGATCGGTACACTGATGACCCGCAGGGAAGGGCTGACATGGACCGGTTCAACGATATGGAGAGGAATCAGGGGAATGCGTTCAAGACCGATCTTGCACGTATGAAGACCTGGAGATAAGGGGTTAATTTATATTTTTCCCTAGAGAGGGCCCTACTCCTACTCCAATTCCTGCTTGGATGAAGGCTCTTCATGCCGCGGTGTTTCCTTTGGTAAGATGGCAGGCCCGTTGGGTACTGTGACTTTCTTTTTCCCGTCACATTTAGGAATAACAGAGGGGTCTTCATGCCTCATGACTACCCTCTGGTACTGGTACTTTGGTTGATGCTGCCATTACATGCGGGAAACATTCTTCTCAATTGTATGATATTAGCTATTATGGATTGATTGTACACTTCTTTTGCGGGAACATGTATATACTATGGGGGAAGTAAAAAAAAATGATATGATGGGTCGGGGTCGGGGTCAATTGGGAAAATAAAAGGGGAGGCTAATTAAATAGAATAGGATACTTTTGTGATGCCCTGATTGCAATCTTGGACGCAAACTACCATAAGAGGGAGAAAAAAGCATTGGGCTTGGGTCCGGGAGTATATTAATACCCAAGGCCTTTTCTTTTTTATATCATATCCCTTTCCATTTCGGTCTTCCGCGCCTCTGCACGGGAATCCATGGGCTAGCTCTCTTCAGCATTGAAGTTCGGATTATATGAGCTTTGTATGGAGTAAATTCCTGCAAGAGCAATCCAAATATAACTACATCGGTCTCGAATACTACATCCCTTCAATTAGAGATTTCAGCATTTTACGGTTATCTGGTGAGTAGGAGGCTAAATCCGATCCATCTTGTGGCCGGATCCGGCGCTCTTCTCGCTGAAGGCGTCTCCACGCACAATGCTAGGTAACTATTCAACAAGTTGTCGCGGGTTTCTCTTAGCGATTCAAATCGATAACTTGTCAAACAGAGGAGAATGTTGCGAGATAGAAGAATACAAATTTTCTCTTTGAATCCTCACTTATAATCAAAGGCACATTGCCACACTGAACTGTGGAAAGCAATCCTTACAACATCTGTGTGATGAGCTTCTAGAGAATTACAAATTGCCAGTGAGAGATTAAAAGAAACAGAAACAAAATCAACAAATCTATCAAACTGCTGAGACTGCACTTTTTCGATGTCATGCACGGAGTAAACTATTAGTCAGCAGAAGTACGGAGTACTTTCTCCTCAGTTATTTTAGGAGATCCGGCAGTCTCCCTCTGAGCATCATCTTCACACTTATCACAACATGTCTGCTAGCGATCTGCTGTTGTTAATGACTCACCTCGCTTCCTCTAAGGGAGCTCAGGTTAATTGGGAGATGTTTTCAAGGAGTTCGAGCGGCAGAGAGGTTAATGGCATGTCGTCTTGTTTTTCCTTAGTGGCACCGATGGGCTGAGGATTGGGACAATCCGCGATTGTGGTGGATTTGAAGATAGTCAAGGTGAAGGTCAAAGAATTGAGGTATGTAACCATCGCATGACGACCCGGATCATCTTGTTCCAGATTAGCGTGCCACACACGCCGCTTTATCTTCACCCTTCCTCGTCTTGCCCTCAGCTCTGTTCTCCACCAAGTCGCCCTTCGCTCCATCACTGTACTAGGTCTACGCAATGAGCTCTGTCAACTCAACATCTCTACCCCCGGTCCCCAGGCAGGCTACTTTTTGCTTTTCCTTTATCCAGGCTTGCCCTACACTCATGTTGACAGGCTTGCTTTTTCCCCCCTTTTTTGTTCTTGCAGAGTTCCATTATGTCTAAGAAGATCGCTCTTGAAGAGTGGTACAGAGACTACATGCCTTCGGCTTTGACTTCAACAAATTAAAGCTAAGTGGCAAGTAGGTGCTTAGGACACTGGAAGATAGCACTAAGAGAAATTACAGAAGTAGCTGGAAGCTCTGAGAGGAGTAGGTCCCACGATCCCTAGGCCTTTGATATCTTGTTGTCTGCTGGCTGACAATCTTGGAGGTTCCTGTAGGTATTATAGCACGTATGCTGAGCATGATATCTACCACAAACAGACCAAAAAGCATTTCATCATACAAACTGCTCTAAGAGACATGTGCAAAAGAAGCCCAAGGACACATACATTCACCAACAATGAAAAGATCTCACAGCTGAGTGGAACAGCCACACTGATAAAAAGCATTTCATTACTATGACCAACTTATGTGGCTATTTTCCTTAGATATCAGAACAGAAGAGAACACCCATGATTGGCCTGCTTTTTCCTCTCTAATTTATCTAGGAGGAACTGCACAAGTGTGTGCTAATTAATTGTGGGCGGCATAAAGTGAAGTACTTGACACTGATCCACTTCAAAATCATCCCCCAGCAGCCCTGGTGCAATGACTGGCATCTCTATCGGTATCTGATCTACTGCATATACATGCCTAGCCTGCTCAAGAACTGCATGTAAGCCTGGACAAGTACTGGAATGAACATCATGCTTGGGTTCAGGCTGCAAGTTCTATATAGAAGGAAGAGACAGCGGTTGCGAACTAACCAAACCAGAACTTGACCATTCTGTTGCCCTCAAGAGGGACACAAAGAACATGTTCAACCAGCGGCAAAAGCAGTTCAGGCCCCTTTCCAATTTTTCCTTGTGGCCCTTCGCCACTCTCAAGCCTAGGCCGAGCCCTTATCCCCCGATGACATTTCACGGGTATGTCTTGCCCTCCTCACACACCCGCTTAAACACCTCTTCCGTGTGCTGCAGCACTTTCTCCACCGCGCCCTCCTCCCTCGTCTTCCCCAATTTCTTGTTCGCTGGGAACACCTCTCCGTCCCAACTCACCCAGTAACAACCACTCCCCTTCGTACTATCGCTGCCAACCGCGACATCCCCTTCCATCCCCTCACCCTCAGCTTTGGGAGGAAACCTCTCACTCGTCGCAGCAAACAAATGCCTCTCCCCACTCTCGTCAATCGGCACCATAAATGCACTCAATAGCGGTGTCAGCACAGCAGCCAGCACGCCCCCAGCCGGCATTTCACGCATCAGGCCCGTGGCCACACCAGAAGGGTACGCGTGGACGAACGAGGTATGCGGGTGTCGCTGCGCCATGCCCTCCAGGAAAAAATCACCCATCAGGCTGGCATGCGCGCCGCAATTTTTGAGGCTGAACGTGTGCTTCAGACTGAGGTCGGAGAAGTTGAGCTTACCGGAGCCGCCGGCGCGGACGGAGACGAGCGGTTCTAGTACGGAGACTACGCGGGATAGTCTAGCATTGGCCTTGACAGAGGGGTCTTGCGCGGCCACGGTTAAGAGGGGAAGCAAGTTGACAATGAATCGCATCCGCGCGTAGTAATGCAGCACGAATTTGCGGTCCAGGCCTTCGGCCGTCTCGTCCCGGCCTTTCAGCGTCATGTATCCCGGTGTCATGAATAGCAGGTTTAGCTTTTTCTCTTTGGCTGCGATCTCGGCGCACACGCTATCGACGTTCTTAAGCAGGGATATGTCGGTTTGGAGAAAGGTCGGCTGGGCGGAGGAGTTTATGCTTTTCATGGAGGCAATGGCGGTGTCGGCGGCGGACTGGTTGCGGCCGATGAGGTAGATTTTGGGGGAGAGCGTGTGACGAGCGAAGGCGAGGGCTGTGGAGAGGGAGATGCCGGAGGTGCCGCCGACTGGGGGGTATTAGTGAAATGAAAAGGCTTACAAGAGATGAGATAGGGTAAAGGAGAGCCTTTGCAGCGCGGGCATTCTGCTTCAAGAGCAAGAATATTTTCGGCGGGAGTATCGTAAAGAGTGAAACGTTGGAGCACGTTGAACTTACCAAACACCGCGACGAGACCTGGGGCTAGAGATTTGAGAGCCGCATTGTGGGCTTGGATAGCTTGGAGGTTCACCATCGCTGCTTCGCGGAGACTGGATACGGAATTATCGGATGTAGGACCTTTATGAGATCTGGGTTTCCTTATTGCGAAGAACACTTGGTCCAAGAAGAGGAACTGCAAAAGCAGGGGAGGCCGTTACCGTTGGTAAATGATTAACTATCCGATAGCCCAGCTGTGCCTTGGGGAAGTGAGATAAGCTTCAGCAGCCGGAACGAGGTGGTGGAACCGCGTCAAGTACTCCGAGTGCTTTCTCGTGTGTGATTCATACGTTGGTTGAGCTCCGACGGGAGAAGACTGGACAGCACGGTCCGTAAACAAGGATTGGGTTTTGGATACAGACGAATAATTTACTTAAAAGGCCCTGTGGTACCGGAAGGGCCTATGCATACGATGACCACAGGCAGATAGTGAGCAAGCAGGAGTGTTCCAATTAATGCCAAGCCCTTCTGTGAAGCTGATGGAAGCTCAAACTGCGCAGGACAGACGAAGCAAGCCTAAGTCGAACCAATGCAACATGGGCTGGGGGGGAAGACCAGACCACTGGACAGGGATAAGTCGGTTTCTGGCCCAAAACGGCGCAAACCCGCGTGGGTTCCTCTAAACTAGGTTGGGCCAAGGCCCGAAAACTGATCTGGCTGACACGATACATCGACCTGGCTGATGTGAGCCATTGCCTGAATGACGCAGACCAAAATTGGTCGCGAAACACGTCCAGGCCTTGTTGGTATGGATCACGTTAGCCATGTGTTCGGTTCAAAACCGAGAGCGAAGAAGCCCGGGGCGCGCTCTCAACAATGTGCTGCTTCATCTAATGATGCCGCCCCGGAGAATCTTCTGCTCCTGGCAGTTGACGCCCACCCCGACAACCATATTCCACCCTTCTACCTTCAGTCCTTCTTTTTTTCTTTTTAGTATAGTTAATACGTTCAATTGATGTTTATTCGCGCCGTCGAACCAGGACACCCGCAGAGATGAGCTTGGTGGGCAATTTCGGGGCTAATGACAACCGCGGAGCCGAAAGTGCGAAGGACGGCGTCTCCAGCGTGGTGACGAGGGAAGAGGAGGTTCATCAGCTGGCCAGGCAGTTCACAGAGCAGAGCACTTATTCAACGACTGTGCAGAACCGCTTTGCGGCGGATCCTGGATCGGCCCTCGACCCCAATGGAGATAACTTCAATGCCCGGGCTTGGTGCAAGGCCATGCTGCGGATGCACACCGAGGACAACCAAGCACATCCACTCCGGACACTGGGCGTAGCCTTCAGCAACTTGAACGTGCATGGCTTCAGTTCCGATGCTGATTACCAGAAGAGCGTAGGCAACGTCTGGTTAGAGACTCTCAGCCTGGCGAGAAAGTTCATAAGTCAACGTCAGCGCAAAATCAAAATTCTACAGAGCTTGGATGGATTGGTTGAAGCTGGAGAAATGCTTGCAGTGCTTGGACCACCTGGATCGGGATGCTCGACATTCTTGAAGACCATCGCTGGAGAGACATACGGCCTTATTGTCGACAAGACCTCAAACATCAATTACCAAGGTACGTCCGACATCATTCATAGGACGCCTTCCTGCTAATGGTCATCAGGTGTGAGCGCAAAGCAAATGGCCAACGAGTTTAGGGGGGAAGGCATCTACACCGCTGAGGTCGACGTCCACTTCCCCAAGCTCACGGTTGGAGATACTCTCTTCTTTGCTGCGCGGGCCCGAGTACCACGCCACATTCCTGGAGGAGCAACTGTGAACCAGTACGCCACGCACATGCGGGACGTCATCATGGCCATTTTCGGTATCAGCCACACCAAGAACACTATCGTAGGAAACGACTTCGTCCGCGGTGTATCCGGTGGAGAGCGCAAACGTGTTAGTATTGCTGAAGCTTGCCTCAGCATGGCGCCGCTGCAATGTTGGGACAACTCCACTCGTGGTCTCGACAGTGCCAATGCCATCGAGTTCTGTAAGACTCTTCGCATGCAGACTGACATCAATGACACCACGGCCTGCGTTTCCCTTTATCAAGCTCCTCAGGCTGCCTACGACAACTTCGACAAGGTCCTGGTTCTATACGAAGGTCGCCAGATCTACTTTGGCCGCACAACCACGGCTAAGCAGTATTTCCTTGACATGGGTTTTGCCTGCCCTGACCGACAAACCGATGCCGATTTCCTCACTTCCATGACTAGCCACCTCGAGCGTGTCGTGCAGCCAGGCTACGAAGCCCGCGTGCCCCGGACGCCTGATGAGTTCGCCGCACGATGGAAAGCCTCAGCAGAGCGAGCACAGCTTGTGAAAGACATTGAGGCGTACAACGCAAAGTTTGCACTCGGTGGTGAATATCTGGACAAGTTCAAGCAATCCCGGAGAGCTCAGCAAGCCAAGGCCCAGCGTGTGTCGTCACCCTACACTCTTTCATACGTACAACAGGTTAAATTGTGCTTATGGCGCGGTTTCAAACGATTAAAGCCTGATCCCAGTATCACTATTTCTTCATTAGTTGGAAATTCTATCATGGCTCTCGTCATCGCCAGTATCTTTTACGACCTCAAGGCCGATACCAACAGCTTCTTCCAGCGTAGTGCTCTCCTCTTCTTTGCTGTTCTCATGAATGCTTTTGGTTCCGGCCTTGAAATGCTCACTCTTTATGCTCAACGAGGGATTGTGGAGAAACACTCTCGATATGCCCTCTACCACCCGTCTGCTGAAGCATTTGCATCTATGCTCATGGATTTGCCCTACAAAACTCTCAACACCATCACTTACAATTTGGTTCTCTATTTCATGACAAATCTAAGACGAGAACCTGGTGCTTTCTTCTTTTTTGTATTCACCTCATTCATTCTGACTCTAACCATGTCCATGTTCTTCCGGTCCATTGCATCGCTGACAAGAACCCTTGTTCAAGCGCTCGTCCCTGCCGCGATTCTAATTCTGGGTCTCAGTATGTACACTGGTTTCACCATTCCGACGCAGTACATGCTTGGATGGGCCCGTTGGATTGCCTATATCAATCCTATCAGCTATGGTTTTGAGTCTCTAATGATCAATGAGTTCCACAACCGTGACTTCGCCTGTGTCAACTACGTCCCGTCGGGCCCTGGCTACGCGGGTATTGGACCTAACAACCATGTTTGCTCCACAGTCGGATCAGTGCCTGGACAGCCCTATGTCAATGGCGACAGTTACATTGAGTCATCTTATGGCTATACCGCCTCGCACAAGTGGAGGAACGTTGGCATTATATTTGCCTTCATGTTCATCCTCATGATTGTCTATCTGGTTGCTACTGAGTTAGTCACCGAGAAGAAGCCAAAGGGCGAGATCCTCGTGTTCCGTCGCGGACACAAGGCCCTGAAGAAGAGCAAGTCAGAGGATGATGTCGAAAGCGGTAGTGGCCGCAGTGTTGTTGTGGAGAAGTCCCAATCAGATGACATTGCCATAATCGAACGCCAGACTGCTATCTTCCAATGGAAAGATGTTTGCTACGATATCAAGGTCGGAAAGGAGCATCGCAGGATTCTTGATCATGTTGATGGATGGGTCAAACCAGGTACCTTGACCGCGCTTATGGGTGTTTCTGGTGCTGGGAAGACCACACTATTAGATGTTTTGGCTACTCGTACCACCATGGGTGTTATCACTGGGGAGATACTTGTTGATGGCAAACCTCGTGATGAATCCTTCCAGCGCAAGACTGGCTATGCTCAACAACAAGATCTGCATTTGAACACCTCCACGGTTCGCGAGGCCCTTACCTTCTCTGCTCTTCTACGCCAGCCTGCTCACGTCCCTCGTCAAGAGAAGATTGACTATGTTACAGAGGTCATAAAGCTTCTAGAAATGACTGAGTATGCCGATGCCATCATTGGTGTGCCTGGTGACGGTCTCAATGTCGAGCAACGCAAACGCCTCACAATCGGTGTGGAGCTTGCCGCCAGGCCAGCTCTACTTCTCTTCTTGGATGAACCTACATCTGGACTTGATTCTCAGACATCGTGGGCTATCCTTGATCTCCTTGACAAACTGAAGAAGAACGGCCAGGCTATTCTTTGCACCATTCATCAACCCTCCGCCATCCTGTTCCAGCGCTTCGATCGTCTCCTCTTCCTCCAGGCCGGTGGACGCATCGTGTATTACGGAGATATTGGCGAGAACTCTCAAATCCTTATTGACTACTTCGTCCGCAATGGTGGACCCCCGTGCCCTCCTGCTGCTAACCCCGCTGAATGGATGCTCGACGTTATCGGTGCTGCTCCCGGATCCCACACTGACATCGACTGGTACGACACATGGCGCAACTCCCCCGAGTATAGACGTGTCCAAGAACACCTCGCCAAACTGAAACTTGAAAGTTCCCAACAGGTCGGCCTTGCCCGCACTCTCTCGGGCCAGAAGCGCGAGGACAAGGCTAGCTACCGCGAATTCGCCGCTCCATTCGGTGCACAGCTCTGTGAAGTCCAGACCCGAGTGTTCCAGCAAATTTGGCGCTCACCCACGTACATTTACTCCAAGACCGCACTATGCGTTAGTTCGTCTCTCTTTGTCGGTTTCTCTCTGTTTAATACTCCCAACACGATCCAGGGACTTCAGAACCAGATGTTCGCTATCTTCATGTTGTTGACTCTTTTCGGTCAACTCATCCAGCAAATCATGCCACATTTCGTTGCCCAGCGCGCTTTGTACGAGGCCCGCGAACGTCTATCTAAAACTTACTCTTGGAAAGCTTTCATGATATCTAACATTGTCGTTGAACTCCCTTGGAACTCGCTCATGTCCGTCCTCATGTTTATTTGCTGGTACTACCCCATCGGTCTGAACCACAATGCCGAACCTACTGACTCCGTCACGCTACGTGGCGTGCAAATGTGGCTCTTCATCTGGACCTTCCTTCTTTTTTCATCCACCTTTGCACACTTTATGATCGCGGCTTTCGAAACTGCCGAGAACGCCGGTAACACGGGTAACTTGCTCTTCATGCTCTGTCTCCTGTTCTGCGGTGTCCTCGCTACGCCCAACCAGCTCCCAGGTTTCTGGATCTTTATGTACCGCGTCTCACCATTCACGTACCTCGTCAGTGGTATGCTGTCCGTCGGCATCTCCAACACAGAAGTCACATGCGCGCCAAACGAGTACCTGCGCTTCGACCCGCTGAACGGGACCTGCGGCGAGTACATGGAAGCGTACAAGGCCACTATGGGCGGCTACATCGAAAACGAACTTGCGACCTCAAACTGCAATTTCTGTCCCATCAGCGACACAAATGTTTTCCTTAGTTCTGTCTCAGCCAACTACTCAGATGTGTGGCGCAACTTCGGCATTATGTGGGTGTACATCATTTTCAATATCTTTGCGGCGTGTGCGCTGTACTGGTGGGTGCGTGTCCCGAAGGCAAAGAAACCAGTGGCCGCCAAGACCAACTAGTGTCTGACACGATTCTTCGTGTTATGAGTATACCTTGCTGGCTCAACTTGCCAGGACTTTACGACAACAGAATAAGTTCTTACATTGGGCCTAGTTCCTCTTAAGCATTCAGGACGGAGAAATACAAGAAGACTTCTCCCCAAACTTCCTGCATGTTTTCCTGTACACAATAGACGAATGTTTCTTTTTCTGTCGTTACCCTGAGGTTTCACTTTGTTATTCTGCTTTTTGGAGATTGCTCAGAGGGTGTTATCTTTGGTACCTGCTTGCATATCTCTTTTTGGGAAAGCTATTAGGTGTGACATGCCCCGTGGTTAAGGCTCAGTTGGGATCTGCTACTTTCGGGGTTTGCCTTTTTGAAGCTGGCATGAATTGGTATATGGTGGGTAATTTGCCTAATCCGGCCATTCCCCATTAGAATCAAAACAAGCTACCCCAAGCAAAGGAAATTTGACCTGTTCTATCGTTACTTTCCTTTCATCCATGGCCTCTAAACTGCAATAGCTTTCCGCTCTGATGTTATACAACATCGATCCACCTTCAGTCTCATACTCACCCTACTCCTGATCATACCCACTTCACAATGCATTCCGTCACATTCTCCTTCATCTCGCTTTCAGCCTGTCTCCTGACGTCGACTGTTGTTGCGTCAGCTAGGCCTTTGACATTTGATCTAAAGAACTTCACATTGTCATACGGGATGTGGCTGTTATCGGTGGCGGCTCTGCAGGCACATATGCATCCATTACTCTGAAGGATGAAGGCAAATCGGTCATTGTTATTGAAAAACAAAACGGGTCAGGTGGGCCACACCGAGACATATATTGATCCTGCGACCGGCACCACAATTGATATGGGGGTCCTGATCTGGCACAACATTACAGTTGTAAAGGACTACTTTAAACGATTCGATATCCCAATCACTAATTCTGCTGGTTTCTTTCAATCTGCGTTAAACTATGATTTTCGTACCGGAAAAGAAGTCACAACTCCATCGGAAGCGGAGGTATCCGCAGCCTTCGCAGCCAATACGACACAGAATTCCAAATACCCCGGGTTGAACGATGGGATATTCCTTCCAAGCCCTGTGCCCGAGGAGTTGTATATGCCTTTTGGTGAGTTTGTACAGAAGTATGGACTTCAAGCGGCGGTTCCCACCATGTTCAACTACAATCCGGGTGTCGGAAATATACTGGCGAATCCAACGCTTGAACAATTCCGATACTGCGGATTGAATACGGTGCGGTCCTTATCGGCTGGCTTTCTGACTACGGCCCGGCAAAACAGCAGCGAGCCGTACTCCAGAGCCGAAATAGAGTTGTCTTCGTCCTCAAGTCTTCTCCTTGATTCCAAGGTCGCGTATGCGGATCGAGGCGAAGGAGGGGCAGGTATCAAACTCGTTGTTCGTACACCCCAAGGCTACAAGCTTATTCTCGCGAAGAAGCTCCTCATTGCCATACCCCCAAAGCTTGACTTCCTAGCCCCGATGGACCTTAGCGACAAAGAAAAGAGAACTCTTTGGAAAGTTTATTGACGCGGGCTACTATGTCGGCATCTTAAAGAACACGGGGCCTCCCCGAGGACGCCAGCATCTCGAATGCTGCCCAGGATTCGGAGTACAACTTGCCTCCTCTCCCGGGAGTGTACAGCTTCGCCCCATCTAGACTTCCCGGATTGCAAATGGTCGCCTACGCCACTCCGCAGAGTCCTAAATCCTTTCCCCTGTCTAACGCGATGGTGAAGGCGGACATAATAAGGACCGTCAAGAGACTTCAGAAGCAAAATCCGGACAAGTTTGGCCAAACAGATCCTGAATTTGTTGATTTTAGATCGCATGCCCCGTATACTCTTCAAGTCAGTGCTGAGGATATTAAGGTCGGATTTTATGAGAAGCTGTATGCGTTGCAAGGCCCAAGAAATACGTACTGGACTGGCGCGGCATTCAGGGGGGAAGATAGTAGTTTACTCTGGAAGTACGTGGAGGAAATAGTGGTGCCGCAAATGCTTGCAGGTCCATGAGCTTTTCGTCCAGGATCGATAGATTGAACTTGCTTGCTCGGGCCATGACTCTGTCAAATCTGCGATTTAGAAAGACAGCACAAATAAACAACCGTAAATATGACTTGGACTTCATATTTCAATCCTATCTAGAACATCTAGTGCAGTTTCAGGTATATATTTTATGTGACCTAGTCCGGGTGATCTGTGTCCTGTTAACTAGTTAGCTAACTAACTAACTGTTAGCTAGTTACTCCGTAGTTATTACATATGAGCGCTGCTCCGTACTCCGAGCGGTCCGCTATGCTCGGTAGTTGTGATCACATCACAGCCACTCCACTCGTCCCCACCACTTCTCCAGACTTTGTCACAGGCATTTGGCACCACACCTTGTCCATCAGAATCGCATCTGTGGCTACACGATGCCATTACAAACTCGAGAGGTCAGACAACAGAGTGAAAGCGTAGGAAAGGAGAAACGGAAACCTGTCCGCCGTGACCCGGAGAAGAGGCGGCAACAGAACATTCGAGCACAAAGAAAGTACCGTGAGTGCAACTCTTCTCTCATGTCAGCAACCCCCAGACCATAGGCACAGGAATCTCTGGAGAAATAAATACTGACTATTCATCCACTAGGAGAGAAGCTTCGTGAGCGTCTGGCTTATCTTGAAGCACTTGCTGCATCTGCAGCACAGAGCGATGCTATTGAACGAACATCGACTGCGGGCACAGGCCAATCTGAGGCGGTCACAACGCATGGCTCATCCAGCACTCCAACCCATATACTTCCAAAGACTCCCCCATCTTATGATGCTTCGGACATATCTGTTTCCAGTTTATCTCCAGTCACTCTAGGAGAATATCAACGATTTATTCCACATTCAGATGACACCCTATCCTCACTGACCATCTGGGATTCTACACCACATTTTTCTATCCGATGACATGTCATCCGCACCGAGTTTATGGGATTCTCCAACACATGTTGATCCTTCCCTTCTCATTCTTGATAAACAAAACGACAGTCTTGGTCCATATTGGACCACCACCATCGATTGCGGCTGCGCCAGTCCACACTTCCAGATACAGACACACGGTTCAGATCCATTTCGCTATGGCGAGGTCAGGGTACTCAAATTTAAACCGAGTGCCACAGCAGCAGATCCGTATGCCAACAACCTTCGCATTGAAAGAGTCTGCACTATAACTGCATTATATGCTCTTGGAATGCATGTTGGCATCACCGAGGAGATGGTCTGTGCTGACGAATCTTTCTCACCGTTCTTCCGGTCTATCACGGAGTCGATAGATGATATGATCAAAGCAAATACGATTGGCACAGTGCAGAGAATCTTCAAAACACTGAAGCCTGACTTGAGGCCGAGTAGCGAGCAAATTACTATCCAGCATCACCCATACATAGATATTCTACCCTTTCCGACACTACGAAAAAATCTCATCACCCATCAGGAAGAGATTGACGAGGATGAGTTCTTCCTTGATATCCTTACCGGATTAGTGTGTTGGGGAGGTGCAGGCATTGGAAGGAAGGATCGAGAAGACTCCACTGGATATGCTTCGACAGGTACGCCCTGGGACGTCCGTAGTTGGGAGGCGAGGGTGTGGTTTTTGAAGAAATATTGGACTTTGCTAGGTGGTGAAGATGGAGAGCTTGTACGGCAAAGCGAGCGGTGGCGCAGTATCCGAGGGGACGACACGCTGAACATGGAGGTGCATAGCTAGCAATAGAATTCCGCAATCGTTGCTAAGCTTCAGGTTACAGATGGCCCGTGGTGTCACCAATATATGCCAAGCATACCGGACCGAGCGTAGCATTCTCAGCAACGGGAGGTTATTAACAACCAGCCAATCCTGCAGCAATAGCTATGAGGGCAGCGGCGCTCACTGTGCAACTCACATGTACGGACCGGAATTGTTGGCAGGCTCTCTACTACTAGGATTCGCCTCGTGACAACTGACTAGGGCGGTAAAGCGATACGAAGCACAATGATCTCAGTGGTATCAGAATTCTATCTACCGTGCTATCCCCTACCAGTCTATGAGCTCCAGTGACCATGGTCCCTGCACGAGAAACACAGGTCACAGGTCTAACCATAGTCCGTCCAGCAGCTATCCTACACTTTCAGCATCTCTAGCATCAACCTCAATGAAAAGTTCTCTTCACCGAACTTTGCTTCTAAGATTCCAACCTCCCTTTCCAACTCGCCATGCAGTTCCCTGAGAACGTCGAGCGTGTAATCCAGACTTTTTGTCTTTTTCATAGTTGCCAACACCTCTCGCTTGGCCTCAATGCTGAGCTTTCCGTCTAGCCTTCTCTTCATGAGGAATGCCCGCAGCTGCATTGCATCGCCCGCAAACTTGGGCTCTGACTCAACAGTTCAGATGCAGTGGATCAGCGTGAAGGAGAGCTTCCCTTCATCGAGGTCCTCGGCAAAGCCCTTCTGCTTAGCGTAGTCGGCGGAAGCGAGGTTCTGGTAGTCGTCGCGGATCTGGAAGAAGCGCCCCACGAGGCAACTCAACAGGTTCAGAGCGTCGTCTGACACCTTCTCGCCGACCGGGCTTTCGGCGACCATCAATCGTGTCAGCATGCGGAATAGGCCACCCGTCTTCATATCAACCATTTTCAGATACTCTGATACGGACGGGCATAGTGTATTGTGCGTCCAGTAGAGGTCATAGCTCTGCCCCACATGCAGCTGTTGCATCTCTTCGATGAAGATGCGAAGGCATGACGGGTTGCCGAGCTCGGTAGCCATACCTGTCGCTTTGACATATTGGTACGTCGCGCTGTTGATTGTCTGGGCGGTGCCATAGATGTTGTGAGTAGAGGGCCTACCACGACGAAGTGGTGAGTCGTCTTCGATGTCATCAAGCCTGAGCATCGTTAGACGGTTTGAATGAGACATGGCAGGATGGAAGAGTGAGAAAAAAAAAGGTGGGTAGCAAGGTAATTGGGCCTGAATGAGTAGAAGAAGACTAACATGAGAGATGCGCTATGCAGCATCTTGACGATGCTCTTGATCATTTTAGCCGACTTCTGGGGCACTTTAAGCCATGTGTTGAGGGAGTCTATGGCCTGGTCACGGAAACCCTTAGAAGGAAGGGAGGTGAGGTATCGATATGGTTGGAGAACAACCTAATAATTACCGTCAGTTACACCTCCGAGGATATGTCATATCTATATTTGAGGGGAATCAGCGTAGGGAAGACGCCCAACTCACATCATCGCTCAGCTCTGGTAAATTCAGATCAACGGCCAAAGACACCACATCCGCAAGAGCAAATGAATCCGTGCTCAGTTGCGATATCTGTGCCGACTTCTTGACACATTTAGTGCCATTCTTCTTTGTGTCGTCACCCGTACCGCTACCGTTCCTCTTCCTCTTGAGGCCGTTGGCCTTGGTTGATGCATAATGCCCATTACCGTTGACAAGAGGCTCCTTACGTTCGGTTTCGACAGGAAGGCCGTTAGTTGCATCCTTCGGTGGCCACATTGCCGGGTATTTCTCCAGGCCATACTCAGCTCTCAGCAACTGCAACTCATTGAATTTGGTTGGTCCGTTGTATCTCGGACAATTAGTACTCCAGGCAGCGTTTCCTGAAAGTGTGTACTGCATGACCTCTATGTATCTCTTAAGTTCATCACTGATATCCGTCCGTGCCCTGGTGTTCTTGACCACGCGGACATAGTTGGCACATTCGACGCGGATGCGCTCTTTACAAATCTCTCTTGCTTCTTCTTCGCTACAGCCGTGCTCCCTCATGACAACCAAGATGGCGTTTTGAACATTGGCGTCACCGCGCTCCTTCTCGAATGAGAATAGATCATTAGTGAGAGAGGCAGTGATCAAAGCAGGCTTCAGAAGCTCCCTCGCCTCATCCGCCTCTTCCTCGGGGATGGTAATAGCGCAGCCAAACGTGACAAGACCATGCCAGCGCCTTGATAGCAGAACACAATTAGTCCCAGCTAGGTAGGCTTAATCTAGGATGCTGAAGTCATTGGTGGGTGCGGGAGGCTTACATGTATCCCACGTCGAGGGCCCTATAAGGGATGTACTCCTCAAGAGTATTAAAGTGCGTTTCGTCCTGCCGTCTACTGGAATGTTGGACGCCAGCAGCCCAGCTCTTGGCGACAGTCATTGCTCTCTCAGGGTCAATTGCCATCATCTCGCGGAGAATCTGAGCGACGATTTTACGCTTTCCAGAAGCGGCTTTCTCGTCGATCTTGCCGGTCTGACCGCCCTGTTCCAAAGCATGCTCCATTTCGTCCAAAGATGCGTTGTGGATCTCTTTATCGATGACGTCTGCAATCAATTAGCCTCATTCAGGATACTTCACAGGGCTACAGGCAATTGACCCATACCGTCATGCATGAAACCAAATTCAAGCGCATAAGCGGTAATCTCCATTCTGTCTGGGAGACATTCGGGCACCGCGGCAGTGATGAAGCTAAAGTCTGGGCCCAAGAGGCCTGCATAAGGCTTCTCTAGGGGCCCAACCAAGCGGCGCCAGTCTTCCTGAGCCCTAAACGCACCGACTTCTTCGAGGTCGCCAGCCACGTGCCTCCTGAGATCTATTCCAGGACAAAGACCTTGCGTGTCGTAGGTGGAAGAGTCGATGATCGTCGAATACTTGTGGGCCATTTTATATGCAAACGCGAAGAATGTTTCCGTGGTAAAGGGGTGTTAAGGCTTTGAGGTCGCAGAGAAACGAGACAAGTTGTCATACATAAACACGTACAGGCTCAGCAAAAGGAGATGGATAACAATGATATTTCCGGCTTGAGCAATCGTTCTGCGGGACATCTCAGCATCCACAGTGCTGGCTTTTGAACAGTCAGGCGCTTCTAGGAGTGATCCGCTTCTCTTAAATGGCGCATTTCCACTTCTACTACGCTACCAGGTGGTAAGAATAGAGCCATTTGCCGTATGAAGACATTCGACTCAGATCTTCTTCTTCTGGTAAAGTGCCTAAAGGGCAAGGCCCGATGCAGGACAGCGAGAGGCGAGCTAACAACCCGTAGCCCCAAGAAACGAATAGATAGGTCGAAAGATGGAACGGGCGAATTTCCGCCCCTCAAAGAGGGCAGAAGGGAACCTTGGTAAGACTCCTCAAGGCGCCGAATAGAGAATAGCCATATTGGGCGATTTACCGAGATATGTCACCCAATAAGCGACTGGGGTCGTTTTTGGGGCCGCGAAAGAGCAAGTCCCTGAAGAAGTGTATTCCGGTAAGATAGCGCGACTTGTGTTCAAGCCCTTTATAAAATGTGAATTCAAGACTTTTATCTTGTCTGGTGCCGCAACTCACTTGTGCGTCGTGATTTCACTTATCCATCAGGCCTCGTTGAACCATGAGAGGCCCCCCTTCCCCTGACCCAAGCGTCTCCCGACTTCTTTTCTCCAAGGCTTCCATCGGTCTATCTCAAATGGAGGCATACTTGCCCAAAAATCTCGGTTTGCGTGCTACCGTCGCTATCCTCGTTATAAGTGTGTTCTATATTCTCAGCCTAGTCATATATCGCCTCTTCTTTTCTCCTATAGCAAAATTTCCGGGTCCCAAGCTTGCCGCAGTAACGGGTTGGTACGAGTTGTACTACGATGTTGTCAAGAAAGGGAAATACCTGTTTGAGATTGAGAAGATGCATGACAAGTATGGTATGTACTATGACTTTCGTGATTTTCAATAGCTCCACCGCACAAGAACCAGTGCGCATGTTGTAGAGGAATGAAGCTCACGACTTTTAAACTATGTAGGACCAATTGTAAGGATTAACCCACATGAGCTCTCCATTCGGGACCCAGAATACTACGATGAACTCTACGTCGCGGGCTCCGTCCGCCCAACGGAAAGGTATAAGGGTTTCGTTGATGGTATTGTCGACTTTGACGGATCTCATCTCGCGACTATAGGACATGACCTCCACCGCAAGAGGAGAAAGCCACTCGACCCCTATTTTTCTCGAGCTGGGGTGACAAAGCTAGAGCCCATGGTGGCAGAGCTTTGCGAGAAGCTAATTATAGAACGGTTCGAAGGGTTTAAGGGAACTGGGAAAGTAGTGAGACTGGATCATGCCTTCACAGCCTTCTCTGGCGACGTGATCAACAGGATTTGTATTGATGACCCGCCCAATCTCGTGGACGATCCGGAGTTCGCTCCATGGTGGTTTGAACTTTTCCATAGTGGTATAGTATCGCTGCCTCTGTTCATGGGTCTGCCTTGGCTAATCCAGTAAGTAACCTCCGCATCCATAAAGTTCATTTGCTAATCCGAATAGTTTCATCCGTCTTATTCCCGAGAGCATTCTCGCGAAACTGGATGCCAGGAGTCAGACTTTCAACAAGTTCAAGCTGGTATCAATAAGCCCCAAATCCCATCATCTCTATCTTCATTTCCCTGCTGACACTTTTTAGATGTGCGACGAACATCTCCGCGTGGCCAAGCGTGAAAAGGCTGCCCTAGGATCCAAAGATACGACAGCGATGGGTGGGCGCCTCACCCTTTTCCGGCATATGGTCAGCAGTGACCTTCCGCCATCTGAGCTCACAGACGAGCGCCTGTCGAAGGAAGCCCAAGTCCTAATTGGTTCTGGCACAATCACCACAGCTGGGACGATGGGCTTCCTTTGCTATCACATAATGGCCAATCCAGCTATCAGGAAACGTTTAGAAGAAGAGCTGAAGCCTGTCATGGAGGGCTACCCTCAGAGGAAACCGACTTGGGCCCAACTGGAGAAGGTAGCATATTTGCAGGCATTGGTTAAAGAGGGCCTTCGGTATTCTTTCCTCGTGTCTCTGGTGGCTGAACCATCATTAAAAACAGCTGACTGACTGACATTGTGTAATAGCCTCAGCTACGGCACAATGCACCGCCGTCCGCGTGTTTCTCCGAAACAAGCTCTCCGGTTCAAGGAGTGGGTGATCCCAGCCGGCGTTCCGGTTGGCATGTCCGCATACTTCGCGCATCGCAATCCTCACTTTTTTCCGCGACCATTAGAATTTATACCTGAGCGATGGCTGGAGAACGTTACTCCCGAGATGAATCGCAACTTCATCCCATTTTCAAAGGGGTCACGGCACTGTTTGGGAATGAAGTAAGCCTGTCCTTTAAACCCGGCCCTATTGTCAATCGGGTTGACCGGAGGGGATAACGTCTCTGACTTGCCAATTTGAATAGTCTTGCCTATTGTGAACTTAATCACATCCTCGCCGCCCTGTTCCGCCCGGGAGGTGCCGGTTTCAGCCTTTACGAGACAGACGAGTCGGACGTCATGCCAGCTCATGATTTGATAGTACCTTTGCCAAAGCTGGATACAAAGGGTGTTCGGGTCATGTTCCATTAAGTGCCAGAGCGCGCTCTTTCCGGACCTTGGCATGATCAGCATTGGAGCTATGTAGTGTATTGTGATGAAGTGGTGAATGCCGTAGTTAAACATTCTGAGTACGCGCCAGTGACGAGGGCTTAACTAGTTAATAAATCCTCAAGCACCAACCTTCTTCTATATCACGCACGTAACCTTTTAGTTGGCTTAAAAACGTGTGCATAAGGATCGGCACTCGAAAACAAACTTCATACTAGGAATGTTTACGGAGTAGAGCATTCACCTCTGTATATATCTTTCTCAAGTTCGCCGAGTCTTATTTCAGCTCGCGCCAGGTTTGCTGTCTGCGCCTCTCACAGAACCTTGCTACCCACGTTCTTCAGGTCTGCTAACAACTCCATCACCGCCCTTAATTGGAGAAGGATTAGAACGCGGACCAGATGCTCCCATTCCAGGGGGGAACTGATCTCGTAGTCGCCTAGAAGGAGTTTTCGCCAGTCCGACGATGTTCTCGTGCGCGTTGATACGATTTGGCCGGAGTGCCTATAGTCGGTCTTGGGTGAAGAGGAACAAGCGGATGTAGCAAGGTCTCGATCCTCAACGTTGGCATGATGCGAATGGCCATCGGTGGGCGAGCAACCCGGCAAGGAGGATGGTACCAAGCCTGCCCTGGTGTCGCCGTCTTTCATATGGTACAATCCGACAATCTGTCCACAACCCGCAACGAGCCTTTCGGCCATGAAAACCAATAGAACAAGATTCTCTCTCTTAGTCATACAACCGCCGCACTTGAGCTTCGAACGACAGAACTTGATGGCTTCCTTCTGATACGCGATGATGGAGTCCAGTTCGGCGCGCTTGCCAGAGTTATAACTAGCCTCAAATTCCTCGACGGCGAAGATAACTGCAGCCAAGCACCGGCATGACTTCCCCAGGGGGTTCTCAGACGAAAATGCAGTTGAGGCTAAGCTGGATATGTGTAAGGATGTGGGCGTAGCGATGCAGCCCATGTCGAGGGACAAATCTTGGGATTGTCCGGAAGATGGGGAGTACCGTAACATCTCATCTCCTAAGCTTAATGGCGATGATGGGAGATTTTCAGACGTCCTAGCAGCCGTAGGTTGGATTGACTCAGGGCCCGTTCTGGGTAAGCTCGTGGAGAAACTAGGCGATGGTGAGAGGGTATCGTTGGAGGTGTTATCTCCATCTCTATCACGAGCTCGTTGATCAAATCCAGCAAGAAAAGACTGGAAAATGTTCAGTGGGATGTCGGTCAATCTATGTGTTGGAAGTTCTGCAAGCAACTGTTGTCCTTGCTCAGCAACAACATTGCCATCCGCCGGGAGTGAAGACGCAATGGGCTGCTTGTCTGAACACAACCTTTCCTCATGCTCGGTTATTTCGGAGCTTGAAGGGGCTGACGACGGAGTCAACAGGGCCGGCGCGTGCTCGTTCTGTGGAATATTGATGCTTGCCTTCTGTATTCTCTTATTGCCCCGATGCTTTATGGAAGCGAAAGTGCATTTCTTTCCAAGGCGCTTGCATCGGCCGCAGCCATCATGAGCGGGACTGCATTTGACCTACGGACATAGATCAAATCTGTCAGTATGAATGTCCTGATCTCTACAATGTATGTGATCCAGAATTTTCATTTGTTACCTTCTTGGCTCTGCATCTATCGCAAACTAAAGTTCTTTCTAGATTTGATGATCCGAGAGGCCTCTCAACAAACTCTACCTCGTTCTTATGAGAGTTCCAGTGCAGAGTCCCAAACATAATGTAAAGCCTGCTATTAGATATATTATAGAACTGACTGCATAAGATTATAATGAATAATAATAATAATAATAATAATAATAATAATAATATATTATAGTCAGACTATGGTTGCTAGGGTCTCGGGGGTGTGGTCTGACTATTTGCTTTTATATATACATGTATACTCCGTATACGGAGTATATATATATGGTTTTGTTTTTGAAAACAAGTGCAAGGTTGCATCCAACAGATCCATCAAACAGCTTAGGCTCCTGAAGGTTTGTTTCATCACAAAGCTTATATCAACGGAGCTCATATTTCCGGGCCATGACTAGCTCGTCAACCGCCTCCTGCAGAATCAACCTACCAGCGCTGACGTTGGCCCTCCAGGAATGTGAGCAGTCCCGGATTGTTGACAGACATCCCCACCCTTCCCTTGGGCTTAGAATCTATGCTGCACTGGTCGGGGACGCTGAGCCAAATAAATGGTATTGACAGGTGCTCGTCCTCCGTACTGTGGGTCGCATCCACCGTACCTCAAATAGAGTGTTAGCTACGGCACAACATTGTCAGGAAATGGACGATGAAGGGGAGGGAAATTGGGTACGAAACGAACCAAACCAATCCCGAATTTGGCAGCTTGCTTTGCTGATGGCAGCCCGACAAAACATGTATCAACTGGTGCTCTAGCTCAAATTGAGGTCTTCAAATCACTCTGTGGCTTAAGGGTATCATCGGGTGGGTTCGGTAGGATAGATAAGACCCCTGGAGCCCAGAGCGGTTAAAAAATACATGCGACAGTTTTATAAATAGTAAGGAATCAGTGTGAAGCCAGATCCATTTGGCAATCGTTTAAAGTGTGTGAGCAGGGAGTGGCAAATGTAGGATGTCAAAACGAGGTTAACCGCTTTAGCCAGAACAATATCACCCCTCTGTGTTGCTTTGTGAAGTTGTCATCCAACACAAGGCTGGAACCTCAAGCACATGGATCCTTTTCCGGACTTGGCACAATCATTTATTGGAAAATTTACACGAGGAGCTCGATTTTTGCTTGCCAGCGAGGGCTGTCGCTCACCCTGCCTTTACCCTGCTCTACACTTCACGCCCGCCTTCAGCCCTAGGCTTCAGGAAAGCCTCTCGCCAATCCAGATTAAAGCCGCTCGCCCTCAACCCAAATGCAACCCCAGTGCCAAAAGCGGATTTTCGCTGAATGCAGACCCCCCTATGGTGCTTAGAGGTTATTTGGGTGGGGGGGTTCTTATATTACGACCATTTAACTATTGCTGGGGGCACAGGAATTATTGGCCAAAAGCTTCTCACAGCGGTCAAGTAATAGCCGCGAGTCTGTCCAGTAATCCTTAGAGTTTCAATGCCTTGTAACCGCAAATAGAGCGTACCGCGACGGCTGTACTTTATTACATGGCACCAGGGCTTTGTATGGATGTGAAATGTAAGTTGGTTGGTATTATACTGAGGTGGCTGTAGGCACCAGTGTCTCTATTCTACTTTGGTACAATATCTTGAATGCTGAGTACAAGTGTGCTACAAACAGATTATCTTATATCCTCAGAAGCCTTGAAAGCTCTCGGTATCAGTGAAAGAGTGGTAGATTTAACTAGGTGTGTTCATTTTCTATATATTTGAAGCATTGATTGCTGCAGTTGCTATATGCCCATTGTTCACAGCAGAAAAGATCTCTCGATACCTAGCCAGAATCAGCTCTCTTCTACCATAAACAGAAGCTGTGTGTTCTTCTTATGAAATCATCAGCATGTCTTGCGTCCTTGATCCTGCATTCTTTTGTCATAATCAGAAGTTGCAAGAATCTCTGTGAGGCTCTTTCTGAGCTACAGATGAGCCTCTTGCCCACCAGCAAGTAGCCTGTAAGATGTTCAATCGATGAGGCAACAACAGACACAAGCATCGGGATATCACTCATCAGGAGCACTAGCAAGTTAGAAACAATGGATAGCTTGATGTGTTGTATTGCTTTTGATATCTTGATGAACAAGCAAAGTGTGTTCTGCTTCAGAGATACGACCCTTGAGCTGCTCTCACCTTCACTAGTCATTTAATCATCTTCCGCAACATCATCTCCGTATCGAGACTGATGATGTAGTTGTAGGTATTCCACTTACCGCCGGGCGCAATGCTGGCGTCAACAGCTGAAGGGTAAATAGGATGGGGTAAACCATTATAGCCCATAGGTACTTCCACAGCCAGCTGCTCTGGAGGACACAGATCCGCATTCCCCGCAGGGCCTTGCAATGGAGCCTGACCAGAGACCTGGGTTTGGCTCACTAGGTCTTTCAATGAATGGAGGGAGATCAGAGAAGTATATGGTACTTCACTGGTTCCAGTTCTCACTTCTGTAAATGTCTCTATCTGTAGTGGGCTAGATGTTTCACTCCATCTACATTGTCCAAATTGATCACAATTGACTGGCCTGGCAGGATTGAAAGGGTGATGTCAATGATATAATAAGGACAACACATTATAGACAAAAGAAAGGAGAGGAAGGAAACTCAGCCATACCTGTCACATGCTTGATTTCATGCTATTTGCTGCTGTAGGGAGCGGGCTTGACTTGGTGTCACAGCTTTCGCACATGGGAGAAGAGTCATGATTGCTGGTGAGATAGTCTACAGCCAAGATGACAGAGCATGTCATGAACTGATCAAGACATGTAGATGTTGATCTCTCATCTGTCCTGAGGCTTGGCTCTGTGCTTGCTTCATGCACGGAAAGACTGATGGCAGTGAAAGCCACAGCCTCAATATCCTGAAGTGCCTGATTGAAGTGAAACGCATGAAGACTCTCTGTGATGGACAATCCCAACTCTGGTTCTGATTCATGTTCATGTTCATGTTGCAGTTCACTGGTACTCTTGAAGCACATCTGTGACATTGCACATGTAGTGGATGGCTTGAACATAATGGGGGTGATGCTGGGCCTGCAATCGCCTGGATAGGAGTTTCTGGGGTAGGGCTGATGGGAGGAAAGCTGGTGGTGGTCCAGGAGTATGTGCGGGAGTGGAAGCAGCAGAAGTGGAAATAATCATGGAGGGCAATGTAGGTTGAGAGAGACTTGGAGGAGAGAGGGACAGGAAGAAGAGCCATGTGTGTTCCTTGAGATATCTTTTTGCTGGGATTGAATGAAGACCTTGACAACCCGGGGGTTTGGTGTAATATTATATCATCCAGATTGACTGCCATTCCCAATTGGTACTCTGGGGCCATCTGTTTATGCTTCCTGAGCGATCAGAGGATGATTTCCAAGGGAATAACCCCCCACTTATATACAGATTATTGAAAGGGCATGAGGATGTAGGGGTCGCTGATCCCTCTTGATTGCTGCAGCACATCTCCATAGTGATTCCCAGAGATAACATTCCGTGGAATCATGATGGCCAGGCCCACGTCATCTCGCTCGTGTATTCAGCTCCACACGGCCGATTGTTATATGCAACCCAATCTTTACCCTTGGCTCGTTGCGTTGCAGATTAATCTGCCGGTCTCACGACGTCTCACCAGGTGGTTCTGCTTCCATTTTCAAACAGGACAAAGAGACAAGCCCGGACTACCAGTGTCAGCTGGAAGGGGGCCCGGAGGTTGGACAAATGAACCCAATCCAGCATTCTGCTTTGAACAGCAGCATAGGAAAGCTGGGAATTATCTCTTGGCCAGATAGAATTGCATATTCTTGTCATTGTACACCACTGAAGATCAATCTATTGAAGTTCATGTTCAGAGTCCCCAAACTACGAGGCATTTGTGTCATTAATCAGAAGCAAAGCAAGCAGCATTGATTTCAATTCCACATCAGCTTAAGTGTGCTAGCTCAAGTGCTAGAAAAGGAAAGAAGATCCAGCATCAAGATGATGCAGTGACCACAGAGACAGAGAAGAGAGGATATAGTTGGATCGAAGCCTAGATGGTAATAGACAATCACAGCAAAAAGTATAGAGAGTTGAAGAGTATGAGATCAAGAGGCATAGAGAAAAGGGAGGGGGAAAGAGAGAGAGAGAGAGAGAGAAAGAGGAAGATGGATACGGAGAACACTGATCTCAGATGCACGATGAATGAAGGCAAGGAAAGGCCAGGAGAAGGCAGCTAACAGTGTGATGGAAGTGAGGACTAGATTGAAATGGAAAAGAGGAAATGCTTGCAACACAGGCAATTGAAGGAGGTGTTATATAACTTGAAGGGCGACGCGGTCATGGCATTGCTAGCAAGTGAAGACTTCCAAAGTGATAAACACAGGACTGAGAGAACGGCGCGAGACTATTTGCAGCGAGGCGCCATGCCAGATGGGGCATAGCGGGCTTGATGAAGAACTCCCAGTGGAAAGATTACAAAAGAAATAATGATCAGAAACATACTCCGTATAGGGAGTATTAAATATATTGCGTATCTTCTCTTCTTCCACAAGGCATACTCCACACGGGGTAAGCTACATTAGCTAGCTAGCTAAAAGCTCTCACTCATACTTTTCTAGTAGCCATATAAGCAAACAAGCCAACAATTTCTTTTTCTTTTTTTTTTTTTTGAAAAGAAAATATAAAGAAAAAGGAGAAAAAGAGAAAAAAAAATTAATCATGGATCATTTCAATCATTCTTCTAAGGATTCATTCCCTTTTTCCATCCCCCTTCTCCCGCTTCTGTCCTTTCCGTAGGTAGTTTAGGGGGAAAAAAAAGAAAGAAAAAGAACAAGAACAAGAAAAGAAGGAAAAACAGAATCCCACGAAGGAAGCTTATTTCTCCATTTTGTCTCCCGTGTATCGTTGAGAATATAGAAAAAAAGGGGCAGGGAAAAGAAAAGGTGAAAGAAAAGCAAGAACGCCGTTTCTTGATTGCGAGATACCACAATAAAAAAGGAAAGGAAAGAAAATAAAATAAAATAGAAAACGAGATAAATAAACCCGACCGTTGATATGAACTCCCAAATGTTTTCATTCCTCTTGTTCCTCGGTCTTTCTGTGCCTAGGGCACGTTGAGAAGACGAGTGCTTCGACCCGAATCCCAGCAAAGGCCAGTGGAGTGGGAAAGAGATGCAAAATAAGAAAAGATATGATCAGAGGATTGCGGGGTTACAGTGTGAAGGAGGTAATACATAGATGAATAGGTGGCCTGAGAACTTGAGAATGAAGGGAACAACCTAATCAGATCTATTACTCCATTGGAGCACCGTAAAAGCGCTTCAGCAAGTTGGAAACCTCCTTGTATTCTTGCTTCACATCGGTAAGAACCCTGCTAGCTTTTGCTAGACACTTGGCTTGGTCGGGCTCAAACCGAGTACCGGACTCGTCCTTTTGGGCACCAAAGTGTTGGATCTTCTCGCACGATTCTTTAACCTTGTTGAGTCCAAGGGTGGCTGAGGAGCCTTTTAGAAAATGTCCCAATTGGGAGACTTCTTCGAGGTTTTTGGAGTTGCTAAACCAGCAAAACTTCCGTCAGCAAATCAAATTCAGCGGGGAAAGAAAAAGGAGGGGAAGAAAAGAAAAGACAGGAAGAGGGGAAGCTCGTCGGATAATCGTAGGGTTTGATTGCCCAAGTCGTGGTGGGTGTATAAGGGATTTGTCGGAACTTTTGAGAGTGTGTCACGAGGTATTGCGATGACGTCATACGGTGCGCTACTCACATTGCCTGTTCTATGTTGTCAAAGGTGGCCTCCGCCTGCTCGAAAAAGCCATAGACGATGCCTTTGCTGAATTCTCGCTCTTCCTCGTCGTCGTCCATTTCCAAAATCTGTTCAAATGTTACACGGTCGATCAGCTCGTTTTTGAATAAAATATCAGTTTCGCCGGTCTATGGAGTAGGCAGCAGGTCAGCTCTCCAAATCCCGCATCAACGAGAGAGGATGGAATGATCTTGGGCAGGGGCACGATACCGAGGTTTCCTCAGCCGGGGTTGCTGGAGGCGCCATTTTGGATGATGAAGGGTCGGAGTGGGAGGAGGAGTATGAGGAATGCACCAAGGATGGCATTGATTATGGTGATGTCGGGTTTCTTGCTTGAAGTCGATGAGCTTCCCTCCGATGCGCCTTAGCAATGTGGGCCTTTCCTTCGCCGCACTTTCCAATATGTAGTAGAAATGAAGAAGCAAGCCAGTGCAGCGAAGCGTGTCTTGCCAGAGTTTATCACCGTCGTATGCAAGTCAAAAACCGCCGGGAAGAAAGGTGAGCGGGGTCTAATATGGTGGACTGGAGGCTGCGCCAAACGTAAGGAAATAGTTCTAGTGAGATTCACTCCTTGTAATGAAGTTAGCCAAATAATCTCATAAGTATCGTGGCAAACAAGAGAGTTTGAAAATAAAAGATCTAGAAGCACGGTGGGGTTGGAAATGCCATTGCTCCCTATGTTAACAGGGCTTTGCCACGCTACAGTTCAGGCCTTGCCCTACGCTTTTTTTTAATACATTCCTCTCCTTTTTCTTTTTCTTTTTCTTCTCCTTCTTCCTTTTTTTTTTTTTTTTTAGACGTGCCATAATGGCCCTCGTGGGTCGACACAGCAAGATTCGGAGAATGAGTGGCAGGCTCTGCCAATGAAACAGGGTGTGATAGTGATAACAGCGTAGCAAAGCAAGGAAGGCTGCGGGACCCGGGGTACTTTGGCAGAACACAATAAAAACGCACGTCTGTACTGTAGGAAAGAGGCACACGAGCAACAAGACGCCTGCTACTCACCCCTCGGTTGATTTCAACTTTTGTATCGCAAGCCGGAGTGATTTTGACTTCGGAAATGCCGAGGCCAATCAAGCACGTCTAAGCCAAGCGGAAAACGTCAGGTTAAGCTCAGAGGGTAATTAAGGAGTAAGAGACAGAGAGAGAGAGAGAGAGAGAGGGAAAGAAAATGGGAGGGGAGGAATGGATGGAGTGAGGCAGCGTTGAGAGACAAGGTTAAGAGGGAGGCGGCGGTAGTGGTGGTTTGTGGTGGTGGGATTTTCTAATGGCGCAGCGGCGGGGAAGCCAAAATGAGGTAATCAGGTAACTAACGTTGACAGCAACAAGGGTAGCACACCAACAGAACCAAGCACAAGGGAGGAAAATGGACATCTCCTGTTCATTCAACAACAAGATGCAGTGAAAGGGGGGGAAAAAACAAAAATGCGTGCAGTGGTCAAGTCCAGGCTGGCTTGAGGTAGTAAGCCCCACAGACAATAAAGTGCTCCTCTCAGAGCTGCGAAAATAGTGATAGAACTGTAGATGTGGGTTTGATGGAATGGGAGGGGAGGGAAAAAAAAAAAAAGTTAAAGTGTTAAAGTGTTTTAACATCGCCCAAGATTTGGCTCTTAGGTTTAAAAGGTACACTCTGTTGCTGAAAAAAGCGTTATTTTATGAACTGCTTACCTTCTTCACCTTTGAGGATTTCACTCTGAACAAGCAGAGAATCCAAGTGATACCACAAGAGATATGTTCTTTTTGGCTAATCAGAAGCAGGAAACAATGAAGGAAAGCTTAACAGAATTCTCAAGAGAAGGGCCAAATTCTTTCGGCTGTGTGATTCAGCGGAATGGAGCTTTTGAGGACCGGGAGACAAACAAGCTGATCGAAAACAGGGTGAAGGAGGAAAGGCAGAGGAGAATCTTCGGTGCAAGGATGCGAATCGCGTTGTGGAGGAGACCGAGGAGGATGTGGGGGGAGAGGAGTGATGAGGAATAAGGAAAAGTGAACTGGACAGACGGGCGCAGAGGGAGAGGGAGAGAGGAAGACAGCGCGTGAGGGAGGGAGGGAGGCCAAAGAGGTAGCGGACTAGTCGAGTGTGAAGCTAAATAATTTTAACTCTACAGGAGTGAAGAGCAGCGCTGTAGTGGATAATCAGCAGCGGAAAAGACTGCTGTTGCTGCTGCGTCTCTGCTTGTCTCCCCCTCGAGGGGCCTGCACACAAAATGAAAATCACTAAACTATCAGTCTGCTGTTGAGTTACATAGCACATGCTCCGAACTGCCACAACCCTGCTTGCCGATGCCAACTAATCCTTTCTCTTTCTCCCCCCTCTCCCTCTTTTTTTTTTTTTTTTTTTTTTTCCTCTCTCTTTTCGGGCTCGTCATTACAGCGTCCTATTTTCCCCCTAATTTTTTTTGGCATAGGGTCGAAGAGAGCTTTGCATCCATTCTTCCCTCCCTTTTCTCAGCGACGTGCCACTGGGGTTGACGTGGAAATGCGGTCTCTGCATCTGATCCTTGCGTCTGGCCTATTGACTTTTCCCCTTTATCCTCTATGCCGCTGAGAGCGTCTTGTCCTTCGAGGGAGGTGGGCTTCCCTGTTACTCTGTACAGTCCGTCATTTGACCGCTTCTTTTTTCTACCTGCCTCAAGAAGGGGCTGCACCCTGCGTTGCAGGATGGGTGAGACCGAGCAACCTCCCCGGCGAACCGCTGTGATCGTCTCTCCTGGAGCATGCAAGGAGGGCTGTCACACTAACTATGTATTTCTTATTTATACCCGCAAGCGTGCTCTGGACAAATTAGCCGCCCGCCTTTTTGCCCGTCGAAGCATCTGCTTCCGGCCTCCTAAGATTCCGTATCGCTGGGGAGAACTCTAAGACCGAGCGAGCGCACTGTGGGCCGGGTCTTGTCCAACTGACGTAATGGGAAACGCCAGGGCCAGACTCCCACAGTAGCCCTGCTTCACATCGCTCACACCGAACCCCGTCCTGGTTCCTTTTTTTCCCCCCTCTCCCTTGTCCCTTTTTCTACTTCCCGGAGAGGGATAAAATCCAGCATGTTGGGTTAGCCTCTCACCCGCCGGCCTGTCAGAGGCTTGCAGGGGTCTCGTCCATAGAAAAAAAAAAAACAAAAAAGACAAAAGACAAAAAGGCGCCGGAGGAGCGTGTCGTTAATATCCACTTGAGAAAGTAAAAAAAAACAAAAAAAAAGGGAAAAGAAAAAGAAAGAGAGTGAGGGAAAAGACCAAAAAAATCAAATATTGACTTTCGTCAGATCGTCTACCCCAGCAATGGTGTATCGTCGTAGGGGGTCTCGGCCTTCCCCCGTTGGCTGGGAGGGCGACGTTTCCGTGGGCGAGCAACTGTCCGAGCAGAAGAAAAAAAGAAAGTTCACCCGTTTCACGCGCTGCTGCTGTTCCTGCAAGATGACGATGTCACGATGAAACCCACCAGCCACCACAATCACTCTCCCTCCGCATAACTCCCCTAACTCGGCAGGTACTTTGGTCGTACTCAACGGCTGGAGTGACTTGACTCGCTGTGACGAAGCTGCATAGAGTTCCTTCTGCATCTACCCCCTTTCCTTTTTTTTTTTTTTTGGTGGCTTCTGCTGCTGCTACTACTTCCTCTTCTTACCCAATTTGTGGCTCAACTAACCCCTCGGCTACCCGATCCGGCCACCCTTGACGACCGGGGAGGGAAAGAGCTCCCCCGCCCGCGTTTCCCTCCCCAAAACACCCCCGATGATGTCACTGGTGGATACCGTCACAGGCGTACTGCAGATACACTGTGGAGCTGCCATTGTTACCAGATTCCGAGAACTGGGCCAATCAGCGCCCACAGCCCTCGTGCCATGTCCCGCTGGCCTGTGGGTTCCGGACGTACCAGAGGCGTAAGTGTGTCTTTTACCGTTATCGAGCCGCCCGAAAACTAGCCGGTTCGGGCTGCCCAATTAGACCGCGGCCCTCTCCTATCTTTTTTCTTTTTTTTTCGCTCATCGTCGGCGCAGGTCTTGCTGCCGTTGTCAAATGGTGCTGCTTTCTGTTGCTGTTGCTGCTGCTGCTGCTGTTGTTGTTGTTGTTGACCTGGCTGCAGCAAGCGGGCGGTCTCAGCTTGAACCTGCAGACGCCTCCGGTCACAGGTTGACTTGGTCGTCCCGGTTGGTTGGCTAGAGCTATGTATCTGTTTCCTTCCCCGGAATCTGATCACAGCAAGGACCGGCCTTCCCCCTCTGGCTAAAGTCGCACCATCGGGGCGACCGGCCACCAGCAGATGTGCTGCAAAGAGCACTGCACTGGACAGACTGCAGGCAATGGAATCCCTCAAACAAGGCAGATGAGTTGCAAATGCCGTTCTTCACTCAGGATGCTCGCGTCCTGTGCACAATGGATATCCTCTGCTCCTTTTAGGAAATATATATTCCGTACATATATATTTTATATATGATACTTTTGTTCGCGTGTGAGAAAAGTGACTGATCCGCTCATACTCTCCCGTGTTGCAAATGAACTTGAGATTCTACGTCCAGTCACCAGCTTTCCTTCCCACATTCCCTTTCTACCGTCTTAACCTCCCAATCTTCCCTCAGGCTTCCTTTGACAGGCAACTGAGCACATCCAGGTGGACCTCGGGTTCTGTTTTGAACGAAATCATACATCCAGACAACCCCACTGGGACGTAGGCCACCGCAGATCAATCTGGAAGTAACGTTGCCAGCTTCTTCCAGTACCAGAGAAGTACTTCGATCTCTTCTCCCTTCTCATCTTTCAGCTGAGCTCCTCCTGGACAACAGGGCAAGCCAGCCGACGACGGATGTCGTGGGAAGAGTTAAAGCGACGGTGAGAGATTGTGAGGTTTTTCTTTTTCTTTTTTTTTTAAAAAAAAAGAAAAGAAAAATAATAATAACAAATGTCTCGCAGTTCCTCAATCTACGATAGACAAGCAAGGAGATATCTCTACTTCCGGTTCGTTGTAGCATACTTACAAAACAAGTCAAAAAGGGAAATCTACCCTTGACCAAAGAGATTAGACTCTAGACGAAGCAATAACGTCTGGACAAGCCCTAGATATCTTGGAGAATCCACGCTTCAGGCGCTGGTTGGGAGGATGTTCGGGAGCGAACTTTCTGGTGGGTTGATTTCGACGGGATGTTCAAAGGGAGAAGAAGGACGAAGAGAAAAGAATGGTTAAAGGCGTACAGAAGGGACGGGCACGTACGTATCCGGATCTGACTGTGAATTGATGCCAAGCACGAGGATGGCTGTGAAGTGGAGTAGCATTTGTTCCTGACGCCCTTCCTACATATATGTTTTTGCTCTCATTGAAGGCTGGGCATGTGTTTTGGAATCTCCCAACCTGCCGATACACTGGTTTCCTAAATAGGCAGGTGGGTTGCCCGAACGGTATAACAAGTTCTACGCCATTCACCGCTTATTTACACCCTCATTCTACGTATATACAGGGGGAAAGCAAGCATCGTATCACATTTTGCGGTTTTATTTTCTCTTTACGACACTTATAATTTACCGAGACTCGAGGCTCCCTGTTGTGTAGTAACTTTTGGAGGGGTAATACCTTCTACCGAGAAGAAGATGGAAGACGAAAAAAAAAAAAAAAAAAAAAGAAAAAAGATCCCAAGAGAAAATGTCTCTCTAAATTCGCACTCTTCGGGAAGGCCGTCGCCTCACCAGGGCTGTTTCGTAACCGTTCCTCGTATCATCATCCAAAGCACTTTAAAATTATAACAACAAAAAGAAATTAATATCGGGGGCCGACCGAAAGAGAGTGTACGAGAGAGCAAAGGGGAAACAAAAGTGGCCGAAAGGAGGAAAAGGGGGGTGATGGTATAAGAGCGGCGGGGCGACCGGGGGGAAACAGGAAAGGAGAAGAGTAAGTAAATTTTTGAAAACCAAAAGCAGAACGCCTACTCTATGCCTCTGTGTACTCCTTCTCCTTGGCTGCGAACTGCGCCTTCTCGTCGGCAGTGAGGTCCAGGAGGGGGTGGTCCTCGCCGGACTTGAGGTTTCTGTGGTATGCACGAATAATGCTGTCCGCATCGTCGATGGCGATAGGCCTGATGTCGGCGAGCGCCTTGATCTTGGCCGTGCACTCCTTGTACTGTGCGTCGGTCATCTCGAGGTTGAGTTGTTGAGCACGTGACTTGATGGCATTCCAGCCGGTGAGCCGGGAGGCAAAATGCACGTATCTCGTCATGCCGAAGTCGGCCGGGTTGATGATCTCATATGTGCTAGGGTTGTTCAGGATGGCCTTGGCATGGATACCGGCCTTGTGGGTGAAGGCGCAGAAGCCGGTGATGTAGTTGTTGAAAGGAATGTTGATCTCGACAGCTTCGGCGACGAGGTCCTCGATGTCCTTGAGCTTGTGGAGCTTGTACTTGCTCATCACGTAGTCGCGATCAACGGCGATCATGCGGGCCATGAGACCTCCGAGAGGGGTGATACCATTGCGTTCACCGATGCCGAGAACAGAGGTGTCAACGTGGGTGGCACCACCTTCCAAGGCACAGTAGGCGTTGGCAATCGCACATCCGGTGTCATTGTGCAGGTGAATTTCGATGTCGCACTTGACGACGCCACGCAGGACACGGACGAGCTCGTAGACTTGGCGAGGGGAGGCGCAGCCAACGGTATCTGCAATACCAACTCGATTGACACCGACTTGGTCCACGGCAGAGTACAGAGAGAGAAGCTCTACCAAATCAGATCTGAAAGAGTCTTCGCTGGAGAATCTGACCTCAATGCCCTTGGACTTGACGAATTCGATGACCTCAATCGCAGTGTTCTTGATGTATGTCATATCCTTTCCATGGGAATGCTCGCGGAGGTAGGACGATGTGCCGATAACGACATCACTATTGAATATGTCAATGGCCTGCAACACACGGCACAATTATACACACATGCAGCAAGAGAGGCTTACACTCCATCGACACCGGTTTCCACCGCGACTCGGGCATCGTCCATGTGACATCTGATATGTGTGAGAATCTACAGCGGCAAAATAAAGAGGTCAGCTTAGTTGTCCCTCGGCCTGTCACAGCGTTAAGCACGTGGAGGCACCGACCTTAGCCTTCAATCCAAGCTTGCAGATAGCTTCACAATCCTTCCTCGATTGTTCCGAAGCGCACGGACTAGTGAGTTCAATCTACCCGACAACCATGTCAGCTTTCTTTGTTTAATTTTCTTGTCATTTTTTACTTTATTTTTTTTTTTTTAATTTTTTTTCCCCTCCGATGTCTGGCGATAAACAAATTAGGCCAAGGGTCCCCAAGGTAAGTATGACTCACATAGTCAACGCCAAAGTCGTCCAGTGCCTTGGCGATCTCAATCTTCTTCTGGGTATCAAAGAACGCATTGGCGAACTGTTCGCCCTCTCGTAGAGTACTCTCGATGATCTTAAACCTCGAGACGTTGCTGAGGAAGTCTGTGACTCCGGCATTGTGGCCGTATGGATTTCTGGCAGTGTGTGGGTGTGGGTTCTCTCGGGCAGGAATGGCTGTGTAACCTGGGTGATTGGGGAGACCTGTCCCTGGAGGCAGGGAGTGTGTCAGTAGAGCAAATTTCAAATAAGTATCTGAGGGCTGCAAGAAAAATAAACACCCAGACTCACCGTTGACACCATTCACGCCATTGGCGTGGCCGTTGGTTGCGGACATTGTGAAGGCGGGGTATGAGCTCGAGGCAGAGTGGTGGGATAAAAGAGAGGAACTGAGCTTCAAAGAGGAAGAGAAAGGATCAGAGAGATATGTGAAAGCAAAAGTGACAGTGAGTCAGAGTAAATAGATGAAGCGCAATTGGCACAGAGAAGAAAAGAACTTTTTTTTAAAGGTAGTGAGAGTGGAGCGGAAGAGAAAGGAGATCCCAAGCCAGAAAATTATGACTCTTTCACTTTGACTTTTTTTTTCTGGTTTATTTTTTTTTTTTTTTTTTTTTTATTTTTATTTTTTGACTGATATCGAACTCGACCAAGGCTCGGCGCGGAACATTTCACGGCAAAAACTAAGACAGGCTAAAAATACACCAAGTTTAACTGGCAGCCAGCCACTCGGAGCTCACCGCTTTTGTAATCAGCGGTATCGTTACGGGTTTGCCGCGGAGAGACAGGGGGGCCAAAGTGGTCAACTGTATTTCCCCAAACCCAACTCGCGGAAAAATACGTACAGGGATTGTCATGTAACTAACCTATTATCTTATCTTCGAGCTGCCTCGACATGCAAAGCGTCTGCATCGTTGCACTGCATCTTGCGAAGAGAGGTCAATTGGCCTTGAAAGAGAGTGGCTTCCCCCGTCTCGTTTAAAAGAAGGGATCCAGGGAAGATGAAATGCCACATTACGCCCCAGCCGCAAAGAAAACAGAAACCTGTTCTGTTTGGTATCGAATTTGAAATAATAAAAAAAAAGAAAAAAGGGAGTGACAGGACAAGCTTCTTGCAGCCGATTACGGAGCAAACAGAGGAAAAGCCAAACCCACAATCCTGGCTACCAAGAAACGCTATTTCCCACCCAAACCCGCCCGAGCACGAATATTTTGGCTTTGCTTCCCTTCCTCCCCCACACACACACACACACCAGACATATTAGCTCCCGGCCCCCCCTGGATCGCTTCGTTGGCAGATTAAGCCACAAATGACTGAGACGTGAAACCAAATGGAAAGTCGACGCAGAACATACATAAACTTGTAAAAGGGATTGACCGAATTCGACGTTGATTCTAGTACTTGCCTGTTCCTGCAGGGTCTTGCGGTGGACGAGAAACATTTGGCTCTACCCCACCGGAGACGAAGCCCATGTGTGGTGGGTATGCTGGCTCGTCGTTCGTTTTGCGTAAGGACCTGCTTAGGCAAATGCGCCGACAATGGACATTCCGGCCGCTTTGTTGAAAGAGGTGTCAGTGCTCCTCCGCTTGAATGTAACGCCAATGTCTCATTAAGCTTACCTCCCATCAAGACATAGATGAAACCGGAGATCTTCTGCTTCTTGGTCAGATGCTGGGCCTCCTCAGAGAGGAAATCTTCCGCTAGAAGGTCCACGAGGGCGGCGTAGATAAGGAGACCAGAAGAGCTGGTTTCAATCAGTATATGGCTTTTCAAAATACTTCCTCCTCTCTCTCACTCTCTTTCTCTGTGCGAGAGAGAGAGAATCAGGTGGGAAAACAAGGTCTTACATCGCATTGAATGTTCCAACCATAATCAAACCGAACGCGCTCTCGGCATCATAAGTGTTGCGAGCAATCAACCCAATCGCCTGGCCAATCGGAGCCGTCGTGCCGAATGCCAGAACCAAAAGCCATGGACGCATTGATCCCTTTGGATAAGGTACTGCCGCAATGCGAGACCCCAGACCCAGCCCCTCAAACGCCTGATGGAACAAGATGGCGATGAGCAACACCATAAATCCTTCCGTTTCAATGGATACGGTCATCCCGACAAACACGGAGTGGAACAGGATACCGCCTTCGAGGATCGTGATGTTGAGAGACATTTTCCTCAGCACCGCCGGGTCGACTTCCCCTACTTCCAGGTCCCGAGGGATATCAGATTGCACAGGGGCGGTCTGTTTGAGCTCTATGGTTTGCATGTCATCATCGCGGCGCGCTGCTGTCCGGAGCATCGCTTGTGTCCACTCGCGCTCTCGCACGTATTGTTCATAGAAGACCATAAACCACGTTGGCATCGAAGACGGTTCGGACAAGTACGAGTCTTCAAAGCGGTTTGCACCGGAGTAGACCCTAAGAAGGAACCAATTAGCAAGCAGAAACCTCACCCGCATTTTCTTGCCAGGCCTAGTAGTCGACTGGGAACGAACTTATAGGCCGCTTTCTCCTCGTACCAGTCATCGGATGATGCATCGCTCATAACCTTGTTCTCTGTTGGCCACGAAATTTCATTGTTCCTGGTCTGTGCATTGTGATGGTGCTGGTGCGGACGGTTGATACTCTCCCCTGTGGCTCCGCCATGGCTGTGGCCCCCGGTTTTCGCGTTTAAATACATCTCTAAAGCGAAAAGCGCAAAGAGCGACCCGAGCATGATTACGCCCGGCATCGCGGGGTATTGCTCGGTAAAGAGAGGCGGTAGGCATGGATCATTCAAGGAAGTGAATGCAGTTGGGAGGAGCTATTTAGCCGTTAGAAGCGGAGCATCCAAACAATCGCGTCGCTGGAGAGAATGTACATGTACAAAAGCCGTTGCGATCAAGACACCTGTGCCGAAATGCTTACAGAAAAAGAAAGCATTCGGCGGGATCTGTAGACGCGGAATCTTTTTGGCCACGACTGGGAAACCGGCGCCTGGAAGAAAGAGAGTGCGTGAGCTCAGATGCTCATCGGCGACGTCTTCTTTAGGTTCTTGCTCATACCCATAGTACTAAACGCCAGGACGAGGACTTTATTCCATGTTAGATAACTCGTCCATGATGCTGGTGCAAATGAGTGGGGATGGGCATACACAGTGCGGCGACGTGCAATGGGAGATCATACTCCGCATCGTTCCCTTTCGCGCCGCCACATTGAGGTCGAGACATGTCCTCCATGATGATTGTCCTTCCGCGTCCTGACTGCGCAAAGATACAAAATTACCGCCCAGCGGTAAGAATCATAATCAGAAATGAACGATGAATGAAAGCAAGGAATAAAAACGGGCTTGCATTGACCAGCAATGTGCACGTATGAGAAGAAAATAAAATAATAATAATAAAAAAAAAAAAGAGGTCAGGATGGCCCAGTCAAAACATTGTTGAGTGAAAGATGAAATGGACAAGAAGTTCCAAGGCCTGCATGATATGTCACTGGAATTTGGATTTTAGCTTCCAGTCCGCGGAAAGACTGCAGGCTGGGATTTGTTAAAGCTCGCCGATCAGGTGCAAAAATTAACTACCAATCGGTTGTTGCAACAAACGTGTTTTGATAGGGGGCCTAATCCATTCCCCGTCCGATCAGATAACTATCTGACAGTGAAGAAAAGGGGCGCTAAGCAGCCCCGAGCAGACAAACCCGGTGCTCTAGCCCGAACTGCAGTCTCCTCTCAGTCTCGTAGATTTAGAGCTCCAGTGAAGAAGCACGTCGGAGCCGTCACGAAGATCCGCTTAGTTTAAACCTTCTGCGAGCGGAGTTTCGGCTAGAATCTGTCGCTGGAATAGGCAGTGCTTTGACCAGAGAATCGAAGACGTAACTTCCAGCGGTTTATCCAGTGTCTGGGGACGGCATGTCTTGGACTCTCCCATCATGGCAATGACCGGCAGGGCGCTTGATGCCAAGAGCTGGAGTATTTGGGGATTCCCATGCCAGGAGATCTCAAGCTCAGAACTTTAGCTGTAGTGAGACACCACCAAGTCAAGCCAAAACAAGCAGCACCAAGCACAGCCCAGTCATGGGTGTGCATCAGGAGCGCAAAGTCTTTTTCATCGGTCAAGTGTTCCCCGGAGAAGACGGTGGTGGATTTTAAGGTCTCTTGTCTTGCACGCAGCTTGGAGCCGTCGATCTTGGCATGCGGTTATGCGACAAGACAAGTTTGGGACTGTGCGGCAGACATCTTGGCGGCCATCGCTCACGGTTACAGATCGTACCCGCGACGGTGCTCAACCATTGAGCGTTTCAGGCGAAGTTACGGCGAGAAGAGGCAAAAAGGAAAAAAATGTCGTCCGGGCCGGGGGGGAAAAGCGATGAACACTGCCTCAATGGTGTTCGTGACGTAGCTGCTGCCGCTAGAAAAGAACGGGCATCTGATGCAGCTTATAACGGCTCTCTTCTCTCGTCGTCGTCTTGCATCGACCTTACCTTATCCTCATGAGGGGGATTGTTTGCCATCTAGATTTCAGATCTTTTGCGGCAGCTCTGCATGAAGCACTGATCTTACTGTTTTGTGACACCCGCCAAGCCCCTTAAATACCTTCCTCTTCCACTGAAGGATCGGTCATGGCGACAACTCCTGAGGGCCAAAACATAGATCGAGATATCGTTATGCGCGATGCCTCCGAGAACGTTCCACGTTTGAATCAACCAGTCCCCGGTGACGATGCAATCCTCGCAATCAACGCCCCTTTCAACGCGTCAGCTCCCAAAATCGACCACGAAGACCCTCTCGGACTTAGCCAGCTCAAGAAGGCCGACCTATCCTCAATCAAGGTAGACTACCCGGCGGGGAATCAGAGGAAGATCAAGGCGTACTACACCAAGCAGAACGCACTCATTGATCAGTTCCTCCAGAGCAAGGATGAAGAGGCCCTAGCTGTCCAAGACTTTCAGAGGAACGGGGGAAAAGTTAAATGGGCCGTGAACCTGAGTTTCATGGTCAACTTCTGTTTGTTCATCATTCAGCTGTATGCCGCGATCTCGACTGGATCCCTATCGCTGTTTGCAACTGCGGCAGACGCGTTTATGGACCTCGTCTCATCGATCGTGATGTTGACAACTTCACGAATGGCGGCTCGTCCCAAGCCCCACAAGTACCCAGTCGGCCGGCGCCGGATCGAGACCGTGGGAATCATCCTCTTCTGCGCCTTGATGACAACAGTCGCGATCCAGTTGATCATTGAGTCGGGCCGGGCTCTGGGAAGCGGCGACACCGACAGCAGCGAGGAGCTGCACATTATCCCTCTGATATTCGTAGGAACCGCCATCTTCTCAAAGTTCTGCCTGTTCTGCTACTGTTTCTGGCTCCGACGGTATCCAGCGGCACGGATATTTTTCATCGATCACCGGAATGATTTGGCCGTCAATGTTTTCGGTCTGGTCATGTCCATCGTTGGCGATAGGTTTGTTTGGTACCTCGACCCCGTCGGCGCTATCTGCATTGCGCTCCTGATCCTCGTCTCTTGGGTATCCACTGCGTTTGAAAACGTCTGGTTGCTGGTGGGCAAGGCTGCACCCAGAGAGTTCGTCAACAAGTGCATCTACGTTTCACTTACGCATGATGCCCGCATCCAGAAAGTAGACACCGTAAGCACCCCACCCCTATTTCCACAGGCTCCTGTATCCACTGGTCACTGTGGGTTTATCGTTCATAGCTCCCTTTATCCTCTTTCTATCAGCACGTTAACGTGTGATGCCTCTGTTGTTTAGTGTCGAGCGTATCATTCTGGCGAGCTCTACTATGTCGAAGTAGATGTTATCATGGACCCAACCACTCAGCTTAAGGACTCACACGACGTGAGCCAGGCCTTGCAACGAAAACTTGAGGGTTTAGCAGCTGTAGAACGGGCGTTCGTCCATGTTGATTATGAAGACGATCATAATGTGCATGAGGAGCACAAGCCGCTATTCGATCCTGCAACCTATCGGCAACCACGAACACTGAAGGAATGGTTGAAAGATATGGTGCAGCGGCGATAAACTGAACAATGCGCCAAGTTTTGTGTGGGAAAGCTCCCAGCCAAAACTCTTTCTTTTTAGCAAATCGATTGGGTTCTCTGCGATGGCTATGGATGGCTCGCATGCCGGCTCCTATGACTTCTCTCCTAATGATAGAATACTCGCAAAGATTAATGCACCCCAGAGCCGCTGATCCATCCCTAACCAGCACTGGATTCTGGGAACATCATGTGTGGTTTTATTCAAAGTATTTGCGTGCTTACTATCCCTGCCTGGAGTACACAAGGAGCCTCAACATTCTCTGGAATAAAGTGGGCCCTCTCAGTGCTCCCCTCTGTCGTCGTTTCCTGCCTCCTGTCCTTTGGACTGATCTTCATTCATCACGGACGAGATAAACCCCTGAGAACTCTTCCAGTTCAAGGCCTATTTTAACGTTGCTGTCACGGATCCCTTCAGACACATTTGACAGCTCTTTTATTATTCGATATAGAACGGATGTTACTGGCCAGAGAAGTATACGGCCGTTTTGCGTTTGCAATGCCCCTACCTGCCCAGCCACCATGGTCCCCAGCAAAAAATTTGTTGATATGGCCTAAATTTTATTTCTATGCTTCCGAGTCTTCAGTAATAATTTTGCTTTGTACTCCGTACGGAAATTAAAAGCCCAGAACATAGCAAATGAATCGGGTCACCAACATGCTGATAGAGGACTGGTGTGCTAAGGCCCCTTCCCTAAGCCACCCAACCCTAACCGGAGCTGAGCATATGTATGGCGTTTCGAATATAGAGGCTCCTGTACTCCGTATATGGTCACTGCTATCGCTATGCAAAAACCTTCCGGCCTAAGAGCTTAACGTTTGGGCTTGAAGGGCAAAATTAAAAAAAAAAAAGAAAAGAAAAAATAAAACTTATTCCGTAAATCGAAAATGAATGCATATACAGAGTATGGAGGACGGAGTAGAACCAAAGCTGATTATTTGGGAGCACAAATCAAGGTTTGTGACTTGTCAACAGGTTTGTTCAGACCTATGGTGCCCAAACAATGTGGCGGTTCGCTCTGTGCTTGCAAGTGTTTATCATGCAAGATCAAGCTCAGGATTCCTTCTCGGCTGCATCCAAAGGTTCAAAGAAGCAGTGCTTCCGGTCCATAAGTGCATGCCCTGGGAACCAAAAGAGGCGCGTCTCTGGAATGCGCGACACGGAGGTCCTGGCCCTCAAAAAACATGGACTGTTCCCGCTACTCCAGTGTTGTCGAAAGCGACCCCGCGTTAAAGTGGACAGGAAGTCATTGGGGCGAGCACAGTGAAGTTACTGCCTGGTTACAGAGTAAAGACACTTGGTTCCGCACCCAACAGCTTATTGATGTGTCTTTCTCGAGCATGCCGGAAGCAGAACTCTGTAAATGGAGAACGGCGACTGCAAACATGGCTGGAATGAGGTAACTCGGCTGGATGCAGGTATGTGTGTGACTTAAGTGTTGGGGTCCGATAGTTACTCCGTACGGAGTAGAAACTAAGGTGTTTTGGGACTGGGCCCCAGGTTAGCAGCCTGTTCACCCCTGGTTCATGAAACAACCTTGATCTCGGTCGCACACAGCTGCCTTGTCCTTGTCGTTGCACAAGCATCTGGAGCCTTCGCGTCTTCATTTTTCTTCTTTCTTCTTTGATTCTTCTTTTTTTTTCGCTCCGTGTCGTTTATTGCCAATACACCTATCTAATCTCTTATTTTGAGGACCAGTGCTACCGAGAGCAAGCTCCAAAGGTTACGTGTCTCCTTTCAACAGCTCCTATCCGCAATGCGTCTCTCCTCGACCCTCGTCCTGCTTCCAGCGCTCGCTGCAGCGCAGAATCAATTTCCATTTGCAGAGCAACTGCAAGGACTGATAGAAAAAGCGAAGTCTTTCCTTCCGACCGCTCCGGCCGTTGCTACGCCCCCGGAACAGTCCGCTGCCCCTCCAGTTGTACCCAAGAGAAAGAAGGACGTGGCCTCCGTGAAGTTGAGCAATTGGCAATCACTACTTGCGCCTGTTCCGGCCGACGCGTCACAAGAAGCGCGAGAATGGCTCGTCTATGTCACTGGAGGGAACAAGACGTGTTTTGGGCGTTGCGGACCTGCAGACAAAGCCTGGAATGTGAGTTTCCCTTTCCCCCCCTTTTTCCCCCCCCGTCTGAAACAAGTTCACTCGAAATTTTTCCACCCCCAATAATACTGAACTATGCTATGACCTATTAGGAGTCGATTCCTCTATTTGCGACGGACCTTACCTCCCCTTCCCTGGGTGTCCTTGACTGCGAGAAGGAAGCCATACTTTGTTCCATTTGGTCTGCTGGTGCCCCTTCACTGTGGTACTTCCAGATTCCCGTCGCCCCAGAGGCCGAGCAGCCTAAACCTGCCACTTCGATCCACACTTTGCACGTGAATGTTACCACAGTCACGGCGGAAGACATCTACAAGGTCCATTCCGAGAAACGTTGGGAGAAGGTCCCCGCGTATGAGGGTGCCTTTCACCCGATGGATGGCTGGCTCGCCCAGTACGGTCTTAATGTGGTTATTGGCTACATCGTTTTCGGAATCGGCCAGGTCCCAAGTTGGCTTATGATGGTTGGTATCAGTTTCATCAGTCGATCGATGATGTAAGTTTAACGAAATATTTGTTGTTTTGTTCACAGTTGCTTACACCACCTAGGAGCCGCCGACTTGGTCCACAGCAGCAGCAACAGCAACGGAGAGCCGCTGCTGCACCCCAGGCTGCAGGAACGCAGTGAACGCGCTTTGCTCTTTTCCCTGAAAAAAATTCTTTTTTCTTTTCCCAACCTCTACGGGTTACGAATCTCCAGTTCTTCGAAATGTTTTGCGATGCTCGATAGTAGATAATGAGGATTTGGACTGGATGAAAGCCACTTTATATCAATGATTAATTGGAGGGGCTAGATTTAACTATGTGATTTCTTCATGTATGTATTTGTTAGTTTTCAATGGAGTTCACGAGTATGTGATCATTTTTCTCGACATTCAGGCCTTATCGCGCTACGGAGAATGGGATATAAAAGTTGAAGCAGAGCAATACTAAATAAAGAATTCCAAAGAAAAATATATATATATATATATATTCATCTATAGAAATGACAGCCGAGTTGAAACAAAAGTACTCACTGCAACTTGTTTATACCCCGTGCTCAAACTGCAGGACATCATCAGAACCACACGCGACCAAGGTTCGATTCGGACAACCTTCCCTCAAAGTTTAACCTTCCACCCTCATTCGATACTCCGGCTGTACTCCGATTTCACGCGTTTCCATTCACTTTCAAGCATTAAAATACTATGGTCTCACCCTCCATGTCGCCAATGGAGCGGCCTCCGCCAACGACGACGGCGATCGTGATCGCGACAGCTATTTTGGCAGGCGTCGCGGGATATTTTATTGGCCAAGGAGCATCCATAGGGCTTTTCGGGTCGGCGCCTGTTTCGCACCGACGTGCGCCTGCGGTGAAGGATGTCTCTGAAGACGAAGAGAACGACGAGGAGGAGCTGGAAAGTGAGGATGAGGGAGGTGAGCTTGCAACGTTCGAAGGCAATGCAGAGGAGGTGAAGCTTGTTCTGGTGGTGAGAACGGATTTGGGCATGGGGAAAGGTGAGGATTTTCATAAGTAGTCTGACCTTTCTTTTTTCTTTTCCTTTTTTTTTTTTTTTTTATTTTTATTTTCATTTTTTTCTTGCTATGGCTTTATCTAGGATTCGCCTCTCGATTTAACTTGTACAAAGATTTAGAATAGAGGCGTCTCGCTCGCCATCTTACTGAGGGTTTTGCTTTGGCGGCGTATCGTTTGTTTTCTGCTTTCTCGACAGCGTGCTGACTCGTCACGGCTGGTTCTTCTCTAGGCAAAATCGCCGCTCAGTGCTCCCATGCTACGCTCGCTTGCTACAAATACTACTTCTCCAAGGCTCCTGACTCATCTATCCTCAGACGCTGGGATAGAGGTGGTCAGGCCAAGGTTGCGCTTCAGGTGAAGAGTGAGGAAGACATGCTACTCCTGCAGGCGCAAGCACTAAGCTTAGGATTGTGTGCTCGTGTAATACAAGATGCTGGACGGACACAGATCGCGAGCGGCAGCCGGACAGTTCTAGGAATTCTGGGACCGAAAAGTGTTGTTGACAGTGTGACGGGCCATTTGAAGCTACTGTGATGGGTGCTCTTCTTTTTCAAGAGAACATTCTTGATAATCTGTTAGACACGGGCGTTTGAGGGAGTACAAAACCACAGGAAAGAGCTGTTTGGGATAGGAAAGGTTTTCAAGAAACTTGTTTTTATTGACTATATAAAATGTGTGGCTGTATATATGGGTTTTGCGCATGCAGCAAACATAGAATTTCAGGCCCATCAAGGCCAGGGTCCTTCATACATGAAAAGCAAATTCATTTCGTCGCAAGCGTTATGCCTAAGCGAATCAATCACAGAGGAGACAAAAAAGGTATGTTGGCTGCCATGGTTTTTCCCTAACCTCATCAGCCGACGGCCTAATCCCATAAAGGGATGTATCGGTGAAGGGAGGTGGAATATGGCGTCTTCAGCATATCAGGCCATCTCACCGAGCTCACCAAATGGGAGCTCAAGGCAGAGTGTACTCCTGACCGCTGCATCTCAATCTGAGATCTGTCGACCGGAAATTGACACCATGAAATTTAAATAGTGATGGCTCCATAGGTCGTCGAACTGTCCAGAATCAACCGAAACACAGCCGAAGACCACCACGAATGATGGTCGACCGCTCGAACAGGATTGCTGGGCACAGATCTGTGGTTTGGTTGAGGAAAAGAAAGGAAGAAAAGGAAGAGAAATCGAAGAAGAAAATTTTGGCCTTTATTCTGCCGACGGAGAGTTTTCGGGACGGGAGAATTTTGATCCGTTGATACAGTTAAGTAAGCAGGCTGCCGAAGCTTATTGATGGCTGGCCGAGACCGTGCTGGTATTATTTGCCTCGTGCCAGGCGCGGCCGTACAGCATAGCTCTGCTCTACCTTCTCAACGACCTAACAGTTAATCGCTGAAGTCTGCGACGCTTTACAGCATGGCGGACGCATTGTCCATTGAACAAAATAACAAAATTCGGGTCGCCCTTGGTCTGAAGCCTCTCCCTGTCCCCGGCGCCTCGAACGAATATGATGGCCCCGTTTTCAAGCCATCCAAAGGCGATGAAGGGTCGAGCTCCGCGGAAGATGAGCCTGGTAGCACACTAGAGTCTCGAATTGCTCAAGGATACGATAACTGGAAGACCCTCCAGGATGAAGAGGAAGCAAAGAAGAAGCGCCAGGCCAGAAATGAAGCCATCAAACGGGCCAGAGATGCGGCGCAGCGGATGGCGAAGTTGGAAGGCAAGGGTCTAGGAGAGGTTGATGACAATTTGGATACCAAGTCATGGTTAATGCAGCATAAGAAAAAGCAGAAAAAGATCGAGAAAGAGCGCGCACGAAGGTTGGCGGAGGAGCTGGCTGAGCGAGAGCGAATGGCAGAGTATACTTCTAAAGATCTGGCGGGTGTTAAGGTGGCACATGAAATCGGTCAGTTCGATGAAGAGGGAGAACATATTCTCACTCTCAAGGACACAACGATCGATGAAAATGAGGAAGAAGGGGATGAGCTGGAAAATGTCAATTTGAGGGATGTCGAGAAGACAAAAGAAAGGCTAGACTTGAAAAAGAAAAGGACTGCCTATGACCCCACTGACTACGATGGTTCGGGGTCGATACTGGCACAGTACGATGAGGAGATTGAAGGGAAGAAGAGGAGACATTTCACACTGGATGCAAAGGACATCACGCCCGAAGAAAGGGAAGCGAAACGACAAGATGTTACATCGAAGCTGAAAACTGGCATGGTCAATCTCGATGTTGTACAGGACACCATGCCTTCTGATTATCTCGATATCTCTGAAATTAAAGTCAAGAAGCCCAAGAAGAAGAAGGCAAAAAGCACCCGACGAAAGGCAGTTGACGAGGAAGAAATATTTCCTCTACCTGATACTACCGAGACGTCTACAGCTGGTCAATCCAACGGAGACCAAATGGATGTTGACCGTGCAGAGGGAGAAGGTAGCTCGGCCCCTGCCGTCCAGAAACGGCCTCGTGAGGATATATCTTTCGCCGACGATGAAGATCTACAAGCCTCTTTAGCAGCGCAGAGAAGGGCAGCATTCAAGAAGCGAAAGAAGATGCGGCCAGAAGATATAGCCAGACAACTTAGAGAAGAGTCTGAGCAAGCCGCTAACGGGATGGATATTGATACGAATGAGGACGATCAGCCTGGTTTGGTCATTGATGAAACCTCTGAATTCGTCGCCAATTTGCAACGACCAACAATTCCAGAGCGCCGGCACAGACCTACAAGTGAATCAGCAGGAGAAGAAGTGCGTGCGGAATCACCACCTATAAATGTGAAGGAGGAACTTGAAGACATGGATATAGACCGATCGTATGGCGATATTGAGGATGAAGAAGAACTGAAGGAGCGCCTTCTGCGCGAGGGCTCACAGCCCAATATTACCACGACTGGATTGGAAGAAGAGAGCACCCTAGATCAAGGCCTTGGGGCTACGCTGGCTATGTTAAGGCAGCGTGGTCTCGTCAAGGAATCGGAAGCTAGCGGTCTCAATTCTCTTCAGCGTGACCGCCAGAAGTTCTTGCTCAAGAAACGACAACGAGAAGCCGAGGCAGAGAGGCGCGCAAGAGCTCAACGCGAGCGGGATCGTGCATCTGGGAAACTCGATCGTATGTCAGCACGAGACAGGGAGGAGTATGCCCGGTGGGAGAACAAGCAGCGCGATCAGCAGGAATCCCGTTCGATGGCGGAAATTTTCAACCGCGAATACAAGCCCGATGTTCAGTTGAAGTATGTGGATGAACATGGCCGCTTGATGAATCAGAAAGAGGCGTTTAAACATCTGAGCCATCAGTTCCACGGTAAGGGCAGCGGAAAGATGAAGACGGAGAAGCATTTGAAGAAGATTGAGGATGAGAAGAAACGAGAGGCGATGAGTACGCTTGATAGCAGCCAGCATACTGGGATGAACAATGCAATGGGGGCCACTGCACGGCGAACAAGGCAGGCTGGCGTTCGACTTGCCTGAACGACGCCGTTCCTGTCGAAGGGTTGTCAAGGAGAGTGGGTTGGGAATTTAATTATCGAGGACCTTTGGCGTTTCCTTGCTATTGCTTGTTACAAACCCAAGCCTGATAAATGGATTTTCCTGCTGTTACATGGACAAAGTCCGCGCCGGTCATTTACTGCGCTTGTCATCCAATTCCCACTTTTATGGAATGGACGCATGTCTGGCATCATCCGTCCATCGCTGGACTAACCGTGAATGTAAATGTCATAATAGATATGATGATGATGTGGAGATACTCGAAGCAAGCCCTTTTGTTACTTTATCAATAATGCCCATAGCTTGTACTATATAGTAGAGTCTCTACAGGTGTACCTCATCATGTCCCAGGCGGCTTCTATCCTTCTCTCGTGTCTTCCATCGACATGGATTTTTGGGTGGCGCGAATAGCGGCTGCAACGATCAAGCGATCGACAATCAGACCATTTGTGATCTCTCCTTCCATGATACGCTAAACTCAAAGTAGTTAATCTACGGCAGAGACACAGAATCAGATGGATGACTCAGCAGATGGAACATGCCAAGCCATATCTTACGTACTCCAACGGCGACTTCAGCCTGCCTTCGAATCGTCATCCAGCACAGCGAATCTAATCCCCAAGTTGGCCGACGTCGCTCGACGTTGAAGAGACCTTTGCGAGTCAGCTCGACGGAGTGGCTACCCGTTTTGCCGGATTGACGATGAATCCCTGTTCTCGATCCCGTCGAGTCAGCGTTAATTGTCGAACTACCAAAGTCAGGCCGTGACGCCCCCAGTTCGCCGCCACCACACTCGCTACGACGAAAATTACCCGGCTGGCTTTGGAGGAAAAAGGGAACGCGCCAGACGACGGGGATTAGGCTTGTTAAATATTGCGGGAGCTTCTCTCCAACAAGCTCACTGCCGTTGTTCGGATAAAAACAAGACTACTGAGATTTAGCCATTGCCATGGCTGCAGATGATGACCAAAGGCACGATGGTAGACTTGCACCGGGATTACCGAGCCGCCAATCTTCCAGATCGCCTCTGAGAAATTCAACAAGCGGCGACGAAAGGAATAGTGATACACAGGAGGAGCAGATATTATTGCAAGATTTAGGGGCATATAGTGCTCCCGAGGATGCTCGAGAGGGCCCAGTGGAACCTACCGATTCGCAAAGTTCTGCTGCAGAGCAGACTAGGAGGGCTTCAGATATAGAAGCCACAACTTTCCGCAGACCCTCGCAGCGTGTTCGATTCTCCACGGATATAGAGCGTACCTCTGAAGCTGATTCCGGCCACGATACTCTCGGGGAGTTGGCAGACCGTCCTACTAGTCGCGGCAGCCGCATTGCCGCTTCTGGGCTTACCGTTGGGACGGAAAACATACCGCTTTCGTCCCATCCCGCTCGATTGTCTCCTAGAAGCGCTGAGAACCCCCCCCGCGTCTCCCCTGGCCCTGGCGGCTCTCCTTCCTCACCTGCCGTGACATCTCCAACGTCTCGTAGCCGAGGATATTCACTCCGACGTTCGCTCTTCAATCGGAATCTCCAACAGGGTACTTCGCCGGTAAGAGATACGTCTACTAATCCAGGACATATTGCCATCGACGGAAGTGTTACGGCCAAACATACGCGGTCGCACAGCGGCTCGTCCAACAAGAATGGAGTTATTGAAGTTGCGCGAGTATCATCCAGTAGCAGGGAAGATGATTCTGCATCTGCCTCAGAGGAAGCGGACACGCTCAAAAAAGTCCGTACATCCCGCTTACCTGGCTCCGTCGACCAATGGGCGATGAAATGGAGATTCGTCGATTGGATCATGGTATGGTTGGAATCATTTGGTACCGCATTTCAAAAGCATGTCCTTCGAATCAAGCCAATTCCACCAAGTCAAGATGGGAGGCATATCGACCTGGATGTCCACCGGACCGAGCCCCTCATTGATGAGCGAACTGGGAAGCACTATATAAGCAACTACATTCGGTCAAGCCGATATAGTTTATGGAGCTTCTTTCCCAAACAGCTCATCGCCCAATTCTCAAAACTTGCGAATTTCTATTTCCTCATTGTTGCTGTTTTACAAATGATACCCGGTCTAAGTACGACTGGTACTTTTACCACATTCGTTCCATTAATGATTTTTGTTGGAATTTCTATGGGCAAGGAGGGATTTGATGATTTTCGTCGTTATAGACTGGATAAGGAGGAGAACAATCGGATTGCTTGGGTTCTCCGCCCCGGTAATCCGGACGAAGATGCACCGGAAACCCCACTAAATAGATCTGAACCAAAGGTGGAAAGACCAGAAGCCTGGACACCGACAAAGTGGATCGACATCCAAGTGGGCGATGTCATTCGGCTGGATCGCGATCAGCCTGCCCCTGCTGATATAGCACTTCTGCACGCTGAAGAACCCAATGGAATCGCCTACATCGAAACTATGGCGCTTGATGGCGAAACAAATTTGAAAAGCAAAAAGCCGAGTATTCCTGTTGCAAAGACTTGTGCCACCATTGAAGACATCATCTCAAATAAGTCTATCCACTTCGCCGTGGAAGATCCGAATATTGACCTCTATAAATTCGACGGTAACGTCGCGGTCGGGGCAGAGAAACTGCCCTTGACCAACAATGAAGTTATCTATCGTGGGAGTGTTCTTCGCAATACACATGAAGCGATTGGT